TCTCTCAGGAAGCGGTGATATGTGATTGATAGACTTTTATTGCTTTTTCGGTAACTGCAGACACTAAAAAGTGATGAGTAGCGGAAAAAGCCTTTGCTCATGGAAGAAAGCTTCAGGTGGGACCGTGTGGTTCATGGTGAAAAGGTTTTTTTCGCCGTAGCTGACCTTTCAATGCATGATATAGGCCAATATTTAAATCCATATATAGTTATTTAATATTAAACAAATTAAATTATAATTTATTAATTTATTATGCAATAAATTATTTTTAAAAAATTTATTTCAAAAAATATACATTTATATTGAGGTATAATATTTTCAATAAAAATATTTAAATATTTAACAAAATACTATATGTAAAATAAATACTTAAATATTTGTAAATAGCGTGTTATTATTTAAACATTTCCGATAGGTATATTGCTATATAAATGAACTATATGTTATCTATCACGTGATTATCAAAGTTGTATATAGTCTGGGGCGCATCAACCGCCACCGAAAGGACGGCTTTACCATGAACCATCCGGGAACATCTCGACCATGAGCACTTCAAAGCACCCCAGAATCCGCTGAAGACGACCCTCTCTAATGATGGTAAAGTTTTCGGAAGCATTAACTACGGAGTAGTGGTCTTTGACCTGTCCCACATTCCGACCACTTCAGAAACTACGGAAGATGCTTTACTAGCAATCTTCAACAAATTTACGCCAGCAGCCATCCGTGGCCACAGACAGGTTGGCCCGCAAGAAAATGCCATCAAGATCCTTTTTGACCCGAGTGTTGCCACCATTCAGCGCAAAATTGCGACAGAACAAGGCATCATCATCAACAACACAGAAATCAAAGCCATCACAACTCAAAGCTGAAAAACAAACTCACCTTCGTAAAACTGAGAAACATGCGTCTCTTCCCCAGTGAAGAAGGCATTGTAAGAGTTCTCAGCCAAAGCATGGCCGTAAGGTCAAGAATGTCTCGGTATTCAAAAAGCCCGTAGGCCACGGCAAATACCACTCTTATAACGGAGAGGGGTTCATCCTTCTGGACACCACCCAGACGAATGATTCCTCATACATCGAATTAAAACCATTTATCTACATCCCGGAGTGGCAGACCACCATCCAAGCAAAATGGGACAACGCTCCCCCATCTTGTACTTACTGTAAGCAATCGGGACATACCATCCGAGATTGCCAGATCAAGCTCAACTCGGCAATGGGGATCCGAACATGCTATTTGTACCGACAAGCTGGACACACCAAAACAGATTGTCCGGTACGTTTCCAGGCAGCTCAAGGCCTTAAAAATTGTTACACCTGCCACCAGGCTGGCCATCTGAAAGCCAACTGCCCTCAGTCCAACAAGCAGGGAAGCCCTTTCCCGCAGAACGGGCCGAGTCAACCTTTTCCAAGGGTGAGAGTGAGGAAGTGTCTCAGTACACCTACCCCAACGCTCAAGACCCCAATATCATCATCTTGTCAGATGGTGAGCCAGAATCACTCCCAGCGCAGGTCAATGAACTACGAACCGCTCAAAACATAAAAAAAATTCCACATGCGATTCGGACGCCCTGGTGCCGGACCCTTCAGCACAAGATACCAACCAAAGAACGATTACACAACATTTTTGCCGGCGAACATGGCACAACGTGCACAATATGTCAAAAGGAAAATGAATCTGACAAGCACTTCCGGGGAGAATGATGAATTTCAAGAAAATGCCGCCTGAGATACGGTCGAAAGACAAAATTTGAGGAGTTTGATTCGCCGGCCAAGGTATGGCAACTACTCCTGCTGTCTGACATCCACACCAACAAGAGCGCACCCTGGCGCTTTGCCGGCATACAAACGGCAAATAAAAATGGAGGCAACTTCACCCTTCCCTCCCCATACATAAGTATATAAGATATCCCAGACAATCAGTCCTGCTATAATCATTTCAATATCCAATCAGTATTGATATTCAGTCAGCACCTTAACTCCACCTTTTATCTCCTTGACATGGATTGTAGGAATGCCATGACCGCAACGGCTTGGCATGTCACATCCTCGCATTCAGTTTAATAAAGTTCGATTTTTTTTTAAAAAAAAAAAAAAAAAAACTCCTGCTGTCTGACATTAAGAGCATCTGTACGCCCTCCGGTAAACAGACACTCTCGGTATTTGGGCTTATTTTGATATCAATATGGCAATTCCACTGGAAAAGCTGCATCGGAGACAAGAGGTGGGTTCCAGATGCATGCATCTGGGCCATACGGCGCAACAGATGGCGCTGGTCAATGCAGCTACAACTAGATGAGGAGCCTGAAATGGACCAAAATGTGCTCATAGCCATTGTAACGAGCTGGATCCCGGAATGGGAAAAGAGTTCCGAGTAACAGCCTATGCACGCAAAGATGACATAGAAGACTACCATAGATATGGCGCAACGTTACAAAGGATATACGTACCTGATGTCCCTACGCCTGTGTCGAAGCGAATCATACCGTACCATCACGGCTAAAAGCATAGCTCTCACTAGTAACTGAGGTTAAGACTCTAACTTTCCTTTTTATTAACTTCTATTTCTGTGTTTTTTCGTTTTCCGTATTCTTTGTACCTGAACATCTCAGTATCTAAACTATTTGCTTCGCAAATAGCTAAATAAACCCGAATATATATACATATATATAAAAAAAAAAAATTGGAGTTTGATTTTCTTATAACAAACAAGCTACAAGATGAACATATTTTGAAGGAAATGGGACGAGTCATGCTCGCCATTTGGATAACTCACTGGAATTGCATCAAACAACAGAGAGAATGGTCGGACCAAGCTGCTTTCAACATGTACGAACCAATCTTTCTGCCCACTAATGACCGTTTCCTCCAACCGAAGGAAAAGAAGGCATGCAGTGGATGGATAAACGATCTTGCAAACAGGAACAACTCGAAGCGCAAAGAGAAGGCATTAATTGGTGCCTAGCTCTATGGCGAGAGTAATATTTCATGGAACCCCGAAATCGTCTGTAGGATGATTCAAGTCTATATTGCATAGATAAATCATAACTTTCGTACAATATAGCAATCATAGTAGATAACAATCAACTTTTCAGTCAGTAGAAAATCAAAAAATAAAGTAACCCACCGAATACACACAAAAGACAAATTCTCCAACAAGGATTACCGTTGCTCTGTATATGTAGATGAATCCCGCATACTCCAAAGTAAGTGCTTATGATAGACTATCGAAGTCTTCACCATATGTAGGTTATATTCAGCATTTACGTACATCCGTATCGACCAGGTGGGATGACTTTTTAAGTTAATTTACTAAAGCTTCTATCAGATATCCACCTACTCCAGTGCAACTCAACCGTAGTACAATCTGAACACCGAGAAAAGAATTCTTCATAATGCAACTCACCACAGAGTAGGTCGGCTCAATGAGAGGATTAAGTAGATGCAGCATTTTAGATTCCGTTTAAACGATTAGAATTCAAATTAATATATCGTAAGTACTCTGAAACAGAGGTAGTGGTATCATAAAGCGCATCAAATTTTACTTGTCTCGCCAAAATAAGAAAGCTGACGGTAAAAAATGTGCATGCAATAAAGGCGTTCAGATTCCAAGCACTCGTAGATGTTGTGTAAAATTTACGACTTAATTAGTGACAAGTCATAATTTTACAAAACATTGAAAGAATTAGTGCATGGAATCTTCAGCTACATTTAGGTGTTTGATTGCAGCCCTTAGAAAGAAGTACTATTGAAAAAAAAAACGAGTCAGCAGATTTCGATAACAAAAGAATACTTTATCATAAAATCCAAGCAGAATTAAATTTATATGTCGAGAGTTGAGTATAGCATTAGCACGTAAGTTAATGTACTTTCAACAGCTTGCTGAAGTTGGTTATATTAACTGATAGCGAAAATGGTCTATTTTTTTGCCTGCCGATATCTGATCATGTGAAAGCATCTTGAACAAAAAGTATACGAGACTACCTAAACGAGCTATGATGAACTTGATGAAAACATGAGTGCTCACATTACGTCGTCCATTGTGTATCTAGGAATTGCAAAGAAAAAGGTTAAGATTAAGTGAGAAGAAAAATGCCACGGGCTTTCTTTCGTAATAAGTTATTGGGTTTGACAGAAAGAAAAGGGATTGGCATTCTTCTCGAGGTATCTTATATCACAGCAACTACTAGAAAGAATGAGTCTAAATTAAGTCCTCTTTGCTATGGATCATAACTATGCTTTTAGGCATAATATGAAATTGGCATCTTCATGCAATCAGTCACGTTATGTTCGAATTCTATCTTTGAAGAGCAAATCGCAACGCTCACTGAAGAAACAACCACGGAGTAGCAAATCAACCGAGCTGTTTTGGAAGGTCAGATACATCGCATAACTAAAATTGCAGCTGAGGCTAAAACGACCTGTACTTCTACATCCATCTGGTGTGGTAACGGCCGGCTGTTACCTTCTCAATGACTGGTATCACCTACGATCACCGCAAGTACTAGTTGAATTACCCCATTTCGTAAGAAATGTTATATGATACAGTAATATACTGGTTTTTGATCACCTCTGTGCAAAGTTTACCACTATTCTCTGATATGGTCATATCTGCTGGTCAGTGTTGAGCCATGAATGGTATTTTGGTAACTCAACGCAAGAAGGACAAAGGCTAAAAATGGAGGTAAATCAAGGAAACTTTTCTTTTTGCAAGTCAATTTTTTGCTCAGTAAAGAAACGGTCTAGACTGACGTTAAAGTATGCACGTATAGCCTACCGCTTGCTTTGAAAGAAATATAAAAATGAGAGTAAAGGTGCGCCAATTCGAAAAGCGCACGCAAATGTAATTTTGCTTGTAAAAATACATTCTTAGAACCCAGCAATATTCAATTCCTGCTTTCGTCAGCAGCTTTCAAGCTGAGCCGCCAAAACACAATGCACTTCCCGATGCCTGCACGTGAAATCCGGCAGACCCTCAATTTTTTCGGCGTGTTTACAGTAGCCCTAGTATATATGAACAGGTGAGCGGAGACTAAACCTCATTCGAACCGTCAACAAGAACTTTGAGGGCCTGCTTACAGTGGTTTTATTGTTGCGTAGAGTAAACATTCACCAGTCCTCCCCACTCTCTCGTACGATGCTTAAATTCTTGAACCGTGCGACACCTGTCTTGGTATGAGCATTTCTTTTTATACTTACCTCACTATATGTCTTTAACATTGGTCCCTGTTTTCTCTTCCGTCATGACATGTCAACTTTGATAGACTCGTGCATCCAGTAAGTAACATATAAACAATATGAGCATGTCCAGCCCAACCACCATATCTTCAACTTGACCGTCTTATAACTGATACTCTCCCTCTATCTTCAAGATGCCAACGTCACTCGCACCATTTCACGCGCCATTCACCAGTCACGACCTGCCTTCCAGGTCATGGCCACCAACCCTTTGAGAGCAAAGGAAGCCACCGTATGTTAAAGGCTTTATTGCCCATAAATTTATTTTCTACATTTCTAGCAGTTTCCCAACAATAACCTAAAATGTGTCATTTCCATTTTCCCAGGGCCCAATTGCTAGCAAATATCCCGTCATTGATCACGAATACGACGCTGTAGTCGTTGGCGCTGGTGGTGCTGGTCTTCGTGCTGCTTTCGGTCTTGCCGAGGCTGGCTTCAACACTGCCTGTATCACAAAGCTTTTCCCTACTCGATCGCACACTGTTGCTGCTCAGGTGAGTTCGGGTTGTTCTTGTACTTTGCTTTGCAACTTTTTCCTAATGCCGCATATTTGTAGGGTGGTGTTAATGCTGCCCTCGGTAACATGACTGAGGATGACTGGAGATGGCATATGTATGATACAGTCAAGGGTTCTGACTGGCTTGGTGACCAAGACGCCATTCATTACATGTGTCGTGAAGCCCCCAACACTGTCATTGAATTGGAGCATTATGGTGTACCTTTCTCTAGAACTGAGGAAGGCAAGATCTACCAACGTGCCTTCGGTGGTCAATCTCTCAAATATGGCAAGGGTAAGTTTCGTCTAAGCAGGCATTGCCCTCTCTCATCTTATTTGTTATTCATTTCTTAAACTTAATGCTGAACCTACGTTTTTTTTTCATGTGAATCACTCTAGGTGGCCAAGCTTATCGTTGCGCTGCCGTTGCTGATCGTACTGGCCATGCCATTCTCCACACTTTGTACGGTCAGTCTCTCCGACATAAGACCAATTACTTCATTGAATACTTTGCTCTCGATTTGATCATGGAAGATGGCGAATGCAAAGGTGTCCTTGCTCTCAACATGGAAGATGGTACCCTCCATAGATTTAGATCTCACAAGACCGTCCTTGCCACCGGTGGTTATGGGCGAGCCTACTTCTCATGTACCTCTGCCCATACCTGTACTGGTGACGGTAATGCCATGGTTGCTCGTGCTGGTCTTCCCCTTCAAGATCTTGAATTCGTTCAGTTCCATCCTACTGGTATCTACGGTGCTGGATGTTTGATTACTGAAGGCTCACGTGGTGAAGGTGGTATTTTAATCAACTCTGCTGGTGAACGCTTCATGGAACGTTATGCTCCTACTGCCAAGGATCTCGCTTCTCGTGATGTCGTCTCTCGTTCCATGACTTTGGAAATCCGCGAAGGTCGTGGTGTTGGTCCTGACAAGGATCACATCTATCTCCAACTTTCTCACTTGCCCCCTGAAGTTCTTCACGAGCGTCTTCCCGGTATCTCCGAGACTGCCGCTATCTTTGCTGGTGTTGATGTTACCAAGGAGCCCATTCCTGTTTTGCCCACTGTCCATTACAACATGGGTGGTATTCCCACCAAGTACACTGGTGAAGTCTTGACCGTTGATGAGAATGGTGCTGAAAAGACTGTCCCTGGCTTGTATGCTGCTGGTGAAGCTGGTTGTGTCTCCGTTCACGGTGCTAACCGTCTGGGAGCCAACTCTCTTCTTGATATCGTTGTCTTCGGTCGTGCTGTTGCCCACCACATTGCCGAGACTTTGGAACCTGGAACTCCATTGAAGCCTTTCGCTGTTGACGCTGGTGCCGAGAGCATTGCCAATATGGATGCTCTCCGAAACGCCAAGGGTGATAAGTCTACAGCTGAAATCCGTTTGAACATGCAAAAGGTCATGCAGAGCGATGCTGCCGTCTTCAGAACCCAATCTTCTCTCGACGAAGGTAAGTTTTGTCAAATTTAGCAGAACGTTTTAGCTCTTGGCATTGGGTCTAATCATTTTCATCGTGTTTCTCTTCGTTTTAATTTAAATCAGGTGTCGGTAGAATGGCTAAGGTCTGGGATTCATTCAAGGATGTCAAGGTTACTGACCGCGGTATGATCTGGAACACTGATCTCGTTGAAACCCTTGAGCTTCAAAACTTGTTGACCTGCGCTTCCCAAACTATTAATGCTGCTGCTGCTCGTAAGGAATCTCGAGGTGCTCACGCACGTGAGGACTTCAAGGATCGTGATGATGTCAACTGGATGAAGCATACTCTCTCTTGGCAAGACCAGGAATCCGGTGAGGTCAAGCTCGCCTACCGTAAGGTCACCGACACTACTCTTGACGAGAACGAATGCAAGCCCGTCCCACCATTTGCTCGTGTCTACTAAGTATCCCTCATCAATTGACTTAGAGGTCCCCACTTCCTTTTAAAATCCATTTTCTGTCTTGCCTTTTTTTTTTGCTCGCTTTTTTCTTTCCACAAAGGAAGAATAAAAAAGAAACCTAAAAATCGATAATTTCTAGAGCTTGCTTTAATTTTGTCTATGAAATACAGAGTTGACGAAACGCAGCGCGCGGCTAATTCAGACGGACCTGTCTGACAAACAGATCGTTATCCATTTTCTTTCATACAAACATACGACATGCTGATAAAAGTCAAGGTACAGTGCAATTGCTTTCTCTGTTGATCTAGGGGCACATTTCGCATTGCTAGATATCGTGCGTTTCACTCCTGTGTAAATCCATGACGATATGGGAGGGTCAGTCGCCAACATTATCGTCACCATTCCATCTAGAGTGACTTTGCCACCGCCCATTTGGCCAACATGACCTCATATATTCAAGCATTTCATATGACTAATAGCTTTTTTATATAATGCTACGAAAAGACTCTCACAGGCAAGGAGGTAAGACACTCACCATCATTGTACTAATATGTCACGGCGTTAATTCATCATTGCTTTGTTTCCTCTCGTAGATCGAAATTGATATCGAGCCCAATGATAAGATCACCAGAATCAAGGAGAGAGTTGAAGAGAAGGAAGGTATCCCACCACAACAACAGAGATTGATTTTTGGAGGCAAGCAAATGTAAGACGAAAGGATAATACACTTAATGGCCGCCTTTGTTACTTTGACTTACCAATCTTGTGTAGGTCCGATGAGAAAACAGCCAACGAGTACAACATTGTCGGTGGCTCAGTGCTTCATTTGGTTCTTGCACTTAGAGGAGGTCAATAATAGTATTGTTGGAATGGTTGCTGCTTTACAATGTATTCTCTCTGCTCTTTATTATATCTCTCTGTTGTATGTCTCCTAAATGAAATGAAAGATATCCTTTTCCTTGGACATGTTCCCTTTACTTTTGAATTTAATGGTCTGTTATGACTGAACTCAATTCAAGCAGATAGCAATGCTCTCTAACAGCAAGCAACGCATCGTGTTCAAGACTGCCCAAAATGGCATTGCCTTAAACAGACAGTATCAAAAGTGTAAAAGTGTATGTTTATATGAGATCTTAAGGCTGTTAGGCGATTGAGATCAACTATGAAACTAAATTGACGTGATATATGACGGGTTGAGAATGGAAAATCCAATGAATAAAAGGATAGAGGAAACAAAAAGACAAACAAAACTGTACAGTTATTTTTTGTGCGAAGAATTCAAACATATATCTATAGAATGACAGGCAGAAAGGAATGCCTTTTAAAAAGTAGACGCAGAAACAGGCTGTATGAGACCACCTTCTCCTCCGTCCCTGAAAATCATCTCCAGCAATTCTCTTTCCTCTTCGATTTCGTGTCTTTCCAGATCACGTACTTTGATATCACCCAAACCAACTTGATATGCGTAGAGGTACTCTTCCACTGGACCCTGTCGACGGTCCCAGCCCAAAGCAATTGCGCTAGACACCATGCGTAAAGCATAGTCTTCTCGCAATGCCTTAGTATTGACCATTCGTTCGAAATCCGTAACAGCATCGTAGATAGCGTGTTCCAAGCCTTGATTGAGTATGTCTACATTGGGCTCCAAAGCATTGAATAGATAGGCATTATAGGCATCTCCAGTATCAACCACTGTAAGACCGGAATCATCTTTGGTGATTCCAGCTTTGCCTGCTCCGGTCATCAAGAAATTTGGTGGGCGATCAATCAGGAACTCCTTGAGGCCACCTACACCAGAGGAGATCACACCAGCACCAAACAGAAGACCTTCAGCAGCCACCAATCCGAAACTCTCTGTCAGACTTGGTACAAACACAAAGTCAGCGGCAGCTCGGAAGAACACAGACCATTGTCGCTGTTCCTTGGCTTCAGAAATGACCACAACGTTGTTAGGGTAACGTGTTTGCAATTGCTCGACCCATTCCAGCGGATAGTTATTACGCTGGCCAATGACAACAAACTTTGCGTTATATTGTACAAAGTACTCGGCGGCTTTCTGGAAAAATTCGAGGCCCTTGTTATACTGGAATCGACCAATAAAGAGCACCACAGGGCGTTTTAAATCATCCTCGTGGAGCAGTCCACGTCGAACCAAAAACCGCTTTGCTCGATCTTTGGCAGTGGTAACAAAATCATTTGGCTCATCCGATATGGTCCATTTTCGAGCAAGTGACTTAGTCATCATGGGTTGCTGATCGATGTAGAGCTCATCAGAGTGGGTGGGAGAAGGGATGGTGCCGGCACCATTGTCTATCATATCCAGGGCGTAGGGCGGGAATGAACATTTCCGAGTGGTCAACTTCTTACTTGTGAAAGGATTCAAGGTGGTGAAATCAACACCATTGCTGACACCAAAGAAATGGTGCTTCTGAGCCTTCCGCAAAAGACTATCCATTACCAGTTCCTTGAGATAAAAGTCCAAACGTCCTTCTACAATCTCTTTTGCCATACTCTTGCTCACAATCGTTACAACATCGGCACTATCAATAGCAAGACTTGACATGAACATGCGATGGCCATGCATGTAGTTTTGCATTTCTGACAAAGCCTCATCCACATCACGATTTCCAATAAATTTGCCTACATTCTTGATGGTGTTGGTGTACTGTAGTTCATCAAGGTAGTCGTGCATTGTATACACAATGGATGGTGGCTTCGGACCCATTTCTTCCAGCTCAATGGATTCACGAAGATGTTTTGCCACATATGCGTTGGTAGCACCATGCAAATGCACGACGTCGACCCGATTATGCCGAGTTACAGGTGCGAATAAAGATTGCTCTTCGCTATTGACTTGATGGGCCAGGAATGTAGCTACAGCTTTACAAAAGTATTGATCCTTCCATTCTTGAGGTAATCCATTGGGAGAAGAGTAAATATTGAGAACATTTTTTACTCGAAAGGCACGGTTAAAAGGCGACTTGTTGCCAGGGCCAATGAGGTATACTGGTACGACCTGAGATGGTGGGTTCGGTGGCATTTCCGTGGTGGCATTGGTGCTTTCAGGGTTATCGCCATACACAAAATCCAGTTTAGAAACCCGGAATTCCACAGGCATTAAGCGACCATTTTTATCTCGAATGTCCATAGTAAGGTCAGTCACCTTGGTGATTTCGTGCTTGTTCTTCAAGTATGAGTAATATGGCATAACGACAGAAACGTCGACACGATTCGTTTGTTGCTGGGCAGTGGCAAGTGCTGTCAAGACCATGCCCATCCCACCCATAGAAGCCGGACCAAACTCCTTTGTAACATGATAGACGGTTGTTCCTCTCTCCAATTTGAGCTGACTTCTCGTATCCAAATGTTTGTAAGGTACAGATGGGAATTTTCGTAGCGCTGAGGGTTTACGGTGGTACCCAAATTAAAAATACATACAAAAATGAAGTGGAGTGGAAAGGTTAGGTTACGCAACATGGTTTCCTTTTATCTTAATTTAGGATAATTTAACAGTGGGACTTACCGATAGAAATTGGAGCGGGCTGATCATGAAGTAGCGCATATCCAACCACGACAATAGCCAACTCGACAAAGGCAAACAACAGGAGCAAAAGTATCAGATAATGCCACCACTTCCAGCGCCGATCTGACTTTGATGAATGGTAAGACATTCCACCCTTTATGGACGGCCGTTTCGTTGGCCCGTTATGGAGAATGGTTTGTGTTAAAGATCCACGACGGAAAGAATGGCCGTAGTCAGCACTTGGTATAAAGATAGGGGACGCAGAAGGCATGCGTTGTGAGAGTTATAGGACGTAGTAATGAGAAAGAATGGAAGGACTGAGGGGAAAGAAATGGGATGAGAGGTCAAAGGAAAGGAGCCCGTTTCAACGCACGCTAGTAGGGAAAGGGACTTCCTATTTGAACGGCCGAGTTTCAAAAAAAAAAAAAAAATTAGAGGCAGACAGAAATCTTTTTTTGGGTTACAAGCAGTCCGCGCACTGTCTCTCAGCATGGCTTTGCCGCAAAAGATCCAACGACAATTCTCGCCTGAAGAGATTCAGTTCATTGCAGGCAATGAATTCATCTCCATCATTCCTAATTTCACTCTAGACAAAATGGAATTCATCCAGGTACCCTTGCTGATGTCCACTTTGCTCCTCCGTTACGCGTAGCATTCATACTATCCTCATATGTAGACGTCCTATGGCCCGTTTATGCCGCCTTTGCAAGCCCAGGTACCACTATGGCTTGCAGTTGCTCTCAAAAAAAATAGAAAATGCTCAATTGTCCCGCCCAACTGGTTCACGAAAGGTAAACATCGTCCGCATGCTAATAATTGGCGGCGTTGGTAAATGGCAATACATGGGTTTCTAACTCCATATTTAATATAGACAATCTACAGGCATTATTGCAAAATGAGGAAGACCACGACGAGTTTGCAAAAGTCCCGTTTCACTATATGGAAATAGCCCACATGTTAATTGAAGTGTAAGACTTCGTTCTACTTGCCTATTGGCCTGCCGTTATAGTAATACATCTAACGTATATTTATACCCGGTACGTATGACAGAGCGCCCGATGAAATACCTGATATTGAACACATTCGAAAGCTATTGAAAGATATTCGGGAGTGTCGACAAAGGAAGACGCGAGATTTGCTAGGCAAAGTGGACGGGACCCGACTCGAGGTAATTGTCCCCGCTCTACCCCGTCGCCGTTTTCTTTATTACCGACTGACGTTCTATGTTTTCTAAAGCTGCACAATATGTCTCGGATGGAGCTCAACGAAATACGTCCGCTGTTCTCGGCTGCCTTCAATGAAATGACCAAACTCCAATTTTTAGATAACCAGGATGAAGTTATGGAATGAATGGGGGGTTCGACTCATCAATGTAACATAGTCACACTGCTGATCATCTCAAGCTGCTATATCGTCATACTTGTAAACAATTTATTTAGGTCTCTACAGTACAAAAAGCATACACTCTGAGATTTGGCCAAGATGGGGGCTTTAAATTTGCGGCACAGTATACTTATAATAAAACAACAGCATTAATTTCTTTGGTAAGATGGGGATTGAGTTAAGTTGGGTTATGCTATGATTGTATGTAAAGGCGGCATTTGTTATTTAAATGCATCTTGGAAGTACGCTGAAGGGTAGTATAGGTTTCGTATTCTCAAGCTCTAGTGCGTACCATAGGCATTCTTTAGCCCTGGGGAACCGATCCATCTTGTGATTTAATTCACCCAGATAATACCTAAACGTAGCGGAGAGATTAATAAAAAGAAAATATGATCCATAGGAGACTCTTCCCCAAGTGTACACTCACCAAGCTTCAGCACTATCCCATCCATTGCCCTTGGTCAGACGATCCAATAGCCCTTCAGCAGCTTCATACTCTCCAGAATCAAAATAAATGCGAGCAAGCCAGAGTCGGCCACCAGCATCATAAGGGTTGACAACGAGAGCTTTTTGGAAAGCAGCAATGGCATCTTCGGTTCGGTTCTGGGCCATTCGCAACCGACCAAGCACAACCCAGACTAGAGGGTTATTGGATGGATCATTTCCTTCCGCTTCTTCAATGGCTTTCCGCGCTTCCTCTAGTTTATCAAGTTTGATAAAGGCAAGAGCAGAGAGTAACCACAGATTAGAAAGTGCATGAGTCGACCGCTGGTATCGAAGCTTTGTTCGGGTAGTAGCATGGAGGACAGGTTCAGTCGGTTGGAAAATGGACCGAATGCTAGTTTTAGTGCCAATGGATGGCGTAGGGCTATGGATCGAACGGTAGTCAGCCGTTAAATGTTCGCTTGATTTGACGCCGTTGACTCCAACTACAAATGCATGAGTTTTTAACCAGAAAGTTCCATTTATAGAGAATTTTTCCTAATTGACCATACTTACCGGAACTATCGTTTGTCAAGGTTCCTTCTTTGCTACTATTCAAATAGTTGTTCTCTGGCTTCTTTGATTTTTTGCCCCGACTGCCAAACACGTGAAGATGACGGCGATGAGAGCTCTTGCTTCGCTGAACTTCACCATCCGTGAGATGTTTTTCGTTTTCTCCTTCGCTCAACGTAGTAGGTACATTCAAGGTGGAGGAGGTACCATTGCGTCGAACATCCGAGCCACTTGGGTTAGTGGAAATAGATGAAGAGGACAAGGAAAGTCCTCCCCGAACATTGACGTCGTCTTGTGATCGTGAAACATTGATGGAGGAAGCAGCACGAGGGACTCCCAATGCACCGCTACTTGCACTTCTTCGACGAGTACGTGGGAGGTCTGACATGGCGCTGATGGAGCCAGTCATTCCATTGGTTCTTCTCGATGAAAAGTCGCTATAATCATTGTACGCTGCAACGGCAGGGTCAATGGTAGAGACCTTGCCGTAAAGGGCAAAAAGACTTTCGTGACTCTCAAGGGCTACTTCGATATGACCAGCTGCAGCCTGCAGAACTGCACCAGTCGTTTGGAACGCCAGCATTTGCTCACCCTCTTCGTGAGTAAAATAATTTCGTGGAGAAATGCTGTTTGCAGCATCACCATTTCCATTTTGCTCACGTTCAATGTCTGTTTCCCTCATGCCGAGCTCGAAAGACTGGATAGCTTGCTGCAAATTACCGGCTGAAGGACAAGATGAAAGCAGTGTCAGCAAGTGCCACGAAGGTGTATAAGTGGAATTGATTCGCAGTGCCTGAGAGACACTGGCGATGGCATGGCTGATATCGCGAACTTCAGCTTGTTGAAGAGCAAGTTGATAGTGTGTTTCCCAAGCTGTGGGATCAATTTCAATGGAATGGTTCAAGTGGAACAGCGCTGTATCATGATATTTTGGACGCACTTCAGGGTCGTGAGCTAAAATGAAAGAGAAAATGCGTCAGATCCACATCTTTCAACATCCATCTCTGTCAACTGAAATAAGAGACAAACTTACTCTGACTAGCCAGTAGGCAATACGAAGTGCCCACCATGCGAGATACTTGAGCACAGATAGCAGGGTGTGATACGACAGTAACGGTCGTGGAACGTTTCAACACTTTGTGGAGTAGCTCTGCAACTTCAACGGCTTCAACACCTTGATCCAGTTCTTTACAGAACATTCGAACCGCTTCAATCAAGCATAGAAGGATATCCAAGTCATTTTCTTGTTCACCCTTGTGCTTGGAAGCAATCGTCTTCTCGTCCTTGGCCCGATCGGAATTGAATTGCAGTGCTTCGTTTTCAACACCAGATGTACCCAACATTTCGTCCAGGATCTCTCCCACATGTGTGTCCGCTATGATAGGGACGGGCATAGCTCTTCCATCTGCGTAGGTAACAAGCGCTTCTCCGTTACGCCGGGATTCATCTTGTGCTTGTGTGCTGAGACCAATCAACCGCAGGTACGATTGAAGTGCATGCTTGGCTTCATCGTATTCTCCAAGTCGAACCAACGCGATAAAGAGGTGTCGAACAATGACGGGTGAGTTGAAAGTCTTTTGAATCGCTCTATACAAGGTTTCCACAAGGCCACGAAGCTCAGTGGAGGTAACAGCATCACCCATTAAGTTTAGATCATGGACCAACTGGTTGACAAACTCGATGACTTGACCATTGGACTGTCCGGCTTTTGGGAAAGCTGTTACAGCATATAGCTTATCTTCATATGATTTATGAAGTTGTGCTATTTCAATGAAGAAGAGCGAAGGCGTTTGGTAGTTACTGATGTGTGAGACACTAGCAATATAATCGTAAATAAGATGGTTTTGGTTGGATCAAAATATGGCGCTGTTCCCGGAATTAGCTCGTGCTTACCTGTTAACTTCTACAGTGACAATTGAAGACGGGATATACTTCCCCTGGACGTATACAGAAGAAAGGTATCTTGTAAAGTATCTTAGGATGACTAGGCGTTTCCTAATGCGCCACATAGGGCTCCATGAAGCAGACTGTCTATAGTATTCGCGGAAAAGACCAAGAGTACCCGCCACATCGTCTTTGCTGGAAAATACGATGCATTGGGAAATCAGAAAACGTGAAATCACTTCTGTGGGGAAAATTTGGTCATCACAGAATTTTACTTACTGGTGGCCTAGTTTCAATAATGACCCACGATACAATGAGGTTTCGACCCAGTGTGCCAGCTCGTTACCGCGTTCTGCTGGATGTTGTTGGATGATAGGCAGAATACTCTCATAAGCTTGCAATGCTCCTTCAACATCATCGGACCGCTCTAAGCAGAGGCCTATTTCCAAAAGAGGTGACATTTAGTCTTAGTCAATTGTAGTCGAAACAAAAAGAGGTAAAGTTCGTGTTACCTTTAATAGTGCGAGCTTGGACAAGTAAGACCAGCGCATAACCAGATTCAACATCTTCCGGCCTAAAAGCGACTTGCTTCAGCGTATTTAAAGCCTTCGAGTAGTCGCCAATCTCATGTAGCGTTCTTGCTAAAATCACGGCGGCAAACTGTATAGAAAAAAAAAAAAGAAAGTCCAACTTGTGAGTACAAAGAGACTGCAGGAAAGTTAACCTTTTGAACACCAAACTTTCATATGACATACATTGCTCTGAGATGATTCGGATCCGTTTTTAGACTGCGAGGCTCTAACGAGTTGTTCGCGGGCATAGTTGACGCTGCTTCTATCAACAGTTGGAGGAAAGGCAAGGTGCTCTGGGCCGTCGTTGTTATAAAGGTCGAAAGGCTCTTTGATCTTTTCTAGCACCTGTGTCAAAGCGTGTTCGGCCAATATTGTCTGTTCCAAAACTAATAAAAACGGTTGTTATGAGTATGGGCTAACATCGAGTGTAATCGGCGAGAAAGCAAGGGAGTGCCAAATTACCGGTGCCATCAGGATTGTGCTTCTTATAACGTCTTGCTAATTCAGGAAGAGCATTCCAGTTGCCTTTGCAGCGGGCACTGTCAATTTCCTTTGCAATTTGAATAGCCTTGGCTGAAGTCATCAAGGCAGGCTTAAGAAAAGAGAGAGCACAGACAGTGGAAAGAGAGCAGGGAACGGAGACACAACGGCGGGAAATAGAGACAGCATTTTTGCTGCCTAACAAAACGGTGATATGCCTGCCTGCCTTTGAATTTTTTTCTGATAGTCTCCCCTAAATGCTTTGTACAACTGTTAGGTCATTTTCAACATTCCCAAAACCAACTCTGCCAACCCCAGCTCAGATCCTGTATGCAAACAAACTATTCAAACAACCCGCTGCTTTTGTGAAATCTATCGCTCATGTCGAACAGGCTCCCAAGACTATTATTCCCGAGGTAACGACGAGTAATTCAGACCACGTGTATTCCACTGCCAATGCCTGACTATGTCCTGTCAAAATCCCGACAGGTAGCCTTTGTAGGCAGAAGTAATGTTGGGGTAAGCATGATGAGAGGGTTTTTACGGAAAAATACAAGACCACAGGCGAATTCCATTGCCAGGACTATATTGCTAAACCTAACATATAAAACATGTCAATAGAAATCCACATTAATCAACAAGCTGCTGAATCGCAAAGGTCTTGTTAAGACTTCTAGCAAACCGGTAAGCTACTTTGACGTTTTCCATCGTGGTGGATCATTTACTAAACCGATATATCGCATGGCAAATGCAGGGACATACGCGATTGATCAATTTTTTCAGCATTGGAGATCAGATGCATTTAGTAGATATGCCTGGCTACGGATACCGTTCTCGAGAGGAGTGGGGTGAGAGCATCATGAGCTACATAACTACACGCGATCAGTGAGTGCCTTTCCAGCCGTAGAAAACTGGTTCATTCTGTTTGTTGACATGTGACAAAAATTTAGGCTTAAGCGAACGTTTGTTTTAATCGATTCCACGGTTGGAATCAAGCCTGCTGACCAGCAACTGTTTGAATACTTTGATAAACTAGCATTGTCGTACCAAGTCATACTGACCAAGCGAGACCGCATATCTGCCAAGCAGTTTCAGGAAAACAAAGAAAAAATAGAAGCGGATGTATTCAAAGATGCTATATGTTGTTACCCGCAATTATTAGTATCTGGGCAACAGCGGAAAGGCCGCAAGGGAGTGCTTCAAGGAACAACCATAGATGAAGGAATCCAAGATATTCGATGGGCCATTGTCAATGCTGCCGGGATCTATGTTCCTCCACAAGCTACACCAGCAGATATAGAAAATTAATTGTTCGTCATGTCATCCAAACCTTGACGTCTCTTTTTTTATTATAATTAAAAATGTACAGTCTATGCATTCTTGCCGTTAAGAGCGCTTCTTGGAAGGCATTCGCTTTCGGTCAAGTGTCGAATGTAAACAGTATCGGGAGCATGATCTTTCTCACCTTCATCATACGTATAGCTGCAAGCGATAGCAAGCTTTTTACCGTCATGACTGAAAGCAAGACTAGCAATACCATCGGGATAGCGAGGGAACTGACGAATACGCTTACGATTGATGCCATCCCAAAAGTTAACAATACCGTCGGATCCACCTGTTGCGAAAGTTCCATACCTTAAGAGAATAGAATTAGCATAGGGCACGAAAAAGTCATTTTGGGTGAATGCAAATAATCAAAGCGCTTACACTGGGTTGAAAGCTAATCCGTTGACAGGGTATACAACCTCGGTATCGCCGTGAACTTGTCTGTGACATTTGAAGGCATACTTTTTAGACTGTACTTCTGGTGATGGATCAAAGTACTCTACCGCAACCCTTCCTTCCGTCGAACTGCTCGCGTATCCTGAAGAGAAAAGAGTATGAGTATAGTTACAGATCAACGGAATGCGCCAGGTTGTGTGACTCACCATCTTTGCTAGGTAAACAGGCTATTGCTCTGGTCATATATTTCAAGGAGCTTTCTCGCTTCTGCAGAGTTTCGCTCATGTTTCGTACGTCATAAATGTAAATGTGTCGGTTGCCCATCGCTACAACAAGCTTATCATCCAAAATATCCATACTGAGAACTTTATGCGGCTGGTGGTATGTGCTTTGAAGAGGTTCAGCGCTTCTAGGATCCCATGTTCGAATGGTTTTATCCCATGATCCAGTGAACAATGTTTCTACGCACCAACGTTGGAGATGAGAAAATTCAACACGACAAATATTGTGAATATAGACGAACTGACTTACGTGTTAAACTACACCAGTTTACGCACTTGATAGCATCATCGTGAGATCCAAGGACGCGACTATTACCAGTATCAAGCTCAAGCCTAACGTATATATGTTACTATATTTCAGTGCGCGGCTATTTCGTTTCGGGTGTGAATGACTTACTCTCTGACATTGCGATCAACGCTTCCGGTATATGCGCGGTCGTTGGATGAAAAACAACAGTCCAAAACAGCAGCTTGATGCTCAAACTTGTGCTTCACTGTGTTTTCGTCGACATTATATAAAGTGGCAGTCTAATTCAGAGAGGAATGCGTTAATAGCTAGGACAATGTTGGCACGCAGTTTGCTGAGATCGTCACCTTGTCCCATGACGAAACTAGCAATAGACTGCTATCTTCGGGAGCAAATTGAACTTTAGAGATGCCATCGGAGGGAGGGTTTGCAATCTCAAACTGACTGGAGGTCGTATCCATAGTAGATTTGGGAAATCTCGAAATGCGTGAGCGTCGACTTGACTTTCAAAGAAACAAAGGGCCAAAAAAAAGTGGCCAATCAGAAGAGTATTTTAGCGAGTCCAAGTCACATGCTAAATGGCTCTTGCATTGCCGTAATGGCTGATACGCCTACCACTCTTTCTAAAATCACTTCTTCGCGATTACAATGTCTGAAGCTGGAAAGAAAGCTTTAATTCTAGGAGCTACTGGCGCTGTGGGAAAAGCCCTACTGCGTGAAGTACTGCTAGCCGACACCTACAAGAGCGTCACCACCATTGGAAGACGTGAAGTCAAACTCGACGATACAGTACCGCAAAGTAAGCTAGTTCAGAAAACTGTCGACTTTGACAACCTGGAAGCAAGTCGCTCGGAATTGAAAGGGTACGAGGATGTGTTCTGCTGCCTTGGCACCACAAAGGCTGATGCTGGTAGTGCTGACGCATTCAAGAAAATTGATCACGACTATGTTGTTAACTCTGCCAAAATCATTGCTGAAGAAAATCCTGCACCAGGCGGTGGTCTTAGCCCCGTACACTTTTTGTACTGTTCATCCAGCGGTGCCTCTAAGAGTTCACCATTCCTTTACCCTAAGTCCAAGGGTGAGACAGAAGAAGACCTTATCAATGTGGGCTTCCAGCGAGTATCCATCTTCCGACCACGTTTTCTAACTCTTGAAGAAGAACGTCCTCGACCACGCTTGGCTGAATCCATCTTCGGTAAAATTGTGGGCTATACTAGAGTGGTCGGTTTGCATTTGGACGTACCTGTAGCCGTTGTAGGTAGAGCTATGTTACATGCTGCCGCTCATCCTGTCGACGCTACAGGCGACTCCGACAAAACTATCTCGCAATTCGTTGAGAACCCAGAGATTGAAGCAACTGGCGCTTGATTGTTCTTTTTACTGTTTATCTACCGATTAAAAATCTCTATACGAGTATCATGTGTATCTAAGCAACACACCCGTAATAAATTGAATACCTGCTATCAGAACTTTAAAAAAAGCTCTACAATAATGGTCAAAGGCTGTTATAGACACCAAATGTTGCAAATGCATGGTAGAGCATGATGTTGAACTTGGAGAATATTAGGTGCTCGCGTCGCTGCCACGACAGCTAAACTAATGTGGATATTCCGGTTGAACGAAGTACATTATTGAAACGGGCATTCCATTTATCATTGAGATAATCATTCAGTAGTCAGTAATACTCATGGTATATACGCATCAGCATCGTAAGGTGTTAGGCTTTGCTCAGCGTTCAATTTTGACATATAAATATTTGTGCTTTCTGCATTTGGACGCCGCGCTATTGATCGCCCATCCTGCGAAGAGGTAGGATAAATTATCAAGCGCGATTTGCTATTTGGACAACACCAGACGCCAGCAATAACCATAACTTTCTTAGCTGGCATTGTAACGAAGGACGATATTAGGTTTTTTTCCTTTGGCAGGCAGCAAAGGGGTTTTGCTCTACAAATTTCAAAACATTGACTGGTCAATGTGCGCGTCGCACTGACCAATGTGACAGCACCTAACAAGATTTTTTTGTAGGCCCGGTCGATGCGCTCATTATTGGCGTATGGGTCATTTTCCTTGTGTGAGCTGATCTAATATGGAACCTTCGTCTATAAGTGATTCATTCCATACAGCTAGATCGTCTATCACAGGAAGCTCCCCAGAATCACATTCCAGCCACCCTTCTGCACGATCGTCTTCAATCGCCAGTACTATCAAAGCCGACGCACAGCAGGAAAGGCAAGCTGACATGTCGGATAATGCTCCGATCCCTCGGTCTGACGACTCTGCTCCTCAAGAGCAAGCCGACGAGTCGGGAAGTAGTTCAACCCCTCGGCCTGAACATTCTGAGACCACCCCTCCGGCTAACGACTCTGCTCCTCCGCAGCCGATCGTAACTGAAGTCCCGGACCCTGCACAACTTTCGGACGGCGGTGGTGCCAAATCCACATCTCAGCTTACTTCAGACACAGCTCAAGCCTGTACTGTTCCAGAGATTCATGAACAGGAAATTATCCTTTGTTCCATCGTGGAAGGCAAGCATATCGTCGATGGCCCGAAATTCCGAAAAGTCAACAGGACTCGTAAAGACAAGCAGAAATATGAATGGAGAGAATTAGAGGCAGTGCTTACGAACAAGGGATTATCGCTCTATACCATGTCGGTAATGTCATTTCCATTCTTTTTTCATTATTATCTCCTAATCATGAACGTCATCTGACTGACTCAATCGCCAGTAGATCTTCTTGGAAAGGCGGAAGATTTTGCACAATATCAATTTGGCATCCATTACTCAGCTCAAATTAGTGAATGAACAGGAATATTTGATAGAGTTAACAGCAAGAACATCAGAAAAAGGTGGCATCAAACTTTCCTTTCGGCTCAGAAACACCAAACAAACGCGCCATTGGTATCGGCAACTGTATTCGTTAGTCCCACAGAACAGCAAGCCAATATTTCCAAATGTCGCTGATGTAGTGATACCGGATCTCAATATCGAATGCAGAGTACCCGTCGCGGATGTATCAACATCAACGTACGGCTGGCTAAAGCAAATGATAGTGACTTCCATGGTCCAAGACGAGACCACCAAGGAGATGTATGAAAATTGGCATCAGCAAAAGGAACTCAGCTTATGTTGGAGATATAAAGATTGTCTAGAATGGTGCGTTGACGAAAGCGAGTCTATCATCGGCCCACGTTTGATTGAAGGCAATAATAATCTTGAGCTACGCAAAACGGAACATATGCCTACCACCGTGACGATTGGTGAACGACAAATTGTAGAACCCGAGGCTATTGATGGAATACTTACCCGACTTACGAATCGAAGAGGTCAGATGATTAAGAGCCAGAAGTTTTCACAAAGACGTTTCTATTTTGCAACGCATCAACAATACTTGATCAACCTGTCACTGAATAACAAATGTAGCCGAGAAGAGCAAATAGGCTCAAGCTTAGGCATGATTGATCTCTGTGAAGTAGAGGTCATCAAGGTTTGGAAACCCAATACGATGTATGGCAGCACTGCGTTTCAGAGCAATACCAGTATTAGCTCCTCCTCCTCCAGCACACCCATTATGGCCGCCTCGACGCAAGTCGAACGTGAGCATGATCCACGGCTTTGTTGGTGCTGCTTTGCCTCCACACCAAAGGCCATAAAGAACTTGCAAAAGTTGGACAAACAGAAGAGGTGCTTTGAAATGGTTTTGAGGAACGGTTTGTCCATTATATATGAGGTAAGGAGTTTTCATCATGCATGCAATTGTCAAAGAAATGGAGTGAAAGCACGCTAAGTGACATTGTTCCATCATTCAGGCTCAGAGTGTCGATGATAGAGATGTCTGGGTACGAAGGCTGCAAGATCTCAGTTTATATTGGAAGACACTGAACCATAGAATGATACGTGACCAAATAAGCAAGTACAAAGCCGCCATCATTCGACAAGACAAGTCCCCTAAATCTAAGCGGAATGATCAAAACGCCGAAATGGAAAATGACTCTATGTCGCAGTATGACGAGGAAGCTGCTGCTGACAATGTTATCTACACTAGTTTTTGGAACTACTGCCTCCCTTCAAGATGTCGTTACATCATGGTAAGTAGCATCCCCTATATTGGATCAGAAGAGCGGTTTGTTCATAGCGAAATAGCCATCTAAACTCCCTCCTTTTGCTTTATGATCATATCAGTGTGCTGGGGCATTATTTTACAAAAATAGTGTCCGGAAACCTTTTAAGGAGGATCATTTTGTTTTAACAAGAGACGGCCAGCTCGTGATGTTCAACATCGTGGAAAGAAGCAAACTGTCAGGAAGAATGATACAAAGCGTCTACCATGGCCGCAAATATACACACGATCTAACCGGTAGCTATGTATATACTGACAACGACAACGACACCGTAGTGCGTCGACCTGCCCGCATGTACTCAGACGGTCTAGTGACACCCAGAGACAATCAGGATGACGCGTGTTTGTTCTCCGTGTGGATACCGTTAACCCATAAATTCTACTCTCACAAAAAGAAAAAAATGATTATCACTCAAAAGCATACTCTCAAAGGCAAACCCTGGACGTTTATGGCTCGAACCAAGGAAGATAAGCAAATCTGGATAACGGCTATAAACGCAGTGTTGGATCGCCCGAACCTATGACACCACAAATGCAAAAAATAACATTTTGTACATGAAAATAGTTTTTTGTTTGGATGTTTTGTATAATATGTATTTCAAAATCCCACGAGCGTATATGTGAGAGAGTGTGAATGAGAGTGGCGATAATGTGAGTTACATTTGTGGAAAACAAATTAGCATTTCTTTTAGAAGGAGGATTCTTATTGCGGATAGTATGCGCCTGCGCCATTACTTCCACCCGTTTGACCTCTTGCCGCCTGTGGTTGTTGTTGGTAAGGCGTGAAAGGTGCGCCCTGTTGCTGCTGCTGTTGCTGCGTATAGTGAGCAGACGGCATCACGCCAGGTGAGGTGGCAGGCACTTGTTGTTGTGGTGAACCACTCTGAGGATATGGAAACGCTGAGAACTGCTGAGTATAGCCTGGGAACGGAGCACCTCCATAAGGGTATAAGTTTTGGCCAGTGAATCCTGGGTTAAAGCCTCCACTCATACCGTACGCTATAAAAATAAATATAACGGCAAGGCTTAGTATCCCTTCATGGTAGGTTGTACATCTCGAGAGCGACAAAGAGAAGCATAAGTGCTGCGAAAACCAGTTGATCACTCACCCACATTATTGCCATATCGATTACCACCGTAACTAAATGGTGCAAATAGATACATGGTTAGACAAAAGTAAGTAACAACCATTTCATTCAACTATAGAGTTCGTTACTCACGCATCGTAAGGTCTGCGACCGGCGGTCGGGTCACCTTGAACTGATACTCCGCCCGGACCAGACACATTGGCCGCTTGCATTCCCTTCGGTCCTTGCACTAGATCATATTCAACCTATTTCATGGCATGGACACAAAAAGAAATTGGTGAGCTGAGACTAAAGTGAGGAATGTACTCAAATCGAAGACTCTATCTACCTCTTCACCCTGTTGTAGCCATCAGTCAAGCAAAAATAGAAAGGGAAAAAGATCAGTATCTCGCAGTAGTGCGTGCGTGGAGTTTGTATACCGTTCTAACCTCAGCCAAGCTTTTGAATCCTCCATCGTTGTGAATGGCAGTGTGATGGACAAACACTTCTGGAAAGCAAAGATCGTAGAAATGAACGCGCGATTTAGTTGGCACTCGTGACACCATAGCTTATCGGGCATACGCATACCTTCAATGTTTTGCTGGCCAGCTTGGTCATCCGGTATGATAAAACCAAAGCCTTTTACAGAGTTGAAAAACTTGACGCGCCCGGCTTTACGAGTATTTGCCGTAGATGACATATTAAACCTGACACGAACAACGAGAAAGGGAAATAAAAAGAGAAGTTACAGGAGAAAGCGAAAAAAAAAATATTAAAAAAATAATGTTGGGTAGGGCGTGTGATCGCGCGTTGTGGTTGGAGAGGTTCCACATTTCGTCCCATTAGCAAAAGTCACCGCGCTGCACTTTTTTCATGGCTATGAATTTTTCTATTTGCAACTTTTATACATCGATCAAAGGCAACCCAGTTCAGTCACATTTTATCATCCTATTCATTGATGATGATGAGAGCCTTCCACTTGATACCATGGTTATACATGCCAAGAAGTTGCTGAATACATACCCGCTCGACGATCTCTTGGCACGTGACTATAGAATGCCTTGCGTATGATCATTGTATCGTTTACTATATCAAACCATGGAGTGGTGATGAGATTTGGTGGAACTTTGATATGAATGAGCACCGATTTATAGTGTGGCTTCACAAACTTTTTATACTTTCCTTACGCCTATTCTCTTAAATAAACTAATTGAAACCTCGAAGTGATACTGTGCGTTGGTATGACACGCTAGCAACATGCATGGCTGTAGAAAATATTATCATGACAATTCAGCAGCTACAAATGATATAACTAATGTGAACATCGCGGTACATGTTTTCAAACCATACTGGTAACCGATACCAAATGCTGAGGCACTAGAGTTCTTGTAGTCAACATAGGGGTCTCATTTGCAGCACGGACTTACTATCAGCTAGCCAAGGAAAGGAATAAAATAAAAGGAAATGTTGACACCAAAGTAGAGCTCACTTTGTTTCAGCTTAATTCAATCTAACATGTATTATTTTTAGAGTCTCATTTCAGGTTCTATGCCCTTCTCCCCTCCCCCCTTGAACGAGACAGGTCGAAGAATGTGTCAAACGTTTTCTTCGATTCTCATCCTATATGCAGGCTGTGTTCTATCTGAATGCAAGAGAAATTCGTAGTTGTCATCATATACTGTGTTATTTGCGTACGAAATTCTCTGTGCTGTCTGGCTCTACAGCGCTATATATCACTCGGGCAATAGATTGTTTCTATAAGAAAAAAAAGGTTCGTTGACTGACGTAAGGAACCATGGGACTGGCGGCCTTGTACCACGTTGAACGTCCGATATGCTGCCGATTCCACACCACCCTTGAGCTATTAGCTTATGTAGGTTATAAAAACCACTAGCAAGCCTTGCGCATGAATTGTACTCAATGACGTCTACTATTTCTGATGAGACACAAAACTCTAAAGCAACCCTGGCGAGTGCATAAGTGCTATTCCTTTTGAAACACAAGTGTGGCTGACAAAGTGGGGTACCTGCATGTAAGAGCATGATTCCAAAGCGACTTGAGTACCTCACAAGGCAGATTGCGTTTAACAGAGAGGAATACAGCGAGGGTTGAAGCGGAAAGAGTAATGTCTTGAAATGAGTTGCTTTTATCATCTCATCTAGAAGTAATATCGGGTTTGTTTTTAAAAGCAATGATTGAGGCGCTCCACTGTGCAAGAAAGTAAATAGTGTATGCTGTGTTCACCTTAAGATTAAAAACCGTGAATTTTCTTGTTTTGAAATAAGTCATGAGTTGCTTGGATGGTACATCACTGCCCTACCTATCATTTTCAGTTTTTGCTTGCACAATCTGTCGCAACTGGCGACAAATAGATACTCTGACAATATTTTGCATGAGGGTTTAGTGAAAAAAGTCGTCTGTATCAATGTAGAGCTTCAAACAGTAAACACAACATCAGTGGAGCCGAGTTCTGCCAATAAAACAGAGAATTTTTTATGATGCTGTTCACAATACTGTTTATTTGAATATTTCTTTCAGTTATGGTTTTGATGGTGGATGAAACACTAGATAATCATCCTATTGAGTTTTTAGAAAGGTAAATTAACTTCCCATACATAGTGAGGCTGCTAATAGACAGCGAAAATATGAAAATTTCTAATCATGGCTTTTAAAGGAAATGACTCCATTCAAGCATGAGTAACAACAGCGGTGGCAGAGCCACCAATGCTCTCAATGACGAGAACTTTGTTTCCATTTGCGCCGTCCTCAATTTTGTGAGTGGCAGAGCCATTGATGCTGACATTTATACCGTTTGGATAAAGTTTTTTGCTGATGTCGATCTTGACAAAGGAATCAACTTCGCCACTTTTAATCTCTATACTGTATTTCTTGTCGTTGTGTGTGAATTGTTCCTTTCCGGTGATAGCCGTGGTATCAATAATGTAGGGAGGATAGCCGTAAGTTTGTACATAATTGATGACTTTTGCTGTAGCCATAGGAATTTGTTGTTGAACACTAACAATGAGAGCCTTAGGAACGGGACCTGTCGTACCGATTTGTGAAACATTGGTCAGGACGATACCCTCTGGGCCATTAGTGACCTTCCATCCTGAGAGGGGAAGAGTGACACGGACGTTTCCGTCCACTTCCGGGATAGCAGCATCCTCAACTGAGACCAAAGAGCTATAGGCAGCGTCGTCGCTTATGTCCCGTATAATCGTTGTGCACATATCTCGCGGGCTAGAAGAAACGGGAAACAAGCATAGTTGAAGCTGGTCAGACTTCGATCTGTTACACTTATTGATAGTATATACATTTAAATGAATTACCTCAACGGCCAAGGAGCCTTGACTTTGGTCCAGAGGAGAAGCTCGCGGAAAGTGTAGACCTCTCTAACCTCCACAGAATCGAATTTGTCGTCCCCTGTACAACGTCCAAATCAATGAATTAAAACAGCGACACTAACGGCCAATATCAGCGCATCTCATCACACCAACTTACAAACTTTGCGGCTTCCTGGTGAGGTAGCAGCAGAAGCCACTTGGGCAGGAGTGTATTCATTTCCGGGAAGTATGGCGTCACCACGAACAACAGGGAGTGGCTGTCCCTTTACGGTCTTACTGTAAAGTTTGACACCGTTATTTTCAGACTTGAAGTCCCAACCGTCAAGAGAATCCGACAGTTCCTTGAGATAGGCCAGAGTCTTGCGACTAGCTTCAGCATGGCGGTTGTTTGATTCGATAATGGCCATTGGAGCGAAAGAGTCGGATTACTCTCCGGCACAGATTCAATGCCTCTTGCCTTTTAAATGCTTGGCGGGAACATGAGACATACAATTCTGTGGAACGTCGATTCACGTGGCTGGTTTGCTCCTTAGGTCAGCAAAAAATTTAAAGTGAGTCTTTCGACTATGAAAATGCATGAAAAGGTGATGTATTGTCCTATCAAAACTGGTAGCTATCATTAGTGTGTATAGCAACGCACGCACTGTCTACTGAGTTCGGCAGCACATCCTAGCTTTTTGACTTCTGTTGGATGAAATTTGCTCTTCATATCGCACAATCGACGAAGGTGCGCAGCCTTGAATGTTTCGCCGACATTGTTGTTCGATTGAAAGATTCCAAACGCCTCCTCTCCCCGCAAAGAGTGCAAAGGCCAGCGGAGATCATACCTTGTTGGCTTACAGCCGAAAATCCAACCAAATCGCAGCTTGTTATCAGCCAAAAGGCAAGAAGAAAATAAGGTAGACCATTTGAACAACCAAGCATGTTATAGTTATTTTCATACAGCCGTTCAATGATACGCACTAACCGGTGTGCCACAGTTGCGGCCGTCAAATCAGTAAGATGCCACATTGACGTAGGTTCAAGACGCTCGGATAGAGCGCCGAATATTCACGAATAAAGCAAAGCATGGGATATTTACTTCAGATATGTTTAGAATGTTGTATTTCTGCGTATTCGCTATTGCAAAAGTTCCCATAGCTGCCTGGCAAGAAACCAAAGCGGCGTTTTAAATTACCATAGAAAAAAAACACCTGGAATTCGGCCAATACACCGCGATTCTATTGATTCAACCATGTCTCTTGCTGACGAACTTGCAGCTGATCTTGATTTCAGCGACAATGAGCTCCAAGAAGAAGAGAACGATCAAGAGCTAGCTGCCGATCAGGACCAAAACGATGGAATGGATACAGAAGATGCCGTCATTGAAGACGAGGACGAGCAACGAGAACGAATTGAAAGCATGCAAATGGGCAACCTCAAGAGCGTCAATCAAGTCTCCAAGTTATTAAATAGCAAAGCAACCCAAGACATTTTAAAGGTAAAGACTACCCTTTCCAAGTTTCATGATCCCATTGTCCAAAAGGCTAATATTCTTTTCTCAATTAGAGTATTGAAGAATTTCGCAAAGTCGATCGCGACCCGTCACGACCCATTAGCGGCCCGATCGAAGACGATCCGGAATATCGTATAATTGTTCAGTCGAATAATTTGGTTGTCGAACTTGATAATGAAGTTCTCACTGTACACAAGGCAAGTGCTTAACACAATGTCTAATAGACGCACACCCTATGGCATGACTAATCAATTGCATCTTCTCGATTTCTTCTTCCAAATCTACAGTTTATCAGAGATCATTATGCTCCAAAATTTCCAGAACTGGAGTCTCTTGTATTGAATCCACTTGACTATGTCCGTGCTGTTAGTGCCATTGGCAATGAAATGGATATCACCAAGGTTGATTTGCACTCCATTCTTCCTTCTGCAACTATCATGGTTGTCACCGTCACAGGCACGACTACCAACGGACGACAATTGACAGATGATGAGTGGCGTATTACAAAGGAAGCATGCGATATGGTGCTGGCACTTGATGCAGCTAGAAAGATGGTCAGTATTGGGGGGGGGGGTACCGAAAGCGAGTACTTGAAATATACTAACATGGTTTATACAGATTATAGAATATGTAGAGTCAAGAATGAACTTCATTGCACCCAATCTTTCGCAAGTGGTGGGAAGTGCTACAGCTGCCAAGTTACTTGGTGCTGCTGGCGGTTTGACGGGATTGTGCAAAATGCCTGCTTGCAATGTTCAAGTGTTAGGCAAAAACAAGAAAACGAACACTGGATTTTCTCGGGCACTGGTTTACAAGCATGGAGGCTATATTTACTACAGTGAAGTGTGTACAAGATTGCCATCGGATTTGCGACCTAAAATTCAAAAGATGGTAGCAGCCAAATGCGTGCTGGCTGCTCGTATTGACACGGCACACGAGGCAAGAGACGGTCATCGAGGACGGTTAATGCGAGATGATATAGAGACCAAGATCGAAAAACTTCAAGAAGCTCCTCCAAATAAAAACACAAAGGCTCTCCCCGTTCCTGATGAAGGTCCAAAGAAGCGAAGAGGTGGTCGACGAGCACGCAAAGCAAAGGAAGCGCTTGCCATGACCGAACTACGAGAAGCCCAGAACAGAATGGTGTTCGGTCATGCTGAGGATGAAGCGGAATCCATGGACTCCAGTCGAGGTATGGGATTGATCGGTAACCAGGTTGGCAAGATTCGAGCATCTGCCGTCGACATGCGCTCCAAAGTCAAAGCTCCAAAACAAACCAAGCGATGGGGACAGCAGAGCAGTGGTACCGCTACATCTGGCTTATCTTCGTCTCTGTCCTTCACCCCAGTTCAAGGTATCGAGCTTGTGGATCCAACTGCTGCTGCTGAAAAGGTGAAGCAAGCCAACGAGCGATACTTTGGTACTGGAGCATTTTTGAATGTCGGCAAGAAACCATAGATGTATTTGCTAGTGTGACCTATTCTCATCCACTCATTCATATCCACACATACACAAAACTATTGCAAAGTATATAATTTTTTTGTTTCTCCTTTATTGTTTTTCTGTCATCATTTTTATTTTTTGTTAATGGGTAATGATATGAAAAAAGAAAAGGTCATTTCATTACGTAAATACAAATTTAACAAAACAAAAACTGTGATCTACCATACGCGTTTAAATCTCTAATTGTCCCAAGCTTTCGTCAATGTGTTTGAGTTTGAGAAACACATCGCATCCGTAACCATTCAGAGATAAAAGAGTCATGGAGCCACCGAAGTAGCGAGCATACATTCGTGCTAAGGGAAGACCAAATCTGCAAACAGAAGACGATGAGATGACTATAGACATCAAAAAGTCGATGTTTTCTTTATACGTACCCTAGTCCAGCTATGGGGCCACCTACACCACTTTGCATAGCCAAACGAGTGATGCCACTGAAGATATTAGAATCTTCAGTCTCTTCATTCTTGACCGTAGTGTAAGAGTATTCAAAGATATGGTTGAGGTCGTTGGGCTTGACACCGCCGCCTTGGTCCCGTACTCGAATCCCGATATCTCGAGACCCATGACTGATAGAAACTTCAACAGGAGGGATCGGTTTCTTATTCTTTTTGGCATTTTCAACTGTAGCGCGAGCAGCATTCTTGAGCAACTCAGTCAACATGTACTCAAGATGCACTGGTACATAAGTAAACGTGGTATCAACGTGGCCATTGATGATGAATTCTGGGGCTTCACCGTAGTTGAACTCGCACAGTTCAGTGACAAAGTCTGCACAATGATGTATGACCTTTGCAGGAGACAGCTGCGTGTTAATGATTCCGATATAGCTTGTTCTTCTCTGGTCTTCCGATTCATTCTTGGAAGCGTGAATCAAACTGATGCATTGCTCAGCAATGAGTCGAATACCTATTCGCGCATGAATCATGTCATCCAAGAACGCCGTCATATCCTTTGTGTTCATATACTTTTTACATTCCAAAAACCCTATACCAATGCCCGCGTGATTAATGCGTTGCAGCTCATACGGATGCATCATGCTCATTCACTTTACCTCGAGCCAAGGTGGGTATATTATCAGCGTGCCGCTCTACAAGATCCTTGAGCTTCTCCGCAAATTCCAAGTCGGAACCATTATCATTCTCAGGTAAGTCAGAATATTTTTCCAAGCTGTCAAATGATTCAAAGTAAAGTCGATATATATCTTTGATATGAGGGTTGGTGCCAACGATGAAAGGCAAGTTTTGGAACGCCCGCACACGCATGGCTAGACGTACAGGCAGTTCAGTTCGAGCGTAATGTGCACATTGAGTGAGAGATTGTTCCGATAACGGTGGTTGACCGAATCGAATCAATTCTTTCAGCGTCACTGGTCGAATGGGACGAGTCGCATAGTTTATGACTTTGGCATCGTAGAAGGAAACCACATCATTCTGACTTGCTTCCACGCTGACATTGCTGTTCTTCAGCACACGGGCTGTTGATAGTGACCGCCGTAGGCATAATTGTGTTGCACGGATGAGCATGCTGAGTGGTGGAGAGAGGTGACAGCAAATTCGTCATAATCTTGGAAAAAATCCCCCATTTTTTCTGATCATCGTGAGAAAATTTTTGGGGGTTTAATGAAGGCAAGGGTGTGGTTATCTTGGATGAGTTCTATCATTGATAACATGGAAAGGACAATAGATGTATATATCCTTACTTACCTAGAGTGCTATCATCTACTCATCGTTTCTAGTATCTTGATAGCTGATAATGGATAGAATGACTGGCGATTTTAATGTCGCATAAATAACCTTCATTTTGAGGAAATCATTACACGTTAATAGCATCAGAGCTCTAATTATCTCACTGAAAAAGATTTCTGTAGGGGTCAATGCATTTTTTAACGAAAATGTGCATAGTAGTAAGTGATCATAGCAGTTTTCCTACCCATAGCTCCCAATATACAATCGCAGCAATTTGCGGATCCATATCCTATTTCATCCACATTGAACGCGGCGGGATGAGAGGACTCTTACTAGTCATTCTCATGTCGTGGTTTATATGATGCTTCTTATCATATTAATATGAATTTGCTGCGTTGGCATCCCCTGTCTTATTCTACATGATATTTTGGTTTCATTATGACCAGCTGACATTCGCATATACTACATTGTAGGAGAACCATTGCATCAAAACATTTCTTGATTGGGAGCTTCCAAACACTTACTACAGGCATTTTTGCTAGTATTGAATGGCTGCATCTGCGCTTTTGTATAAAGGAATTGTGGCTTATGACACCCTCACTTAATCCCATTCCATCCCTCCTCTTTCAATTTGTCACCGAAAGCATATTCGTCTTCACAAGTGCCCTACGCAAATGGTGTGTTTCCAACTACTTAGGACGCGTGGAAAAAACAGATGATCAAAAAATTACTTTATTATAACAATGCTCTTTATGTTTACTATTACTATTTGTACGTGCTGATATACCATCCCATGATGCCGAGAAGAACTGCGATGAGTAGAATTGAAAGTGCTGTCATGACACGATTTGCTGAGCGCCATCGTCGCTCAATCTTGGGTATATTTTTCTGTTCCGTTTGGAAACATGTAAAAGGGTAAAAGGTACCTATCCACCAACTTGGCGGACAAACGAAACCTATTAAGAACAGGACAGAGCCATATGGAATACGTGCTGCTTTCGGTTCGTCTTCTTCCTCATAATCTGAAAATGGCCGTATTGGTTTATGGGAGCGGCCGTCGTCGCTGATGGGGGCGAACCGTCTGTCAATATAGCGACTGAATCGTTGTGGGTTTGAAATATCGTACATGTCGTTGTTGTGTTCGTCTCTAGGGGCTTGAACATTTTCTTCTGCAATCTTCTCATTGCTTTCTTCTGATGGCTGTGGAGGCTCATGTTTGGAACGTACTGATCCAGTGCCCATGTCCTGACCTCCAGTATTATGCATGAGCATGGACTCTGTCAACTGGTACTGCCATGACCCAGGGGTATGTGCATTTGAACTTTGCTGGATGGCGCTGATGTCTGGCCGTGGTGCATTGTTATTGGATTTTAACGGCGATGCCATTGAATGGTAATCAAGGAAAGGAAGCAAAACACACAAAAGGGGAAACCTGACCCGAGGGGGGCCATCACCACCAAAATTATCATCCTGTCGGCTTTTCAAAAAGTAATAAAACTTGGTGCCTCCAACTTGAATGCCGACCTATGATTATCTCTATAGTAAATACGTGCGTTAAGAACACCTCATCATTGAAATGTCTGCGTAAATGAAATTAAAAGAATGATGGAGATGACAGTGGCTTGCAAGTGCTCTGAATATGGAAGAAATTGGAATGTGTTGGTAGTAGCATACAAACATCCATATGGCATTCAGGGTAAAAAAGGAGGTGTAGGGAGAGCCATTTATGGTGAGAAATAGTGAGCAAGGAGGTGCTCTTAACAGGACTCCATGTGGAGACAAGTTGTGATTACGCGTTTGTCCACTCTGCAGGATAGCAAAGGGGGGAGGGTCCTTCATTGCCATTTAAACTTTGGCACAAAGTAGTGGTACTAACGATGAATGGCTCGTATTGACGAAAGATATTAAATTCCAGTGACAAATTGCCACTTCGCTTCTATGTTTTTAAACGTTGATTTTTATTACTATTGGTGCCGGATGAAACTTTTTACAATACATCAAGGTGAGCCTGAGTTGGGAGGACCAACTCAGTTGAAGAGTGTGTGAATGTGGTGATTGGAAGGTTGAGATCAAGGACAATTATATAGAACAGTTTGTAACTGTGCAGATACAAGAGAAGTAATCTATGAGTAGGTATCAACCAAGGAGTCGCGCATCTCGTTGACAATAGCAGTAGGTTGCGCGTCTTGCAACTTGAAAATGCTCTCCATGACACTCAATTCAGTAGAGGTGGTGTCCATACCAGCGAAGGCACACCAGTCATTGACGACGCAACCAGCTCCAATAACATCAGAACCACGGTTGACGGTACCAGCGACAAGAGGAATCTGCAACAAGGATGAAAGTTCATCTTGGTCTTGGATGGATGTACGTGGGTGAACAATACCACCCTGGTTGCTCAAGGAGCAGTAGGATCCGACCAAAACTTGGTCTGCGATGGTTTGGCGGAAAACCTCAACGCCCAAAACATCAGCAATGATCTCTTCAGTCTCCTAATATAAAAAACACCTATCAGCAACAAAGGACATCCACTTTTTCAAATCCGACAAATGCTTACTCTGTCAATATCAGGATGGACAAGGGCAACATAGTCATTGCAAACAATGACATTTCCGAGGGCGGAAAGTCTTTCCTCTACTCGCTGAACGGCTACCTTTTCAGGCAAAGAGTTGCGAATGTGTTGGAGTTCTTGGTCAGTGGTAGTGTTGGGGACCAAGAGGCCGTTCTTATTGCCGACGCAAAGACGTCCGATGATTCGGCATCCAGCAATGGTGGTGTGAATAACGGGTATAACGTCGCCGAGTTCTCCTTCAAACACACTAAGATATGGGCGAATGAGTTAAAGTTGGGTGGGGGCTAAAGTTAAATATGACTGTATTTACCTGTAAAAGTTTTCTGAGCCGCCAACAGCGACCAAGCAGTAGGAGTTGGTCAACAAGGAGAAGACACCAATTTCGTTACTGTTCTCGAATTGAGCACGGACAGCCATGATTAGAGAGATGCGAAGGTTGAATCAGCGAGTTGCTTTGATTTTTTCTTTTTATTTGGAACATTTTTTTTTTTTTATGTAGCAGGCGGAGTTATTATGTGACGCGCTTATAGCGATAGTTTTACTGCGGCGGTTGGGATTATGACCGGAGGAACCTCTGTCCAACTTCATTAACAAGTCCGAGGAAGCTAAAATATGTCAAAGTGTTTGAATAATCAGAATGATATGACCTGCCGCAGCAACACAGTAAAGATAGTTTACCTGTGGGTATTATGAACGGTGGTGCCTCCTAAAACAATTCGAACGCCAGGGGTCGACGCATTGAGTTGTGCCACATACCTCGCTTCTTCATAGGTTGCACCGCCAATAAAGAAGATGATGATATCTTGTGGCCGATCACGACTAGTACCTGTTGGTGGTATGGTTGTTCCATCTACATATGGGTGAGTGGTATCTTTGAGTCTGCCTTTCAACATCAGATCAATTGTTTCTCCCATATGAGGTGTATGCTGTGTATACACATTCTCGACACCTTTCAAGCCCTTGAATGCGCTGCGGCCGCGAGATAAGAAACTTTGGTTCGAGAAAAGGTCACCCTGACGATTACCATGTCCAGCGTACAAAAGAATGGCCGGAACAAGCTACAAAGACGAAAAATGAAAGAATGATTAGTGTTGTCCATGATTTTACAATTTATCTTGCACTTGAAGGACTTACCGAGCTCGCGTGTTCACTGACACCATATCGATCCAACAAATCTACCAATGTTTTGATGCTGTTGTTGGGTGCTTTCTCATAGCGCAGTGCATACAACAGTACCAAGACAACCTTTGCTTCTTCCGTCACATTATCATCTGCAATCAGCGTTTGGATATTCTGTCGGACGCGAATGGCTGTTAGTATTCCTGCAGTCAAAGCGCCTAGGCCAATGGCCCGTATCTCCATTTTCTTCCCCTTACCTTCAAGTCATTGTTGTGGTTCTCATTGCAAGCAAGACCTTGTTCAAGTTCACTGACTTCTAAAAGCTTTTCTTGGGCAACTCGACGACTCAGTTCGCTGACTAAAGCTACATGCTTGGATACATTGCCAGATAGCTTTCGGAATTCTGGATACTCTTCTACAAATCGCTTCATATCCGCAATAGATTCTATATTCATATTGGATTTAGTCTTCACTTGATATTCGTCTACGTATGACTTGATATTTGCGCCTAGATCGCCTAGGTTGAGGTACATGGATTTTTTGAAGAATGGGTCCTGGTCTGGTGAAAGTACAATTTCCTACACATGAAGGATGCAAAGACTGAGTATGCTGTGCTACCCACCCAACCACTCATACCTTAATTTTTACCTTCAACTCCTTCTTTATATCAGGCACATTGGAAAGGTCAACTCTGCCATTCTGAATCCCAATCATGCCATGGACCATAGCTTGATACGTCCACTGTGATAAGAGTGGTGTTACGGGGTCATTTCTTCGATCCAAAATCAACAATACTGGAGGAGTGTCGGTTTTGCGGAAGTCAAACAGTTGTCCTTCTTGCTGTATCTGATACTATATAGGAAGCCGTTTGTCAGACGCAGCCCATTTCACATAAATATCTCATGACACCAACAAAAATTTACCTGGATCTCTTGTGCAAGCCTTTTACCCATTGAACTGACACTTTCATATCTTATGATAGGCTTCTTCTTTAGACTCAATAGCGCTGCTATAATGCCTTGTACAGATCGATCAAATGTATAGCCATCCCAGTCTTTAATGCCATTGCCAAACAGCCTATAGTCTGGAAGATCCATTCCAAGTGAAAATAGATCAGAGTTGATGGCAAGATAGTCCCCATAGTATTCCTGAATAAATAAATTTAGCAGGAAATACATGTAGTTCAAACTTAACGCCTTAGGTCAGTACCTGTATCTCTCTGACGACTTCATGTTCATCCACTTCCGCTAACCGCTCCACATCGGACTTCCTAATCGTGTTGCTGAAATCTAAAAGAGCTTGTCAGTCATTGAAAGGAGGTCTATTGATGAAGTAGGGTGTGCTTCACGTACAAATATAATAGTCGCCGTAGCATGGATCTCTGAGCTCGGCTATCAGCCATTGCAAACTTTCGGATGTTGGACGCAGGAAGCATAGGCATTTCAAGTGACGCATAGTGTCTCTGTCTCTGTTGTCAATACGGTCGATAAGATAACATTCTTTGGTAAGTAGATTGGATTGTGTTGCCACAAGCGATACTATAGGAGTCTTCAATCGTAGTGAGAATAGGATTAGAACCGAAATTCAAGGTACAGAGCATTCGGTAGATTGCAATGCTAATTACCGTCTCCGTGTCCAGCAGAAGAACTTTCATGCCTGCCACCTCGTCAATCATCTTGTTGACATAATTCTGTACTGCTTTTATGACATCCATATATGCGTACTATGGGTGGACTCGTTGACTACCAAAACGCCAAGTGGAAAGGTCCTTGGGGTTACTGGTTGCTTTCGGGGCTCTTTGCCAGTTCAATCACGTGGCTGTTGATTTCCACGTTTTGAAAGTCTTCGCAGGACTGAACCGAGCTCATTTTCGCAAACGTAGCAATGCAGTCGTATTTAAGCATGTTGAGGACAAGCCTTTTTAGAAATGGTCCTTTTCACACCCCTTTGATAACACCAGCTGCGAAATTACTCCCAATACCCTCATTCTTACTTCCGCGACTGTATACCAGCAAGGTTCCACGAGCCACTGACGGCAACGCTAACACAGAAAGTGCTGCTCAGCGACAGAAAATTGTGCTGAACGACGACGATCTGATAGAGACTTTTGTGCGAGGATCAGGTCCAGGGGGACAATGCATCAATAAGCGTAGCAATTGTGTGGATTTACGACATATACCAACTGGATTACGAGTGCAGGTGGGTTTTGTGAGTAATATCAATCAAGCATTGTCAGGAGTGGCATTAATGTACCGATAAACAGTGTCAGCAAACAAGATCATTAGCACAGAACCGAGGAATAGCACGAAAATTATTAATAGCCAAATTGGACGACCGAGTCAACGGCACATTGTCCAAGAATGCTGTGAAGGCAAAGAAGATTGCAAAGGGGAAAAAGCGACAAATGAAACGAGCAAAGGAAAAGTATGGGGCTAAACCCGCGCTTTCTACCATGCCGGAAGGTGACGATAGCGGCCAAGTTGATGTGGAGGATGAAGATGATGAAGACCTTTATGAGGAAGTGTTGCTTGAGGAAGTTGGTTGTATTCGCCATAATGGCATTGAAGACCCGGTTGTTGATAAAACTAACGTGGTGTCGACATGACCCGAATGTACCCAAACTCAAATGTATAATAAAAGGATCCTTTTCGACACGTTCTGTATTACTTCTTTTTCACAAAATCATATAAATTTTTCCAAGCGACTCGTGGCAATAGTGTTCCCGAAATTAGCAATTGGTCCTGTCAGGTCAACAAACATAACACACTCCTTGTGGTCAGTCCTGACTTTCCATCAACTTGCCGCGGCATCTTATATCCTTATTGAAGTTGAGTTTTCGGCACTCATCTTTCCCACCGCCTTTCCCAAACTCATAGCCCTGTACCTTCATTGTCGGGGCTCTTCCCCATTATGGACATTGTGTATAGCAGACTGAATGTGCTGGAGCGCATATGGTCAGAACATGGTGGCTGTTCAGGAGACGCTAACGAAAACTCGGCATGTTCAGAGAACGCACGCATAAAGCTCAAGGTATATTGAATTTCATGGCTATCTTATCATGCAAATCTCGTTTGACATATCCGAACACCATATCCCGCTTGCTTGACAAAAGACTCACAGAACGTGTATTTAGGACGTGATTTGGCATATTAACATTGCAATACAAACCGAAATGCGAGAACGTCGGTTGTTATCAGCAGAAATTGAAGATCTCATGGTAGGATGTTTGGCCAGTTCACCGCTACTTGATGCCTTGGGTTCCCCTTCTAATTTTAGCTTGCATTATAGTCAAGTATCGATGGCTATTGTCACATTTTAGGTATCCAGATTGATACGGTGCTAGCGAAAAGTTTTGTGAACAACAATGCAGATTCCGTATCTGAGGCATTAGGCGGCTGGCTCATTGATCTGCACGGCGACAGCAACCCAACATATGGAAGAAGGAAAGCTTTACAAAGTCTCGATGCTCGATTGCAGGCTGTTAGTGAATTTTTCATTGAACAATTTGCTGCAATAATCAAAGGCTTATTATTGTTATTTTGGCCCTTAATAGGAGGTGGATCAACGATGGTCGTATGTAAACGCTTGGATTGCTGGCATCCAAGATGTCTGTGTGGAATTGCACATGGACAGTCCCATACTTCCAACGCAGGTTAGTTTTGAAAGAAGTTTGTATCGCCTATGGGCCCTTCAAGCAATACTGATTTTTTTTTCAGCCGGATTCCTCTGACTTAAGCTGGGCTACTGTTCAAGGAGTAAGTATAAGCGATTATCGAATTGTACTGGAAGGTGCCTCTAACTTTGGCCTGTTGCGCGTAGATAAGCTGTCAGTACAGAGATCATATGAAGATACTTGTAGGTGATTCCAAACAATTACTATTGTTTGCTTGTAAACATGCATTAATCTATTATGACGATCACAGAATGACAAACGCTATCAGTTTGAGCACAACATGATGCTCATTCACTTCTACCTCAAAGCACTCAACATATCCTTAGGCGATGATTCTCCTTTCGATACTGCTATACAAGTAGTCTTCAGTAATATACCAGCACCCTCAATTATACCCACAACACCTTCTGATGATCACATCTATTACAACCGCTCTGTACCACAGCCACTATCTTTGAAAGACGATTGTCTCGACTATTTAAATAGCAAAGTGATGGCGCTAGAAACTGAATATCGTGAACGGAGCGCACGCCGCGCCAAACTACAAAGGGGGATCAAAGCAATGTGGGATGAGCTACAGGTCACCGATAGAAGCATACCAATGACGGAAAGTGTCGCTTTGGAGTACTTGGACCAGGTAAGATGTACGATTTGATCGATGTACGAGCGAGCTGAGTACTAACGCAGCGAACCTTCCTATACAGTTACAAAAAGAGTTTGATATGCTTCATTCGTTGCTACGGAGGATGACAGATGATTACATTGGCAAATACCATGACTTGTTGTTAGCTCTCTGGGATAGATGTATGGTATCGCAGCAGGATAGAGAAACGTTTATAGAATCTTTACATGAACAAGGTAAGGAAGGCCATTAGTCTACAGTTTGTAAGGTGATCCATACAGGATAACTTACATTCCGTCGTCTCCAGCTGAAACCATGGATCAAGTCAAGCAAATGGTGAAAGATCATATTCAGTACCTACAGCGCATTGAACCGCATAGCATCAAAGTGTTCAAAGCGATCAAGGTGCGAAAAACGCAGATTCAGGTACATACACCCCTAGCGCAATATCCATGACACTCGGGCATTTCAAACAATACTAATTTGTTGTTGTTTACGAATAGAAAATGGTCGAATTCGAAAAAACAGCATCGGATCCACGTAGATTATTTAAATCATCCTTTCAACTTTTGGAAGAGGAGAAATGGAGAAAAACATGCTTTCCGACGCTTCTGAGGATGGAGGAAGATTTAGAAATTGCTGTACGAGAACTAGAATGCATTATGGGCAAGTATTTTGTTCTGGACGGTGAACGGTTTCTAACTACCTTGGTAAGTGTTTGGCTCAAGATGACTGGGTTGGAGGTTGCATGCTAAATTAGTTCTATCCTCTCTGCCCTTAGCAACGTGAAATTGCTGAACGAGACGCTCAGCAGACGTTCTTTGGTTTTATGGATTCCTCCAATCAAACCCGCAAAAGCAGCCAAGACGGATACTACTCCAAGTCGAATGATAATGATGGTAAATCGCGTATGTCACGCACCTCCTCGGGCTACAGCTTGAGCAAGCTGAAGATGGAATCTCCCAGAAACAAAGACCAAAGCGAAGATTCGACCTTGACATCGCCCATGAAGGTACGGTTCCGGAATGGCAGTATTTCCAGCCCAGGAGTGCCAACAAGGACGATGTCTACCAGCATTTTGGACCGTAAGGATTCCGCCTCGCAAACATCAAAGCACGGCTCGCCGCAGAGCGCTTGGAAAGGAACTTCACCTGGTGATTTCAAACCGAAAATCGAACGGTCCATGTCCAGTATGGTCGGTCAGGAGAGTCGACGAAATAGTAGTCTATCGGGTAGCGTATCCATGCAAGCGTTGACGAAACCAACCTTCAGGAACAAACGTCATAGCTATGACTCTGTCAGCAGCAGTGATAGCGACAAGTTGATGCCAGCTACACCGCCTCTCCAACGGCCTTCCACTATTCCCGAATTGCAAGATCGACTTGGCAACATGGAGGAATTATAGTAGTCCATCCTGGCGTCTTTTGGTCATATATGACCAAAGGCATTATAAAATTTTGGTCTTTCAATGTATCAATGTAAAATATTTTTCAGATCTCTGCCAAGTGTAAAAAACCAAAAAAAAAACCAAAAAAGCAATCAACCAAAGAAAACAATTTTGCAGTAGGATTCAGTTCATCTGTTGTTTAAATAAAACTTTATCCTTGAATCAGTCGTAATAATCTATAGCTCCAGCCTATGCCAATCCTTAGTGTAAAGGGGATCCTATATCTATCATGGTGGGTGTGCTCATGGTAAATGACGTCGAGCAGATCAAGAAGGTTTTGGTCATTTCACGCTGGTCTGTAACGTGTCTACGTACGGTCCGAGCAATTAAATTTTTTAAGCCGTCAAAGTTACCGTTGTCTTTGTCTTCTCCACCTTACTCTTCCACATGTTAATGATCACTATATGATACTAACCATATCATTGTCATAAGCCCATACATAATCGACAGTTCCATACATCGCTTATGAAAACATACCCAAGTTTACGAATGATATAACCATAAACGGAGAATCTCCAGAGCACTAGAGGATAAAAAATCATCCAGTGGATTACATTGTCATTCGCTAGTCATCCGCTGTGGAGTAAAGCGCGAATCAACCGATTAGACCGAGAACTGTGCTATTGAAACAAAAATGGACAAGAATTTATCACAATGCCGCAGAACAAGAGCTTGAATGGCTCCATGATCAACAAGTACCGCAAAATGTGACAAGGCATGATGAGGAATGGCCATTGCATACTGCAAATAATCTTCAGGGGACTTATAAAGGGGGAGGCAAACTAGACTCTGAAAAATGTCAACTCCAGTGTAAATTTTGGAGGGTAAGTAAAATTTTTTTTAGGCTACCGGTGATACTTGTGGTGTTGATTGATAAAATGTCGAGGTCGCTTTCTTGATAGATCTGCAGAAGTGTTATGTTTAATTTTGTTGTTCATCATGAAGGAAAAGAGAAAAAGTGAAATACTTGTCCATTCCTCATACTCGCGTGCACATCACATTCAGCGTGATAATTTAAACGGGTGGAATCACGATTGTGACGCTAAGCGCTTATAAACCAGTTGAAACGATTTATGGTCTTGGGTAGGGCTTAACACGACCAGTATTAAACGTAATCTGACCTTTGCATGCATCAAAGATAGAGGCTCTGATTGTCTTCCTTTCCTTCATAATTCATCTCATTTACCGAACTTCTTTGTACTATTCATTGTCATCATCATCGCTATTCACCTCATACAACCAGCATTCAGAAACATGTACATCATATCAACGATAATGAAATTTACAATCATCACACTTGTAGCATGGCTGGGACCTGCGTATGCCATTCAAAATGGTACGGCTGTCAAGGACTCAACGCTCTACCCCTACTTCGTAACCATCGGGAACCCACACGTGTGTGGAGGAGCATTTTTATCACTTGAACCTGAAGCTTGGGTATTGACAGCAGCGCATTGCGTATACGATGCGCCTCTTCCTCCACCATCACCAAATCCATACTTTGCCAGTTTCGGCGACGTATCTCGGCCAGATCAACATATAGAAGCCATCACTGATTGGATTGTCCATCCAGGTTATGTAACTTCATCTGGGGACACCGACATGCGCTATGATCTAGCACTGGTCAAGCTGAAACGCCCAGTCAAAGAATCGTCCACCGTGTCTAGAGTCGCCATCTACCAAGACACTATGGCGCTCAACGTCAACACCACTGGTGAGTCTATTTGAATGGCTGTCTTCAGTGTCCAACTCTATAAGTAACCCATTCCTTTCATTCAGCATCTGTTATGGGCGTAGGATACACAGGCTTCGGATTGCCTCAACCATCACAGTTGCTGCACATGCTTGTCCAAGTTACCAAATACACTCCAGGCAGCTTGGAAATGACGGAGACAAACCCTCCCGTTAATTCAGCGGTATGTCACGGCGACTCCGGCGGGCCGCTCATCGAACGATCGCCTTGGTCAGGCCGACCGTATGTTTTGGGTATACTTTCCCGCATCTTCAACGCATACGACCCCGACCCAGGAAATGCGACGTGCCCGTTCAATTTCGATACGTCGACGAATGTCACGACAGATGGATACGTCAATGTTGCATATTTCACGTCGTGGATAGCGGACATGACTGGTCTCTCAGAACAATTCCTCACCACGCCACCTACAGCCGATGTTTCGTGGCCAATTCCCAATCTACAGAAAGCAGTTCTTAGCACTGCCAACCGGGACGTCCCGGTCCCCTTCCACATCATTACCTGCATTTTCATATTCAGTTTATTCTATCACATGGTGTAATAAATGAGAGCATTGTCAAGAAAGTACAGTAAAGAAAAAGGTATTGTCTAACCCGAAATTATTGTCAGATAGTATTTTAAGATAGAAAAAAGGGAAAGAAATAGATAAGGACAGAACAAAAAAAGAAAGCATAGATACAGACGACATTATACGATTACAAGTATGTATAAATGTCATTTTTAGAAAGGGGGAGGGGCAAAAAAAAATGGGGAGAGTAGGCTTAGATTTAGAATCTCAAGTAGGTTCGTTTCATGTCGGTGAGGCCAATGAGAGACTCAGCCAAAGTAGGTTGGGTAGATAGGAATTGAAATGTCAATAGAGCAACCATCACTGTATGTAGGAAAGTGAAGACGTTAGTTTCTATGATAGACTATACAATGATGAGCATACAACGAAAAAAAAAAAACAAAAACTTACAGCAAAGTAATGGCACCCAGAACACGAAGAGTTTGCGATCACGTCGCTTCTTCTCTTCCATCAGTTCAAGGCCGCGGAGGTAGTGGCTTTCCTTTTCAGCCGCGGTCTGGATAGTATCTGTAGTAGAAATGTCCTCATAAGCTGATGACAAGTGGTGCTGCTTTCGTACAGTTCGGCTGGTAGTGCCTCTGTTAGATCCATCCTCTGGGTCGGCTTCAGTCTTGTCAAAAGCGGATTCATCATTTCCTTTAGCAGCTCCCATAGCATACGCAAGTGCCATATACCATGCTAACGTCTGTTCAGCTTCACCTGTCTTAGATTTCATCATGCCTTGGTTAGGGATGGCGGGACCGCCAAACATGCTGGCCATGGACATATTGGAAATAGCAGCAAAGTTGGGCATGACGGGTCGCGGGAACGCCATGAGATGATCCGTAAGACTCTTCACCATCTTATTAGAAGAATCTATCGTATCGTTCATGGGGGTCAATCCAAAGTTGGGCAACATGGGTGGCATGCTGTGAAGCATTTCAGTGGGAGACTTGATATGGTTCAGAGGGTACGATGCTTGCTGCTGTAAATGTGTGAAAGTACGCTTCATCCAATTTGGCTCTTGCTTTGCGTGCTCATGTAGAGATGGTTCATCATCGTCCGAGTGCAAAATTGGGGAGCCGCTCACAGCGACAGCATCGACAACTTCATTGAGAGATGATCGGTTCTTACGAGCTCCAGACGATAGCCAGCTGACAGCACGGTTACCAGGGTGAGCAGAACGTAAATCATCCTCAAAGCCAGATCCGCTTTCATCGGTCTCAGAGTCTGAACTTTCTCCATCGAGCCATACACTGCCGAATTCATCGATGTACAGGTCATTATGAACTTCTTCGTCTGAGCTTGTGTCGTCTTCAGTGGTATAATCAATCTCAGAATCCATCTCGGAGGAGGCGGCGTAAGCACCAGATGAGGCTCCATCTTCTTCACTGGAAACAGCCGGGAGAGAGGCTGGGATGTCAAAGGGTTGGAGGTAGCTTGTCACCTGGTAATGACCTGCTTTTCTGGCCATATCCAATGGCGTTAAGCCAGCGGAATTGGTCACATTGGGGTTGGCGTTGGATTGATCAATCAATAACTTGACAACCGCACTATGACCAAGCCAGCTGGCATAGTGAAGAGCAGTGTATCCATTTCGATCAATGGCATTGACAGGACAGCCCAAGTCCAATAGCGCTTGAGTCAGCTTGGTGAATCCTAGCATACATGCAAGATGAAGCATGGACTGAGAGCTGTGGTTTCGGAGTGTCAAATCGGCCTTTTGTCCATTGTCAATCGTATCCATGACATCAAGGACTTGAATGATTTGTCGCTCTAGGTCAACGGAGCGGGGTGAGTCGGTTGCGCTGAAAGAGGACTGCATAGTATGCTGCTGCTGCTGCTGCTGGTTGGACGATGCTTGAAGGTTATTGTTACCTCCAGCACTACCGCCTTGAACAATGCGCATGGCAATTTCGCGTGCGTCTTCGACTTTGCCTGTCATTTTCAAACCAACTACTTGCAGAGCAAGTTCCATGAGGGCACGGTCACTCTCATTGAAGTATGTGAAAAGAACGACATCTTGACCATCAACGACCAGGGGGTGCTCCTTGAAAGATACCACAACTGTTCCAGGATTGACGGAAGGTGGAAGTATGCATACAAGTGTATTGGGACTCCAGCAGTGGGTTGGGATGGCAGGAGAGTCTCCAAACATGCAAGTAAGTCCTTCATGGAAACCGGAACCTAGAACAGTGACTTCAATGCCGCCATAGGTTGGGCCTTCATTGGGTATCAAACGGTGAAGTCGAGGGGCAGAATTTCGTTGATTACGATTTTCCGGTGGTGGAGATAGCAAATGCGACGCTGGTCGTTGATTTTGGAGCATTTGTAATCCATCCAAAGGCATGACAGGTGCCTTAGGCTGATTGGGTGGCGGCGCTCGGAAATCGGAGAGAGTTGCCTCTGCCATAGTAAAATCTCCATCGAGACCAGTGAAGGCACCTACGTCTCGCTCTTGCTTGATTTGTTGCATATTGAAAGTCTGTAAATGCTCTGCTTTTGGTGAAGGCGTAGCGGATGGCATTGGGTTTGAATTCGTTTGTTGGTGGTGAACATTGTTTGGTAGCAATTGCTTATGAAGGGCAGGAGCAATATTATTAAACAAGCCAAATGTGTTTGGTACGTTCTCTGCTGCTGGAGACAATGCTGGAGTAACAGGCGATTGTGAGGCCGTTATACTCTGGAAGGATGGTGAGTGCGTATTTCGCATCAGAGCAGAAACGTCTGGCGCAGCTGGATGTTCATATTCGGTGCGTGGGCGCTTGCGTCCAGTCTTCACCTTGCTGGACTTGTGGTCATCCGTAATCATGATAGGTGGAGACATGCCGGTAGCGATTTCTTTACCAGTATGGTCCTTCATGGCAAACAAAATTCTAAAGACAAAACAGGGTTAGGAAAACCATCGATATTACATCTAAACCATCCAGAACAGTACGTACCGGAAGCCGACTTTTTCATCGTGATGTCTACAGTAGCAAGTGATTCGAGTAGGAAGAATAGTATCTCCAGAGCTGAAATCAACTATTTCACTGCAGTTGAACAAGAGTACTCTGCTTTCTTCGAATGCCAAGGTGGTTTGGTCGAAAGGGTCTTCTGCTTCTGTCTTATTCTTATTCTCTTTCTTTCTTTGCGATCGACGACGCTGTAATAAAATGGGGCGGGTTTAGCGGGTCAGCAATGAGCAGTATAAACATTCAAATGAAGAGGCATACCTCTCGTTGGATGCAGCCAAAGCATGTAATGACTTTCTTCGAAGGGTCACTAGCACAAATGACTCTGGCATCTAAATGAAGTAATTTGGAGGAATTCAGGGACAGAATACTGCCATCCATAGCAGTGATAGCAATCTTGCCATTGCCTTCACCAGATGCAGCAGCCATCAGCGCAGACCGCTTAAGCTTGTCTCTAGCTACCATATGTTCAGGTAGCTTGAGATGAGACCAAAGAGGTACTTTTTCGCCTTTGTCAGTCACTAACTGCATACACAGCTTGATTTGTGTTTCCACTCGCGACTTGGCTCCTGTTTCTGGAACGCCAAGAACCCTGATTTGTAGTTTTCTGCAAAGCCATTTTTGTTGGGTTTAGTCAGGACATGGGGGACTTATCACGTGTATATGAACAACTTGGAAAAATGATTCGACTTACTTTGAATCCAATGACTGAGCATCTGCTGTTGATTGGGAGTTTGTGTTGAACGTGCCATTATTTGCAGTGTTTCCACTGGTTCCATCAGCCGAGTTGGAGTTACCTAAAGTTGGTCTGTAAAACAGTTAAAATTAAACGCCCATGTTTCAATGAGGTGAAAATATAAGGAAGTAATACTGTACAAGCTATTGCTGAGATTTTGAGGGTAATGTGACAGATATTCTGTAAAATTTCGAGCAAGGTTGGGGATTGCCTGAGGAAATGGGTTGGTCGCAACATTGGTCAAGAACTAATAATCAAGGGTTAGCTTTTGCGTACACGCAATGGCAGAATATGTTTAGTATCCTATTACATTATTAAATCCACTCCAGATGCCAGTGCTAGAAGCCTCGGTCGGCCCAGTTGTTGGAGGCTGATGAGGTTGAACGAGAATATCATTGAAGGGTACACCAAGATCGAGGGTGGGAGCATCTTCGAGAAATGAGGCCTCCTGCTGTGACTTTTGCTCGGAGGAAATCGATTCGGTGGCATATTTATATTGCTCTGACAATGCCGATGATGTATCCGGTGGCGATGGGGATTGAATAGGAGTTGTAAAGCCGTCAGCTTCCATCGTTTCTAGTTTTGAATCCATGTCCATAAAGCTTGAGTTGTAAAAGGGATCTTGAGTGTCTGTATGAAAGAATAGATTGAGCTGGTCTGCTTCCTCATTGGGTTCACTGGTTGAAGATGAGGAGGGCGAGTCACATGTGTTACTGTGCTCTGGTGTTGATGGTGCCGTTTCTTCAGAAGACTGCTTCTGCTGCATTGAAGATGGTAGTGCTTCCAATGTAGATGTGCAGGCTTTGATCAGTTTCTTTTTTTGATGAAAAGCCTTTTTGTCGCTTGTCTGCCTGGAATTCAATCTTTACTGAACCGTAAAGTGTTCCCCAACTATTGAGCGAAATTTTCACTCGGCCACGATGGTGGATGAATCACGTGCACAGCGTGACATCAGCATCTTCCAATTGTTCCCACTTTTTTTTTCTTCGCTATTTTGCGCACAGTTGCTATACGCGCTATTCAGTCCTTTCGAACAAATTAACATGGAGGACATCGAATACAACGATCAGAGAAGCCCTAGTGTATGTCAGATTACCATCATTCAACTTGAAATTACCCATATCTGTTCAAGTCTTAACCGTCTCTTTTCCTTTTCTATTAGCGCTCACCTGCACGATCTCCTCAGAATGGAGCCGACGAAAAAATGGACGATCGACGATCTCGCTCTCCTTCCCGCTCGCGCTCTCCTTCACGAGAGGCAAGAAGACCTCGCTCTGTTTCGCGAAGCCCTTCTCCTCGACGAAAGGCCAGCCGTTCCCGTTCCCGCAGTCGCTCTCCCGTTCGCTCTAGAAGACACCGAAGGTAGGAATCTTTTCCCTCCCTAGCTTTTCAATTTCTACTTTTTTTTATGGGGGCTAAACGTGATTTGAGGAGACATCAATCGACTATGGGTTAAAAAAATGCGACGCTATCATTGGAATGAGTTTTCCCTGCTACGACCACGATTCAACATTATTTGGGGTGATCGCTGTGAAATATCCGACAAACCCGATAGAGCTATTAGAACGCCATATTAATTGACTGGTTCCCATTCTTGCAACGACCAAGTGTAAAAAATGAGAATTGGCAAGATTGGCGAGAGAAAAGTGAGATCTTTCAAGTGATCACTGCCGAGTGAAAATTGGGTTACAAGTGAACAAGATATCAAAATAGAAATCTTCCAATGTTATTTTTCAAAGAATGAAGGCTCTCTGTAATTCCTCCCCTCAAGCCGTTCAAATTGCTGATTCAGTACAAACACTGCTTCTCTCTTTCCTGCAGTCCTCGTCGCTCCAGATCTCCCCGTCGCCGCAGCCGCTCACCTCGCCGCAGCTCCAGATCTGCTCGTCGTGATAGCAGATCCCCTCCTCGTCGCCGTAATCATGGTAGCCGCTCTCGCTCGCGCGATCGTCATAGCAGCAGAAGAAGGTTAGTTATTAGTGGAGTGGTCAAAAAATCTGTCAACCATACCGACTGACTTATGGACTAAACTTTCTTCCAACCTCGTCGTTAGTCCCTTCAAAGGCGATAGAGTAAGTTGTGTTATAGAGCAATTTGACATTTTTTTTTTCATTTACTAACGCCCTCCTCTCTTTCTTCTCCTCGTCATCTTCCATTTTTCAGGGTAATGTCCAACCTTCCAATGTTATTGGTGTTTTCGGATTGAGTCTTCGCACCCGCGAAAGTGATCTCGAAGATATCTATGGCAAGCACGGTACATTGGACAAAGTGACAATTGTCCAGGATCATAGGGTAAGCGTTATACTCTTTCTGTGTCGTTTTTATTATTCATCAAGCTAAATGGCCTTTATTATAGACTGGTCGATCGCGCGGTTTTGGTTTCGTAACATACACTGATCCTGACTCCGCTACTAAAGCCATTGAAGCTACCAATGGCATGGTATGTTAACAGTTTCAAATCGGACGCGTTCTATGCATGAATTAACCTATTATGCCGTATTTTAGGATATCGATGGACGTAGTGTCAGAGTTGACTTCTCAATGACTCGCCGCCCTCATACTCCTACTCCTGGTGAATATATGGGAGAAAAGCGTCGCGGTGGTGGCAGTGATCGTGGTGGTGACCGTGGCGACCGTGGCGACCGTGGCGGTGACCGTCGCTACGGTCGTCGTCGTAGTCGTACCCCTCCACCTCCCCGCTCTCGCGGTCACAGATCGTACCGTTCTCGCAGTCGCTCATGGTCTCGCTGAATACCATAGGCTTATAGCTTGTTCATAGGCTTTCCAAATAACTTTTTTCTTTTGACCATTCTTTAAATATTTGCGTGTGTCTCTATCATTTTTATGCCGAATCCCCAATAAATCAAAAAAAAAAATTGCCTCCCAGCAAACGTCGGGTGCGAACGGATTTGGCAGGCGTGGAAATTTTATAATTTTTTTTTTTTTTCTTCTTTTCCTTGGACAAGCTCTCCATTCGAACTTCTTTCCCTGTACAAATGCCTTCACATGTCACTTCGTCTGACTTGACTCCAAGTCAAACAGCTCTATGTGGCAGCGTCGCTGGAATGATAGCAAGGTAAATGTCCCAGCTCCATTAGCCCTTCAGCTTCCTCCAGTACCTACATTTAATACGAAACCTTTTGGTATCAGATTCGCCATCGCTCCCTTTGATGTTGTCAAAATTCGGTTACAGCTACAGTCTCAACGACAATACCTCCCATTTTCGCGGCAGTCAGTGCCAAATTCTGTAAAATATACTGGCCTCGTGAATGGTCTTAAGGTCATTGCTCGTGAGGAAGGAATCCGAGTAAGTGGTAATCATGGCGTCACTATTTGAGAGCAACGACTGACTCATTCATTCATAGGGGCTCTACAAGGGAAACCTCAGTGCTGAATACTTGTATATTACGTATGGAGCGACTCAATTTTACGCCTATCATCAAATGGAAAATACAATTACCGCTCTGGTAAATGACGGGAAATCAACCAGCTGTAGCTTATCTTTGCACCCCAACTTATGGTCATTTCATTTTAGGACACACAACAAGTCATACCGAGTCCTGCAAAAGCGTTTTTATGCGGAATGGGGTCTGGCACCTTTGCAACGACTGCGACGTATCCTTTCGATCTCCTTCGAACCAGATTTGCAATGCAGGGTGAAGTAAAGGTATATCTCCCCTGAACACTGTGGCAAGTGACTCCTTATATTCTAACCCTGACTGTCAAAAGGTGTACACAGGTGTCATTCAGGCTATCCGAGAGATAACACAGACAGAAGGAGTCCGTGGACTGTACTGGGGACTGGGGCCATCCATTACACAAATTATGCCATATATGGGGTTGGTGTTCATGAGTTACGAAATGCTGAGCTCAGCGTTCTCGTGGATGAGGGTAAGAAAAAAAGGATTTGATGAATTGGTGTTCACCAGAAGATTGACGTTACATTTGGAAATATTAGGTCAATAAGATGCTATCGGAGGAGCATAGGGTTTGGCAAGACGGTACATGTGGTGCACTGGCTGGATTGATATCCAAGTGTGGGGTGTTTCCTCTGGATGTCGTACGCAGGCGGTTACAGGTGCAAGGGCGTCACCGCACAGACTATGTCATAGCGAGCATACCGGAATACTCTCGAAAATCCGTTTTAGCCTGTATGAAAGCGATCGTTCAAAAGGAAGGCGCCCTTGCTCTTTACAAGGGCTTAGTCCCTGGTCTGGTCAAAGTGGGTCCTGCTAGTGCTATCAACTTCTTGGTGTTCGAAAAGAGCAAACGCATTCTAGTCTACTTCAAGCATCGACACGACCAACCTCAGTCTAATAGCACTTCTGCTTTCATGGCCTTGTAATAGACGAGGATATACCCCCCCTTACCTTTTGTCTCCACTAGTAATAATCATTTTAAAATACTAATTGAAAATTTGAAGCCTCTTGAAACCTGCATTTTTCTTGATACCCACACCAGAGCGCTTTTGTTCGTCACACATTGCTGACTTCATCATCTGAGACAGAATCCTAGCTTTTTTTTTGCTCTTCGTCCATCTCAGAGATATCCATGGCGGTAGGTAGAAGGGCTAATGGCCCACCCAAGTCGTGGAACACGCTTCATGGGACTAATGCTCGTTTTCGTTCAGGATAATGCCGCAAAACTGCAAGAGCTCAAGCTCAAGATTGACCAAAATGTCTACATGAGGGATAAAGCTATTCAGTTGCGAAAAATGCTACAGGATCGCAACGCGCAACTTCAGTGCGACACGCAAATTAAGGAATCGCAAAAGTATATTGACTACTTTTCAGAAGAAATGACCAAACTGCAGAGCCGGTCGGATTTTGAGAAGAATAGACCTGTCAGTTCACTTCAAACTACAACCGACAACAATTCGGCACCACCAAGGTCAAGTAGTAAAAGTGTTGCGGTTGAATTGATGGACCAGAAGAGGGAGACAAATCTAGGTAAGGTTGCTTGTGTATTGCCATACGGTGGTGGTTCGTCTGAGTGGCCGCTGACTTTTTTTTTTTTCACCAGATCTTTTAAAATCAGATACGAAAATCAACAAAGCAAAGGTTTCTTTGAAGTTGCACGAACTAGAGTATAAGTTGGATGTGGAGAAAAAAGTTCAAATCGGTATCAGAAAGTTAGCCAGTACCTTTGAACGTGATCCATCCATTGTCGATCGCCGACGCATATCTGAGGTACAGGGCCAGTTATCTGAAAGCAATGAAAAGATAAAGCTGCTCAACAAGGCTGTTCGAAAATACAAAAATCTTTATATCGGAGAAGAAGACGAAGATGAAGCGGAAGGTGGGTCACTCAACCTTGTAATGCGTTGCATGCCTGGGCGTCTGGTTTTTTTTTTTAACTCGTCTCGCTTGCAGAAATCGAAACTCAACCAGGACAGCGCGGACAACCCGGTATGCGACGGCCTGTGACCGGCAAAGTTCGCTTGAGTATTCTAGAAGCCCGTGAACTTGCACATGCACCAACTAGGACATTTAAGACCCCTGAAACAGTGGTTGTGGTCAAGATTGATGGCAACATTTGTTTTCGTTCTCGTCCTTCGCGGTCGGATCACTGGAATGAACAATGCGAAACGCACGTTGATAAGGCATCCGAAGTAGAAGTGACTATTTACGATCAATCCGGAGAGCGAAGTGTACCTATCGGTGTGTTATGGCTCAAAATTTCGGATATTGCAGATGGTTTGCGTAGGCAAAAAATCATGCAAGACAATGGTCCTGGATGGGTATCAGCTGAAGTTGCTCAACAACAACAGTATCCACAATTACCCTCCGCGGGTAGCCAATATTATGGCCAGAATCAGATGCCGCATTTGAAACAAGACTCCCCAGGCATCACTGATGTTAGACAAGATGCTACTCAAACTAACCAGGAGGGCATAGAAGCTTGGTTTGATGTAGAGCCTGTCGGTCACATTCGCCTTCAATTGAATTTTGGTGAGTAAGAAATGGCACCAATTTTGGCGCCAAATCTAATAAGCTATAACTATGTCACTCACTTGCCTTTCTCCTTTACCAGTTCGAGAAAATGCAAGCCGCCGACCTTTAGACAAACTTGGGCGTGCTGGTGCCGTTCGTCAACGCAAAGAGGAAGTACATGAAATGAATGGCCATACATTTGTCGCCAAACGATTTTACAACATTATGCGATGTGCTCTGTGTGGCGAGTTCATGGTTAATAATGGCTATCAGTGCGAAGGTAAGATTAATCTCCCATAGGATACCTCCTATTTTTCTTTTGTTGGAACATGCTAAGCATTTTGCACATGTCTGTAGATTGCGAACTTTCTTGCCATAGGAAATGCTACACCAAAGTGGTCACCAAATGTATCTCTAAGTCTGATGCTGAATCGGTATGTGCAGACTTTTTCAAATGTTTTTCACAGATGATTGGACAGTGCCAGTACTAATTGTTGTTGTTGTTGTTGCTTTGAAATTATAGGACGCAGACGAAGATAAACTCAATCATCGCATTCCTCATCGATTCGAACCTAACACTAATATCGGTGCCAATTGGTGTTGTCACTGTGGTTACATGCTCCCTATTGGTATTAGAGGATCCAAGAAGTGCACAGGTGAGGCAATTGAGTGGCTACAATGTTTGTTATGGCTATTGTGACTTATCCCTGAAATACGCCTATATAGAATGTGGAATATCTTGCCATAGCAAGTGTGCGCATCTTGTTCCGGATTTCTGTGGTATGTCCATGGAAATGGCCAATCAGATGCTTCAGGAAATGAGAGCTGCTAACAAACGCAAGACGCCGCAAGCAAGTACCAATAAAGCCAATGCAAGCTGGGAACGACCAACGAGCACAGGATCTATCAATTCTCAAAACGATGCCTCAAGCCTCATGGGTAAATTGTATATAGATGATAATATAGCACCTACTGGACCTACCACAGCATCACCTTATCGACCAGACACAGCCCAACATATGAAACCAATGCCACCGCCTCCTACCAGTCCAGATCCATATTCTCGACCTCAGCAAGTGTTCGATCCAAGGATGAATATGCCTCAGCCCATGCCTCCGCCTCACGGTACACCTAACCGCTATGCACCTATTCCTAATAATGCATTGATGAACCGACCGCCGGCTCCACCACAAGGCTCTTCGCCCAAGATGGCTCAGCAAGGCTACATTCCTCAACCTTATCCCATTGCACCATCACATCCAAGCTATCAAGCTCAACGACCCCAACCACCTCAGCACGAAATGCCTAGAGTAAGTCCATGCTTTTTAACATATAGTCCGTTTTGCGTTGTTCCTTTATACTAATTGTATACCAAAATAGTTACCGCCATCACAGGGGCCTCCTACTACCCAAACACGCGGTAAAGTTACTCTTAACGATTTCAAGTTTTTGGCTGTATTGGGTAAAGGAAACTTTGGCAAGGTGAGAAACTATGAAAGAAGTTATATATTGTAATGGGGGTTTCAGCGGCTAACCAGCCCTCAACATAGGTCATGCTTGCTGAAGAAAATGCCACTCGGGAGCTGTATGCCATCAAAGTGCTGAAGAAACGGTTCATCATTGATAACGATGAAGTGGAAAGTACTCGATCTGAAAAGCGGGTGTTCTTGGCGGCAAGCATGGAGCGGCATCCATTCTTGGTCGGCTTGCATTCATGTTTCCAAACGGAATCACGCATCTACTTCGTGATGGAATATGTTAGTGGTGGTGATCTTATGTTACATATTCAACGAGAGCAGTTCTCGGAACGCCGGGCAAAGTGAGGGCCACTTTCTCCTATTTCAGAGAGGATTTTGTTTCGGATGCTAACCTTTCCTGTCATTTCATTAGATTCTACGCTTGTGAAGTCTTGCTTGCGCTTGAGTACCTCCACACACAAAACATCGTCTATCGTGATTTGAAGTTGGATAACATCTTGTTGACCTTGGACGGACATATCAAAATTACTGATTATGGTTTGTGCAAGGAAAATATGGGATACGGCGCAACGACAAACACATTCTGTGGTACTCCCGAGTTTATGGCTCCTGAGATTCTACTGGAACAGCGATATGGTCGAGCTGTGGATTGGTGGGCTTTCGGTGTCTTGATCTACGAGATGTTGCTTGGTCAATCACCGTTTAGAGGAGAAGATGAAGACGAAATTTTTGACGCTATCTTGGAGGATGAAATCCTTTACCCTATCAACATGTCTCGAGATTCAGTGTCTATCTGTCAAAAGGTAAGGAACCGACAAACTCGCATTTATGGCATAATCGATATCACTCACTCATCCGATTATCCAATAGTTGTTGACACGCGATCCAGAGAGACGCCTGGGTAGTAGTCCAGCAGATGCGCAGGAAATCAAGGCCCACCCATTCTTTGCCGGCGTGCACTGGGATGATATGCTTCAGAAGCGCGTCCCTCCACCATTTTATCCGAAGATTACAGGAAGAGCAGATACTTCCAATTTTGATGAAGAATTCACTCGCGAGATGCCAGTGCTTACACCTATTACATCAACACTTAATCGCCCTGAACAACAGGAATTTAGCAACTTCTCGTATACTGCTGACTGGATCGGTAAAGCTTAGACATCACCGCCCGTCGGAACCATTCATTATTTAAAAAGAAAAAAAAACAACAACATAAATCAAATATCTATTCATAATAATATTTTCAAAATACAAGAAGCGAATTGTAGACACCAACTAAACAGCTGTCTAGTTTTATACTACCATCTATTCTACAAGAATAATAATTCAGACACCTTATTCCTTAAGTTTTTGTCCGTTAAAAATGCTGTGAGTTGATGTCTTTGTTCGATACGTTTGTGCGAACGTCATGAGTAGATGAAGAAGCACGCTTAGTCGCGACGGGATGACATGATAGAATGCCACAAGCCTTGCCAGTCCACCATAATAGGGCTGCAAACAAGCAAAGCTACACCAAAGGCAGCCATGACAGTGAAGAAGCCTCCTAGTTCCATGAGAAAACCAGCAGCCACAGGGCCGAAGAACATGCCGGTGGAGAAAGCCATATTGTACAAGGCATACACTAAACACAAACATTAATGACCTATCTATGGGCTGGTACACTGTAAGCTGAAACATTTACCTTGCGCGTATGCAGCACCGCCCTGTAGTCCAAACATTAACCGATCAGCAAAACAGTGTAATCCATAACAAAACATAAACAAAGCAAACTTACAATTTCATGCACTACTTCACCCATCTCGGGCAAAATGGGGGTTAAAGTCATTGGACTGGACAAACCGAAGATCATAAGCGGGGGGATGATCTGATAAACGGACGAGTACTTGATGGCAAGAACAGGTGATATAACCGCCATGGTAATCAGGCCAGCAGCCGAAATGGATTTTCTGCCGTAATTATCAGATAGGTAGCCAATGACAGGTGAAAGGAAAGCTGGCACGACCATGAAAACAAATATGACTGAAACAATGAAAGCATTAGAAACATTATGTTGCTAGCTTTGACTGATGTGGGATACCGTCTGAAGACAAACGGATGACTTACATCCAGTGGTAGACGAAGAAGCGCCATACTGCTCCTTGAGATAAATGGGAAGAGCAGGCTCAATTCCGGAAAATACTGAAGCACTGATAACAACGCAGAGGACGCAAGACATAATGCGCCAATTCTTGAGCAAACCGATCATGCCAATGGAAGGCTTGGCTTTGGCATGACCACTGACCAATGGAGTGGCTTCCGAGGCCTGTTCTTCCTCGGTTCTAAGCTGATCTTCCTGTTCGCGGATAGCCGCCTTTACACCTCCATGCTTCTCGGGCTCGCTAATCCATAAGATAGCCAAAAAGTTGATACTGGCAATGGCAGCACAAACATAAAATGGAACGGCATATCCCCAGTATTCCAAGATCCAACCAGCAAGAGGCGGGCCAACTGCAAAACCGAATGTATGTGCCGTCAACACGGTTCCCATGACAGTCCCGAGACTTTCCTTTGGAAACACGTCTGCAAGCATCCCTAATCCAATCGTCCTGCATTAGGGGGTGGCAAGGTAAGAATGTAGTGGGCCGGATTCAAACTCATTGTGAAACACTACGACTTACCAGCTAGCACCTCCAGAAACACCTTGAGCCATACGAGCTACCACCAGCCAAAAGTATGTATCGGCCTTAGCAAATGCTAGAGTCGACACAGCCATACCAATTAAGCCGAACATCATTGGATACCTTCTATTCTCATACTTATCAGATAGAATGGCAAAGACTGGAGTAGACAACAGGAGTCCAAAAGCATAGCACCCAAAAAGAAGGCCAACCATTCTAGAGTCTCCATGAAGACGCTCAATGACTAGCAAGGGCAGCACTGGGATGACCACACCGTATACCACCATATCTCTATTTCCATAGAAATGTTATCCATTGACGGCTGAGGATAATTGTGATACATCAGCGTTTGACTTACGTGAACAAAGTATAGGCAACCACCGATGCTACCGAGTACTTTGAGCGTCGTAGTCTGTTCCACCATGACCAGGGTTGGTCATTTCCGGCCATTGTTGGAGATTAGCAAGTTGAAAAGGTAAAGAAAAAAGTGGATGATTCCTAATCAGGCACTGTAATTGAGAAAAAATTTGGCTGAGATCAAATGATGCCACAGCAAGCGGATTGGTTCTCTACCTTCTCATTGCTGTAAAGACGTTGAAATAAGAAAGTAAAGAAGCATTTTGCCACTGTTCAATCTGTGTGTATTTTTTGATATTTCAACTCTATGATTTCAAATGTTTTTGGTGGTAAACTTGGCATTATCCTGTCCGGAAAACGTGCTCTTCCAGCTTCACACGATTGTGACTGTGGACTGCGAGACTGGCTTTCTGCTTAGGTTGGCAGCCAGCCGAGAGGAAGTGGCTATACCCGTAACACGGCCCATTGTCAAAGCGATGAGTGTCTACCAGTATGTGGTCACTGCTCAAAAGCCCACGGCGGTGCATTTCGCCGTCAAGGGAAGATTCACCTCCTCCGACGAAATCAACTTGATAATTAGGTAATTTCTGCTCCACGTTACTTACTGACGCACGCCCCGACACGCAATCTCACCATTATGCAGTAAAGGAACGAGGATAGAGATATTCACTTTGACGCCCGACGGCTTACGACCTGTCATTGAATTTGGAATCTACGGCCGCATTGAGGCTATGGAAATATTTTCCCCACCTGTATGATATCTTGGTATGCTTCGCAAACCGTCGATCGATTTTTCACAAACTCTAACACACTGATAGGACGTATCTACGGACTCATTATTCATATTGACAGAAAGAAACACGTTCTGTATCTTGACTTACAATCCGGCTACCCAAGATATCGTTACGGCTGCTAATGGGGATGTGAGAGATAGAAGCGCCCGCCCTCTAAATTGCGGCATGCGAGCTATGATCGATGCAGAGTGCAAAGCAATCGTGTTGACTATGTACGCTGGTCTTGTCAAGGTACTTCCATTTGCCACTGGGGAGACTTCAAGTCTAAGGGCTCCCAAATCAAAAGGGAAGAACGTTGTCGGCCGACATACAGGTGAAATCGGAGAAGGTTTTAATGTCAGGTAAACCTGCATAAGACAGCGTGTTACCCTACCACGTAAGCGTATTCATCTTTCATTGTTATAGAATCGACGAAGTCAACCTACTGTCTTCGGTCATGCTTCACGGTGTCGAAACCCCTACTCTTATGATTCTTTACGAAGATACCCGAGCTGCGCGCCACGTAAAGACATACGAAATCAATCTGAGGAGTAAGGACAAAGCCGGCGGATCCAATTTCCGAGCAAAGGTGGAAACAGGTGCAAACTTGTTGATTGCCGTACCTGCACCCCTTGGAGGAGCATTAGCTATCGGCGAGCAAACTATAACCTACATCCACCCTGACCGATCTCCCATTAGCATCAACATAGAAGGAACTGTCATTAGATCATACGGCTTGATAGATGAGGATGGAACGAGAATATTATTGGCTGACTATCTGGGCCATTTATATGTCCTTGTTTTGATTTCTCAAGGTGGAGCGCTTGCAGGCTTGCAAATTGAGCGACTTGGCGAGGTATTTGGATCGGATACATCCCTCCATTAACATTGCATACTTAATTTTTTTTTTGTAACAATTTCTTATTGTAGGTGTCGACTCCTTCGTCCATCGTCTATCTGGACAATGGATTTGCCTACATTGGGTCATCTTCCGGCGACTCTCAACTAGTACAGTTACACAATGTTCAAAATGATGAAGGTTCCTATCTTGAAATACTGGAGGAGTATCCAAACATGGCCCCCATCACCGATTTCTGCATTGTCGATCTCGAAAGGCAAGGTCAAGGCCAACTTGTGACTTGCTCTGGTGCTGGTAAAGATGGATCGTTGAGAATTGTTCGAAATGGTGTTGGTATCGATGAGCAAGCGACTCTCGAAATGCCTGGTGTTAAAGGTCTGTGGTCATTGGCTGATTCATACGGTTCTATGTAAGTGAAAAGAATAGTATAGCTGTAGCTTGCAACGGAATTAAGCATGACTGGTCTTCTAATCTCTGTTGTTCTCGCTTAGGCACGAAGAAACCATCGTATTCTCGTTTATTGGCGAAACTCGCGTACTTCATCTGAACGATTCAGAGTTGGAAGAAGCTGAGCAGTTTTCCGGGTTTGACATGGCCCATAGTACAGTCGCTTGTGGCAATGTAGCTGGTAACCTTCTAGTGCAGGTCACAGAAGTGAGCGTACGACTGTCAGGATGCTCAACAGAAGGAAAATTGATTGACGAATGGATTCCGGACGAACCTGGCTCAACTATCACTGTAGCTTGTTTGAATGGCACACAATGTATTCTATCTTATGGTAACGGCTCGTTGGTTTTACTTGAAGTACAAGGCGATAAACTGGTTAAAATTAGGTAGGTATTGACGATTACATCTACGGCATTCACCACATTCTCACCTTTCGTTCACCTGACAGAGAAACTCAGCTGGAATATGAAATTGCATGCATTGACATCTCCCCGTTTGAGAGTGAATGCTCAGAAAAATCACAATTTGTTGCTGTGGGCCTTTGGACAGACATTACTGCACGCATCCTCTCGCTACCAGATTTCAAGCCCTTGGTCAAAGAAAGCCTTGGCATAGAATCTATACCTCGTTCTATCTTGATGACAACTCTGGAAGACATCCCTTACCTGTTTGTAGCATCTGGTGACGGACAACTTTTCTCTTTCAAATTTGATCAACATACATCCAGTCTGGTCGAGCGAAAGAAAATAGCTCTAGGCACTCAACCAATTGTTCTGCAAACCTTCAAAACTGGTACCACAACCAACATCTTTGCTGCTTCAGATCGACCTACTGTTGTCTATAGCAAAAATCAAAAATTGCTGTATTCTAATGTTAATCTGAAGGTAGGTTTCATCTGATGCTCCACTATCATGTCGTTTTCACAGAGCTAACATACTATCTCTGAGTAGGAAGTCAACTACATGGTCTCTTTCAATAGTGAGTCGTTTCCCAATTCAGTGGTGCTCAACACGGATGAAAGCACCATCATTGGCAAAATAGATCAGATTCAAAAGTTGCATGTATCCAAAATTGGTCTTGACAAGGAAATGGCAAGACGTATCGCCTATCAAGAAAGTTCTCGATCATTCGGTATCATCACACTCAAGATTCAGATTGATGCTGGTAGCGGTGATGAGCAAGCCCTTGGGTTTTTCCGCATCCTCGATGACCGGCTATTTGAAGGTAAGGGATATCAGTAACATAAAATCCCATTCATGCCATCAGTATACGTATGCTCATTGAACTCACTGCTCTACACATAATGCCTTTAGTACTAGACAGCTTTGCGTTGGATCAAGACGAAACAATAGAGTCTATCATCAGTCTGACGTTCGAAGCTGATTCAAACGAATACTATGTCGTCGGTACTGCACGTCCCACGCCAGAAGATTCTAACGTTCATAAGGGTCATCTTCGCGTATTCTCGGTATTGCCTACGCGACACCTCAAGTTGGTTACTGAATTAGAGGTTCGAGGAGCGCCGTATGTGTTGAGAGAATTTAATGGTAAACTGTTGGCAGGAATCAATGGAAAGGTAAGAACGAGCCTATGATAATTCATATAAATCCATCAATTTGGAGCAACCCCTAACTTTTGAAATTAGGTGGAAATCTTCCAGTTGAGGATAGAAGAGGACGGCAGCTATAACTTATCCTTGCACTGTTCCCACCATTCTAATGTGGTTGCACTCTACATCGAGACCAGAGGCGATTTCATTGTTGTTGGAGATCTCATGGAGTCAGTATCTGTGCTGATGTACTCTGACGGAGCTCTTGAACAAGTAGCAAAAGACTACAACGCAAACTGGATGACTTCGGTTGGCATGATTGATCAAGACACGTACATCGGATCTGAGACAGGATACAATTTGTTCACGCTCAAGCGCAATGCTGGTGGTGCTACACCTGAGGAACGTAGAAAACTAGAAGTCATGGGCGAGTTCCATTTAGGAGAGTTTGTCAATCGATTCAGAAAAGGTACGTGGAAGGTGTAGCATGATGTTCGTTGAAGCCATTTTCTAAATAACCATTTTTACCTGCGGTACAGGATCCTTGGTTATGAATCAGAACGAAGTGGAAGGATCACCGATCTTGTCGTCCATTCTTTACGGTACCATTAATGGAGTCATTGGCGTCATTGCAAATATCACTCAGGAATCATACGAATTACTTGAAAAACTTCAATACAATATGACCCATGTAATCCATGGAGTAGGTGGTTTAAAATATGAAGAGTAAGTGTTTTTGATGACATTCCCTAGGGTAGCTTCATCCCAAATACTCACGTATAACCTTTGCTGCTTGTACCAGATGGAGGACCTTTTATAACGATCAACGAACTGGCGAGTGTCGTAACTTCATTGACGGCGATCTCATCGAGACCTTTTTGGATTTCAACTCAGACCAAATGCAACTGGTTGTCGATGGCTCCAAATGGGGTACCCCACTTGAAACTAGCGTTGAAGATGTGATCAGGCTGGTTGAAATAATGGTGCGAATACATTAAAATTGTACCAGACCAACCATACATTGCGTGTACCAAAGAAAAAAAAAAAGAGAAGAAACTTATTCCGAGCCATTTTATGTTTATAACCTAACACGTTAGAAAAGCAGGATCATTTGTCAATTTTCATTAAACAGTGTAAAATGTTATAATTACAAAGCATGAGGCATGTACTTTTTATTTAACGACTGCATAAGCAGGAAGAAAGTCGAACGGTCAGCAACATACTACAATGGATCACCTTCTCTTCTTTCTATCATCCTCATCTATATCATCTTCATTTCCTCGCTTTCCTTTCTTTGCTTTGTTCAAGAAGGTGTCGAGACCGAACACATCGCCTTCAGGTTTTTTCTTCTGCGCAGCTGACAATTGTTCCTTTTCGAACTCGACAGGCCCGCTGCCCCGAACATCTTGGCCACCATCTGTGCCTTTGAATCCACGGTTTCCAAGTCCAAACTTGTCTTGACCGATGGCTTCTTCCAGTTGTTCAGCGTTAGCGTAATCATTGTCAGCTCCCATTTTGGGACGGTAGATTGAAGAAGATCCGCCAGCAAACAGTTTCTTGTCGTAAAGATTGTATGCTACAAACAACAAATTGTCAAGGTTAGGCCAATGCCATACTTACTATCAGTCATATTGAAAAAGGCGTTACCTTCATCATCACCACCACGGAAGCCAGAGCTGATACCCTCAGATTGATTGAAGAGTCGAGAATCAAACATGCTTTCCTTGCTCATAGTTGGTTTGGCCAAACCAAGTGCGATCTTCTCTGAGATATCACGGCCTTGTTCTCTATTGCACGTATACATGGTAAGCAAGAGTTCATTAAAACCTGATATGTTTTACCGCTTCTTTACCTGGCCAAATGCTTCGCTCGGGCCTCAGTGCCCATCTTGCTCATACGCAATTCACGTTCTCGTTGCTTTTGTCTCTCTCTTCGGAGCTCCTCACGTTCTCTGACCTTTTGTGCATCATCCCCTTCATCTTCGCTTGCTTCACTATCAGATCCACTTGATGATGCATAATCTATGTTCATGGATGCTGCAGTGGGTCTGTTTGAAGGTGCGGATGGCATAGCTGATGAACTGCCGCTTGCTGCGGACGTCAAACCAGCTCTGTGTGAAGAGAGATCAATGTTAGACAAATTCACATTTTTTGATAGATATGCTATCACCAAGACACTGCATTTCGCGTTGCGAATATTACCTCTCTTCTCTGGCCTTTTGAGCCAAAGCTCTCAGCTTATCCTCCTCTGACTCCTTTTGCTTTTGTGCAAGCTTTTGCTGCATCAAATTTCGTTGTCTGACTTCTTCACGAGCATGTCGGTCGGCGGCATACAGAGCTTCGGCAAACTTTGCGAAATTATCATTAATGGTCACTTCCTGAAGACCGCGTCCGTCTGCAGCAAGTCGCTTATCCAATGGAATGGTATAACCCTTGGTGTTTTTCCAGTTAGATATAGATGGCGGGATAACCCATTCTGCTTGTTCTTTGGCGGTTAATTTACGAGGTGGAGAGTGCAAGACGGGAGCGGGTGGTGAACCTGGGCCCTTTGGAATCTTTTTGTGTTTAAATTGAGGTGGTTCCATTGGATCTACAGGAGCGTCGACCATACGGATGATGCGTTGCTTAGCGCCTGAGTTATGACCATCACCAGCACCTTGACCAGGTGTATATCGAATGTAGGTGGGTGCTTTGTTTGTATTGGCGCCGGTGTTTTGAACAATATTTTTAGGCTTTGCTGCTGATATCTTGCCGCTCACAATCTTCTCCAGAGCGGCTCGAGTCTTTTCTGCAACGCTTTGTACTTCTTCTTCGCTTGGTCTGTCCATAACCAACTTCTCAACATCGATATCCTTTCGCTCATTTAACGGGACTAAATCTTTGAATTGTGAATGGACAACACGATCTTGACCGTGTCCTTGTCGTGCAATAGCGTCGTATTTTACTTTTCCTTCTGCATCAACTTGTAGAGTCAAAGCTCCTGCATTGGCGTTAGCTCTTCCATCCTGCTTGCGGCCCATGTCAAGTGGGTATTGTGCAATGTGAACTTCGGGGAAAGCGCCTCCATTTCCAAAATCTTCTTGAGTTCGTGGCTTGAACCCTTGTCTTTGGCCATAGGGAGGTATTTCGTGACCTGCTCTCTGGCTGATCAATTGATTGAATTGCTGTTCATTTTTGTTGGTCTGCTTTGGCCGATCAATCTGCTTTTGTGGTTTTGGAAGTAAACTATAGAAGAATGGATGTTTAGCATTGTTATTTAAACCTTTTCAAAACATGGTTCATGGGAGACGCACCTTGACAAAGTAGCCATCTTTACCTCTTAAAAAGATGTTCGAGAGGGCAACTGGATTTTTTTAAAAAGCTACCGAGCGCAAAGCTTGGTGATTTCCAAAGTGATGTCATCAAAACAAAGTTGAAATTAAAATGTACCATAAAATTACCTTTCGGATTTTCATCCGAAAGCTGAACACAAGGTCGCTCGGCAAGCCCACCTTTGTTTAGCGTTGCTTTAATGTCGTCTTGACAATTAACTAGTTGCGATTAACTCAATCTAGTCTAATGTCGCTCTCTTACGATTTCCAGGTTCGAAAAGTTCATACTACCCTTCTGGATCTACGTCTTTATTTTATCTCATCTTGTTACCCCTAGATCCTACGATCAAGTCTCGGAGAAAGTGGCTACGTATACAAGTGTAAACCGCTCCAGAACATAATTATTAGTCAAAATAGAGGACAAGAAAGCTTTTCCAATGCCCAACCACTAGTATGTTTTAAAGCAGCGATAATTGATACTCAACCCTACTCCCGATTCACCTGTTTTTTTTATAATCTAGTGCCAACACTACGACGTCGTTGTAAGCGATAGATGTTTGACAGCACCCACTCGTAAGTTACGCTGAGCCCTCAAATTTTACACTGCAATTGGCTCTAACTTCTTTTTATAGACGAAGATCGGCAGCAGTATCAAGCTCTTGTCAACAATATCGGTGACTCGGCAGTTCACGGCCCTTATAGCTTCAAGACCGATCGAGTAACCATCGATCCATGTGCATTGCCCACGGAGTTCGTCGCTGACGAGGAACGACGCGATAGCCTCGTGGACGAGCTTATTACAACTGAGGAGAACTATGTCTCAAATATGACTGCCTTTTGTGATATTATAGTCAAACCCCTGCGTCTCCGTGCAAAGAATAGTAAGAACCTGATCATAGGACTTTATCAATGCAACACTATTTTCAACAACGTGGAGCAGATTCTGGAAGTCAACAAAAGTTTTCTGAGCGAGTTGCTGATCTGGAGATCCACACGAGAAGCAGTGTTTGGAGATATTTGTGCAAAGTACTTGTATCACATGGAATGCTATACCAAATTCTTGCAAGGTGTTGACGCCGCCCAAGAAATTAACGCTCAGGAACACAAAACCAACTACAACTACAGACTCTTCCTTCAATCTGCCACCCAAAACACCCGTCTTGGCGGTCATACTCTCTATAGCATGCTTGCTCAGCCCGGCCAACGCATAACCAGATACACCATGTTGTTGACCAAGATACTCAAACACACCGACCCATCCGATAAAAACCATGCATCATTGATTGCTGCTTTGAAAAAGGCTGACGAGATCGCAACTCTGGCAGATGACTCTCCAACGAAACTTGCCAAAGTTTTTTTCAATATGCATCGCTCCATATTGAATTGCCCCGTAAGCTCTTATCCTTTATAGATTATGCACCAAACTGTTCATATTTAGTCTTACGCATGCATTTCATAGCCTACATTGATCAGCCAAAGTCGAACATTGGTATCTCATCTGGATGCAGTTGAACTGGACCCCGCAACGTTACGACCCCAGCGACCTGTTACGATCTTCCTGCTTACCGACAAGCTGATGATCGTTCGACGTCCTGCATACGCAGTCCGAGGCTTGGATCTATGTGGGCTCGGAAACGAATCTCCTGCATTCGAATCGGTGTTGTTAAAGAAATTGGAAAAGAATACGCTCAAATCGGAAAAACAGCTCAAATTTAAAGACTGGATCAATCTTGGAGATGTCGAAATACTCCAAGGCAATCAAGGTAATTGTCTATAGATACCAACATCATCTGGTTTTTTTCTTCTAAGTTGAGCATCACAGATATCTTGTCTTCGTTCGCAATCCGAGTACGCCGAAAAGAGTTGACTAGAAGCAATCCTAGTTCACCGTCCGCTACTCAGGATTCTTCAACCTACTTTACCGAGCAGCCTACCCGGCTGTACGCAGTCAGTATGAGCGAAGTCAATTTCAGCACGGTTGCTAATAATCAAGATAGCGTTCAATCCAAAAGTACCTTTGTCAAACATTTCGGTCGATCCAAAGCCAGTGTACAACGATGCGATGCAGTAGCAGCTACGTATCATCGAGAATGGAATGGATGCAATGTTTACAGTAACATCTATTCCTTTGACCAATACCCTCTTGCTACTCATAAGGTAACTTGATTTCCTTTAACCTATTCATCTTGGAGGTTAAAATTCTCTACTAACTTCAACATCTTTGCTTCATAGAATAATTTATGCATTATATACGTAACTCATCTATCTGAGAAAGACATCCGCTGCATCACCGATATTCCTGGAGGCCCACAGATCCTAGTCATGGTCGAACCGCTTAGCAACGATTGCTATAAATTATGGATGCGCAGCAAAACATTCTTCAAACACACGATAGATGATGAGAGCAGCCACAAGTCTCAAAGCTACTATTTTCGGGATGTGTTATTTACAAATTGTAAGTAAGATTCTTAGCTATTGTCTTCTTGACAAGTACAAAGCCTTACCCACCATGATAGTGTTATATTGGAGCATGAAAGCCAGCAATGCATACAGAGCTGCGTCGGATGCCCAGCCTGCCCTTCGAAGGCGAAATAGTAAAAGCATTACCGTTTCGCAAACCCTGTCCTCTAGCAGGTTTTTAAGTGCGGCATCTTCCTATTTGCCGATAGCAACAGCGTCATTGAGTACTTCGCGACCACGACCTAAAAGCACCATTTCTAACAGCGATATAGCCAAATCCATAGAATCGCGTCTGACGCGAAGGAACTCTTACGCCAGCACTGTCAATTCCAAAACTTCAGCAGATTCGGTTATTTCGTTAAGAAGTAACAATTCCGATATAGATGAGTCCATGGAGTCAAGCGGCATAAGTGCTACCTCCAATGCTATATTTGAAGGCGACTTTGAATTTGACGAAGGTATCATCCTAACCTCCAATCCGGCTTTAGCGGGCAGCATGCGAGATACCACCAGCGACAACATCAGTCTACAAACAAGTATCACTCGGCGCCAGCGCCCAAAAAGCCTTTCTTTTCACTTGCCCAATGTTGATGCCCACGGAGAACTATTATCTCGTTCCATACCGGACAACGGCCTACCTGTACGACCCACGAGTCGAGGGAGCATGTCTTCCAGTATTCATTCTTCTGAACCAGGGAGCATATTCTCGACGATCAATAGTCGAACCAGCACATTATCAACCACCAGCAGCAGTAGTGGTATGAAGAAACGAGACAACATTGAGCAAAAGGTGTCCCAAATGGTACAATGGATGCAACACCGACAAGCGGCATCAATAATGGAGACGAGGATATCAACGATGGAAAAGACCATGGCCGAGGCAGATACGCTTAAACTGGATATTTCATCGCGCTGGGAACACTTGCTAGCCTCTTATGAGGAACTTAGGTTCACGCAAAATGAACTAATCAAAAAAGTAAAAGAGAAGGATGTGGAAATTGATGTTATCCAGTCAATGTACCAAGATGCCATTGACGAGAATCAAATCTTATATCAAACCTTCAATGAAGAACTGGAGCAGCTTCTCAAGATCAATGAAAAGAACGGTCTACTCATGGATCATCGACCAGCGCACCCAACTCCTGAAGATCAGATAAAGAGGAAATTGAAAGCAGCGGTCAAGGAACGGAATAGTTGGCAACACCTCGCCAGGTATGCTACGAAAGTATTCTTACTGTAGGGATTAATCTGCCATTTCTAACCATGTCTTTTCAGTGATCTCGAAAAAGAACTTTTTATCCTCAAATCCAACCTTCAAACTTAGCATCAAGACTTGCGATACCATGGCATCTTGATCTACACATCATACCAAACACCTTTGCTATGCGCATAAGTTATACCCACATCAACTTATATCCACTACACTGTGTTAATCAGGCATGTGATCCAGTTCATTCATTCTTACCCCCGCTGGATCACTTATTTATGGATCTATAAATGTATTTTTTTTTTCTCTTTTTTTACTTTTACTTTTTCTTTTGACTCGTGCCTATACACAACATGTACTGTATCTGTGAAACAACCTGTTCAACAGTAGTACCACTACTGTCAATTACTATGCTGTCATATTAAAATTTTATCCATCTCTCACTGTCTTGAAACGACTTGAATGTTGTGCTTCTTCTGGAAAGCAATGAAATCTTCCTCCTTTCGCTTATAGGTTTGCAGCAAGGATGAAATAACTTGTTGGATCTAAAGAGAATTTGGTTTGCGGGGCTTATTAATCACTATCCTCGGGTGTACTCTCCCACTTCTTCCACTTACGCCATCAAAGTTGGTTTGGAGAGCTGGCAATACGTCCTTCACAGTTCGTTCGACCAAAACACCACCAACCATTCTGAAGCACTTGCGGTCAGCCTCAAGTGGGGATATACTGTCAATGACAAGTCTATACGAATACACAGTAAGCCAATAGTTCCTTCATGATACATATTTTAAGTTCCTGGGTTCCTTACTTGTGTTCTTCGACTTCAGATTCCAATTCTCCAATCTTGGATGCTATAGATTGAAGTTCGGACTTGAACTGATTGTACTGAAAGTAGCCGTACGCGTAATCAATAATCTAGCTCTGACAAGGTAAAAACATGCATCGAGATTGATCTGTACCTGGTTCGTGATATCGGCTTCACTTAATTTCTTGTTCGCTGAACTGCTGGACATTGTGATGGAGAGGATGTGTGACTTTGGTCCTGACAGAAACTTTCCCTTTAAGCGCGCTGTGGTCGAAATCCCGAGTGGGCCACCAGCCCACCCCTCACCAGAGCCTGTGGCTTAGCAATCCCGACCCAACCCAACTTTCATTGCCTATGGCAGATACCTTGTATCGAAGCTAGGTATGAAGCCATTAGCTTAATTTATTCTCTTTAAGACACATCATAAACATTTTTTCTTGTCTTCTATTTTCCTGCAGTTCCTATCTTCATTGTTAGGACTCTGACATCGGCCATATCGGGAACGTAATTCGCAGAAATAGCTCATTTAGCGCGCCCCTCGGCTCTTGTCTCATATTGTTTCTTCCTCTCCTTTTCCTATATCTCGATATTAATGGCCTCACCACACTCGAAACATACATACCATTATCGAATCGTATGTCAAGCGAAACATCGTTCATGCGAACTGAATTTGGCGGTATTGCTTGGCTACGGCTCAGATGAAAATATACTGGCCTTTCCAGCTTTGCACTTGCTATAAAACTTAGATATGAATGAAGCGACTCAGGACAGCTGCCATGTGAACGATTTTTGGAGAGCAATGAACGCGTTACTATTCCAAGGCCACTCAGACTATAGCCAGTGATGCACATGCCATAATCGCTTTATTGGTGTAGCGACGGAGAAGCTGTCAGACTATTGGTCTTCATTGATCAGACCTCTTGTAATACGCCTAAAGATTCATGTTGGAAGCAGGAATATATCGGCCTAATAGCAAAGACGAAAGATCGACAACAAGCTGTCGAGAAAAAGTCAGTCACGCCCATGTCGGCATCCCCGCTTCAGTCGGACCAGTTTTCAACCGAATACACTGATTTGTAATAATGGGACAATCTTCTTCTACCATGGACACAAACTCCACTCAGGCATCTACTCCAGCATTCAAGGTAAATAATAGTTTGGTATCTACTATCACTGCAACTTTTAAATACTCATTTGTCGTTCCTGTATTATGACGATTTAGACGGAATTCGCGGTTGACATGACCTGTCAATCCTGCGTGGACGATATCACCAACGTTTTGAAGGAAATTCCCGGTAAGAACTCATTTCATAAACTGTTTGGTAGAGGAAACTATCATGCTCATTCATAAATTCAACAGGTATCAAGTCGTATGACATTGACTTGAAAGAACAGCGAGTCCTGGTCGAAGGCACAGGTAAATGATTGTTTGCGCCATGTAGCCGCACGGGTAAACTCTGACTAATGGCCAATTCATTTCCCTTCCTAGCGGCCCCATCGAAAATTTCTCGAGCGTTGAAGCAGTCTGGCCGATCAGTCATTGTCCGTGGTCAAGGTGTTGCCAATGGTGCTCATTCCGGCGCCGCTGTCTGTATCTTTGACTGTTTTAACGAAAACCCCATGCAACTACCTGAAATTAGCAAACAAGGACTGGCAAGATTTGTCCAAATTGATAACGACACCTGTTTAATCGACGTAACCGTTCAAGGATTGGCACCAGGAAAACATGGCATCCATATTCACGAACTAGGCGATATATCCCGAGGATGCGACTCATGTGGAGATCATTATAATCCTACCGACGTTGACCATGGTGATCAAGACAGTGGACATGTTGGTGATCTGGGCAATATTGAGGTTGAAGAAAACGGATGGGGCGACTTGGTCCTGGAATCCAAACGTGTCAAGGTTTGGGACATCATTGGCCGAAGTATGGTCATCACTGCTGGCGAAGATGACTTGGGCAAAGGAAGCTCAAGTAAGAGTAAATGGGACGGTGCAAGTGGAGCTGGTGTCCTCTGCGGTATCGTGGCCAGAAGTGCTGGTGCTTTTGAAAATGTCAAGAAGGTCTGTGCATGCTCTGGTGCCACCTTATGGGAAGAAGCTCGCGTCAATGAACGTGACATGAGAACAGAAGTAAACTAATAACCCGTGTATTGCTTCAATATATTGATATGTATAAAACCCCCCCAATATCCGTTTACAATTACAATAAGAAATTCCTTTTTAACATGACATCTAGGTTGGTTCATGCCACAGAGTGCCCATGTCGATGCTCTCTATCTGACGTGCAACCTTCGCACGTTCCTTTCCAAACACTACCATCCAAATAGAATTCTTTCTTCCAGATTGGACATCTTGCCTTCAGCTCGTCGATGAGATATTCTACTGCTTGCATTGCTTCTTTCCGATGAGCGGAAGATACGGCGATAATGACACTAGCTTCACCAATTGGCACCTCACTGAGTCGATGGTAGACGAGTACATGTTGAATTTCCCATTTGTCCCTTGCTTCCATAATAATCTGCTGTAGTATCTTTTCTGCCATTGGTCCATATCCTTCGTATTCAAGTTTGAGTACCTGCTTGCCTTGAAAGTGATCTCTCGTCGTGCCGCTAAAAGTCGAAATGGCGCCTGCGCTGTCACTGGCCACAAGCTGACTAGCTTCGTCTAGTGAAGGAAGTGGATTTGTAAAAAGCTGAACAAAGGTCTTATTTGCCGTTGACATGGAGGCGATGATTATGAATGCAGGAGAGGGGACGAAAATCGGTGTTCTGACAGCGCCTGTTCAAACCCAAAAAAAAAAAGGAACGAAAAAAGTCGGTTTGCAAGATTTCATAGCTCGGTTAAAACAATCGAATTCGTACGCTGAAATCAAAATCCAATGGCTGCTCGTAAGCCGTTACAATATACGCTAGCGCTACTAAAGCCAGACATTTGCGCCAATCCACTACTTCCACCAAAGATCATAGACACCATTCGTGCGCGCGAATTGAATGTTCTAGAGCAGAAGCCGCTGCTATGGAGCCAAGCCGATGCCGAAGCTTTTTACGGAGAACATCGAGGAAAGTTCTTTTTCGAACGATTGTGTGGCTATATGACAAGGTTAGTGCAAAGTTGACGTGTTTTTTTTAAGGCTATATGTAGGATTTATGATCGGCCTCTCATAATTGATACACTTTGGTTTTCGCAGTGGGCCATTTATGGCTTTGGTACTATCTTCACCAAACGCTATCAAGGATTGGAGAGCTTTGATCGGACCCACACACCCAGTAAGGTATTGTAAATGAAGTGTGCTACATGTTGTTTTAGCGCCAATCCTTCTCACCGCCAAGCTTAGAGCCCGGATCAACGCTCCAGATACCCTCAGGGCTCTCTATGGACTGACAGACACTCGAAACTCTTTTCACGGTTCTGGTGGGTATTTCTCCTGTAGGTAATGAGTGTTCCTTGGTATCTACTAAAGATTCTTCTATTCTTCAGATTCACCTGAAAATGCCCGCCAAGAAATTGAGTTCTTCTTCAAGGACTTCCATATAGATGCTCACCAAAAGTGATGATGTAAATTGTACTATAAAATGCGCCTAGATTTTTATGCCTGGTACTCCTTTCCTTCGTGCCACCATCGATGTAGTTTGCTTTGTGTTCGGTAGCGTTTGGCAATTTCAACAGCCAAAAAATGTTTCAAACCTTCCATGTTATAAATTCAGCGAAACACGACGCCGAAAGATCAAGACATTTGCCGTCAGGATTGTATAAAACACTAATCAAACTTTGAATGGAATTCATACAATGCTTGCCCGTGCTTTAAAATGGTCGGTCCGTCCTACAATCAAGGTTACAGCGCACCCTGTATCACAATCGATGGCTTGTGCTCATCGTCTTTTTTAAGCATGATAATATTGGGAGAATGTTAGAAACCCAGACGCAGCAGCGTTTCTTTCCGCAGCGCCATTTCAGCTCGATTACCACCCTATTGCACACCGACATTGGACTGTTTATCGTTGGTAAGTGTATCGGAATGACATCGTATCTCAGGGCAAAGAGCATCGTCAATATGTTACACTGAACTACGCACAGGGCTGAGTGAAATGTCTAACATGATGGATGTGGAGTGAAGTCATGACACGGCGCGCACGTAACAGGTGCACATCATGCATTTAAAGACAAGCTGGTGCCTCTTCTTGGCTTCAGCTGGATCTGAGTTCCATTCTGGAGAATGACCCTGTCAACAGACCAGTGAATTTTTTTTTTTTTCATTATACCGGGTTTTTGACTTCAGCATTCTCAGTACGTGTTACCATGCTCAGTAAGAGAATCATCTAACAATAAACGTAGTGTAATATAAAGTACGTAAATGCTTACATTAGTTTGGTGGCCAGTACCCTTGAAAGGGAGAGAATTATATACTGGTCCCACCCACAATCATTGCAAGTCGATCGGTCGACCTTGCAAAACAAAAAAAGAATAGAGATACGCTACAACAATGCAAACTCCTCTTTCTCTTCTTCCTTTCGTCTTCGTTAATACCTCTTGTCGTTTTACACGCTATGAAGCAAAAGCCTCTTTATTGGCGAAAGCTTCTCTTCACTTTCCTGGGCTCATTGGCAGTGTGCCTCCTTATCCTATTACCCATCGTTATCGTATACACCACTAAAAATTTGGCTCAACCCGTCACTTATGCTACGTTACAAGCAGAAATCGACCGCCCTGAAGTATCAATATATTATATACCTCACCAAGATGATGATGCTATTGCATTTGCACTGTCTATAGCTCATGATGTGGCCAACAATATACCAATACAGGTTCATCTTATATCAGACGGTGCAAATCACGACTTGCAGCAAAATATGGCGTCAGGTTTACACTATTGTAAATGGCACAACACCAATCATTCATTTCCTCTCGATGATCAAGATATTTCACGAATTCGCACTCAAGAATTTCTCGCATCTATGGCCGCTTTAAACGTTCCGCCCGACAAAATCCATTTAATGAACCTGCACGATTATCAAACTCCGGCAGCTTGGACGGCAGACCTGTACGATCAGCTGAAAGACAGCGTGAAAAAACAGATTTTGGCAAATCATGCGCAATACCCAAACGCCTTGCATCACTGTAGTTCAGGATTCTTTGATTTTGACGGGCCTCGAAACCCCGTTCATTTGGCTTGCTGGGACGCTGCTGCAGAGATTACCAAGGCGAGCCTCATACAGGCAGATCGGTTTGCATTTTATCGCACCTACGTATTTTATCAACCTCCTTCACATCGGTGGTCCCAGATGACCATGAACTTTTCGCAGTTTCTTCCACAGCACCGAATATCAGTGCAAGCGTATCAGGCATACGACCCGGCCAATGGGCAATATGCGTTGGGCATGCACAGTGTGCCTATTCTAATGAATAATACTATCGTTGATGGAATTATTTACCTTGATTTTCTCAACAACACTGTACAGGTTCCCAATAACGTCACTGTTTTATAGCATTCCTTTCATAATTAGCATTGTAAATTAAACAAAACTATATTCGCACTCAAACAGGCATGGAAAATTCACCGTGTTGCCTGATTTGGACGGTCTCAAGCAGACGAACCGCCACTGAGCGCCATTGGAGAAAAAAGTTTGTGTGGGGGTCTGTGAACAAGAACGTAAACTTCCTCGAATTTTACTTTCTCTTCCAACTTTTTTTCTCTTTGCCTTGTCATTTTCCGCATTGACAACCATATCTTCCGCCATCAATAACTCAAAACCAACAACAGAAAGCAGTTCTGGCACGACACTCATGGCTATGCCAGACAGTAGGTCGGAGCCAAACTTGCACCGCACAACCACACAGCTCATCAAAAATACATTGATACATCGGCCAGATAGAAATGTCTGGATTGTATGCTGGCAAGTTATTCATTTACTTGGCTGATGTATGCCACCCGTATTCGGCCTCGAAATAACCCTAATCTTTTCCCGTTTTGTTGAATATTTCCAGTTTTGCGGCCATTGGAGGATTCTTGGTGAGAATGCCTTTACCCACGGAATTTACAATTTCTGAATCTCGACGTTCTAACCCTATTACTTCTTCTCCTCTATTCTTTTTCATTTCCTTCAACTATACCCTATTTATAGTTCGGGTATGTGTCCTTATTCATCCAACCGTTCCCTGGTTTGATATAGACTTTTGATTATTCATCGATTTGATTTTTCCTCTTGTACCAGTTATGACGTTGGCGTATTGTCAGGATGCTTGCTCATGGAAGACTTTCAAAATCGCTTCATTAACGACCAAATCTCAAAAACATTGCTCGTGTCTGTACTAATGGCCGGTGCTTTCGTTGGAGCACTCTATTCGGGTCCGCTGGCGGACTACATCGGCCGTAAACGATCCATCATCATTGGAACAGCAGTCAATATTCTTGGATCCGTCATTCAAACAGCTGCTACAGATACTAGTATGATGATTGTCGGTCGTGTTATCGGCGGTCTAAGCATTGGGTAAGTGGACGTTATTTTTAGAGCGACATTATTCTTGATCGCTAAAATTTTCGTCCTCCAGCCAATTGTCTATGCTTGTCCCTCTATGTAAATAACCTCGTTCATATTGATTACTCCTTCATGTTTCAACCCGGCATAAAACTAACTCTTTCTATTTCGGATCAGATCAATCAGAAATCGCTCCAAAGGAACTTCGTGGACGACTTATCACCATGCAACAGTTTGCCATCACTGTGGGAATTGCTGTTTCATTTTGGATCGATTATGGTACGATAAATTGGGAAGGCTCCAGTTCATGGAGGTAAGCAAACCCGCAACTCTGGTGATACCCCCACCTACCATGTGCATAAAATTGAACATCTCCACCACCATTCAGATTTCCAATGGGTATCAGATTGATCCCAGCTTTCATCTTGTTGTTTGGAATGATTTTCATGCCCTATAGCCCTCGCTGGCTGATGGCAAAAGGCAGAGATCTCGAAGCACTAAAGACCATTGCATTCCTCCGAGGAAACGGTAGTCTTTCTGACCAAACAGTTCAAATGGTGTTTACTGAAATCAAGCAAAGTGTCGTCTTTGAACAAAAATACACCTCGCAAACGTACTGGGAAATCTTTCGCTCTGGCCATGAGCATAATCGAAGGAGAATCTGGTTAGGAATTGCTGTACAAATTTTTCAACAACTCACTGGTATCAATGTTGCTGTGTAAGTTTTTTTTGTACCATTTGAATAAGCCGATCTTGGACGTTGCTAATATGTTAAAATCTTGTATTCTCCAATAGCTACTACGCCGCTGATATATTCCAATCTGCTGGGGTATCTGGCACTACTGCTGCATTATTTGGTAATAATTCATGGCATTACCCATTATTGAAATCCTATACGTATGGACTAACTTGAAATTTTACAGCCAATGGCGTGGACGGCATGGTCAATGTTATTGCCACCATTCCCACCATCTTCTTTGTAAGTATGCATGAGTCGCAGGCCATATCCAAAGAAATATTCGGTCCTAACACTTTCTTTACCTTTGGTAGATTGATAAATGGGGTCGACGCCCAACTTTAATATCTGGGGCAATTTCCTGTTCGGCTTGTATGCTCATCTTGGCCATCGTATTAGCTACACACGGTTTAACTGACGGAACTACAAATGACATACCAATACAAGAAGGCACCGGTTCCCTCTCTTTATTATTCACCAGAAACTCAACTGTAGTGGTCATGGTGTTCTTATACCTTTTCGTCGCCTGTTATGCCTACAGTTGGGGGCCCGTTGGATGGATTTATCCCGCCGAACTTTATCCGCAACGTAAGTACGGGAGGGGATGGCAAACACCTATGTTTTCATATGGCTCAGTATATTGATGGATTTTTTTTCTGTTTGATATGCAGGATTACGTGCCAAAGCTCTTGGTATAACCACCGCTGCAAATTGGCTATTTAACTTCGCCATCAGTCAACTGGCACCACCAATGCTTAGTGGCATTCATTGGGGAACCTATCTTGTTTTCTCCATCTTTTGCGGCCTGATGGCGTTGATGGTGTACCTCGAGTTCCCTGAAACAAAAGGAAAGTCACTGGAAGAGATCGATTTGATATTCAGCGGTCAGCTGAAAGATGATGACCTAGGAGTGCACCATCCTGCCACCGCCGCGGCAGCCCTCGCTCAGCTTGAACGTATGAAGTTTAGCGAAAAATATTCAAACAGAGAAACGTCCTTTGGAAATGCCATCGAAGGAGCTCTCAAAAGAGTTGCTGATGAAGGCGCCGTCAATAACGAAGAGTTGGAACTTACTCCACTCAAAAATAATGTACCATCACCATCCCCATCTACTACTTAAAGCTGAGCTGGCAAAATATGTGCTCTTCCCTAATCCTTTTTTTTTTTTCTTCAATGTATGTTCAAGGACATTACGCTGCAAAAAGAGAACCAACCCAACGATGTAATATCCTCCCCCACCCAACCCCCTTTTTTTTTCTGATAATCATGTAATTTGTGCACTTAATACGCTTGATTTGCATTTTTTTTTTCTTTACCTCACCACATAAAAACGTTTTTACACTCTCTATTTCACGGCGGCGTTAAGCTATTGGCAAAAAAAAATTTATTATATTTTACATCCTATAATAATTTATAATGGGTCTATATAAAATAATAATATGAAAAATATCAGCAGATAGCCAAGAAGCTCGGGCCACCCCGTTCCAGTGGTCCCGACTGGCCAAGCTATAGGCAAAGATTTGTGTGACTTGGAAAGATTGGAACTTGGTGTTTGTTGGGCCGTAGTCACCTGTCCTTTGAGTGGCAGACGATCTCATGTTCTGGCGGACCGACCTGACCTAACGCGTACATTGAATCAAGGAACCTGTGACTATCCTACTGCAGTGTACTGCGTTATATCTCGGGCCATCCTCCCAGGGCCGTTGCACCCTTCCATTTTCCCTTTTGCTTCTCTCCACTTTGGAACACCATGAGCTGCAGCTTTCGTCGGTTACCGCTCGAGCTGCTGTATGAAATTTTCTACCACCTTTCAGTATCGTCCGATCTCGACCCTTTAGACGGATGTGCAGCAATATTGAACGCAGGCTACGTCAACCGTTCCTGGATGTACGTTGCGTTTCGATATCTTAACAGCAAGGACGCTCAGTACTTGGTGAAACTGCTCAATTGGAAAACCCCTCTGCGTCAATACCGTCATCGAGCGAGAGCTGTGAAGTTCCTCCGAGCCGTTCATCGATCAGGATTCTCGGAGAAGATAAACATCACGAGCTTTACGCTGGATTTCCATTCGATTGTGAGTGCTAAAGACAGTGCGGCGGACGATATACAAACGGTGCTCAAGCTTTGCCACATAAAACGCTTGGAAATTATTTTCGATGCCGATTTTGGAAAATCCAAGGACTGTATAAACCAGTTCCTACGTGACATCGAGGTACCGTGTCCACCTGACGTGGTGCACTTTTCAGCCTACTGTCCGCAACGACGATGCCAGTGCTGTTGTGCGAAAGGCTACGACCATCAAATAGCGAGCTTTATAAAATCATTGAAAGTCACATCCCTCGTCCTGCAACAGATGCAACCTGGCAGTGCCACGCTCGCTGCCTTAAGGAATACGCGAGACCTGGCTCTGGATCGTTGTGCCGATTCTAGTTTCATAGCCCACATCCTCCAACAAATGCCGTACTTGAAAACCGTACGATTATACCAAGATGATCTGTCTGCCCTGTCGTCCAAGTTTCTCGCTCGGTTGGCCGCCAATACTGGGTATATAAAGGATTTCCGAATCCGGCTGGTCAATAACAACTGGAACGATGAACTAGGGGAGAACTCGTTAGCGGTTATGGCCAGAATCCAACAACAGATACCTGACATACGCCGAAGTAGCGACGATGATTTTACAGAGCTCGACCTTGACCGATTCCTCATGGAAACGGGAATTCGAAGGAACGGTTATGAGCTTATCCTCTCACCAACGCCTTGTCCGGCATGAGGCGCGTTGGTTTAAAAAGCATATGGTTATTTACAAGTTTTTATTTTTATTTTTTGCATGCCACATAGTATACATCATTGTAAGTGATCAAATTCACACTTCGCTCCTTCCACCAAATTATTTTTCCTTTCATCGTCTTGATCTTGTTGGTTTCTTAGCGATCTCCTTTGCTTCTTCACTAATCAAAGCATACTGCACACATAAAACCGAAACCCGAAAAAAAAATAGCCCCCGTTGCAATTAATATTAGAAACATTGTTTGCTCACATGCCATCATATATAATTACCAGGCCATCATTCCTTCGTGCACATAGCTAAAGGGGGTATAAAGTTAGGTCCACTGCGCAATGTGACGTAACGTCATACAGAAGTACCAACCTTCACATCTTCCATCGAAACAGTCGACCGCTTCGCATGGCTAATTTGGAAATATTTACACTTAGCCACGCGTCCATTCTGACAATAATGTAACCGGGAAAAAAGAAGGCGCGGTAAAACTCACCGTGCAAACATCTCCACGTCCATGGCCAACGTCTCTATCAAAGGCCAAAGAAATAATGTATTAATACAAGTATATAGTCAGGACCGCAGCCCACTTTGATGACGTTTTTACCAATTTGTTTGTAAACGACATCGGCCAGCGAGGCAATGAATTGTGGGGATGCCGTTTTCCCAGTACTTTCAGCTGTGCAATATGTAACGTTGGATTTAGACTGCGGGGGCAAAACGTTATTTCGTAACTACGCAAATGCGTTGCGTACCTTCAGCTTCGGCAATCCGACCCACAGTATACCATACGGCTGATTTCAACCTCTAAATGCGCAATGCAAGTAAGAAAGGGGGTGTCAGATGACGCAGTGTAAGCCTTAATGCCAAGTACCTGCTGTTGGTCTTGATTATCAGCCTCTGCCATTTATTGCTGATCTCGGGTAAAAGAAGTGGACTGCTGCGCTAACGCCGCCTTTTGGAAACCCAGGAATTTCACTGGTATTCGAAATTGTAACCTAAAACCTGGTGGTATAAGTTGTCTATTTTTTTTCTTTCCATTAGAATTCCAACTTCCACAACTACACTTTTATAATCTTCGAAATGAAGCCTACAATCTTTCGTTACGTCGTCTTTTTCAACTTGATATTAGGTTGGTATCTTTCGTCTTACTCCCCCCACTGCACTCTTTTATAACCTTCATAACTTGATATAGCTGCACTGGCCAAAGGCGGGGGTGGTGGTGGTGGTAAAGGCGGCGGCGGTGGAAGTACTGGAGGAAGTTCTGGTGGAAGTAAAAGCGGTGGAAGTTCCAGTGGAGGAAGTACCAGTGGAGGAACCAGCTCAGGCGGCAAAGTAGCTGGCGGCGGTAGTGGTACGTTCTCCGGAACCAAGACCGGGTCTGTGTCCAACGTTGGAACGTATAACTTTCCTAGTGGAAGTACTGGGTATGCACGAGGAGGCTATGGATCATACTCCAAATCTACAGTAGGAACCTCGGCCGTTAATACAAGAGGTACGTTAAGCCAATTGGCCTAGTAAAAAATAACGCAGGGATGATATAATTGTGTATTAAACCATTTTCTACTTTTAGGCACCTACACAAATTATTATCCCACTTACGGAGGAGGTTACGGATATGGCTATCCATATGGATGGTACGGCTTCTACAACCCAGCGTTTTTGTACTGGGCTATCATTCCAATTGGATTCTATGGTGGCTACCATACGATGTATGGAAGATACAATGCCGAAAGTGGAGCCTACTACGCCCCACAGCTTACCTCACAGAATTCCGGCAGTGCAGATGTGATGATCAATGGAACAGCTTATACAGCCGATGACAACAACTATCACTTTACCTATGGTCTTCTCACTAGCACTGGAAGACCTGCACTGGACGCAGCATTTTACGCATCGTCCGACGCTAGTGCCACTCCAGCCGATTTTGCTTACCGCTTGACCTTCTGGCAACTGGTCGAATTCACCGATGCAAACAACAATGGTGTGCTTGATGATGGAGAAGCTATTTCGAACTTGATTCCTCTGCAGGGAGGATGGTCAACAATCCAAATTTCCAACAAGACTAGCTCAGCAAATGCATCTCTGACGTACTTGGAAGGACAAACAACTTCGGTCATCACTACGTCTAACAACAGCTCATTCAACGCCAGTCTCGTTTTCCGAGTCGCCAATGTTCAAATTAACAACACTTTTGCCCTAACCTACGAACCCAATTCCGCCGAGTACGAATTCTCCATTCATGGATATCAGCCTGTCAACCAAGCAAACAAACTTGCCTTGTTGCAGGTTCTTTCCTACGTCCCCACTCTGCCCACTGCTACAGATATCAACAGCACCACCTCTGCAGATGTTGTGGCTGCTATTAAGACCAACGAAACGTATGGTGTCTCCATTGGAGATTACTCTGAAGGACGATTGGAGTACAGCAACCAAACGAACTTTGCCAATGTCACGTTTGGTAACTACTCTAGCCAAGCATCTCAGCAAGTCCTAGGAGGCTTGACTCCTCTTGACAATTGGATCTGGAATGGAGCTTCTCCCAATGGAACTTCAGTGCTAGCCGTCACTCTTTCTGCCTTGAATAATGGCAGTGCTACTGTTGCTGGTTTTGCCTTCTTGGATGTCGATGTCCTTGGTGTTGAAGCCACTGGAGCTGGCAGCTCATTCTTCTCTGGCAGCATGAACAAGGCTTCATCTCTTGCAGTCACTGGAGTCACTGTCTTCACACTTTTGTTCGTACTTTAAATACTGTAATTTAGAATTTAAGTATACAGTCTAGTGCTGTTGTATTATTAAACTCGCCTGTACTATCAGCTCCAATAAATATATAACTTATTCGACGTACGAATTAGCCTTTCTGGCAGATCTTGTCATGAACACCAGCTGCGCATTGAACCCGGACTAGTCTCTTTAGCATGCTCAAATTCTTCTGAGATATAGTTGTATTCTTGAAAGCTGCCAGGCGGTACAGACTTTCGGGAAAAAAAGGACCGCTTCACATATGAAAACAACACACACCACAAAATGAAATAAACCTTGTGGGTCCAGTTGGGCAAAACAATATGATTACATTCAGTTTTCATTAAATACAATTTAGTGCTTTCGCTCAAAGTACGACGAGTTGCTCATCAAGACGGTAGTAGTATCTAAAACCCATTCACCTACGCCCAAGTATCTGTCGATGTATGATCGAAGTTCTTTGTTTTCAATTTTGGAGGTGGCAGGTCTGCAATGGGGGCGATGGTAAGTTTCACTTTTTCCAATGCGCTGGTACGTTGGCACAACTTACTGAAGTCCAGTGTTTCGTTTGATTCCAGCAAGCACTGCGGATATCAAAATAGCATCAGCGGTGAAATGAACTATCTTGCCAAGCATGTTCTCGAACTGTTCGTAATAAGTGGAATGAGATGGATTGGAATCAACGCAATGAGTCGGAATGCAGTAAAAAAGTTCTCGGCCAAGATGTGTAAAGAACTTACAAAAGGTGCAATCAAAAGGCTCACGAGGTGTGGACGTGAGTTGCAGCAGCCGGCAATCACATTCAGATTTTTATACCATCGGAATTCAAAAATGCCTGCCCAACGCTTCCGTTCGAAAGTGGTGGCCGCTTTTGCAATAGGACGTTGCGTCCTTCAGTCAAAACACCTGTCATCTCATCGTATGGACTTTTTGGCATTTGCTTTACAAAAATAGGTCTAGTTTACGTTGTCTATTCCACGATCTATGTGGTAGTATCTGAACAGGTACAGGATACATCTAGGTGTATCATTAAGCTTCTTATCGAGAAGGGAGAGAGAGAAAAAAAAGTACAATAGAGATGTCTAAGGGAGTAATTTGTAGTATAATGTTTTGCAAGATTGTGATTACTTCTAGAGGTGTTGTTGGTATGTTTGATCGCTAGGGAGGATGGTAGGGGACTTGAAATGCTTAATGCGATCCATCCAAAGGCTCTTCGTCTGATAGAGCCAAAGCATAATTTCAAGAGACTCAAACTCGTACCACGCGCTGATAAGCTCCTTTGCAAGCTTAATGCTTAAGCCGTAGTGACGAATTTTGTCCAACAGGGTCGAGCGAATATCGTCCCACACAGCTTTGGCGCAATAGCGACCCATAACGACGTAAGTCATGCTATAATCCTGGTCAGTTCGAAGCACTTCATCGACGCTTCGAAGCAAGTCATTGGTTTTGAGAAGAAGTAGGACAATGCGTGGCATATTAGCCAAAAGACCGGCAATGTCGATCAGTAGTTCGAACGCTCCCTCTGTCATCTTCTCGAGCTCAGTTTGTGACCGTTCTGTCGATAAATCCTGGGTATTGACGGTGTCCCATGAGCGTCCAGTCATAACCGAAGCAAAAAGCTTGTGCGCACTGGTACCGCCTACTCTAAGTGAGTACTTTTTAATATCCTCCTCATTACCACGAATCAAGGAAGTCCAAAGATGTGCATAATCCGTTCTCAATTGGTCGTCCAAAGTACGATATAATCCATGGTCTAATAGAACGATTTCGAAGTTGAGTCCCGTGCCAAAACGGGATTTCTTAGCTGGTCGTATAAGGACGTTGCCGGGATCTAGATATTAGACATGAACGAAAAATGTGTCAAAAAAAGCGATGACGAGGTTGAGACCGCTGACAGATATTGCTGTTTACTTACGAGGGTCACAATGAACAAAGCTAAACATGACGGAACCAAATGTTCATGATTAATACGAGACACATCGTACTCTAACATCGAACATAATGACTTACCCGTGATTGTATATCATTTCTGAAAAGATCCTAGTCAGCTCTATTGAAACTCTATTCGAGTCGATGCTATGCTCCTCCATATACGCTAAATTGTCAATGCGTTGTCCGCGGATGACTGTTTTGAAATTTAAAAGGTTAAAAAATGATGCTCGAATAATTGTTTGAAGTAGGGTAATACTAACACTCCATGCATAGGATTCGTCGGTGCGCCCAAACAATTTTTGGAATGATCAATGCGGTTTTCTTCGTCTCAATGAGCTCTTTAAAGTTCTCTCGCACTTTGTTTGCATTGCTTGCCTCAAAGACGAAATTGAGCTCTTGGGGTAAACTCTCATTCATTTCTTCGCTCAGCCATTCAAAACCAAATTCAGGGAATACGCGCTTGATGGTAGACAAAATGAAGCTGACGGTATCCATATCGATTTTGCAGAATTCATCCAGGAATGGGTGCTGCATTTTGACTGCCACTTCCTCACCCGTTGAACGAAGTCTAGCTCTATGGACCTGGGCTAGCGACGCAACACCGATCGGCACAGGGTCGAACTCCGAGAACAGATCGTCTAAAGATGTTCCCATATCATTTTGGAACAGCTCTTCAATCTCTTGATAGGGTGTAGGTGGGCACTTGTCTTGCAAAACGGCCATAGTCGAAGTCCATTCAGGTGGAAGAATATAGACCATGGCAGACACATGCTGACCCAATTTGATATAAATTCCACCACTCTTCTGCAACGCTTTGAGGACCAGGTTGGCGCTTGTTGTATGACAATTGGATTTAGCTCTTGCCTCTTCTTCAGAATCTTTGTATGTTTTCGATAGCATTAGCTTGTAGTTTATGGCAACTCTGACACCGACCAGCCCGGCACGTCCACACCGCTCAATAGCGCACATAAAGTGTCTAGAAGGTTCATGATTGTAATACAATACAGTTCCTATAAGAGCTGTTGATGCCGTTATACTGAGAGGTTTGAGCAATCGGCGAGCAAGGGGACGTTTTTGCGATGGAGGAAAGGTCATTGTGCTGCTGTTGCGAAAGATTCTCGGCGATGTGAAGGAATGTACTGCTGGTCTATAGGCCGAGACGCTTCCTGCCTGAAGTTTTGGCAGGCATGATGCCCAGCGTTGAGCAAAAGACATGGAATGTAACTTGAAGGTCAAAAACCGGCCGGACCTGAAACGAATCAAAAGTGCCGATGGGTCGATGCGCTAATTGAAAACAACTTTTTTTGATGGTCATTGCCGAATTGGTGGTGTGACTGCAAAATGACATGACATTTGCGCTGTGCTCCTCCGTACACAAAAGCATCTGCTGGAGTAAGCAAAAGAGGATGCAGAAGTCTATGAGGTAATATCCATCAGAGAACGAAAGAATAGGATTGACCCATGACAGATGCATGGCTCAATATATCAGGTGCATGGTGACGAACAGACAATGGACAACCCCTTCCGACAACTCAATACTCTGCCAAGGTATCCGAAGAGTGTACGATAACATAATGGACTATCTATCAAAAAGGCATACAGCCAAAATTTCTTTTACAAATGTATCCAGCCGTTCGCAATTGCATCCGATATGCTTTCGAATGTAAGTATGTTACCTGCCAATTTTCAACAAAGCAAAATTCGACCTGCAAATATTTTAATTTCAGCAGGCAAAACTTTTTGTTTCAATTTTTTTTTTTTTCTCGATCAAGGTCCTACATTCCACAAAGTAGTCATAATGGCAAGACTTGCTGCTGGAAAAAGCAAGGTATACCAACAATCTTCAGACGAAGAAGAATATGAATCGGCATTCAATGCGTTCGATAATGGTGAAGAAGAGGTAATGTTCGGAAATGTAGTACATCGGTGTATCAATGGGCCTGACATTAATGGTATGAACAAGGTTTCGGCGTCTGACGACAACGTAGAGGAAGAGGAGGACAGCCAAGAGGAAGATTATGAAGAAGGAGACGATGAGGAAGACGATGATCAACCTACAAAGCCAGATTTACAAGAACTCAAACGAAGTATGTAAATCGGGATACTAGGTTCACGATTGAATGGTTGACCTAACAAGCAGATTTCATTCTTTAGGTCTTGCCCATGTATCATTCGAAAAGCTGGCTGAAATTCAGAGCAAAGTCGGCATGAAGGAGTTCCACAAGAACTTTAGACGATCCGGTGCAGAACCAGAACAAACGAAACCAGAGAATACAAATGGTGATACGGTGATAAAAGGAACAAAAGGAGAAAGAACACCCAAGAAGAGAGATTCAATGAAACGAGATGCAAAAAATCGACCAATGGAAATGAGCTCAAAACGAGCTGTCGGTCGATACAGAGATGTGGTTGAAACGCCAGCAGCCAAGCGTCGGGATCCCCGATTTGACCAAATGTCAGGCAAACTGAACCAAGATTTGTTTGAAAAATCATATGGCTTTTTGGACAAATATAAACAGGACGAAGAGCAGATGCTCAAGGCACAAATGCTCAAGGAAAAAGATCCAGAAGAGAAGCTCAAGTTACAAAATATACTGATGCGCATGGTATCACAACGAACGGCCAATACCGAAGCCAAGAGGAAGCAGTCTATCAAGAGAGAACGCAAGCGTACAGAACAAGAGTTGGTCAAGGAAGGAAAGCAGCCATTCTACCTCAAGAAGTCAGATCAGAAGAAATTAGAACTCATAGACAAGTTCAAGCAACTGGGAGACAAAAATGTGGACAAGATCTTGGAAAAGCGCAGAAAGCGAAATGCCACCAAGGACCACAAGAAGGTGCCGTTCAAGAGGAGAAAGACGGACATGTAACATATGCATTTTGTAATAAACATTCATTATCACGCAACATGATCAACCAACACGAAATGTATTGGTAGCCTTCATCGTTTGTAAGCACAATTGTTGAGGCAGTTCGGACATCGGGACTGTTACATAGCTGTCTGTTTACCGACAATTTGGATGACCGCTACATCGATCGAAGTGTTAGGTGGTATGTCACGATAATGCTTACGTTGCCTTACGAGGGCGCGCATGGATTTTGTTTTTTATTTATAGGGAGCGCGTTTTACTTCTACGAACCACACACTTCCAACTACTGTCAAAAAAAGAAAACTGAAGAATGGCCCAAGTTCTATATTCCAGCAAAGATGCGCTATGGCCTGGACCGCCGCGTCTAACTATAGCCGAAAAAGGCATCAAGGATATTAAGGTTGAGGAAATCCAGATTGCTGCAGGACAAAACTTCTCTCCAGAATACCTTGCGTGAGTATTGAAAGATATTTGACATTGAGGGGAGGCTGCGTTTACATTATTAATGGGTCGTCTGGCTAAATATGGCAAATTATTAGTTTGAACGCTAACGGCACAGTGCCAGCGTTAAAGCACGAAAACTCGGAGAAAGTGCTCGATGACTCAACGGACATTTGTGAATTTCTGAACAAGGAGTACGACGGCATCGATCTGTTACCAGCAGAGCACGCTGAAACTGTACATCAGATTATTCAGGAAGCTCATGCTGTTGATGCCAACTTTTTGACAATCACGCCAGCAAACGAGGCTGAGCTTCAGCAGAAGAAGGCGTTTGCAACAGGTTTTCTTGAAGCTCGCATCCACAGCTTAAAAAATTACCAGAAAAGCACATTGGAGTACAAGGAATATTATTTAGGCAGACTCCAGCAGAACGAATTCCTCTTGGGAGCCTATTCCCATCCAGAAAAGGCAGGCCCTCTCTACGCGAAACATCAAGTCGAGTGGCAAAACGCTGTTGAATTCTTAAACAAACTTAACCATAGACTGAAGGAGCAAGCAAGCAAGGAATACCTATTGGGCAACCAGTTTACTTTGGCAGATATCCATGTTTTTCCGTTGCTTCATCGCCTGAAGATGGTGAAAGGGGACGCCGTGTTTGACGGAAGATCTGATTTGGCGGCTTATTTTAAATCCGTTTCTTCACGACCCAGTGTTCAGTCTGTTTTCCAAGCGTAGCTTTCTCTTGCCTTTTCAAGAGAATTAATAACTCAGAATGCATAAGTGTAACTCAGTCATTTCGCTGATCAAGAAGAAATTCTGGTCAACTCCGCAAGCTGTTGCCTATTACTCAGCGCATGAACCAACATATATAAATACCCATTGTTCCCCCACACTTGATCAACATAAATGTTAGCTTTATAACTTCCATCATGAATCTATTTCTACTCTCTTCATTTTGAGCCTGTCTACATCTGACCATATCCATAGCATAAACCCATTGGGTGGCTCATAGCATGCCAACCTCGGCAAAAACTAAATCCTTATTCGACAACAACCCATGTACGACAGACTCTCAACATCTACTTCTCTGTACCGCACAATTCCAACTACCACACAACACAACACAACACAACACAACATAATATGGATTGCATGGACGAAAAGGTTGAATATTATTTGGAGATTTAAATGTTATACGGGATAATATATCTTACAAAACGGAGGGGAAATAACACGAACAGGATTCGATAAAAAGAACGAATTTGATTATTTTTTTTATCGATGTGGATTGTCGCAGACAACCACTTACTCTTCCTTGTGAAGGACACCAATGGGAAGGGTAAAGTAGGTATTCTCAGGAGTATACAGCATAGCGGCCATACCATACCAGGCAGTAATGGCCAAGGTGACTGAGAACCAACCACCAACTTTGGTAAGAACGGGGTTCATAAGGAATCCACCAAGCATACCGAAGAAGAAGGTCAAGAAGACTTGACCAAGGATGACTCGCATAACCATGGGTTGTCTCAAGGTACCGATGAACATCAAAAGAGAGAAGATAGCCCATGGAAGTTGGAACAAACCGACAGCCCACTCAACATTTTGAAGACCGCCTGCTGCAGCGTCGGCCAAAAATCCAGACTGAGGCTGGAGCATAATACCATATGAGAAGAAGAAGCAAGAATAAGAAATGAACGAAGTAGCACCGAAAGCTATTACAAGCAAATGTTAGCAACCGCTGCAAAAAATACCCCGCGCGTTTAACATACATCCCATGTCTACTTACTGTTTCCAAGTCTCATCTCAGCAAGACCAGCAATCAACTGACCAATAGCACCATATCCAAGGGTGATACCAACAGCCATGGTTGGGAAAGTAACAAGAACACCAGCGTTAATGAGACCGAGAATCAAAGAAGAAGTGGCGAATGCTGCCAAACCAAGAGGAGCAGGGTTGGCAATAGGGTCAAAAGGCTGTGTCTTTGGGTTGGGCTCATTGGTAATATGTCTGTTGTGAACACGAACTTGTCCGTCATATGCGGTCTCGGGCATAGCGATGGACTCATGATGGTGAACTTCGTTCTTATCAGTGCTATGGGTAGACATTTCCTGTTGTTGGTATTGAGAGAGAGAAGAGAAAGACTATGAAGTGAAGGTAAGTTAGGGAAATGAAATACTGGCCTATTTATATAAAAATCTTTTCTTCCAAAGCAACGTACGACCGTGTGTATATTTTGTGAATGTGTCTGAGTTGGGAGAAGAAGGTTGTTAGGTTTACGTCTTCAAGGGTGAGACTTTGCTGATTCTACTATTACCATTCTGAACGGAGCTAACATTTCTGGTAACAAGGCGTACGAACAAACTTTTTTAGGGTCGATGATCATGGTATTGTGTATGTGTGTGCCGCGCTTATGTGGCATTCTAGCTCGAAAGACCTAGCTTGATTCCCCGCAAGTCTGGATGCAAAAATTCCCCCACACCGTGTAAGCATATCAACCCCGACTCACCAATCCCATCCAAGACCTATCAAGTACGGCGGCTCAAAGCGACGATCCTCTCGATCATCTGGAGTACTTGGTTCTGCTCATAGCGACTCTATCAGCCAACAAGTTGTATTAGGGCATTTTTTGGAGGACTGCCTATTGCTACCAGTACGGCCGTACAATCGGACCAGCTAATTTCCCAAAATGCGGGGAAATCAAACTCCGAAAAATCCAAGAGAAACTGAACGCCACTGGGGCCAACAGGTAAAAAAATGGGCCGCAGAATGTGTGCGCGACAGACATGTCAAAATAAGGATATCGTCTTTGTCATCCATATTCATGCCGGACCCCCGCGCTTATCGTTCTCATTATGAGATTGACCTGAAAATGCCATACCATGGCTGCGAGTGCTGGCTAAGCAAACCACCACCCTTCCAATACGGAATTTTGACCCTATGGCGTGTAGTTGCCATCCCTTCAGCTTGTAGTCAGCACATTCGTCTCATTCTAATAATGCGACCGCCCGAAACCTTCCCCCCCAAAAGTTATCTAGATCGCGTAATATACCCTATTAGCGGCTTTCCCCCCAACTAACTGTCACATCAGCTTGGATGCCACACATATCCACACACCATTATGGAAATGGAAAGCAGGTATTTTACAAGTCAGACAACGATCGAATGTCCTTCTCATCTAGAACACCAAAATAGCTGCGGCATGATAGATGTACCAGATTCTTCTCCATCGATATACCGTCTGGTTTATGCAATAAATAGTTCGATGAACCAAACAATGAGAGTTTTCTCAAATATTCTTTCAATGTATAGGCGACTCATTTGCTTTTGCAATATTGTATGTTGATGAGATTGTACCACCCTTATTCATTTCGTGTGTGAGCTTACCATAAGGGACCAATTTGGAAGTAAGGGTCAGGTGAGGAGGACAATCATTAAAGTTGTGAACACTCCGATAAGAAGGCGTGGCTCATTGAGTTGTATGTTGGGGGAAGAGATCCCAAGAATGGGAAGCTAGCAGCCAAATTTAATACCTGCTTTTACTACTCTATGGTCCGAGCTCTCTCCACTATCTCAAACCCCAAGTCCAATCCATCCCAATTTTTCTCAGGGCGTGAAAATTCATTTATCGTCTCATCTATACATCTCAAAGTCTGCCTCGTCATCACATCGTGTGAGTTCGACGCTACCTATCTTTGAAAAATCTTTTATTTCTATATTTACGGGATTCTGCCATGCACTATTTTCATTTCTACTTATTAGGTGGAAGGGGAGGCCGGCGCAAAGTGGACAAAAGGATATTGCCAAACCAAATCGTACCAACCAAGCTGTGTATTTTGGCTTAATTCGCCACCAAAGTAACCCCCAAGGTATAATGGTTTAGTGCCACTAAAAGATGGAGATTTTGGGCTTGGGTAAAAATTCCGACGCTGTCAAGGAACAGATGGATACGTTGGGCAACTAGAATTACGGGAACCATGATCTGAAACTCCCCCAAAGGTCCCAGGAGGTGTTTGCATATGGTAGTTTCCGGCCACAACGTACTAAAAGGCTTTTTGTCAAATGGAAGCACACGAAGCCCAGCGATGTTTCTTAAAATACCATTTTTGATCAGTAGTCCATTGTTGACAGTTTACGGTACTAGATCTGTGGCAGGTCCCTTAGAGAGATGGCGTTTAAGGCTATGAGGCAGTAAAGTTTGAGAGCGTCATGATGGATTCCTGTCGCTTCTCGTCGATGGCCGAACCATGAGAAATCGGTAGTGTTTCTGAAACGACCTAGGCGTTAATCAGCTTTCTCAAGCGCACCCTTCATCACAAGCCAAACGTATATATCATCACGTAATGCAAAATGCAACTCTCAACAGTGAGAGCCATTAATCCGTTGCTGCTTAAGTGAACGTAATTGAACGCCGGTCGCACAAAGAGTACCCTATGGTGTTGAAACTTGGCTGTCACTAGCTCGCACTTCACCTAAAAATCAACACACACCTATTGAAATCAAATTGAATCATTGCAATCAATACATGACATACCTTACCTTTGCATGAATTCCCCTATGCTTTGAAGGTCATCCGGACGTAGTGTCCGGAGTTTCAAACGCTACGTATTGCCCATACTGTGCCCAAGTTGCAGCGAGTTTCCCAAGAGCACAAGGATGTGTGGTCTGATGATGGCGATAAGAACGTGGAACTACAGTATTCTGATCTCGGAACTTTTGTCAACATAGTATATTACATGATACGAATTAATGCTGGATACTAGTTGACCTCCCGTTGAATTTCGTCTGACTATGACGCCAAGACTGTCGGCGAGGCTGTGAAAACATCAGCGTCATCTTAAATGGTGAGCGATTTATTTTAAGAAGACTGAGTCCCATCATAGTGTACGGATGACGAAGAGAGTATTGTACTAGCGATTGACTCGGTTTAGCGTTTTTCTGTTTAAACTACAATACGTTCTGTAGACGGTTTTTGACGTTACTTTTGCTTTCGGCACCACCTGTATAATTTTTGCGAATTGATGGCCGATTAGCCCGGCGACCTTTTACCGGAGGTTCAAGTTGACGAGAGCTCTGTCAGTTTGTTCACACGTAACTACGAGGGAGCTGAGAGCTATTCTTAACGATTGGGTACCGTTGTGGAGAGAAAAAAAACCAGGAGAAAAGAAAGCAGTAATGTATGCGATGCTGTCTGGACCACCTCAAGAACACCCAAAAAAAACCCAAAAATTGATAATAGCTGCTACATCAGCAGATTTATCAGTTTTTGCGTCGATAAAATACTTCAGCATTAGACCGTTACTAAGAAATGATTTATTACCTTCTGAAAATATTTAAAAGTACATAAGAAAAACGTGTAAATAAGAAAAAAAGAAGAAGAAGAAAAACCATCAGTTATCTGCTAAACAATTTTATATTGGCTGGATCACGGATGTATCTCATATTTATACCTTTTTTTTTTTCTTTAATGTTCTTGGCCTAGGCATATCTAATTTTCTTTACTTAAAAACATTTCTCGAACGGATTGCACCATAAGTCTTTCTGTTTCAATGCATCTTTTTCTCATACCCCAATGGGAAGAGAAATAGGTGTTATACTTGAATTGTAAATAAAGGAAGCAGTGGTGTAATAGCAAGTGAGAGATAGGATGATACATATCCAGCCACTAATTTTGGTCAGCACCGCCATTTGAGTAAAAGCGCCAACGGTTTCCAAGAAAAATACCATAAAGACCTGACCATGGATCAGTTGAGCTATGCGGGATTGACGTAGCGTTCCAAGGAACATGAGTACAGCAAACATCAGCCAAGGAAGATAAAAGATACCTTCAGCCATACCGAGATCCTGAGCACTTTTCTCCCCTTCAACAGAATAACCTCCCATTCCGGGTAACAAGAAGATACCATAAGAGAGAAAATAACAGCCATAACATATGTCCGAGACCGCGCTGAATGCTATGGAGGTGACAAAGTAGAGTGTGACGATTAGATGCAAAGACTTTCTCTGTTGAACATCACGTCCGATGAACAAATAATAACTGCCTATAAACCAAACAAGTAGACTTACTGTTACCAGCACGGAGCTCAAGTAATCCAGCAAGTACATTCGATATAAATGCCACAGTTAGGCATGAGCCAATTACAACGGGAGGAAAGTCCACAATAGTGCCAGTATTGGCCAAGCCAACAGTCATGGTGACAATAGCGAGTCCAGCAAGACAGAGTGCACCCGGGTTCATGGTATTTACAGAAAGTAATGGTTTTTTCTGCGTCGCCGACCAAAGTATTCTCATGTAAGAGTGCTGGACGTTTATAGTGTGGTGAAGGCATATCTACTATTTCATGATGTGTGGATTCCAATTTGTAGTTGGTCAACACAATGTGAAATGACAAAAAAACAAAAAAAAAATGTTAAAAAGAATAAAAGTTGGAAGGGTACCTATCTTTATGCTAGTGCTTGAGTTTACACATTGAAAGCATGGTAAAAAAAAAGCGACTGGTATCCCGAGATGACCCACAAATCTTGACTGTGATCACCTTGCATGACATGACATGACATGACATGACATGACACTGCCTTGCCTTTGACCCCATATTTCGAGCGGTTATCGATCACAACGGCCGACGCTTGTGTGACACATGACCTTAGCAATGGAGCCATCGAGGGTTAATGGGATTTGATAATTAAGGTTCCAGAGCAAGGTACGCTGTATGGCCCATTAACGCATAGCAAAATCAGAACGTCAATTTCGGGTCGTCGATAATTTAGTACGAGGGATTATTGAATTATTTTGGATTTGACCCTAAATGTTTGATTTTCAGTAGTAAGATCGACGAGACAAAATATCACATTGGAAAAAAAATAAGCTTTTTCTTGTGTGTAAAAACTACGTTCTTTCGTACAACTAGTCACTCTCAAGCAATTGTAGTAGTCATTTACACTTCAATCATTTCATGTATTAATGGGACTATGTAAACCAGATGAAATCGGATTTACAAACCGGACCGCTCTTCCAACACAATGGGGACAAGCGATTTACCATGAAAATGCAACAAATTAAATACAGACATGCTGACTTTGTCTCCATTGAAATCCACAGGTACCATCGACATGTTAAAGAACTCCATCAAAAATTAACTTGTTTTCCACTTTCTCACACTATTTTTTTAATTTATGCCATACCATGCATATACATGAAAAACAGCCAAAAAAATCATACGAAGTTACAATTAGAATATAGATCAGTGAGGACATTTTCAGTTCTATCACCTCTTTTGAAGCATGTTTATCCAGTATCTCGATTACCTGCAAGCCGCCGCTTGATATAGGTCCTCAAGGTTTCGTGCGCTCTGGAAGCAAAATTGAGCATCAGTACCAAAAATTAGATGGAGGCCACAAGTGGATAAGGCACACTTACTCTTGAGCGATGACCATCTTTCGCTGTTTGCTATTGGACCAAAGCAGTACATCGAGATCTTTGGCATACTTTTCCGCGGCATCGAAATCAGCTTGCACATTGAAATCCTTGTAAAGATATGCTGAAAAGACGCATAATTAGCTGTGTTTTCCTTACACCATTGATGGATGGTCGATGCTGATCGCAACTAACCTGCTTTGTCCTCTACGCGATTTCGCTCCATTTCCCATAACCGGATTTGATCGACCACAGTCAAAGGCAATAGAGGTGCCTAATGCGTATTAGGTCAAGATCTAATCAACACATAACATCGACATTGCAATTGGCACTTACTCGTTTCCGCATTTGTGGATGTGCATGGGTCTGAAGATATGATATGATCTACGCAAATAGGAAGGTCAGCTAACTTGGGCTCCATCATGCCAGAATGAACCAAACCTGCAGCTACTCTTCACTACGTTACCTGGTCAGCTGTTATACCGTTCAAAAACGCATTGCGAACACTCTCTCGGGTGATGACGCCGGATACCATGTTTGGAAACCTTGACTTGAGTTGTATGAACAGATTGAGAACAGCAATTTGAAGAGGGGACTCTGAATAAAGAAATGTAAACATAGTCAGTGACCGACCATGCATAGATCTCTAAGTGCCATCATAAACTCACTAACCTGTATAGGCGTATACACGATAATTCGTCTCCAAGATCAAGAATCCGCCTTCATCATGGGACTCCTCCGCTGCGGCTATCATTGCACTAGAAGCAGCCGTTCCTGTTTCCTTCTTTGACAACGATGTAACTAATGCACTCGTTCCTGATGTGAGTGTGGTGGCAAGTCGTGTAGGATAGAATCGCCGTGATCCTTTCTATATTCACCAAATGAGAACCAATTAGCAACGGGCCGTCTAAGCATAAAGGCAGTAACCTTGCCGTTACTGGGTACGCATACCTTTCGTCGATATACTATGCCATAATCGCCCAAATCCTCCAACATCTGCTGTTGTGTTTCCGTTAACGTTTCAACCGAATAATCCTAGTAATCGATAACATGTAAGATGGCATTATGCGTTCTATGACTAATAACAGATTAACCTACCTGGCCCAGCTCTAAAGAACCCAATTGGAACAAAAAATTCAACACCTCCACAAGGTCCATCTTCAGCATCTGGTAGATAGAATTTCATCAGTAAACGGCAAAAAATAGCAATGCCACTGGCTCGAACCCAAGTTTCCTTACCTCTGCCATGTCCAAATATTGCAATAAAAAGGCCCATACTTGAGTATTAACATCTTGTAGCAGAAATTGAAATCCTTTGTTCGTGATGTGCAGTCCGGATTCCGAGGCGCTACATGAAAATCCGAGAGTAAATAAGGTGCGATGTGATTAGGCGTAGATTAATCGAGAGACCAAACTTACGTTGAGTTCATTAGATCGCTTTTTTGTAAAAGGTTCAATACTCCTCGACTTGGACGTTTCGTCATGGTCGTTCCTACCATATAATGAAGAATGGCTTCCCATTGTGTACTTGCAAAGTGATCCAGGAAGGCAATGTCCACCTTATGTTTGTCTACAGTTGCGCATGGTAACCCAAAGGACTGATGCTCACCTCTACAACGTAGGTTTCAGTTTTCGCATTCAAAACACAGTAGGTGAAAGGTCAGAGTATTAAGGATATCTTACCCTCCGGATAACGCGTTTTTGAATTCTAAGCGAAAAGTGCTATTTACAATGAGACCTTTTTCGGGAGTCTCTTCTAGAATGTGAAGTTTTGATAGTTTGTGAAGTGCTTCTTGCAATTTTCTGGAAGACGAAGGAAGCAGGTGCGTGAGTGATTTAGATTTTCCAGGTGGTTGGGATTCAGTTGGACGGGAATGAAGGCACGCAGAACGACAAAGGAACTGACTTACTTGTGACCATCCTTGTATACCCAGCTCTGGATATCCTTGAGTGATATTGGGTTCTCAACATATAGAATGGACATGACGATCTGCCGGCCAATGGCTGGGAGCAGTCTGTAATATGCATTAGCACGCGCATCGTAATTACGAGCACCATGGTACTGGGTAGCAAGCTCACCGGAATATAGCAAGACATGTCGCTGGTTTCTGGAATAGTCGTTGAAAGGTGAAGATCGGAAGCGTCTCTAGGTAATCGTAGATATTGGTTTTGAAGTTGATCACCGACATTTATACCAGCAAGTTGGCATGCATGAACGGTTGAACTGAGCCGCAGTGATGGATAATCCAGCAGCCTAAAAATTTCAAAAGACTGCCAAAAAAAAAAATCGACCTGTCCGTCTGGCGGGAAATTTGGCTACGCGGTTGACAGGTAATAGCAATCATGGTATTGTCACAATGTGATAAAATCGGTATGGAGTTTAGGATTCTGAATGTGCATACACGGTTCAAAAAGGTGCAGATATCAACGATATAAAATGAAAATGGCCTGTCAAATACAACAGTACAAACATGCTATAAAAACCCTGCATTTGGAAAAGGTACGATCTGCAGTACTGAATGAGCGCGCCACGGACAGAAATTTAACATGAGCAGTAGCTACATATTAACCCTATACTATCGCTGCCAAAGGCTCACGGCCCAATGATTAGGTACTTGCAATCACAATGACTAAAGGCAGAGTGGCTCCATACAAAGATAGCGGCTATACTCGAGGCGATGGCCGCCTTGCCAAGATCAAAAGGGCGAACGTTAGGGTTCGTATTGTCTCAAAAGGATGGGCCGTTAAAAATTTTCGCCAAGTAATCTGACAACTGAGAAAACAAATGCGTCCTTCCCATCAATCGATGCGTGCACCAATAACCGAGTGCAGGTCACGGATCCAATTACAATAGCTACCACAATATTCGAAAATCCCGACTATGTTCTCCTCTTTCTCGATTTAACGTATGATATTATGAGCGGTTCCTATGAAGATTATTTGAGGACCATTGAAAGTCACATTGGTAGTACTGGATGTCATGAAACGGTAAGGACATGTCAACTAGGTTCATCTTCAGATTGTTGAGGACCGGCTGTGACAAAGGCTGAATTTCATGCGCAGAATTTGAGGGACGCTTCAGGCTGGAGATTTATTGCACTGAAGCAGAGGCGGTAAACGGCCATACTATATAATGCACCTTCTATATAAGTTGAAATTTTGGTGGCCGTAAGCTAGGCTTGTTAATTGGAACGAGCGTGCGAAAGGCACTAGCGTAGATAGCCGTCAATGCAAGTTTATTTTGTCTATTCCTTGTTTGACTTTTAGTACAAGCTTAATTTATGTTCGTCCAAACAAAAACGAGTCTTCAATGCGAATCCATGTATAATACTCGATACCCGGTGTGCTGCTTTCATCGTCTATATACTCTCTTTCAGTTCAGTTCGTATAGTCTCTAGAACCGTGAGATTGTTTGGCTGCTGGGCACAAACTGTCGGACACTTGTTCGTGTTTCAAAATAGAGTGCCTGACTCAGAAACTGCACGTCTAGAAATGAATCTTTGCCACAGCTGGTTTATTGCATTGGTTTCTGACTCCACAATTATTATTTTTTGTGGAGAGCTTTTCACAATCGGTAACCAGTATTAAATGAGGCAAATTTGAAAAATTTTTTTAGTTCAGACACTCTTGGAATACATTATGTGTATGCGACATTGCTGCCCGCAAAAGGCATGGTGTTGATTGGTGGAAGTCAAGGTACTTCCTCTCTAAGAAAAAAAAAATACCAACCACTAAAATTCCAGACACCGCCAGACTGCTACGGGGACAAACCCCATTTCATAATGTCGTTTCAGAGCAATTTGGAAACGTTTTCCTACTTTGGGTGATCATGTTAGCTAGACATACACACATTGAGTTTTTCGCATATGACTACTATCACTGCCAGTTACATTGTTTATTTTATACCATGTTCCTTTACCAAGGCGGTATTACGGTCTCAATATAACTGACGGGACCAAGTAGCGATCAAGTCTGGCACCTTTTTGTTCATTTTGCGATATGGGGGTGCATAGGTTTTTTGTCCACACCATAGGGTTGATAAGGAATCAAAACATATGATTTCACACACGCACTTCCACTTTCACCTGCCCCTTTCAACTCCTAGTGTCCGTTTGGGCGTTATGAAAATACACTTTCGATATCGGCGGGCAAAAAATCAAACAACACCCGACCTTCCCGACTCTGCTTACACTACGAGACGAAGGTTTGAACAAATTTTAAAAAAGTTTGTGATGTAAGATGCAATACGGATCAAGCTAAGTCTTAACTTGTCAATATGCTGGGTAAATCGTTATAGGATTTCTCCAATGCCTGGATTGCTGCCTTTCCCAAGCTTTACTAATATTTTCCTTAGAAATATCTGTCGTTAGCGAGGGTTGGCAGGATAAGATAGCTACAGAAAATAATATAGATGGCTTCGCTAGAAGATATATATCTGGGGCGAAATTCGTACGTTCTTTCATTTTAGCTTACACATCCCCAAGCCGCGCCTGGATTGTGTGGCTGGGAAATCACCAGCGGACCTCTTTGCCGCTTTGCTTTAATGAAGGTGGAAAGAGGGAAGGAGTGACTCTTTCTTTGATTCAGGGTTGCAAAACTTTTTTATATTCCTTTTATTCTAGTACTTCACTTACGTCTTCTTCACTGCACCAAATAAAACGAAGCAATCATGATAGGGCGACTTTTTACCGCCGGAAACTCTAATGGGAAGAAATTGTGCTCCCGCTCATTCTCCCGTGAGCAACATATGAAAATGACTCTCAGTGGATGGACGGAAAAGCGGAGTTCCCCGCAGTCCCAGCAAAAGCGGGGCAGCCGGGGTAGGAAGGGAAAATTTGTAATTTCACACATGATATAAGGCCCTGGGAAACTGATTTACCTGCCGGGAAATTTTTCTTCTTTCTCTCTTTTTTTTTTTACTTTTTAAAATATCATCTTCTCTTCCTCTACTTCATTTTTCTTTGCTTCTTTCAGATGAACGATCTAGTAAGGTATCCCCAGTCTAATGCTCGAGACTCAGGTGTTTACCCCAGACATCCTATGATGCCTCCACAACAGCAACCACAGCCACAACAACAGCAGCGACCACTGGAGCCTCTCCCTTCCCCTCCTTCACAGCTACGATATCAACCTGCTATTTCCACTGTACGAAGTGCGCCCAATAACGCTCACAGCAATAATAACAATCCAGCATCATATGATCTTCAGGAAATCATCTCCCAATATCAACAACACCCTGAACTGCTTAAGCTGATTCTGTCTAGTAAAGTAGAAGAAGATAAGCGACGTGCAGAGGAAGCTAAACTGCGAGCCAAAGAAATCGACCTTTTACTTCAACAACAACAGCAACCCACACCACCTAATGAAGCTGAAGTTGAAGAAACTGCTGTCAAGTCTCGCCATTCAGCAGATTTCCCTTATGTTCACCCTCGGGCTGTGCCAATACGAGCTCGTGTTCAAAGTAGTGACTCTATAGGACCTGTTCGTCGAGGATCTATTTTGAATACGCTAGATGAACGAAGGTCATCATTTGCTTCTCAGTCATCAAGGTTAGACTTCATCTACTCTTTTCCGAGAGAATTTTTTTTTCAAGTTGGTTGACATTTTTTCTAAACATGCTTGCGCTCATACTTAGATATTCACCACCTGCTCATGGAGCTGGATCTGGAGCTGGACTTCAGCGTCATCCTCTTTCACCACCTTATTCCAACCCTGAAGACCGAGATGAGGACGGACATGAATCGAGTCAAAGCAAAAAGCAACGCAAGCGTAGAGAGATGCAGGCCATCACCAAGATCGTTGAAACCCGCGAGTTCCCCTATTTAGATGATTACTTCTGGAAAAATAATGGCAATACGACTCATAAGAGTGGGAGACGTAGCGTTTATTACAAGTGTTCTAACAGTGGCAAGGTAATTAGAGGCAAAATTAGTATCATTAATTTTTCAACAGCCAATTGACTCTTTACTTTGTTTCAATAGGGATGTCCCGTCAACAAGACCGTCACTTGCAGAGAAAATGGAGAGTACTTAATTAAGTACCGTGGACAGCATTTGGTAGATTGTGGACGAGTTCAGCGAATTCATGACGCATAAACCAAGCAAGCTTTTCTCAGCCATGCAATACCAAATTCATCAAAAGTAGCTTAATCATCCCGCACATTCCATTGTTGCTTCTCTATTTCCAAATTTTTTTTCTCTTGCCTGTCTGTCCCGCATATATCGTAATTTGTCTTTTCCTACCTCTTATTTTATTTTCCAAGTCTAAATGGCTTTATTGTAAGATATTCTCCCCCTTCGTTCATGGAGGTATTTCATCTATTGAACTAAACAAATATCCCAAGCTTTTCCGTCATTCATATGTCAGGCCTGTCAATTATCGCCGGTTTGATCCAATGGGGTTTCGATGCTGACTGGTAGGAAATTTATGTTGTAGATTTTTTCTCACGGCTTACTGGCTGCCTCCAATCCGAAATCAACATGTGAGATTTGAAAATTCCAACAACTCCCGGTTCCGATCACTCTTACAATTGAAATCAAAAAAATTATCTCCAGCGCCGTGTCCCCCACCCCTTCTCTCCTCTCCTTACGTTCACAAACAAATGCTGACCCTACAAAGATTTCCAGGTTCAACGTTAGAACCGTCGTGTGAGCCTATCATTCTGTACTCAGATCACGTAAAATCCACTTACCAAGGCCCATTGCGAGGTGTTATCACATCCCCACTTAAGAGAAATCATAAACCACCACCAATCCATATTCCAGAGCACAATCCCTCCTTGTTGTATCAGTCTGAAATGCGAGAAGACGATTATAGTGCTTGGTCTGGCAGAACGGTTGGAGATTATCGTCCATTCTTTTTATTGCAACCTCTGTCCAGCGGGTCAACCAACACTTCGGCCTCTTCGAGCTAAGAAGGATGGATGTATCTGGAGCCCCCACAACACACACACGCATTTATCAATATTTCTCATCACAGCTGTACCTACAACATATATGACATTATATCAGAACTTCATTGACCTCTGAATTGTACATAAATTACTTTTCCTCATACGTTTCTATCTATGCCTTGTCCGTTAAACTCCAGGTTCGTACTTGTACCTCCTACATTTCCTAGAAAGGAAATCTTGGCTGTACTTTGACTGTCAGCTGTCCTCAAGTGAGATGTCCAAAGTTGCTGAATCAGCAATGTGAGAATCAAGTTGAGTCATGGTGGAAAATAAGAAGCGTAGGCTTGAATATAGTATACCACAGCGCGAATTGAATCTAAAAAAAATCCAGTATTGAAGCGAGGCAAGCTGGACTGAATTGATTGCATAAATGCTGCCAATAATTTCTCCTTTGAAGTCTGTGAGACACAAGTCGGTTTGAAAAAACACGAAACCCGTGTTTCGACTGATACGGCTTCAACCCCACGGCGTTATGGCTGTTATCACAGATTTTGCGCCATGAGACACTCGGTTGATCTCGGGAATGTAGTACACAGGGTGTTGGTAAGCGCCTACTAGTCCATTCACTCATGACCAAAATATTGCAAGTTACAGACTGGAAACCTTGCCAGTATTTGATAGTATTTGATAGTTCAGACCCTCCAATTTTATTTCATTTTCGTTTTCTTTCTTTAAAATCGACTACTGAGTAACGTAATTCTTGTTATGAATTCGAAAATGCATATACCTGGTCGCAGCATCTTTCATTTGCCCTCTGTTATTTTGAGATAAGCTATGCTCTCGGTCGCTTTTCCGTTCCGACAAGTCCTACCATATATTACTGTGGGCCGAAACAGAACCATCAACCCCGAGATGCAAGTTGTCGCATTCGCGCCAATTTTCATTTTAGCTATCCAATGACTTTTGAGCACTGAAAGTGTCAACAAAGGCTTTTTGTTCTCATGATCCAGACGTATGTCAAACTGGTTTCACTAAACACTTCCTCGCCACGCACACCAGCTTCGCTCTCGTTCTGTTGCCCTCTTGACTGTTACGGTCATGCGCATACAGCCTTCATGCGGTTACCCTTGAGAGTTGCCTGAAAGAGCTACACGCTGCCCGCTAGTAATGTCTGATTGTTGTGTATCCGACTAATGTGTCCTGTCAACCAACGTTACCAGGCCAACGCTGTGCACTGAGTGAAAGTGTCCTACGTCGAAAAAAAGGATCAGTGGTCAAATACTACTGATAAAGCATGGCAATATAAAACTTAACATATATGAAAATCAGTCGATCATCCAAAAAAAGTAATCGTGTTTGGCGTTGGCTCCGTCAATTCAATGCAGTTCATTCTAAAGGCTGAAGCAGGATGACAAGACTTGATATGAGAAGAAACGTGTGGTTGGGACTGTGATTTGATGCTGATATCATATGATATTTGCGGTCATCCAGGCAACAATGAAGCTGGAGTGCACGAGTAGCAACATGACGTCCGATATCACTTTAAACAGGAGTTTGCTTCAGGGGCTAAACCACTACCTTCTCGAACGCTGGGCTTGACCAAAGAGAAAGTAACAACTAACTGTGCAACTACATTTTCCCAAACTTTGAGCTATTGTCCTCAAGAACCGCAGCAGAATTGTAAGTGACCCTACATGAATGCGCGTCTCGAGAAGTGAATGAATGAGAGGAGTTCACATTTTCTGCCCTCAGCTCTGAACGCTATGTTAAAACAGCCTCAGACATGAGGCAATATGCACAGAGACATTGGTTAAAGTGAATGTCCTTTGCGACAAGAGGTAGCAGGTGACCGGCAACCGCTTGCTAGAAAGAATGATCACGTGAAAACGTTTTTGGAAGAAAACTATGAAGAGAGAAGGTAATGTGGAGGTTTAAGGGTCGAGAAAATGGCGACTATGTTCGCAAAAGAGCTCATTGTCACGATAGTTTCTTGGCACAAAGGGTGAGTCGGCCTCCCGGTAGTGGCCATGGGCGGCTCCCTATATTCCTTGGTTGAAGCTCAGACGCCGAATCAGAAACCCGCCATACGGCGAGAATCGAACCCGGGACCGAACAACAACCTCAGAATATGGAAGTCGCCTTGACCACTGGACCAGGAGACCATACTCAAAATATACTGAAAATGACATGATCATGACCATCATTTTTACGAACAAAATCGCCATTTCCTCGACCCCCAGCCTCACCACAGACTCCATTTGACTCTCATATCGTACCCCACTCTTGTCTGCATACTGCCATAGTACTAGTTATTTTCTAAAGCTCCGAAGGGAAGAGGAAGCAGAGAAATAGACATGTCACAGCTTGAAAGAAAGTCGGTGTAACAGAGTGGCAGTGCGCACAGACCTTGTGTATCAAGGATGCGGGGTAGTTAGAGTTGTTTTCGAGCTAAGGAGCGTGTTTAGTAAGCTTTAAGGGCGCAAATTCGTTCATAGCGGACCATTTATGTGCTCTTAGTCGCTCAAAGGTACAGCAGTTCCGTGTATGCGCTCTAATGGCCATAGTTGTTAAGCATACAGACAATGCACCTTGCGTAAAGGAATCAGAGGTAAAGGGGAAGCTTGATTTACGGCTCACTACTTTATATAAAGTATAGAAGGTGGAAAACAACTATATAGTTTTGAAGCACCTTAAGAAACTTGGATAGGCAAACAGCTGCCTTAAAGTATGATAAACAACCTTCTGTGATTCCCTGATCTGCAAATGCAGATTGCCGTTGACAGCGGAGATCGCGTGCTACTGGCCGGTGTTGATCTTGATGACCCCATGTGAAATGAGTTATGATTCTACCAAATGGTCCGTGATGAATTTGCTACTACGAGTATTAAAATGTATGTTCTTTGTTTATTGATACTTTTAGCTAGATCTACAAAAGCAAGCTGAGAATTTCTTTCGCCTGCTGCCGCCAGAGCCGAGTCTGACCTTCGGTGAGATGACTAAAACCCAATGCAGCGTATTTTACCCCATATGCATTCTGGTGATCGTCTGTTCTCCCACCTGTAGCAGGGCGTATAGTTGTATATAAAGGCTCTTCGTTTTACTTTTCCTGAGCATTCATCAAGTGTTGTTGCGCATTTTGCTCAAGGACCTTGGCGCTTATAGTACACTCTCCGCCACCGCCTCGTCGATCCTATACCGGTGTCAATAGCAAGCACAAAGACGTTCGCTGTTGAGAAGTCCAGATGGCCAATTGGTGGCATGGTTTTAACGTGAACGTAAGTCAAGGCATGCATCTCAGCCACATACTTACAAGGATGCGGAAGGAAAAATAACCGCAAGTTTTGAAGTGGCAAATTTACGATCTCCAGCGGGGTTTCATTTCAGGCTCATAAATGAATTGTCGACATCTTTTTTCTTTACATGATCTGAAATCGGTCGAGCGTCACTTTGCTTTGGCAAAAACTAGAATACAGTTTATGAATTATATTTTTGGCACTTCGTATTAGTCCATTTTATGTTGTGCGCATGATATATATATCAACTAGTAATGATTTTCTATCTCCTCCCCGCTTCCGTTCGTCGGGATGTCGCGGCTTCACATGTCTCTTTGTCAGGCTGATTTTTTTTTTCTAGGTTCAAATTGGGAAATTTTCGTTAACATCATTGTTTTCTTCCCCTTTAATTTGTGTATCTCCATAGCTTCTGATTCCATTTTCCATCAAAGGCACACAACCATGTTTACCAAACCTTCAGCGTCGTCGTCTTCCTGGTACCAGCTAGACTCGTTACTCGAGGCATTTTTACCCCGGTTCTACGAGTCTGAACGTCGAGTGGTTGATGACAGTCCACAACAACCTCAAGATATAGACGAATTCCGGGAGGATATGTATGAATCTGCGTTGGCTGATTCGGAATTTGCTCAATGGTTGAATTGCCCACCTTCGCCACGTCCACATTCCAACCAGAATGACAATGCCCTCGAGCGTTTGAGAATGCTTGTTGTGCATTTGGGTTCGTCATTGGGTTCGTCATTGGTCAGTCGTCCGTCTGTGACCAGTTCTAGCCGAAAAGGTAAGGGTCCAAGCACTAGTGAGGAGCAATGGAGGAATGCCTAAAGGCGAAGGTTGGCAGTATGAAGAAACATAGAAAATTCAAGAAACCCCACTCACCCCTTCTCACTCGAGGGAACAAACAATGGCCACCCATTTTCACCACTAATTTAAGATAACCCCTCCTCACATTTTACCAATTTGTACATACAGAACATTTTTTCTCTAAATTCCTCATAGACAGTTTGCTATATCGTTGAACAACATATATTAAAATCAACCACGATGCGGTGTACACGACTCTATATAAAGTAATGGCAAAGTATAGCAGCGATCAACGTGGCCGGTAGGGAGAGTAGAGCAATCGAACTCTGCAAGGACACAGCCCCAGATTGGGATACTGAAGGAGATGGCGTAGGCATGCTTTCTGCGGTTGTTACGTCAATGGAGCAGGCTTGATGGCTTGTCTGACAAGCCATGTTATTAGCTGAAGAGTCGTTAGATGAAACGTTGAAAAATAGAGTGATGTTCTGAACGTCCATGAATGCGTTCTGTTTTGGTGGTCCTTGTGAAAAGTTGGCATTGCCATCCGTCCAGTGATTTACCAGAATACGGCCTGGCACAGTCGGAATATTGGTATAAAGCCGATTGGCTTCCTTTCCGTCAATATAAAAAATAGCTAGACCGGGAATCCAATCAAAGCGATACTCATGATATTCCTGTGGAGACATCACTTCATTAGTATACTAAGGTGAGAGGACAGTTGAAATCTGATGTGGACGCTTGTTTTACCTCCGAGGGTGTGTAGTTCAACATATAATTAGTGTGAGTGAGTGCCGACGCTCTACCAGATTGGGCATCGGTTAATCCTGGATGTATCGCAAAATACGTTTCCGGCGGATTCAAAGCACTTAGAGTCTCCATATCTATTTCGCTGTCATTCCCGTACAAAAAGAATGCTGACACAGTTCCCGGCACATTCGTTGTTTTGATATATGCTCGAAAGCTACCATAAAAAATATCTTGCCTACACATTCAGAGTAAATTGTGAGACTTTTAACAGACTGCTTTTCGAATCGGCTCGGCTGATTAGATACACTTACCGTTTGGTGCCAATTGCGCCACACTGAGGATCGTCGCCAATCGTCACGGCAAGTTGTAAGGCATTGTTAATAACGTTAACGTTATTTGGATCAAAGCTTCTGGGGAATGTACCAGGGTACTTCGCCTCGATGGTGTAGTTGGCAACATAAAATTCTTTGTCTCGGTGAATATCGTTAGAGTAATTTGCAAAGTCGCTTATCCAGTAGTTGGTGAACAAGCCGTTTTCATTGACAAATCCACAGTCACAACCTTGGTAGGGATTGTCGGCTGCTGTCTTCCAACATAGTAAGGATAGACTGACTATCAAGAGAGAATTAAGCATAAAGTAAAAGTGGAAGAGACAGAAGGGTGAAACTTTAAGAAGAAACGAACAGTTATAAGTATTTAGTAACTGATCATTGCAAAAACTCAAACCTCTTTATTGTCCGATGAGGCAATTCCGGTCACAACGTCCAATAGGTTATGGTTGGCTGAGTGTCATGAAACCAAACATGCCTTTAACTCTCAGTCCTGTTGGTCCCTTTCGTTCGTTACAATGTCCGATGGTCCATTGTGTCGAATCCAAAGTTAGCAGATTGAAAATTTGAACCTAGAATATTAAGTCATACCAAATTTTATTTTATTTTTGCATACACTGGTAAGACCAGTTCCTTCTTTCTTTCTCTTCTCCCATGTTGCTGCATGTATTAGGAGGGGTACTTGCTATTGTCACTGTGGCTATAGCGCAGCAGGTTTGCAATGGCGATGCTTCATTGTGTAGCAAGCCATACAACCAAGTGTCGTATTTGACCACCCACAACTCTTATGCATCCATGCCTAACGTTGCGCAAAATCAGCATTACGACGTAAACACGCAATTGAAGGATGGTATTCGTGGTCTAAAGCTCTCAGCCTTGAAATTTCAAAATTACACTGGTGTCGAGCTTTGTCACAGTGCCTGCGCCATACTGGATGCCGGGCCTGCTCATAATACATTGAACACCATTGCCTCATGGCTCAAAGACAATCCTAATGAAGTTGTCAGCATCATGTGGAACAATCTTGGCAACTTTAAAGCGACTGATCTGCAGGCCGAGTATCAACAAGTCTCAGGAATCATGGATCTCCTTTATGTCCAGCCCGCCAATAATCTGACCTGGCCGACCTTATCGGACATGATTAGTTCTGGTAAACGACTTGTTAATTATATGGACGTTGGAGCCGACCAGACTCAAGTACCATGGTAAGTTACCTTTTCCTTTCCACTTGGGGAGCTATCATTCGTGAAATCTGTCGGATCTTTGATCGGACATGGTTGAGCTGGCGGCAGTTGTTGTGTTTTCGCGGGGCACGCTTCTGGGTACATGTAGAAGAGAAGAGAACAATAGCATTAACCTACAAACATCTATTAATTGGGATTCAACAATCGTAGGCTACATGATCAATTCAGTTACATCTTTGAAACGCCTTACGAAAATCACAATGACAATCAATTCAACTGTCAAATCGATCGTCCGCAGGATCCCTCTAATGCAGACGAGATGATGTACGTCATGAACCACTTCTTGTATGGTTCCTTGAAAATTGGGTCCTTGCCCGTTGACCTTCCACAGCCTTCTCTTGCCAATAACACCAACGGCCAAACGCTCCAAAACCACGCAGATAACTGCACAAATATCTTCCATCGTCCACCGAACTTTATTGAAATCGATTTTTACGAGTAAGTTGAGAGGGTTGTACGGTCTCGAATACCTATCAATATGTTGCTGATAGGTTACTTCTGCAGGTCGGGTACAACTTTTCAGGTGATAGACAAGCTGAATAATATCAATTACACGCCAAAGACGTTGGGAGATGGAAGCAACAATCAGAAGAGCGTTAACGGAACCACCAGCAGCAGCGGTACTGACTCTTTTGATGAAGTGGCACTTAATACGGCTGCTGCACTTGCATTTGTAGCCATTGCCATTACCATTTTGTGTTAACACAGACACAAGCAAACATTTTGATTTTATATCATTTTATACACCTCTCACATATAACAATTTTTTTCTCATTCCCTGTCCACCATCTTTTGGAACAAACTGTATATCCTTTTCTTTGGTCATTTTTCTTCTCTGGAAATACACCACTGTATAATAAACTCAAAAGAACAATGATAAATACTATCCATCCATCACTTTCGAATTGATCAGTACTTTGCATCAATGATGTAAACCCAGACCCCTTTTGCACTTTATTCTCTCGTGCATTTCAATTCTGTTTCTCCGGTACAATGTGGCACTGGAACTGCTGCAATCAACTAGTGGAACCGGACGGCAGCGAGCATGACATTGCCCAAACTATAGTGGACGAACAAGTTCCCAGCGTCAGTTCGGGTCAGCTCTCAAGCGCGGCTCCATCGTTTACTCACGTACCCAAAGTACAACCAGAGGCGCAGCAAGGCTCATCTCTTTCTGAAACGAACGTTAGGACCAAGGTCAGTCAAGGCAAAAAACGTCTACAGGTGTTTCAAAATCTCAGCGACCGAGGGGGGTCATAGAACGAATGCATGAACCTTTTCGTTTCTATTTTGAAAAAAAGTGGAACAGAGAAATAAACACACAGGCCACGTAGGGAAAATAAAAAAAAACAAGAATAATGTATTAATTTGGGGGGTATATCAAGAGATTATAAATTCGAAAGAAAGTTTCGTTGGATTTGCATCTACTCGCCAACCCAACCTCCACCACGTTTGACCCACTTGCCCAGCATGATAGACAAATCCCGAATGACAAAGCTACACACCGTCGTGTGCATGGCAAGGCAGATGGAGCCGATTTTCTGAACCACAGCATCCAGCTGTGGCTTCTTGTCATGAGGTTGATAAGGGTCCAATAACAGTGCGTGGTAGTGACGCAGCCAAGCATCTGGATAGAACGGTCAGAATCCAGTGTAGGTGCAGAAGGTCAAATGATGGTAATGCTTACCTAGCACATGCACGGATCGGAACAAACGAACCAGCGTATCGACATATTGATGGGGGTCATCAGTACTGTTCACACCATGACAAAGAATTTTAGTTTGGGATGGCAGGCATTGAGTTCTAAGCGCACCATCATTTTTTACCTTTTGGTCAAGTTGAAGGCATTCATCCGTTCGACTGATTTTGTAAACTTTGAGCCCCAGGCAATGATCGACTGTGGAAGAAGAAAAAACATGTATGAGCAAAAACCGGGAATCAAAACAATGAAGTCGACATGTCCACCGACTGCGTCACTTACCTGGTGCTTACGAGCTTGTGTTTCCTTGCGATAGATTTCAGGTTCTTCATTGGGCAAGCTGTGTTCTGATCGTGATCTAGGCATGCCTAACTTTCTAGTTAACGATACTTTGGCGTTCTCCAAAGTATTCTCTATGGCCGCTAATTGCGCCAATGTGCCTCTTATATCGTCGAGTCGCTGCCACGCTTCCAGGCGGGTCAGAGCCATTAACAAAGTTTCACATATGCTAACTTTGACATCTACCGACGGTAACCGAATATTAGGTTGGTACCTGTCATAGCAGAATTTTAGAAAATTACATGGCATGGGCCAAAAAATGATCCGACTTCGCAAACCTTACCATAGATTCTTAGGTACATAAAGTCGCTGAGTAATATGACAGCCAACGGTCATACTTAGTTCTAACGAGCGCATTAATGAAAGCGCCTTGATGGTGGCATTGCGGTCAAAGCGTTCACCGCTGCCTTCCGCAGAGCCAACGCGCAATACTTCGGCAGGAGCACGCTGCCCGGTCAAACGAGCGAATGCCTGATTAGCATTGGTTTCATGGTCTTCTTGACTGGGAGATGCACTACGGTAGACGCTGGTAGCAAGGAGAGAGCTTTTGCGAGCTCTAGGAATAGTGTGACCAATGATACTGTGAGTTCGTGGCGGAGGTTTAAGATGTTGTGCGGATCTGTTGTTGACAGTCGAATGGAATGGAGGAGGTGGAGGGTTGGAAAGATCAACGTCTGTAGGACTTTCCGATAATACACTGGCCAGTGTTTTAACAGGATCATCTAATTCATCTGTGACAACACTCAAGGATTCTGTATTTTGGGTAAGATCGACAGCCTTGACAGCTGAGAACGGAGGGTCAGCTGGCGGTGGTGGGACAGGCAAGCTAGGAGACTTCTTTTTTGGTGGTAGGGAGGTCACTTTCGGTATCTCCAGACTCAGTTGGGAACGGTTCTTCGTGCTGGTTTCTTTCAATTGTTGAGGCGGTTGAAACGGCGGAGGAGGAGGAATGTTGAATACAGATACTCGCTGATTAGTCATTTCACTAAAGCTGGCACTTCGTCGATTGGTTTTACGTCGTGTGGACGGTTTGCCCGGTGTTGGAGTACTGGTGGATGGCATCATGACAATATGAGTGGGTGGGGCCTGAACATTTGCGATTCGCACGGTGTTTTCGTCGGTACTACTGGTTGGCACGGGTTGTACCTGTGAAAGATATTCCATCCATGGAGTTCAAATCAGCCACAATGGATTGAAAAAATAAGGAGCGTTGGTCATCTCATTTTTTCCTTGCAAGGCGATGAAAGGAGGTAGAGAGCCAAAAATAAATTTGAAAACAAAATTTCTCACCTCAGGCTCACTTGGTAGTGGCAGTTGTGCTGGTGGTGGAGGCGTGGTAGCTCGAGGGGGCGTGGCAGGGACACTCTGCTTACTGAGTTTTGATAAAAGTCGTATTCGTTCGGAGTACGTTGCATGCTATGTGGATGATTTGGAAGAAACGGAAGTATCAATTGAACGTTAGCTTTTACGGTCCAGGACTTCTTCATATTAGAGTCGAAAACCCCACACGAATAGTTAAAATACAAGCAAATTGCACGTACAATGTCACGAAGTTTGGCTTTGTCAGACTCGTTTTCCATGGATCCAAGAACAATGTCCAATAGACGTACAGCTTCAGAGTAAGCTTCAACCGCACCATCGACATTGTTGGCAGTATCGCTCAGGACGGCATCGTTGGCTAATGCAAGAGCTTTACGTAAAATAGCCTTAGATGACGGTCGCGGTTGAGGTGGTTCTTCAGATGTAGGCTTTTCTCCTTCAGATGGAGACGTCACAGCTGCAGGAATCACCTGAGTGGACATGAATGGATCAGGGAAGAGATGGTTTCCGGGATGATGAGAAGGTGGGATGGAACAAAGGAACACTCAAGTGGCAAGTAGAGGAACAAAAATGGGCAAAATTGCAGATTTAATGGAGTGGCTTATTTGCCCCTCCGCTTTCTAACTAACGGCCGGCCTAATCTTAGTGCCAGCCTGGCCCAGGCAGCATTTTTGGGGAGGGAAATAATGCTCTGGTCTCTTTCCCTCCAAATCAACCGAAAATTACAATGGCTAACAGTTAATAATATAAAAGAAAAAGTACATTGGATTAAAAGATGAAGATAGCATCTAGAGGTTTAAACTTAAGCGACTTCAGAAAACACCTTGTCATCTGGGGTAGCGTCGATCTCGGCGGTATTCTTCTCCTGCTTGTTGTCAAAATCGACTGAATGCAAAGAGCTCGTGGTGGACTCAACATTGCGGACAGGACCCTTGAATACATATCGACCACGAACAACCCAGTAGATGCCTACAATGACCCAAAGAGCTCCGAAAATTGCAATGGCATAATTCATGTTGGCAGCCGTGACAGGGTATTCAGTGGGGAGAATAAACAGGATGGAAATGAAGCAGATCCAACAAATGGCAATGATGCCATTAATCTGACTGTACTTTCCAAGGTTAAAGGGTCCGGGCACAAAGGTATCTCGAGTCAACAGAAGACAAAGGGTAGGAAGGCCGTAAGTGATATACAGTGAAATGGTACAGACACTGGTAATGGCAACGAAGGCGGTCTCGCTTCCCAAATATGGTAAACCTAGAAGGGCGGCCACGAATAGGAGGGCCCATACTGCAATAACGGGAGACTTGGTATTGGGGTCAAGTTTGTGAAGCGTTCCACTAAACGGCAATGCACCATCACGACTTAAAGCGTAGATCAAGCGGGCATTGGAGGTTGTACCAGCATTGGAGCAAAAGAATACACCGACAATGATGATCACCATAGCCAAAATGGCACCAGTTTTACCGAGGGCATCCAAAAAAACTTGAGCAATGGGGATGGTGCTTGAATTAATGACCCGATCATAATCTTGGATAGAAAATGTCACCGCCAAAAGGAAAGCTAGACCGAGAATGGAAGTAACCAATATAGAGCCCAAGATTGAAATTGGTCCTCCTCTCTGAGCGTTCTGTGTTTCTTCGGTCTTTTAAAACATTTAGGTTAGAAGAGAATATTTTCTGGGGCAATACTGTTAAACGCTAGCTTACCATGTGAGCAGCCGAATCGTATCCTGTAAAAGAATATTGCGACTGGAGCAATCCAAGTAAAACAACAAATCCATTATTGGACCAGCCAGTGTGGTTTTCAAAGTCGGTGAATACAAATTTAGCGGAAGCTGGAGTGGCTCGAGTACAGACCAACAAAGCGATGATGAGAATCCAAGTGCCGATGATGTGCCAATACACTAAAAAAACAGTTCAGTACGTATAATTTCATGAGTCGCGTTCAGCATAGTCTACTCACTGGATACAACATTCATGATACCAAGAGAATTATTGGCAAAGGTGTTCAATAAACCAACAATGAATAAGATGGCGATGTATACTCCGACGGTAGCACCTGGAGTGGGGACCCATGTTTGATCTGTTCCTATGGAGATGGTGGCGACTACAATCAATGCCAAACCAAAAGCAACGGCAGCTGTACCAGCCAGTTGACCAATGAGATTGAACCATCCCGTAAAGAAGGATAGAACGGGCTTGTATTTTGGACGAGACAGCGCAGCCGACCAATAATATAAACCTCCGCTTGTGGGATAAGCACTGCACACTAAAAAAAAAAATTACCCAAATCTTAACATTCACGTGCATCCGGATGAGGGCAGGGGCAACCCTCACTTAAACGTAAAAGAAAAAAAAAACCCTTACCTTCAGCCATCGACAAGGCTACTGAAAATGTCATGAGCGTAACAAATATCCATCCGAATATGATAACGACCTATATTTCAAGATGAGTTCTGCTGGTCAATACTGATGACATAATGGCTTATATCTTTTTGTTGCTCAGCCCATCCATCAAACATTCCTAGGCTGTCGTTTCCACCAAAATAAACATGCCTGTCTGTCCTCTACTCGCAATACACATTCAAACTACTTACAGGGCCACCTAGTGCGCAGGAAGCAGTTAGCACGACGGTCCTCAATGTCAGAATTTCAAATCATATGCTCGTAGAGCCAATATACGTACCAGTCACCAACGCTGTTCCGTACAACGGTGTAAGTCCACTCAGAATACTCATGGTAGAAAAGCATAAGCAAAAGTTTCGAAATGATGACCATGTTCGTCGTAGTTCCTGTTGCATCGAAGAATAGCGTTAACAGCGAAGTAGTAATCTGGTAGTCGTTGAAACGACGGCTTGCCTGTTTGTATCCCATCTGTTGCAGGATGGCCTCATCATTACTCATTTCAACCATGGTAGGTAAAAGAAGAAAGAAAGGAAGAGATAGATATCAAATGGAAGAAATAATGGAAAGCCTGGCTTAGTCCTGAATTGCTGCTTTTTATGGTTTTTTTTCTCAGTAGGTTTTTTTTTTTTCGGCTGGCGGAAGAACAAACCGGTGAGTGTTTCTTAAATTTTTGGCAGTGCAGCCTGACACAAGCTTTCATAACGGCAATTGTTGCTCATGTGACACAACTTTGACTTTTGATGCTACTACTTCTTAAGTGTTGTCTGATATGACCTCATAAGAAGTTGGTACACCGTTTGCCCCACTGAATTCCTTATCGGACCTTTGCAACAAACAGTCTCCATTCCACTCCCACACTTAATAGACCAGGGCAACCATCAAAAGTTCTCAATTCCATGTATAATATCGTTTACTTAGAGTAGAGCGTTCTTATGCGCCATATCGATTTGGCTGCTTACTTGCAGAACCATCAAGATCAATGCTGCCCTCAGCCGAGTCAAAGTCATGGACAGGAGTTGGGGTCGGTTCTGAGTCTTTTATCGGTCCGTGAAATATTTTTCTGCCTCGCGCGAACCAATAAATACCAATCAAGATCCATAACACACCAAACATGGCAATGGCATAATTCATGTTACTGGCAGTGACAGGACCCTGTGTAGGGAGCAGGAAGAGGACCGAGATAAAACATATCCACGCGATGGCAATCATACCAATCCACTTGCTCCACTTGCCAAGGCTGAAAGGTCCAGGTACAAAGTTTTTGCGACCAAACATGAGACACAAAGTTGGAATGCCGTAAGTGATGTTGAGAGAAATGGTAGACACACTGGTAATTGCCAAAAATGCAGTTGAACTCCCCAAATACAACAATCCCATGATGCCAGCGGCAACAGCTATGGCCCAGACGGCGGCAATAGGAGTTTTAGTCTTCGGGTGGAGCTTGTAAAGAGTTTTGCTGAATGGCAAAGCCCCGTCGCGACTTAGTGCGTATATCAATCGAGATGTTGAGGTGACAACGGAGCAGCCACAGAAAAAGACTCCTCCCACAAGGATGCACAGACACAGCACAGCTCCTAGCTTTCCAAGAGCATCCAAAAACACCTGCGCGATCGGTATGCTGCTGCTGCTGATGACACGATCATAATCCTGGATAGAGAATGTCAAAGATAGTAGGAAAATCAATCCAATGACGAAGGTTGCTAATATAGCTAGTAGCATTGAGATTGGGCCACCTCTTTGGGCATTCTGCGTTTCTTCAGTCTAGTAAGAATGTCAGACGAGTGATGCATATCTCCTTCTAAATGCAATTCCCTGCTGCCTTACCATGTGTGCCGCAGAGTCGTACCCAGTCATGCTGAATTGAGATTGCAGTAAGCCGAGTAGTACTACATATCCACTGTTCTCCCAACCAGTGTGATTTTCAAAGTCGGTGAAAACAAATTTGGCTGATTGTGGCGAGTTTCGAGTGCATAGCAGCAGAGATATAACGATAATCAGTGTTCCTGCTAAATGCCAATACACTAATAAAAGTTCAGTCAACAGCCTGTGCTTCAAAGTTTTAAGCAAGCGTGAACTTACTGGATATCATCATCATGATATTGATGACTCGGTGAGCAAAGGTGCTTATCAAGCCTTGGATAACTATAACGCAAAGGTAGACAAATACAATGGAAATTGGGGTGGCTATCCAAGCTCCATCGGTGGCAATCGTAATAGCGGACGTGAGAAGCATGCTTAGACCAAAATTGGTTGAGGCATATCCTGTAAGGTATCCTATCAAATTGAACCAGCCGGCGAAGAACGATACAACAGACCTATACTTTGGCTCGGATAGAGCCGCAGACCAATAGTATAGGCCACCACTTGTCGGGTATGCGCTGCAAACTGTTGATGGAAACATATGAGGATGTCTCTGCAGGAGGGTCATCTGTTGTTCTGAGTCAGAAATTGAATCACTGTACCTTCTGCCAATGACAGTGCAACTGTGAGTGTAATGCAGGTTACTACGACCCATCCAAAGATGATAACAACCTGTAAAGATTTTGAACGGGCAAGGAGAAGTTAGGCCCCCCGCTTTAACCGTCGACCTCCACCTTAGCAGCCAGCGTCCCTGAATGTCCACTTCGGTGCCTAATTTATCCATCGACTTACCGGACCACCTAAATGGATGATGCATTGTTCATATCAATGAATAAATGCACTATCATTGCAATGGTTGAAATCAGTCATGTAACGTACCCGTTATCAACGCTGTCCCATATAGCGGAGCGATACCCACAAATATGCTCATGACAGAGAAGCATAGACAAAAGTTTTGGAATAGTGACCAGCTCCGCTTCAGCTCCTACGTCAATTTATCAACGACTTTTGGTGAATCCTCAGCACAATACTTTCCTTTTGTGCCACACCATTTACCTGCTTATAGCCCATTGTTTGCAGAATATACTCATCACTTTGAAGTTCGACCTTCATTGTGTTTTGGACGCTGGATGGGATGTATGAGACAAGAGAGATAAACCTGAGGAATTCATAGGTGCAATGGGGGGTTTATATTGCAGCTAGGAGTCGAGGTTGGAAAGGGATCACGCCCTTTGCGCATACTCTAGATTGGATGGTTTATCAAACCAACCTAACACTTCTCCTTCCCATAGTTATAATTCAAAGCGACACACTTTTGATCCAATGACGCATTGGATGTGATGTTGGGCTAGACTAGAACCCAACCACTTTCTATTGTTATCTTATAATATATCTGGCCAAAAGAATCATATTCTGTTTTCCTCAGGTAGAGCATTTAACGAGCATTCATCAACCTCGTGCCATTGCTCAAAGGGGTCATCCGGGCTGGAAAATGTTAGGTTTAGATAGCGGATAACATACCTACGATGCTATGCACAAAGAATGGCGGTTGATAGCAAATAGCAGATAGAATCACTGCCAAGTTACACGAGAAGGCCATTCAGAGTAGAGGAGTAACCACCATTGCCAAACTCTGGAGCGGTAGGCATGGTTAGTCAGAGCAGAGACGGAGAAGGGCAAGACAAGAGGGGTAAGTGGCTGGTGTAAGATAGTGGTTCGACATTTTTTGCATTTCGTGCACAGCAGCAGTAAATGTAAATTGCTTTGAGCAAAGTCAGTGATCATGTCGTCTGAATTTCATGGTTGAGTCCCTTATAGGGAAACAGGAAGTAGAGCATATTTTCTTTCATATTTTACCAATTCCTTTTTTTGGGGATGTTTATTCAGAGGTTGACAGCTGGAAAAATATAGTGATGTCTGTGAACTTAAAGTTGTGGTGCATAAAATTCCACTTTCACACTGGTTTTCATCCTATACTACCCGGAAGTGACAATGAACAATCCCACAGCGCGGGATTTTTTTTTTTTTTTCAGTCAATCCTGATAATGTGGACATAGTTTGCGCCATGTTTTTCTCTTCTGACTTTTTTACTTTACAGAAGTTGCCATCCCGCTGTTTCGGTACCGCCCGCATCAAGCTGTTTCCAGGTAGTCAGCGCGGCTTATCTTTTTTCGTCAAAGCCTTACCCCCCAGGAAGAGAACGGGCGGTGGCTGAAATGAGTCCAGAGTGGGTTCATATATTACGATGCACAGGATCAATCAAGCGGTTTGCATGCCAAAAGCATCGATGAATCAGTTTCATTTGTATTTTATCAAGCTGTAACGTGGCATGGCACAACACTTGCAAGGCATCGATGCATAGGGACACGTTTGGTTTGTTTGGTGCGTGAACTCCGATGTAGAAATGGTCGCTCTCACTGTGTCACCGTACGGTCTGCATAAACAGAATGAAATCACAGCTAGAATCTCAGTTTCCTCAGCAGCCAGACGATAAATGATGACAGGTTTCAGCTAGAGGTTATGTTATGGGTAGTGCGGCCATGGGACGCAGAGCGATTGGAATGGCGGCAAGTGGGTCTACTTAAAAACCAAGTGAACATGCGTCAGTAGCACACATTTTCCTATACACGCCATTTCTGCCATGTACGACATTCCTATATGATTGGCTCGATCTCCCATATCCTTGCTGAACACTATATTTATACTGGGCCAGCTTAAACTGAGTATTAAATATGCTCAGGTCAGTGCAACTACCCAAACCCCAGCAAGCAAAAATTTTCACGGGAACTGTAGTGCCTCGCCGCCCAAGTCCGATGGGCGGGCTTTCAATGGTAGTATGGATGAGAGTCGGTCTGACGCAGATGGTAGCAGAAGACAATAGCAGAGAAACGGTATTTTTGGAGTAAGCTGTGAATCATCATACTCGTGGCTGGAGGGACAAGATTTTCAGGATTGCATTTTTTTAAGATTTTCTTTATCAAACTGAGGTATCACCATTGCTAGTCCTCGCTCTATCATTTTTGGACAATCGCTGAAACCTTTTTTTTATTATCCCAAACAGTTTCCAGAACTCTGGCAACCCCAATTTCCCAAGCCGGTAGTGCGATGGCTCATTGAATATCTTTGTGAATGGAAAAGCTATCCTGAATCCAAATCCCCACCACTCACAACCGAAGAAACCGAAAAAAAAAATTCCACGGTAAACAGACAGTCCGCTCACAGTCACAGAGAGCCATTTTCAAACGAGCCATTTCCTGTTGACCTCTCTGCTCACTTGCTGGCTGGCTGGCCCTGGAACTGGAACCCAAGTATTTTAGATAGTTTTTTTCTCTTCATTGCTGGGCACTTCTTCTCTCTCTCTCTTCGCTCGCTCTTCTCTTCAATTTCAAGTAAAAAGAATTGCTTTTGCTTTTCATTGCTTGACCATTTTCTCGACATTCGGTCATCTCCGCTCGGTTTCAACCCAGCGCTCCCGCCCTCTCACGAGCATTGCTATAAGCTGCAACCTAGCGACTTTTCCGGAGCGCCCTGTGGAACTTCACTTGAACATAGCCCAAAGGCACCTTTTAAATATTTTTTTTTTTAATTCAATCAATTTTTTTTTTTAATTGCTCTCATAATCGCATCGCTTTCCAGGACTTTTTTTTCTCTTTTCCTTTCTTCTTCCTTTCCTGTTTGATTTTTTCTCTTCTTCATAAAAAGCCCTCCTTCCCAAGCTGTTCCCCCGCTTCTCTTCTTCTTCATAGTTTTAATTCCCAATTCCCATCCATTTTCTCGTTTAGAAAGTAGATAATTTTTCCCCACTTCTTGTTTTCTATACATAATTCTTCCTTCAGTCAGCTTCTCGATCTCGCTCACATGGATAATCTGATGTATCACAATTCCACCACATACTCTTCGACACCAAGTACTTCGTCGCCTTCATCAAACTATCCAAACAAGTACGACTACATATCGGTGGTTAAATCATCGTCACACCCGTACGGATATAACAATGTGCCTCCATTATCAGTCGACCCCAACCAAGCTCAGGAACCGATGCCACAACCTGCATTGTACAATGGTGGTCCTTCTTCGATAACGAACCCTGGCCATATATTGACTCCATCAGCAACCCCTCCACAACCCTATTGGAACACTCCATCCTACTCCGACCTTCATTTTAACGATCCACGCACCTCTTCTCAGCCATCACCACAACCCACACGCACTTTATCGCATGAACCTTCCTCAATGATGTATATGCCCACTTACGATCCTTCTTCATTTCAACAACCTCCTAATCATACCATTTCATTTCCTGCAACCACTCCTCCTCTCCCTACTCCGCAACCCACCACCGCGCCACACCAAGATCCAAACTCTATGTATCGCCCACCAGCCATCAATTACTCTCGACCAAAGTTATCAACCACTATATGGGAGGATGAAGGCACTGTATGTTATCAAGTGGATGCCAAAGGCATCTGTGTCGCACGCCGACAAGGTAAGAAAATAAAAAAGTGACCCGGGGGGGAAGGGGAATCAGGCTTGGGTGCACGCTCTGAGGGGGACATTATTTTTTTTTTTCTCTTGCTCTATTTTTCTCCGGTTCGCTCATATCCCCTTTCTTTTTTAGACAACGATATGGTGAATGGTACCAAATTACTGAATGTGGCTGGCATGTCTCGTGGAAAGCGGGACGGCATACTCAAAAATGAGAAAGGACGTGTGGTGGTTAAAGTGGGAGCCATGCATCTCAAAGGTGTTTGGTAAGTGTGTTACCTTGCGGACGATTTGGCACCAAACCATTGTTACTCTGTGTTAATCGTCACCTTTTTTTTTCGGGGGGTCCAGGGTCACATTTTCTCGAGCCAAAACTCTCGCATCGCAATACAAGATTTCAGACATACTGTATCCTCTATTTGTCAATGATCCTAGCGTATTTCTCTATTCCACCACTTTGCCATCTACACCGCGTCCTTCCACTTACAACCGACAGATCCCACAACGGTCAATATCATCCAATACTTCCATTACATGGCAATCTGGCTCTTCGAATGAAAACGATCAAGGTAAGATGGCTGGTTTAATTTAGCTCTTGGGGTTGATGAGTTGCCTTATTGTGCAAATTCCAATTTATTATTCCTTATTATTTACGCCATCTTTTTTTTTTTTTTCTATACATAGCTTATGATACAGGCTTTCCAAGCTCCACTCAATCTCAGCAACAACAAGCTTCTGTACAAACCGATATCTTGTCATCGGACAATTCATATATATTAGATTACTCTCGGAACCAATTTACTGTGCCTGCTACCATGGTGCCTTACAATCAACCGGTACCAGACTATTTCGCTTCAGAAAGTGACAATTCGCGCTACAGGATGTGAGCTCGTCCTCTGATGTTTTTGTAAAAAAATAAAACAAAAAAAAAACCATTGCTTTTTTTTGGTGGAGACATCGAATGTAATATCTCCACCGCCACCTACTTAACCCAACATGTATGGAGGGGGGAGGGGCTGGTAGAAAGACATCCTATCATTTGTCAGCCACTTTACTATGTTCACGACAATGTGTGGGTTGGACCAAAGACGCTGCCCGGTGACCAAGCCAGACTCTTTGGGTAACTTGTGTTGATTGGCCGCACGATCTTCCATCCAGCTGTTGGCTGGCCATCCATGGAGGGAATTGCCTCATATAGGAATTACATATCCTCTGTGGAAACAATTACGTTAACATGGGAATCGGTGCAAACCATGAACTTTGGCATAGTTTGTGACGACCGATCTGTTCGCATGGAAGTACCGAGCAAAACAGAAAAACCTTATTCCAAGCAAACTTTCTTTTGGGTGGGTGGGTTCTTTGTTTCCAATTCATGTTGAGCGAGGTCACTATCCCCGAGATCCAAAATGCTCCATATATGATGTTGCCGATGCTACTGGGTTCAGCCGCCCTGGGTAGAACCAAGAATAGCCTGGGCTGGCTTTGGATGATACCATGCAATATTCAAGCACAGCGGCTCATGCCGGGCGGCGGATATTTCAACCAGCTAACTATTTTTTTTTATTTTTTTTTCAGTTCCATCGAAGGCGATTCACCTCGATGCAAATCTCAAAGCGAAGTAGCGCAACATCTTCCCAATAAAGAGGTCATGGGTGTGGAGCCCAGATCCTTCTTACAGCGGTCTGTCCTGAATGCGATCATGCACAAAATAGCACAGTATAAACATTGGCAAACACTAGAGCAATGCATGTGGAGTGGACTTACTTGAAGAGGAACACATTGTCGAGCATCAAGCAATCGAGTAAGTCGGTTTGGAGCTGCTGATTGACCGCACGGTACAGCAATAGCACAGCCTCGTTTTTTTTTTTTTTTTTTTTTTTCTTCCTTCGAGCGAGATGGAAGAAGAGAGGAATGTAGGCTAGTGTTCTTTAAGCAAAGGACCTTGTACATAGATGCATCCAAGCACCATATTAAAGTTTGTTTCAAATAAATTAGAATACTTGTCTAACTCATCCTAGTTCACAGGTGTTTTGGCTGGGCAGGAAACTCTGATCGTTCAACGTATCTACTCCATGCCACCTTTAATGATATGAAACATCAACTTGCTTCGGCAGGAAGGCATCTTGGGTATATATGCTGAGCAAGAGAACGTGTTCAGATAATTGAATGTTTCTGACTCACTACTGATCGGAATAATCATCGTTAAAACGATCATCCAGCAACCAACCAAAATTCTATCCTTGCCCTTTACTGAGGGTCCCCGTACCACATCTGACCAATTGTAACCTCATCCAAACGGAAAAAGTGCAAGGCTCTCATCAGAATGGGTGTCTTTAATGTTGTTTAAGCACACTTATGAGGGAGGCTCCAGCATCAAGATTATGTCATTTTATTGCCCGCTTTAAGGTGAAAGGAGCCTAAATTTGGAGCACAGGTAGTAGTTGACAATAAAAAAAATCGTCTCAAGTCAACTTCATTGCCATTTACCTCACCATGCTGGACAAACTCCCCGTGGGTACCTTAATTCTAGCGTCTATAGAGGTACTGTATTATTGATGTTCCAAAGGTGCTTTACCCATGTGTTAATCTGATTCATTCATTTCTCCACACGTCAAACTTGCCGTCCCTTAGTCTACTTCACAGACGCTATTGACCATCGGCATAGGGTATCTTTCAGCACGGTCAGGATTTCTAAACGACAAGTCACAGAAAGGATTACAGAAGCTCACCATCAATGTGTTGACGCCAGCGCTATTGTTCGCAAACGTGGGCGCCCAAATTGACCTGCAAAAATTGATCACTTTGTGGGCCGTGCCAGCATTTTATGTTGGATACATTTGTATTGGATTCATCATTGCCTTGATGGCTGGAAAGATATGCAAATTCGACTGGGCCGCTTGCAAATTCGTAGCCGCCGGCGTCATCTTCCAAAACACCACGTCTCTTCCAATTGCCTTAATTCAAAGTATGGCGTCCACTAGGGCTATTGCGCTGCTTATGAGAGAGGACGACACACCTAGCGCGGCAACGTCAAGAGGCATCTCATTCATTTTGATTGCCTCACTTTTGTCTAATTTATTTCGGTACAGTGTTGGTACATGGCTGTTCAGTGATTCGGACCGAAAACGGACCAACGAGAGTGATAGTGAAGACGGCGAATTACTTGATACCACGCCATTACTTAATGCCACTCCCCGTCGACGCAAAATCGCAGGCATGGCCGTTAGCGGATGGCATCGTGCTCGGGAAATCTTTAACCCTCCTCTGCTGGCTGCTATCGTTGCCTTGATTGTTGGCATCACGCCCCCACTGAAACATCTCTTCTTCAGCCAGGACGGCGTGTTCTACAGCTCATTGACAGCTACTATACGACAGCTAGGTCAGGCATGCATCCCCATGGTCATGATTACTTTGGGAGCCGAGCTCTATACTCTTCCACGCGACACCTCTTCCTCTACCAAGGAGATGGTCACCGCTATCATTCTTCTCAAGATGCTTGTCATGCCTATTTTGGGCGGCGCAGCCGTCCTTTCATTACGCCAGTGGGTCACAGATGACCCTATGATGTTGTTTGTATTGATTCTATTAGCGGCTTCACCAACAGGTATGTTTCTTATGGAGGGTAGGTAGGGGTGGTACTTGTGATTAACGTGAGCGAAAAACTCTTCTTTCATTTAGCCATCAATCTTATGACCATCTCTCAAATGACGAGGCGGTATGAAAGTGAAACAGCTACTGTGTTGTTTTATAGTTATTTAGTGGCTGCATTCACTCTTACCATTGCCGTATCTGCCATTTTACTCATTTTCCAATATAAACTTTAGCTGTGGTCACAAGGAGGATAGTCAATTGTAGACCAGGGAATCCAAAAAGTTGTAAAAGCGTATGCTTGTATTTTTCATTGAACAAAAGAATAAAAAACACAGATGTATTTATTTTCAATGTTCCCATTTTTTTTTAATTGGGACGAGTGCGCGAGCGGACATTTGGATACGTTACGACTTGTCTGATTTTTTTCCAGCTTGCCATTGACACATTGACGCAAACCCACCATGGTAAGTGAGCCCTTGCGCTGATTGCATGCTTCGTCTCAGTTCATTCCCTCAACATATTTATGAATCACATCCACAGTCTGTCACACTGCACACCGATCTTGGCGATCTGAAAATAGAAGTCTTTTGCGAAGCCGTCCCGAAGGCAGCAGAGGTGGGTTACAATCACGCAGCATGATCACCAAAGACAGACAATAACTCTTGCACAAAGAACTTCCTTGCGTTATGCGCTAGTGGATACTACGACAACAACCTCTTTCATCGAAATATAAAAGGATTCATGGTCCAGGTAAGACCCCCCGTGGACCGATTTAGCCGTCATGTCAAGTCAGTTTACTCAACCTTATGTCATCGTAGACGGGAGATCCAACGGGGACAGGAAAAGGAGGGAACTCAATATGGGGCCGTAAATTCAATGATGAGATCCGGTCTACGTTAAAGGTAGGAAAGGCTGCTAGTGATTACTTTCCTGGCTAGTTGCTAATATCCATTTCAGCACAATGCCCGTGGCATACTTGCCATGGCCAACTCTGGCCCTAATACCAACGGATCCCAATTCTATATCACTTATGCTAAGCATGCCCATCTAGACTCAAAATACACAGTTTTCGGAAAGTACGTACACCCCCCCCCTTCAGTTTACTGGATCAAACAGCCAACCCGTACTAACCCATCTTTTTGGTTTAGGGTCATAGACGGCGCTGATTCCACTTTAGAAGCCATTGAAAAAGTTCCTGTTGATGAAAAGTACCGTCCTCGACAGGAAATCCGTTTACGAAGCGTTACTGTACATGCCAACCCTATTGCGGATCGCGACTTGTAGATTCATGTTACAGATGGTGGTATCCACCACCATCTGTAACATGAAGCCCATTGTAGTTGTGTTCTTAATGATCTATGTGAATATACTGAAGTTTGAGGGTCAAATTGAATGGTGGGGTTATGAATATTTAGGTTATCATGAGCCAAGATGTGTATGCAGTGTGGCTATGTGAGGTTTTTGCAGTACATTAGAGTGAAACTTCATCAAGTGAGATTCCATGGCGGTGTAAGAAGGTAATCATGCCTATACAATGTGTTTGTATCTAGCTTTGTGTGTTTGGCTACAGTATTGCATATTCCCTTTGCAAATGGCTATGAAACAAATGGGCAAACATATCACAGCTTGGGGGTCGTCAACAAAGTCAACATTTTTCAAAAGATGTTAACCCCACGAATCACCATGAAAGAGTGTGAGAGCCAAAAAGAAAAATATATTCAGCAAAGTGTGCACAGTGGGGTACACCGCCTTCAAGAAAGGACGCTGTATGCCTTTTGTCTAGAAAAAGCAACGTCGTACATTGAAATAATACTTGGCTTCCGCAGCTTCTGTTGGGCCATGGTGCTGCATTCTACCCAGTACCTTGGTACAAGCCCATCGGTCTGTAGTGGTTTTTAAAATGGCTGACAAAAAAGCGGCCCATGACTACGCGGACATCATAATCGCAAAGTGAATTTGGCCAAAACGTGGGGTGTCGTATTGACGAATATTCAATCATCGAGAAAAAAAGTTCAGGTCACGAAATATCTCACTGTGGTTCGTTCGGCTTTTGGAACTCTTCCGTGAGCAGTTACACGCCAGATTTTGATGAAAACGCTGCTGTCGTCGTCTGTCAACAGAGCATGCCTTATGGCGTCACCATGTCTGTCGGCAGTAACAGGGTTTGCTATTCTGACACTGACATACCTCTCTACGCCGGATCGCACTCCTTCCCATTCTGCCATTACCCCCCGGAGCCAACCCCGTACTTGGGAGGGAGGAATGCTAGTCCACAGACTGGAAAATAATATAGTGCAGAGTGTGTACGCTGCTCAAAACAAACCTACGTAAATATTTGAAGGAAATGTATGGCCTCCTTCGAAGGCTTCCTTTGCGTGCTCTAACCCCCTTTTCTTCCACCAAAGCTGAAACAACAGCCATCCGCCTTCCATTGAAGAAGGCTGGTAGATCTAACCCATGAACGGCCAACAAATCGAGCGCATGAAGTCATATAGATTCCAAACTTGGGTGCATGCAACGACCAACAAGGCTGACCCAAATGAACAAGCAACACTGTCTCTTTTTTTTTTTTTTTTTTTAAAAAAAAAGGATATGAAATATAAAAAGAATAACTCAAATGGTGTTGAGCCGCAAACAACGTTGGCCGATGGTGCCAATGGGAAGTTCCCTCAAAATAGACCATTTCATCAGCTGGCTCACCCCTTCCTCCTCGATTTCACGGCGCAAGTCATAATTGCCGGAAAACAAGGAGGTTTCGCTGAGCCCTCGTGGAACGAAATAGCAGCTCCAAAAGCGGTAGAGAAGGCAAACGCCCATGAAAGACCGGTTGTAACACCATGGTCGGAAGCATTTTAGAGATCTTGTGTAAAAAAGTATATGTATATTGATGTGTACTATATAAAAAATCTTTTTTTCTTTTCTTACGGGGAAAAACTATATGGCGAGGAATAATGTAAAGGATGAACGAATAAACACAAGCGGGGTAAAGGGAGCATTTCTACAAACATATAAAATCAAAAACACACATTTATCGAACAGATACATAATAACCAGATTGATGAGGATGATATGGATAGCTGACGCCGTTTGGTATAATCATTTGGCCACTGTTGGGATCGACAATAGGAATGCCGTAACGTCGTGTGGACGACCAAGATGGAGTAGTGGGTGCTGATGGTTCTTGTTGGAGTGGAACGGAATATTGAAGTGGATTAGGGTTATTGTTGGTTGTAGTCCGCTTGCTCGGGTCAACGATGGGGACCGCCCGTGTCCTCGGTGACTGGCGAAGTGGTGAAGAGCCTTGATGGTATGCGTTTGTTCGGGTGGGTGACGAGGATGGAGACGACCGTGGGGAGGTTCGAAATCGTATCCTTTCACGATGTTCTGCTACTTGTGGTAACTATGCACCACCGTCAGCGGGTTATTTTTAATCCTTGGATGACGGACGGACGGACTACACCACTTACCTTTTCAGCGGGTATGGGGCAAAACTCGTCGTCGTCATAAAAATTTCGAGCAAGCTCATGCTTGGTACTGAAGTCTTCCAACCTTGAAAGTCCTTTTGAGTAAAAAGAACCAGTTGGTTAGCACAAGTGCATTTGGGAAAGGAAGGGGGGTGAAAAGGGGATAGAAGGTGTCATTTTTATTAGAGGTAAGAAAAGATGCCTAGATGCTCACCAGGATCTTGATAAATATAATGGTTCATAGTGTGAGAGGGAAAGAAAAGAGAGAGAGAGGGAAGAGAGAGAGCGAGAAGGATGACTGTCTTATAGCAGAAGGAAGGCAAGAGAACAGCCCACAAAGGGAAATCAAGTCATGCGAGCGGTGCAGCCAGCCAGCCCTAATTTTTTAGCAGCGTTTAAGGGATAACCTCATTGGGCAAAAGCCAGAGCCAGTGACACCGCCAAAATGAAACCACCACTGCCAACCGCCAGCTGAGCCCCACCACTGCTGCCTCCATAAACTTGGGTGATAATAGGAATCTGCGTCTGTTGGAAGCCGCCTCCATCCGTGCTGGTAGCATTGCTGATGATCGTCGTCGATACATCCGTTGTTGAGGATGATGACGCTAAGGCTGCTGTGTCGGTAGGGACAACCGAAGCCGTCTTCGGTTTAGTTGCCGTGGTTGTTTTCTTGGTGGTGGTGGTGGTGGTTGCTGCCTTCGTGGTTGAACTGGCGGTTGTTGTTGCCATCTAGATGTCGCAAATCAAAAAGGCATTTCATTAATCACATGTTGCAACATACTTCTTTTTATTTATAGGATGCATTACCACACTGGATGCCAATAAAATAGCAAGTAATAATACTATGAAGTGTCGCATTGGTTCTAAGGAAAGGAAGGAATAGAGCGCTATTCATGGTTCATTGCTTGGCTCTCTCTTCGTATTCTGTTCCACCAAGATTGAGTCCCCGATTATTACGGGCTATAACATTACTCTTTCCTGGCGTTCCTGGCAAAAAGTTTTACTCATCATTTTGTGATAGCCAGATGGTTCGTTTCTCTTCCTTTTTTTAAGCAAAGAAAAAAAAAAATCACTGAAATAATACGAAGAAAAAAAAAAAAGAATAGCACGGTAAAGAAAGAGTAGAAAAAAAAATATCTTTGGGTGAATAAACGAGCTATTGATGATCTTTCGAATTCTGTCGAGTTTGCTCTTCTAAACGTTCCCTCATCTGATCCTGCCATCTATGTACTTTTGCAATCTCGTGCACTTTGAATCCGAAGATACGTGGTATGTAACGTTCTGTTGACTTTTGGGGCATCAAATTGGGATAAACTTGAAACAGCATGTGAGGGAAAGACGTGCCATAATAAGCACCGTCGATAGCTGCGTGTCGGGAGGATTTTGGGCTGTAGATATCTTCACATTTGGCGCAATAAAGTTTAACAGTTTTGCTGTGTGGCACATCGCTCAGTCCAACAGGTAGAAGGGGTTGATTATGGCATAGAACGCGAGGGCATCGACCAAATTCTGCTTTCTTGTACTTGTCCAGCTAAGGGAGGTGAATGGGGGTTAGTGAGAACGAATTATACAATCGTTGTACAGAGGCGTCCATACCATTTTAGCCAATCCTCGGCTAGTTATAACAAAGCGAGCGTGGATTAATCCGTAAAGGTGGCGCGCAGACTTTTCCACTTGATCTCTCATGTCCTCGTCGAATTCCTCCTCAACTACAAATATACATTCAGTCAGCAAATCGATTAGTTTATCCATGTCAATTCCCATCGTGACTGTGACATACCAAGGTTATCAGTTATTAGATCCAATGCTTGTGAATAGTGTTGTACTTCACTGTTTAACCCTGTCAAGTTGAATCGATCCAAAATGTAGTCTTCGTCCACTTCGCAAAAATATTCATTTCCCTTTGTGTTCAGAAACCAATCTATCCAATATTTCGTGTAGTCGCTATCACTACCGCTGCTCAAGTCGTCCACTAAAACGAAAAATGAAAAAAGCAGGTGAGCTTAGGTACTCGAAAAGGAAGAAATCGGTGGGCTCATATGACGCAGTATGTTAAAACGAGCAATGGGCTGTCGGTTGAAAGCACATGTCGTCTGGTTCAAGGGTGCGAAAGGGTGCCAAAGCAATAATGTATTGGTAGATAGCAATCTACGTTAAAGCATTTGCTATCTTCAACTGAAATGCTTGTCAAAATTCAACAATGTGTGTCGCGCAAATTAAAGCGCCATGCCGTGCCTGATGTACGTTGAATTCCATGTCCAATCATAATGCAAGTATCTGATCCCAGTAAGTAATTTCCTACTTACTTTTGAATACAACTTGGTTGTTATTGTCTCCAAATAAAAGAGGTCAGTGACGATACAGGTCCTGATTAATATATCCCGTAAAAGATAGGTCTGCTGATCCCGAAGTGCGGCCCGAGACTGAATGATCAAAAATATGGCAATTGACGCAGGTACATGTTAGATGAATACGATTCCGTTTCTTTTAGATACAGGGAACAAGCTTACAAAAAAAATCAGCAAGTAACTAGGTTAATCCCGGTAGATTTTTTTGCAATGTTTTGGCGGCGAGGTTTGCAGCCCAATTTTCACCAATTCAGAAGAGTTAGTATTGTTGCCTTGGTGACTGTGTTTTTCCAGGGGATATGGTAATTTTTTCATAAATATGTCGTCAGAATCGCTGAAATTGGACTGGAAATCGCTACCAGAGCTGAAGACGAATATAGCCCATTCGACCGAAGCACTGTGAACTCCCTCTTTTCTTTGTTCATCCTAGCAATGGTGAGTATCCATACATGCATCCATCCCATCCTTCAGCTGTGACATCCATTGTACATCCATACGCCTGCATCCGATGACGAAATTTATCGACCTTCAACATGTTGGGAATGTTAGAAATTGTGGCAGCCATGTACCCAACCTTTTGAAAAAATCGTCGCTGGTGACAATGTACAACATTCACGCCAAAAACCATCGCTCCATTCTCGCGCCCATCTACATTATCACTGTGAATTCCATTTAGAGTCAGTAACTGATTTACCACCTACCATTTCAGGTCAACATTCCCAAGACCCGCAACACCTATTGCAAGGGCAAGACCTGCAAGAAGCACACCCCCCACAAGGTTACCCAGTACAAGACTGGTAAGGCTTCTCTCTTCGCCCAGGGTAAGAGACGTTACGACCGGTACGTATTCATTTCCGACAGAAGCATGATTCTTTTCTTTGAAACTGGGAAAAAAAAACTAAATGTTGAATTCGCACTTTACCATTCCACAGTAAGCAATCCGGTTATGGTGGTCAAACCAAGCCCGTCTTCCACAAGAAGGCTAAGACCACCAAGAAGGTTGTCTTGCGTCTCGAGTGCACTGTCTGCAAGTACAAGATGCAAATGGCTCTCAAGCGTTGCAAGCACTTTGAACTCGGTGGTGACAAGAAGACCAAGGGTGCCGCTCTTGTTTTCTAAATGCCTTTTCTGCTTTGGATGTGAATTGTATACGAGCATGCTTATGCAACTTGATCCAATCAACCATTCATCCGCAATAAAACTCTAAAATCGTCTTTACACTAAATCAGTTGGAGAGACCTCGGGGACGGTCAATGGTATACTGTGATAGGCATGGGTGTAGCTATCGTTGAGTGTTGTCTTTCTTACGAGTGATATACCTTAGCACTCTGCCATAATTTTATCAAGGTCTAGATTGACCCGCAGTTTATTCTGTGCGTGGCCGATGGTTTTTGCCATAAGTTTGATTTACACCATGGGATCAAGTAATATACCACTGATTACTCCTTCCACCATTCTACATTGTATTTGACGAATTATTCGATGTCTGATGACCCCACGTTACTTTTTCTCAGCAGAAAGTTTGCCAACAATTGGATATCTTTTGCTGAAGAAGGCATACCATTGATCGAGCGTCTGGAGCTGAATGTGACCGATCAGTTAACAAATGTGCACTTCAACATATTTTTTCTTAGCTTCTCTATATCTTACCTCTGTCTCAGTCAGCTCAGAAATATCTGGTACACAATCCTCGGGTTTCAAAGAGCTTTTTCCCAGTGCCTACGATGCCTTGTGTTCAACATCTACATGCTTCCTATGTGATAAAGATCCCAGTATACACCTACCTTGGAGGAGTCTTTTCCACAAAATACATTATACCCTTTGCCGGGGCCATATGCGTCCCTGTTGTTACTAACGTCAAAAACCTCTCCTCGGATAGCAACGTATATCGGGAATTCGGGATTATGGCCATCGCATTGAGCCAAATATTCCGCCGTTATCAGATCGTCTTTCGGGGGTGGTCTAAGGAACAATGAATTCAGTATTCCCTCTATACCTTGATGACTAGAATGCATAATTGATGAATACTGACGGTGGTGGACGCACTACTTTGGCGGGTTTAGGTTTCTCGGTAGCCACGGGCTGCGATGCTTTGGATTCCACGGTGGGATCTACATCCAGATCTTGGTCTAGGTCTCGATCTTCGGCATTCTTCCACCATGTTAGGTACAGTCCAAATCCTGCAACGGTTATGACGGAAGTGGCTACTTCAAAGCTGTGCTCCAGTAAATACTGCCGAGCTTGGGTAACAATGCTGCTCATGGGAACTGTGGGAGGTGGAGTAAAGAACTTCCCAACCTTTGTTAAGTGACTGTTTCTCACTGATTGTCCGGCGTAATTGTCCAGTGCGACAAAATGCTCCAACTGGGCTTTTTGACAGCAAGCGAAGCAAAGCACGCATGTCATGTCAACACTGCAGCCATTTCAAGATCATGATCCCTGCAAGCTAACGTCCTTCCACCTCGATGAACCTGCTGTAGCCGACACCTCAGAAAACGTTATATCAAAGCTTTTCAACAAAGTTATAAGCGTCGTTGGCCAAGAACATAACGCTTTACAGCCACACGAGAATAGCAACACAGTTTCACAACGGAACAGCGAAGAGCACGCTTCAGCTGATCGAAGCCCTATATCTGTCAAAGCAAGTTCTATTCACGGTTCCTTTCATGGTTCTGTGTCACGACCTTATGATGAAACTTCGGTAACCGACACGGTGTACAGCGCTTCAACGTTGCCAGCAGACATGTCCCGTCCTTCCCAGCTGAAAGCTACAGATCTGCTAAATTCCTTTTTATCAGAGCGCAACTCCAATGAAGACAGACCTACCAGTATTCATGCTCATGAAAAGATAGCGGAATCGCCGCATGATGAAGCAAACGACTCTAACTCGATGCCGTCTCAGGATCACCCGGACGACGACCCCCACGAAATCCATGGCGAAGACAGTGATAAAACACGGGGCCACTCAGAAGACGATGAAGAGAACTCTCCATCTAAAAATAGAGCTTTGAAGTTTCTAGAGCCATCTCCACTCACCACAAAACCTTTTCTGTTGGAACGAACTGCATCCAAGGATAGTGATACTCAGTCAATAGCAACAACGTTTTCTGTATCCAACACAAATTCACTCAGAAATGTCATTTCGAGGTTACGAGGCCATAAATCAGACAAAGAATTTTGGATGCCTGATGAAAACTGCAAAGAGTGTTATACGTGCGGAAAGTCCTTCACTTTCCTCCGACGAAAGCACCATTGTCGGATATGTGGTGCGTATAATGAATATCGCATGTTCGTTCGTTAATCATAGTGTTAACCTAATCTCCTAGGACAAATTTTTTGTGCAAAGTGTGCATCTCACATTATATCCGGCAAACAATTCAAGCAAAAGGGCGAAGTTCGAGTCTGTAAATTTTGCTTTGAAAACATTGATCACAATATTATGGAAAGCAACTCTGCTGCTGCCCTAGGCACATCACCAGCTGACACGGCTATCTTTGATGATTTTTCGCCAGTTGTTCCTGATCAAAAAGCACCAATTGCCGCTCCCAAGTTGCAGATATCTACAACCGCATTGAAGCGATCACGCGATAGCTATGGTGCCCAGAACACTCCAACGGTGTCTGTAGAATTTCAAAACGAATTTGTTACTGAGAAACCAATCTATGAAGAGGATTTTCCCAAAACCCCGGATTTACTCAGTCCAAATGATAAGCCTTTAATGCGTCAAACCCACCGCCTATCAGAATACGATGATCATGAGCCTCGGCCAACTAGAACGGAATCCTCGAGTTCTATACGACCAAGGCTACGAAGTTCAACGAGTGGTTCTTTTGGTTCTGGTGATGAGAATACACAGTCTTTCATGTCTCAAAAGTCATCCTTTCCTTTCAGATCTGAGTTAGGCTCTCCAGCTTTGGAAGCCGTACCTAATAGAGCGAGTTCAGAATTCGGAGGCAGTCCGCTCATTGACAAGTACGAAGATGAAAATGAAGATGGTGGTGTTGCTTGGAATTACATGAGGAACTTATCAGCTGTTGAACTCCCGCCCAATGCGTATGCTGCATATAAGCTACTTGAGCCTGGATCTCCTTCCGTAGAAAAAGACGTCAAGGGAAATGAAGGAAGTGTGACGGAACGGCCCTTTTACAAGTATTCAGATGTCGGCACAAAGTCAAAACACAAGATGAACAGAAGATTGAACTACAAAGCAGATGAAAGAAAATCTGCTCAAGGCAAAGGAAGTCCCATCTGGCGTAACATGAAGAACATGAAGGTCAACACTCATAATTTGACCATTCCAGTTAACGACCTATCCCCCTCAGATGATCCAGCTCCATCTGAAGACCAATTCATGTTATTCAGTCCATTTCATCGCTCTGAACAACCGAATTGGCCGAGCCCAGACCTTTTGTTAAACAATTCCCGACCACCATCTCAATCTGCGACAAGCACTCCAAATTCTATTCAAATGCACAGCGAACTTAGTATTGCATCTTTAGATCACTTGAGAAAGCTACTTCATACATCACTGGCTGACTTAAAGTACATGCAAGACAACCCTACATTACTCTCAAAGTACGAGAACACGCTGTTTGACCTTGTACTAGAAATGGTGGTTAGCATAAAGCCGGATGTGCGCGGCGGTGACGATATGGACCTTCGACATTACCTCAAGATCAAGAAAATACCTGGTGCGAAACCTAGTGATAGTCATTATGTGAAAGGAGTGGTATGCTCTAAAAACGTAGCGCACAAGCAGATGATTCGCAACATTGACGATCCACGGATTTTGATCTTACTCTTCCCAGTCGAGTACTCTCGCGTAGGCAACCAGCTGCTATCAATTGAGCCAGTTTTATCACAAGAGAAGGAGCATCTCAAAAAGCTCGTGGCTCGTATCATCGCCCTCAAGCCTTCTATCGTGTTGACCAAATACAATGTTTCTCGTTTAGCTATGGAATATCTGCTGGCAGAAAATATCATTGTTGTCCATAACATGAAGAAAAGTGTTTTGCAAGCCATTGCAAGATGTACTGGAGCGAGTTTGATCCCTTCCATCGACAAGTTTACATCCGGAGACATTTCTTTGGGCCACTGCGGACGATTTGAAATTAAGACATTGGTGCACGAAATGATACCGAATCGAAAAAAGACCTACCTTTTGTTTGACCAATGTTTTGCTGAACTTGGAGGTACTATTGTGCTTCGCGGTGCAGATCAACTGACCCTTAGTTCTATCAAGCGGATTGTGGACTTCATGTGCTACGTAGCTAATTCATTGAAGCTGGAGACTTTTCTACTTCGCGACTCTTTTGCCAAGAGTAAAATTCGTGCAGATCCAGGAAATATGGGTTCAAACACAGAAATCACTAGACTGCGTCGCGCCTCTGATTCACTGTTGTCGCTGCCTTCTCTCTTGGTCAGTGAAGCAGAAACTGCAAGCCAAACGCCTCCGATCATTGCTCTAGACGATACACCACCTAGCATCAACCAAACCATTAATGGCCTTGGAATAACAGAGGTGGAGGAGAGACACAGAAGCATCGACGGATCGATCGAAATATATAGAGAGGCACTGGTGTCCATATCCCCTTTTGTTGTCATTCCACCTCCATACCTATTGACCAAGATCAAAGAAGTCGAAGTGAAGATATTGGAGATGGAACATTTAATGGCTCAGGAAGAAGCAAAGCAAGACCATGTACTGACACCTGGTAGTACTACTCCTGTCTGTGCGACGTTTGATCAAAAGCAAGAATTGAACCCCATAAGTCAAGCCATCGTCCATGTTGATTTTGGCACGTCCCCACTTAAAGATGAGCTTGACCTGCTGCTGGATCAGCGTCATCAACTGACACGCGCTTGGTATGCATCTATGCCAGACATGTTTTCACATATGACTGCCTACCATCACCAGCACTTGGTTGTCCTTTATTTTAACGTCTGTACAGCCACCACAGTACCTTGTCATGGACCAGAACCCCTGTTCTTCCAATATTACAACCAAAACTCGGATATAACATTGGGTCACTATTTGGAGGATTTATGCGGTAACTCGCAAAGGATATGTAGCTCAAGTATGTGTGAGCGATCGGAAATGCTTCACTACCGATCCTATGTTCACGGCCAAGCTCGTATCAATGTCATGATAGAGAAGTTTGAATGTCCACAACCAGGGATGAATGATATAATTCTCATGTGGAGCTATTGTCAACGATGCAACAACCCTACGCCTGTTGTGCCAATGTCACAAAACACTTGGAATTATTCTTTCGGAAAGTTTTTGGAGCTCTCCCTGTATCAAGCCGACGTCCAGTGTCGCGCAGATATTTGCCCTCACGACATTGCTAGGGACCATGTAAGATATTTTGGGTTCAAAGACTTGGCCGTCCGATTTCAATATGATGAAATCGACCTACTAGAGGTTGCAGCACCACCCATGAAGCTTGTGATGTTCACCAAGGTTCACTCGAACTTGCGAGAAGATCAATACCAAACATATCGTACGAAAATAGTGGCATTTTACCAGTCCATTATTGAGAGAAACAAGCATTTTAGCATGGACATTTTGGATCCCATCAAAGTGGATGCTGCCAAGAAAGAACTGTCAGAAATGTCGGAAAATGCTGCAGCAGAAAAGAAGGCCATGCTTCAAGCATTACAATCGGTTTATGCAACAACTTATTCTACAGATATCCTCAGCTTAAACCAAATTGTTTTTCATTTGTTCAGAAGCGCTTCTGCTTGGGATCAAGCATACTCTTTTCTTTTACGGAAGTACCTACCTCAGGACACAGATATTGGGAAGATTGCTAGCTCTGGCTTGAGGAAACTTTTACCTAGCGACAAGGTGATTGACATTGATGCCCGAGCTGAACGGGCCATAGACACCGGTGATCTACCTGTTCTAGATGTTGGGCTGGATAGTTTGCCATTGAGTATTGCATCCGACGCTCACTTTACTTATACGAATGAAGACAATCATATCAACGTCATACCAGCACTTGGTACTTCTCCACCTGAACAACAAGTGAGTGACAGTCAGGATAATATCGTACTTCCATCACGACTAGCGCGCAGGTTATCCATTGAGTTCATTCGAACTGAAAACGAGAGAGCAGTGGCGGAGGAAAAACAGTCAAAGATGATCGAGTCGTCGTTGCCGCTCATTGATCCAATGCCTTCTAGTATTATGGCACGACGACAAGCCAAAGGAATGCCAAAACGGCCGGCCCAGCTGACCGACTGGAAAAGCAGGCCCTCCTCTATACCAAGCTTTTTGACACTTACAGAGCATGGGATTGGAAGCTCGATTCGAAGAAAGGAACATCCGATTTTCTCAGTTTTACAGGATTCTTCCATCCTAGTCAATACTCCACCGGACGTCAATTCACCAGGTCAAATGGCCAGCAACCATCAGGCTACTGGTGAAGTGATGAAGCAATATCGGGAAATCGGCCACCGAAGCGATGGCATATCTAGGCCACCTTATTCATATTTGCCACGGTATGCAGATCAACTCAATAAAGGCTCCATACGAGATATGACGAAAGTAACTGCAAGCAGACGTAAATGGGGGCCTAAACTGGAGCGTTCTCGAACATCCATTCAAGTCTACGATACGGCCAACGACCTCGTACAAGAAGACGTTGAACAAGAATTTGGTGAAGACCCGGTTAACTGTAATTCATTTGGAAATTCTGGCGATGGTGCCACCGTCTCACCCAGATTGGGTAAGATTGACCCTTTGCTTTCCAATCGTCTTTTAGCAGCATCTCAATATCGCCAGGTGGAACCAAGGACAGATTATTTTGACAACGCTAGGATCCGTGATGGCGATAGAGTTGTCAAGACGCCAGACTCACCAAATAGCATCACCAACTTTTCTCTAGACTCTGCTTCAACTGATCAGCAACTTGGCAATCATAGCGACCACCAGGCTCCATTATCATCATCTCCCACTCTCGCACCCCCAAAAGAGAATAGCAACAGCGATGTTCCCCTCTTGGCTCTCACTTCTAGTGGGTCCAGCTCGCCTAGTTTGCTGAAGCAGCAACAAATCTCATCCTTACTCGATGATCATCCGGCGGCCGGTGGATCGGATCAAACCACGTTCATGAGGGCTTTATCAAGCGCTCTTGCTGAAATTACCTTTTCAAAGTTACCGCCACTGGAATACCCTTTGTAAGTTCGTAAACGTCATTGGTGCTAATATCGAACGGGATTTTAACGCGTAATATAGTACACAAACAGACCATATTTTTCCGGATTCTCTGGTGATTGTCAAGGAAGATGTCCCAAGTACTATCATTGCATACACCCTGAGTTGTGAGGATTATCTGGAGAAGTTACACACCATCCATGAAAGTCATGATGAGCAAAGTCAGGCGAGCAACGTACCCGATTCTTTACAACAGCAAGCAGCAGACGGCTTAGAGTTAGCTCCCACCCAAGAAAATACATACGCCTCATCGCATGCATCTGGCATGGAGAAAACCTTGTTAAGCGACACTGGCACCCATATGCGATACCGTAAGCTAAATTTTTATGACACTGCCTATTCAAAGATGAAATAGCTGATGATGGGGTGTGAAATAGAATTTTCAGATGGCTCAACCCGCTTTTTTTGCAAGGTGTTCTTTTCAGAACAATTTGAGGCTCTTCGACAAAACTGTGGCTTCAGTGAAAAGTACATCACCTCATTAGCTAGTAGCGTTGAATGGGACTCCTCGGGGGGCAAATCAGGCTCGGCATTTCTAAAAACGACGGGTAGGGCAAAAAAACACACTTCTGGCGGGTAAAAAACGAGCCCTTTACTAACTGACGATTGAACAGATGATCGGTTCTTGATAAAACAAATGTCACGATACGAAATGGATGCGTTCCTTCGGTTTGCTCCGGCGTACTTCCAATATATGTCCAGGGCGTTCTTTCACGAGGTATGTTTCACTTGGATATGATGTAGAGTCATGACCCAGGGAACTTATTTGAACCTAATTTTGGTGTGCAGCTACCCACTGTATTAGCCAAGATCTTTGGTTTCTACAGTATTGGGTTCAAAAATGCCGCCACTGGCAAGTCAATGCGGATGGATGTCCTGATCATGGAAAATTTGTTCTATCAGCGCAACGTTAAAAAGGCAAGTCCCCTCTCAAAGAGGTGTACTAAAACGGAATTGCCGAGGGACCCCATTAAAAAAAAAAGAAATGCTAATATGTTCCCATCATTTAGATTTTTGATCTGAAAGGATCCATGCGCAATCGGCATGTGCAGTCTACTGGCAAAGATAACGAAGTTCTTCTGGATGAAAACTTGGTTGAATGTGTGTACCCATGACATTAAGTCCCCCATGAAGCTTTATTGACTGACTTCTTCCATCCACCTAGTCATCTATCAATCACCCCTTTTTATCCGGTCACACGCCAAGGAAACGCTTCGAGCATCTCTACATAACGATACGCTGTTTCTCTATAAACTAGACGTCATGGACTACTCTCTGCTAGTGGGCATTGATGAGGAGCAGCAGGAGTTGGTGGTGGGCATCGTAGGTAAGTACATCTCTTAGCCGCTCCCCGGTGATAAGGCTGTGTATATAACAAGGTCGTGACCGATTTTCACCCTATTTTAGATTTTATGAGAACTTTTACTTGGGACAAAAAGTTGGAAAGCTGGGTGAAAGAATCAGGTATTTTGGGTGGCGGAGGTAAGGAACCGACGATCGTTTCGCCCAAGACCTACCGCATACGGTTTCGAGAGGCCATGGAACGCTATTTCCTCATGGTACCTGATTTTTGGGCATCCGTGGAACATAGTACAATCGGCCAACAACATCACCATCAATAGAATCTTGGGCTGTAATATAGCATAAGGCACCGAACTGTACATATCGATGTTTGTATGTATGTGTGTATTTTTTTTTTTTTTTTGTTTTCGTACAGAAAAAAAAAAAAAGTTTGTAAAAAAAAAAGAGAAAATTGATCGAAAAATGGTACATGGAAGAAAGTGAGGATGGTTGGTCTCTATACTACATTGAAAAGAAATGGGTTCTCTGGTCTATACCAGATATTTTAGCTATCGATTGAAGAGTGCATGTTGACTACAACATGCAAGTGCTCAAAATGATGAGTTGCAAAGTGGGCGTTGATCCATTTATGCACGAAGCATCCGTTGATACGGACGAGAAGCCGTTCAGTACAGATTGGACACTTGCGAAAATGATATCGACCACTAAACTCTTGCTCGGAAGACATCTGTTGTTTCGATTTCTCGAAGATGGCCAGGTGGTTGGTTGGACGGACGACGGTAAACATCAGGTAGGTAGGATTACTATTTTTTTCTGGCTGTGTTAAATAACAGAGTATACGTGAGGAGCCTCAGTTACATTGAGCAGGAGTGGAAAGGTCTACGTGGGAACTGCAAAAAGATGCACCTTTTACTGGGCTCTTATATACTTTGGACGTTTGTGTGTCATGGGAACTGGAGACAAATATTGCCTTTTCCTTCTCACCTTTTTTTTTTTTTTTTTACTTGCCCTTGCCCAATGCGTTGTGTAAACCTCGCTCTACTCTATTTTGTCCGTTCCACTTTACTCCAATGTCCAAGGCATCGAAGAATTCTTTCTCTTCCCATCCTTTCTTACCACCATTGCCTTCAGAATCCCTACATCTCATTTCACTCGCCTTCCCTATCTTGGAATTGTTTGTGTCTTGGATGGCGTAGGTTATTCCCAAGTGGTGTTACAGCGTTGCACAATCTGCAAATCCCCATGACCACTTGGAGCTTTTACTTCACCCTTTTTTTAGTGTTCACCCTCGAGAAGCTCTGTCATTCGCCAAGGCCAACTTCTTGTTTTGGTAGGATACACAACTTGTGCTGAGGTCCAAGCAGAATGCTGGTGTTCAAAATACTTGTTTGGAGTGTGGTCAACTTTCACAGTGTATAGGAAACCCACGCGCGGAAAACATACCATGGAGCTGTTGGTCATGATGTTGGCCAGTTTTCCAAAGGAAAAACCTATAGGCTGCCTTAGAGCCCAACATCTTTTCGGTGGGACAAGTTTTCATGGTGACGTAGAATGTTGCGCAAAAGGACGAAATGCGATATTGACAAAGTGCTGCCTTTCGTTGAACGTAGACACTGTTGCAGGATCATTAGAGTGCACGTACTGACAATGTATGATCGAACGCTGTAAAAAACTACGCGGACTTAGGAAACGCTTTCACGCCTCATCAACCAAAATACAAGGAATTAATTAGTCTGTTCTTGATGAATAGCTAAACCTCTAGCGGGGTTACAGTCCGATACCTTGTTGATGCTTATGATGAAATGTTATTGGGGCTACCATAAAACTATTACAATGTGGCTAACACTGGACGATAAGCTTATTTGCTAGCAAAAAGTGACTTTTAATCTCTGGCAAACCACGTAGAAAAAGAACAACATTTTCTGTTCCTTGCCAAAAGAAGGATCCAACCTATTACAGAACACATAAAAAAACGTAATGTTATTTGGCAGCGTCTCTCAATGGAACCTGCTGACATCCAGAGATAGGAGGGTGCGATCTATCGGATGCTCAATAGCAAGTCAGAGATATATCCTATGATCAACGACCTGCCTCTATGATATCTGTTAACGTGCTTGATCAGCACCTCGCATTTTCCTACGCTTTATCTCTGCATAAAGCCACGTTTAAGCCTGTGACAAATTTGTGGTGGTTTTCTTGAGAAGTAGAATCTTGATTTTACGACGATTTACTCGCTATGAGCTTCCGTAATCCAAAAAGTTTGTTCGCATTCTGAAGAATCCATTTCATTTGGTGATCCAATGTTTATATCGCTCAGATGACTACTTACTTCCTTGGAGTACACGTATTCGTCAGCCAGTCAATTTTGACATAAATTTTTTGTTTCACATCGCCTTAGCCCATTGATCCAAAATAATTATAGACGGAATTTTGTAATTGTTTGTCTAGGGTTTCACTATGAAAAACCAGAATACCCCCCTTCTCAGTGTTCGTGTCATATTTGTGAACGACTGTCATACAAGACACAAGCTAATATTGGAATACATTGCAGTTCGTAGCATGTTATATGACGACTTCATATATCGGTAAAATAAACCACATTATGATGAAATAGTTAGCTGCTCTACGCAACCGAAACTATCGATCGATGCCTCCAATTTTGGGTTCCGTATTTGGGATGAAATCGAAACCCAGAAAATACAAAATGTTTGCTAAGAGCTGAACGAACAATCGACGCTTAACCCGGGGCATTCAATTTTTTTTTCTTTTGGCTTTGTCAATGAAATCAGCATCTTTCGGAACAGCTGTTAGCCAGAAAGCCCGGCCGTTCAAAGGAAGATTAGGTTACGCATGCCTTAACACTATTCTCAGAACACAAAAACCTCCCGTCTTTTGTTCACGGACCTGTCGATTAGGTAAGTTTTCCATTGGTGTGCGACGATGAGAAGCACTTTAAGTCTGACGGAATGAATGCTTGTGAAGACACTTTGAAACAGAAAGGCTTAGAGTATGCTAAGGAATTGGCATTACAGGTAAACAAGTAATCTTATCGTCTCATTGACTATTCATGAGAAAATAACCCTTCACACTCTTTGTTGACTACAGAATATCAGCGATCTTAAGACACTGATTGAGTGGAATGAAGGTGGGTTGATGTAAAGAAACAACATAGGTCAAATATGGAAAACAGCCTTGAATTAACGCTTCTTCCATTTGCAGCAAACCATATTAAATTCATGCGGATATCCAGCGATGTGTTCCCGCTAGCAAGCCATGATAAAGTCGGGTACATATATACAAATACGATTAGTTTGGAGCAAATAAGTTATTGTTAGCTTACTAACGGGATCCCTTTTAGATACTCTATCGACTTTGCTAGCAAGGAATTGGCGGAAATAGGGAAGCTTCGGGAGAAATATGATCATCGACTGGTAAGTAGCTCAATCTTTCTTTCCTGGAAACGAGGACATTACATGGATGTTGACTTATATACCATAGACTATGCATCCTGGGCAATACAATCAGCTAGCATCACCAAACAAGGATGTCGTCAGACGAACGATAGTAGATTTGCAACGTATGTGATGGGTTTCGTCAGCATCGATGTTTTCGTCGTTTCTTAACCCATTTGTCAATGCGTGATAACAGATCATGCCAACATGTTGAATCTAATGAAGCTACCACCAGACTCTATCATGATTATGTAATTATCTGTGGTTTTGTAACAAGTTCTTTTTGCAAGCGCGATAATTTGACCATTTTTCTCATAGACACATGGGTGGTACCTATGGTGACAAAGAGGCTGCGCTGCAGGTATGTTTTTGTGGCGATATCAGAACGTGAGGGTTGTTACTAATAGTGAAAACAGAGGTTTAGGGAAAACTACAAAACGCTTCCGCAAGATATCAAAGATCGGTTGGTTTTAGAGAACGATGAGATATGCTATTCTGTAGCCGACCTACTTCCCATCTGTCAAGAATTGAGTATCCCATTGGTACTGGACTGGTAAGTCTTGAATTTTAAGAGAAGTAAATATTATGTGTGCTAACAAAAGATAAATAGGCATCACCACAGGTAGATATTCGTAACGAATGTAAGGAAAGTGGCATTCAAAATATTGACTAGAAAGAATTCCATGAAAATTAGCATCAACACAGGTGGTATCGAAAATCTAGTGGACCTGTTACCAGCCATCAACGAAACCTGGACTAGAAAAGGCTTGCGCCCCAAAGTAAGTGGATGTAATTGGAAGTTGGAACTGGCTCGTAGCACTAAACAAATTGACAATAAAGCAACACTACTCGGAATCCCGGAAGGGTGCGGTTACACCTATGGAGCGTCGTGCACATTCTGATCGGTGAGTATCTTTGAATGATTATTCCTGCATGAGAACTATGAGACTGATGCTTTCGTCCATTGCAGTGTCAAGGTTTGTTTATACCTCCCTGAATATACTAGACCACTCACTTGTTAAAACTAACTTATTTTAGACCCTCCCGCCTTGTGAGCCAGATACAGATCTTATGATTGAAGCAAAGGACAAAGGTATTGTTTACTACGGTGGCAAAAATGGCAAAGGCGATTTCTCAATTTTCATTCTAGAGCAAGCGGTTTTCTTCCTGTACAAACTTTATGACCTATTTCCTGTCAACCAGGATGTTTACTATGAAAATAAGCAAGGGGAAACGAAGCATACAAAGAGGAGCAAAAAAGGTCAAGCACAAGTGAAAGCGGAAGTCAGCGTAGAGGCTACCGTTATGGAAGAAGGAAGTATCCTCAAGGAGGATATAAAGAAGAAGGCGACCACTATTGTAAATACCAATGAAGACAGCGTACTTGATCGTAAACAGGCTAAGCGCGTTAAACGCGCGAAAGTCGATGTCCATACCAAAGCGAAGGATGATGTGTTAGCACCGGTCAACGGCAACGACGCTCAAAGTGTCAAACGTAAGAAAGGGTCGAAAAAGGCAACAGCTTCAGGGACGGCAGCGCAATCGGCACTTCGACGTTCGAATAGAATTACCAGTAAATCACTTTGAACATAGGCATCATAAAGCTAGATATTAAATCGAGAGTTTTGTTCGTATGCCCATTGTTAGATGTGCCCGGTGTTGACCGATGCATTGCACGCGTTTTGGCGTGACTTTAAAAAAAAGTTTGAATTTTACCTGTCGCCGCTCTCTGCGTCAGAAAAGCTTCGTTGTTTCATAGACATAATGCCAAACGCTGATTCCTTAGTGCTGCCTTCTGAAATATACCAAAGGTCAAGCACAGCATTAGAGACACTAGGTCAACTGTGGAATACCTCGACGGACGTCATAAAAGCGATAACCGATGTTACAGCTAGCACATTGCGATCAGAGCCAGATTATCAAACCGTCCAAGCGATCAAGAAGAAGCACGACCAAGTTCTCAATTCCCTGAAATCCGAACTCAAATGGATAGAAGACAATCAGAAACAACTGGACTTCTCGAAATCCGATGACAGCGAGAAGCAACTTCGCATAGCGGCTCTAGAACAGGAACAACAGGAGCTTAGAGCGGTAAGTCAACCATGTGCCGTACGATCATGATCGCACCAGCCCCGTAGCTAACTCAATCTTCTTACAGGAATCACAAAAGCTTACAGCAAAAGTGAGACAGCTTTTAGAACAATCATACACACTGCAGCATCACCTAGGACTACTATTAACTTCTTCCGAGGATCTTTCCTCCGACTAATTCGCGCACCCACCACACGGCCATGGTAAAAATAAAAATCTGTATTATAGTTGGACATAAAATGTATATTGTTTGATAATGGATCTAATGTCTATCGTCTGGAAGTAATGTGGTTCAATGAGGTGTTGGTAGGATGTTTAGATATGTGTGGGCAGGCACATTTTACTGCGATTTCTTGCTTTGAAGAGATTCATTCACAGTATGCCGCACATTCACTTTACCAAGGAGCACCTGTCCTAGCCAGAAGAGACAGATCGTGAAGATGATGAACAGCTCAGCAATGCAAAAGTGGCTAATACTGGTGCCAATCTCGAGCCAACTGCCGTAATCGGTGACGAAGTAGAAGAAGTTAATGGTTTGCACGTCATTGATGCTGACGACAAGTAAGAAGAGACTGAAAGACGGCAAATCAAGAATTTGAGCCAAGATACCATACACGGTGGAGATGATGAAGAATGGGATGAGAACTTTGATGATCAGGAGGCAACCCATTAGTGCTGGGTTGAAGATCGTTACGAAGCGGTAGACACTTTGTAGCGAAAAGCTGCCGAGAGAAGCAACATTTCCAGTGCCGAAAAATGCGACATTGACAAAGAACATGAACATCAGCGTTGTGCGCACATCTCTCAGTTGAAGTGAGCGCGTTGTAGAAGATGATTTGACTGTCTTTTGGTTAGATGTGACATCGCATTGGTAGATACGTCCCTCTACCAGAAGCCAAAGAGTGGCAGTGGAACAGAAACAGAAGTAGAATAGAACTTCATACGAGATGCTAAGTAGAATCATTAATGGCGCAAAGGCAAGTGATATCACCGCTATACGATGTAAGAAATGATCTCCAGCATTGCCACCATATATGAATGGTAAAATTGTGGACACGACTAAGTTGTACATACTGATTAGTCAATTGTGTTGTGTTGTTGTAATAGCGTATAGAATTATCAAGGATCTTACTTAAGATGGCCCAGCTGGCATATTGGTTGAGTAGTGGCAATCCATTTCTTTGCTGTAGACTACTTGACGTGCTGTACACAAGCACAGTACTAGCTGCTATCAAAATCAACTGTGTATAACGACTTAGATTGTCATTCAGTTTCACAAGTTTGCACTCATCAAACGTAAGGCTTACCTCAAATGCAATCAAGTTATAACCAGATGCATTCATGTAGTTGTTTTTGTGTCCAAAGTACAACCATGCAGCGCCGACAGCGACAATGATAGCGCCACCTAGCACACTATTAAGTGGTGTCAGTTCATCAACGGCGGACACATGTTAAGGAACAACATGGATTTGAACTTACACCAGTCGAATGTCTTCTCCCTTCTCAACTGGCAACAGAGTAAAAACACTAGTGGCAAGACAAGACATTGACCATAGCGGTAGCAGTAAAGGTGATCCTTCATTCTTTGCTGACGACGGCATAAACAATGGCCAAATGGCAGCAAGAATAAGCGCTGCCGAAAGAATTTCACGTCGGAAGTAACTGTACACCTGATCATTGGATGTCAGTCAATGGGATTGCCTTTCTTACGAACTTCTTGCCGATTACTTACCAAGGTTTCAAGTCCAGCCAAAATGCTAGCTACTAGCAACAATACGCTAACTGTACCGCCACTAGATTGTAAACCGCCTTGTAGTGCCTTGATCAAGATGTCACGACGTAGCAATACATCACGCCAAAAGTAGACAGGGAAAAATGCATAGGCATAGTACATGGGTGGCATTTGTTGCCTGTAAATAATCCAGAACAGGCCGAGAAGTGCGACAATAGAAGCATATGAAATCTAGATACTTGTTAGAAGTGTATCCGGTTTGAACAATTGGAAAGAATTTCACTCACAAAAGAATCAATTACAGTGGGCTGTTTATCGTTATCATTAGTAAAGACGTATGTTCGAATGACGAATTCAAGGCCAAACAAACACCATCCAATGTATCCCAAGGTGATGATGCTGCGAAGGAACAACCAATCGTACGTTTGGAAGTATCTAAGTCCGTCCAGAGACATTTCAATTAGCTGCAAACAGAGATTTTCGGCCTCGATGTACTTTTCATGCTGGATTAACCCCTCAACCGTCTGTAGTAATACTGCGGGAGAGTGGTCCTTGGATAGCGGGCCAAACGGCTTGAAGAAAAGCTCTGTAGCCTGCTTCTCGTCTACAGTCTCCAGTTAATTATTCAATGTCTACGTAATGTGTTCCATTTGATATAAATCTTACCGTGCTTGACTTCATACTGAGCCAGAATTTGTTTGGCGTTGACCAACAATGACTGGGCTTTGAACAATGGAGTTTGATCAAGATACTGCAAAGGCAGCTCTCCAATAGAGTTGACTGGGTAGTTTATGCCAACCAAAGATGCCTAACACGGATTTAGTTATAACAGCGGTGCCATCATCTCATATATCTTCTGGGCTTACCATAAGGGGAGCAATGTCAGCTTGCTTAATATCATTTCGCTGGTAGCTATTAAGATCCCACTCGGCTGAAAAGTCATCATGACCCGTTGGATGAACAGTATTTGGTTTTTGTACACCAGCGCCCCATGCAATAATTGGTGTTCTGGTGTTGTCGGGATGTCCGTCTCCATGACCACCTAAATCACAGAAATCAGCGATCTATGAGAATGATGTGTGTAGGCGTAATGGTAACTAACCGCGATTGTTCATGCCATGATCTGCTGTAAATACGTAGCTTGTTTTGCCATCATGACCATAGAATTTTTCTATAATTTCCACAAGTTCTTTAATTCCCTTGTCAACGTGCGCAACGTTGTTGACGTATTCATCGGAGTGAGGTCCGAATGCGTGGCCATTGGTATCAAGTCCAAGCAGATGAAGGAAGAACACGTTTTTCTTAGCCTTCAATAAAGATTTTAGCTCTTTATCAGCAGTAGCGTTCTGGAACAAGTCTTTGACATGGTCAAAAACCCAAGTATCCAAATTGGAAGCCTCTATAATGAAGAATCAGTTTTGCCCCATCGACCCGTCTTTAGAAAAAGCAAACGAACTTACCTGCGGTGAAATCTTCGAAATCAGAGGGATACATAAAAGTTTCAATCTTTGAAGGATCAGAAGCACCATGTTGAAACATTGGCAAAATATCAGGAGAACCAAAGGACCAGGTATGATGGGATTGATTGAAGACCGAGTCAAAATTGACAGGATTCATTGTCCACCCTATGGAATTGGCTGAGTGTTAAAATTTCAAATGCAATATAGGACAGCGCAAGCGATCACAGAACAGAGGCAACCAGACCTGTAGTGACAGCACTGACGTCTTCGTAAAACCCGGCAATAATAGCAACATGGCCAGGTCGCGATTCGGTTGGAACGCGTGTATGAGACACGCCCCAAGTACCTTCTTTTCGAATTATGTCCCTCAAATACGGTGCCTTCGTAACATTGGCATTTTCTTCGTCATAGAGTTGGTAGAGCTTATCAGCTCTTAAACCATCGGCTGAAATAGAATATTGATTATTTGACAGTATGGTTACCAAAGTTTGTTTATGCACTATTACTTGCCTACGAATAGGAACAGTCGGTCGGCAGGTGGTTCCAACTCAACGGCATGAGGAGTCATTCCATGAACCAGAGGGGATGTGAAATAAATATCAAAGATACTCCATAGATAGACTAGATGGAACACAACGCCCACTAGGAGGAGGGCATTGCGAGAGCGCATCTGTGACAAAGTTCGAAATGGACAAGTTCTGGAGTAATTCTACTGAGACGTGCCACGTTCTGGGACTGTGGCTTGTCACAGCGGATTTCAATTCTTCGTGCAAAAAAGGGCAGGCTCAGAACAAAGCTTCGCGGCAGCCAGCGTACATCACCACTTTCATTATGCCAGAGTTTGATGCTTTTCGAGTGAAGGCACAAGCTGCACTTCGACAATGCTTGACGGAAACGCAAGCGCATCGCGTTAAAACTGGAGTACAGGACGTTCCTTCGTCCATACTTCAATCTCTAATCGAGCAGCACATGGTACCTCTCACAGGCCCGGATAACGGTGCTAACGTGCAACTTTCACCTGAAACTAAATACGACTGGAGGAAGAACGCACTCGAATTGATATATAGACAGGAACTGTACGATATTGTGGTGCGTGCAAGATTGACTAGACACGAAATAACCACCATTGAACTGTTTTACTGACAACAAGAGTAGATCTCCCACAGCGAACCCACTGATCAGCTTTTCCAGCGACTGTACGATTGCCTAGATATTGTACTTGTCTCCACTGATAAAGGTAAGCTGCTCTACGTCATGTATGATAGTAATAACAATGTACTTATCACATTTTATTTTAGGCCTTGTCGAACAAGTCACTGTTCTGACTTTGATTGAGGAGCTTCTTGAGCAACAAACCATCCCGGGCTGTGAGAAGATTTTTGATTATATTGAGTCAAGGAAACCGAAATTGACAGTGGTAAGGTTAAGGATAAATATCGGCCAATTTGGATGAAATGAATATTAAGATCTTGCATAATAGGGCATGATGCCTGGTAAAGGCAAAGGACTGGTCTTACTTCGAATGTGTAATGAAATGCTCCGTAGACTATCGAAGAACATGAGCACTGTATTTTGCGGTCGAATTCTGATGTTCTTGGCAAATTCCTTCTCGCTAGGAGAACGATCCGGTAAATAATCAAATTGCTGATCTAGTCATCTTGATGGCAATGCCTTTCAGTATATCTAACCTATAATTCCATAGGCGTCAACTTGCGAGGTGAATTCAACGTAGAAAATGTTGTGAAATATGATTCAGAAGAGGAGTTGAAGAATGATACAAAGATGACAGGTAATGATTTGAAAGTTGTATGTAGGCAAATCGAGTGTACTAACACTGGCTTCTTGCAGAGGAACAAAAAGCCTTTTATACATTGTTTTGGTCGACACAAAGTTACTTGACCAACCCACCTTCTATTTTTGCTGACACTAACTACGAAAAGTTCAAAGAGGTATAAGTTTGACATCTTCCACCACAGCTGTTCCCCCTTTCCTATCGCTGACATCTTACTCCAACAGGGCGCAGAAACCACAATCTCAAAATTCAACGACATGTCTCAGCGCGAAGCGGTTGTTGCTGGCTCAACGGCTGATCATCATGGAAAAGAACCTACTTCTCGCAAACGGTCCGCCAGTGAAATGGATGTTGACGACACATTTTCTGATGAAGCGATACGGGATGTTTATAATGATTATTTCTTCCCAAAGTTCTTGACTAGCAGAGAACTCCTTGAATTGGAGGTAAGATAGATTCTATTATGAGAAGATAGGGTGATATCTAAATGTTCATCTGCTAATTAATGTCATGTTTACAGCTGGAGGACGTTAGCTTTCGTCGCACCGTTCTTGTTCAGTTTTTGATTGCATTCCAATACCTTGAAGGACATAGTAACAAAGAAATCGAAAAAACTCAGGCAATACTCACTTCTAAAAACGCAAAGTCTCTTGCCACACAAACCTTGCCCAAGCTGACGGAAGAGCAGGTATGTGTAGTCCATTAAATGATTTCTTAAGATGTTCGTTGGTAGGTTCACTGATTGTGCTTGCGCAGGAATCATGGATAACGGACATACGCACGCGTGTTTTGAAGGAGCTTCAAGCATCCAATCCTCATGGCAAGGAATACACGCGAATCGTTGAACTGGTTCTCGAGCATGAGAAAAATTGGGTAAGGGACATGCTAATGGGCAATGGTTATTTCAGAAACTTCATGACAGCTAATGCAACATACAATGCAGATTATATGGAAAGCTGCTTCTTGTCCGCCGTTTGAGATGCCTCCTGTGAACCCCAATGAATTCACTGAGCTTGTAAACTCCAAACGAAGAAGGCTTACGGTAAAAATCCACCTTTTCTACCAATCGATTTCTTCCTTATTCTGACGTGTTCTTGTTTCCAGGCAACCTTACCACCATATCGATATGCGTGGGGTAATATGGAAATCACGAATCTGTATCATAGAACACTTGGACGAGATTTGACAGCAATAATAAGGTAATGATCAAAAGGCACTACTAGTATAACTTTGTTACAGTGATACTGAATATTTGTGTAGTGAGATGCCAGATCTACCTTCTGCGAAAGAATACTTGAACGATGTTTTACCTCGTCTTCAAAATTCGAAAGCAAGCGTCGAGGCCCGTTATGAACTTGCCAATGCAATATTGTTCCAGGTTATGAGATTGCTTTTTTTGAAGGAGGCACATTTAGTTTCCAAAGTGTTTTTAGCCAAGAAGGAGCTCATGAAAACATCACGAGATAAGGCTATCAAAGCCAGCGAAGCGGATGGTGAAGCATCAGAAGACAGAAAAGCCGGTGATGCCAACGGTATAACGGAAAAATCTGTCGAAATAGAAATCAAGGTCTTGGAACAAGCAAGAAAAATAATCAATGACGATGAAGAAGCGAAGCGTGCAGCTGAAGCCAAGCTGGACAAAAATGGAACGCCCAGTCCTCAGATTCCGACTGTCGCAGTACAGAATAGCCCTTCGTTGTCGTTGCCTATAGAGGATGTCAAACCCACAGAACCAGATGCCACGGAGAGCAAGGAGACTACCGAAACTGCAGAAGCTACTGAAAAGGAGACGGAAAAGCCTTTAGAGCAGCCAAGCACGGTGGAGATCAAGGAACCTTCGAATGAACAAACGGAACCCTCGACCGAGCCTATGGACACGGATCCAAAAGCACAAGACGAAAAGCCAACGTCAAAGATGTCACCCAAGGACAGTGCTATGCAAGAGGCTATGGAAGCTGATAATGTCGCGGCTAAAAACGATGAAACAGCCTTAGACGATAGCGGTCATGTAAATGAAGATCAATCCAAACAAGTAGATTAATAAAATAATCGTCACAGCCCCTGCTCTGCTGTGCGAACCTACCTTACCAATTAACATGATCCAAGCAAATTTTTAATGATGTTTCGTTATTTTATTGTACGTTTTAAGAAAGACACTCTACAGTTATCCCAAAAATTCTATGCCAACATGTTAGAGAAAGGTATTCTCTGGAACACTACCCTACACGTTGTAGGCAATGGCAGATGTAAACCAGCCAGCTGTATATAAGGAAAAGTGAAATGGCTAGCTATAATATGGAAGTGGTAATCACGCATCTAAGTTCAGAGCTCTTCGTGAGCAGGAACTTCAGGATAATGGGCACCTTTTTCAATTGCTAACAGCCAAAAGAGAAACCCCGTCAGCATCAGTTGCCATAATTAGGCCATCAGGTTGCCTATACTACGTACCTTGGATGATCTCCTTGTCAACATGCGTAGGGAAAATGACCTTGTACTCAACGTAGAGATCGCCAGCTTTTGAGCCATGGTCAATTGGCATGCCTTCTCCAGCTACTTTCTCAACCAAACCATATTGAGTAACTCCTGATCGTTTCAGAGTGATGTTCCTGCCATCCAATTGCTCGATATTATGTTCAAATCCTGCCAAAGCCTATACACATGTGAGCAAATAGAGGTTATATTCAAAGTGCAGATTCCTGACACATACCTCGTATAAATTGATAGTTTCTTGTATCCTTAGATGATCGCCTCTTCGTTCAAAACGACGATGAGGTTGTGCTTTAATAATGAAGTGGATATCGCCGGGAATCACCTCTTCCGGGTATTCATCTGCCTCTCGTTCAAGTGTCTATCGGTCATGTCAGGTACAGAATTAGCAACCACGTAGCATAGGCACCGTTATTTCCTCTTGCTTTCACTTACAATGACTTCTCCATCCTTCATTCCTTTATCGATATTGATGGTATATAGCTCGTTGCCGCGCCTGACTTTGTTACCTTGGCAGACGGTACAGACATGACGAATCACTTTTCCTTTGCCACGGCATTGATCACATTGTTGCTGGAATTGTTGTACCATATGTGGTCCAAGTTGCATCTCAAACACCTGGTAGCCTTTGCCGTGGCAGGTTGAGCAGGTGACGACGTCCTCCGAGTTTTCGGCGCCGGTTCCAAAGCAATGGTCACAAACCACTTGTTTTGAGACCTCCACATTCACCGACTTGCCATGATAAAGCTCTTCCAAAGTGACATCAATTTCCAAATTCATATCGGGTCCTCTTCTCTCTTGCTGACGACCTATACCATGGAATGTGAGTACGAGAAAGGAAGAACATGTTGAACAGAGCGCATGTATTACCATTGCCACCACCGCCAAAGAATTGCTGGAAAATGTCAAAAGGGTTATGGAAACCACCACCGCCGCCATTTTGTTGATTCAATCCTTCCTCTCCATACTGGTCGTAGATTCTTCGCTTATCATCATCGGTCAGGACAGCATAGGCTTTTGTAGAACAAAGGTCATCAGCACGATACTGGAAAGGGACATGTTCGATAGAGCTGCCTTACCATCGGACAGTTCGACAAATTTGTCCTTTGCGCCTTGATCTCCTGGATTCTTATCTGGGTGATAGATTTTGGAGAGCTTCTTGTATGCCTTTTTGATTTGAGCTTTTGATGCATCGCGTGGAACTGTCAGGATCTGTTTCAAAGGTACCAGAGTTCAAATTAAGTTGGTCATACAACACTTGATTGCGCACATTTCTTTTACATACATCGTAATAGTCTTTTCCGGCTGCAGCTACAGCGATTAATAGCGATACAACGCATACGATCCAAAATAACTTGAGCATGGTCGTGAAGGATCGGACACAGTGATGAGTTGCTGGTTTTCAAATGATAGAAGGCAATTTGTGGCAGGACTTGATTGGATCACGTGGAACAGTGTAAAAAAATGGGCCCTGAACTTTGTGGCCGAAGTTTTATTTTCCATATTTACTCAATATGCTGAAGGCCGTTACTGCTATCGCTAACCATAACTACTTGGCTATCAAGGTCAAATGGACTGCCAGTCCATACAACAAAATCAGAAGAAGTTAATGAAACATCATCGAGTCCCAAAATATCTTGGATATCAGAAGTGATGAAGCCAATAGCTTCTTCTTCGGTGATCAAGCCTTGTGATGTTCTCTGTGCCCAACCAGCTTCCCAAGCAAGGTTGTTGGCAAGACCATTGTCGGAGAGACCGATAGCAGCCTTTACTCCGTGTGCACGTAGAGCATGAATAGCGGTACCGTTGGTAATAGGGCTACCTGTCAAGCAATTCTGGGTTTCCCAACGACCAGGTGTGCACAGAAGAGGAGTAAGGATAACTGGGATGTTAGCATGAGCAAGTTCTTGGGCAACCAAATGAGATTCAGCACCACCAAGAATGACAATGTTGGGTTGGCCCTTGAAATGTTCCTTGAGACGGATGATAGATGCAATCTCGTCCTTGCTGTCAACATGGATAACAAGTGGGATTTTTCCTTGAGCCGCCAGGCCGTAGTAGTTGCTAGAGTCAGTAGAATCGATGTTTTCACTCAAGATGCGTCGAAGGTGAGCAATATGGCCAGAAATAGTGGCGAAAGTCTCTGACTTGTAGCTATCACCAATTTGGACATGCAAAGCGACAGCGGGTGAGACGACAGTGTCTTCATCGAGCACTAAGGACGGTCATGATATCAGTATTGAAATGTTACAGCGAACAACGCTAGGCATTAATAAAAAAATATGTCCTTACAGCTCTTTCCTCCGCTCTTAAAAGCAACACTAATTCCGTTTACAAGACTACGGGACATGGGTGCAGTAATGACGGTCAGGACACCACCTTCATAAGCACGCTTGAGATGCTTGGTACCCAGTTTGAGACCATCTACAGCTTGGATAATGTCCTTGTAGTCTCTTGAAGTAGTGGCACGAATTTGACCGTCACCAGTTGTATCTTCTGCATCAATCTCAATAAGACCGAGGGACGAGCCAACGGCAACGATACCCTGATGGAACAGCGAGATGATTAGCATATTTCCAATGGAAATGGTATTTCATCAGATAAAACTTACAGGCATAACGTAACCACCGTTGACATCAATTTCGGGAAGGTTGGAGTCCAATGAGAGTAATTGAACATCACAGTCTTCTCCAGCACAAACAATTTTTCCATTATCAACAACGACCTTTCCTTGAGCGGATTGCTTCTGTTTCAAGTAAATCTTTCCAACATTTGTAAGAACAAATGACTTGCTATTGGCAGTGGCTTCTTTGTTGTAAACAGGAGCGGACTTTTCGGCAACCTTGCGCTCTTCAGATTCCACAGGAGAGATCTTGCGCTTATCGAATTGAGGAATACCATCAACAAATACCTGCAGAGGAGCAGCTCCAAGGCTAAGCGGATTACGATCCCAAATGACAACATCGGCATCGTACCCAGGCTTCAAAGAGCCGACACGATGGCCAAGACCTAAGGCCTTTGCAGGTACCGAGGTGACGGACTTGAATGCTTCCTGAGCAGGGAGACCATAATGAGTAGCCTTAGCTGCTTCATAGACCAAATGTTGCTAAAGAGTCAAGCTTGAGAATTAGTAACAGTGTATACCATATGGTTAAGACGTGCTTTGGGCTTACGGCATTGAGGACAGGATGGTCACTCTTGAAGGCAACAGGAATACCTGCATCGAACAAAATCTTGGGAGCACGAGGATCGGCTTGGAAAGCTTCCTTCTTGTATCCCCAGTGGTCAGCAAAGGTAGCGATGGTAATGTTGGTACGAGCACGCTTGATGATATCAGGAATGCGATAGGCTGGGAGGAGAGAGAACATTAATTGACCGATATACGGATTCATTATTCATGTGTCTAATACATACCATCCAAAGCATGGTGGAAAGCACGAATAGTAAAGTTGAATTCTTGAGAGTGTCGCACCATGGCTTCAATGTCATGAGTCTGAATGGAATTTAAACGATGAGTACACACATTTTTGAACTCAAACGAAAACATCCAGATTGAACAAACCTCATAACAATGAACGTTCAATCTCACGTCACCACGAAGCAAACCAGTCAAGGATTCGTTCTCTAAATCTTCGGGAAATCTGGAATCCAAGCGTACAGAGTGATGTTTGCTGTGAAGCTTTTCAGCGGCATCACACCAATCATCTTGGGCATCGACCAAAGCTTGTGCTTCAGAGAAACGTTTGCGGAACAAGTAACCAGCGCCCATTCCTAAAAAAAAGAAGCAAGAAGAAAAACGTGGAGATCAGCATGGAGTTGGGTTCTTTGCTACCATGAGCATCAGAGAACGGATGCCTTACTAGTTGATGGCATTTTGCGTTGAGAACCATAAAAGCGCTGGAAATAAAGTTGTTCGATTAGTATACAAACAAAAACACCGCCAGATGTTTACACCTCTAGCTAGGAAAATAGTGCTGTACCTTTGGATTTTCACCACAAGCCATCTTCATCCATCTCCACTTTCGGTCAATAGAATCATCTACACCAGACTGTACCAGCATATCTTCACCACTAAGGGTATCAACAGGTCTCAGCTTGAAAGCGAAAGCCTCACCACCCATTAAATTACCAGATCCGGGGAGCACCAATGCAGTTGTTACGCCACCGGAATTAACGATACGAATAGCTTTATCGGAAGGATTAAATGCTTCGAGAGATCTCACGAATGGTGTAAGAGGCTGGGTCATTTCATTGGTATCTTGAGTCGCCGCTAGTCCGGGCCAGGAATCCACACCCATATGGCTGTAAGTCAAATAAAGTCGGGTGTTAAAATAGACTAACAACGATGCAAGTACGCCGAGACTGTATTTTGATTTAGCATTGGCTAGGCAACTTTTACCTGTGCATGTCCACTAAACCAGGAGAGACGATGTGGCCCTTCACATCAATTACTTCGGTATTGTCGTTGATAGCCTCAACATCCTTTCCAACCGCTTTAACAATGCCGTCTTGCAACAATACATTGACGTTCTTCAAGATATTGCCTTCACCATCCCAAACTTCTGCGTTTTGGATGAGAATATCAGGGGTTCTGCTATCTGCTCTGGGATTCTTGCGATCAGCGTCTGCAAATGATTCCACTCTGGCTTTCTTAATTTGACGGCACTTGTTCAAGCCTTCTTCCAGGGCAGCAGCGGATATGCCGGGAGGAACGATCGTTTCCCCTTTAAACGAAGGGAAGGGGTTGAGACTTTGATTGTCTGGCAAAAATAGAGCTACAAAAACCAGGGCTCCTAGTGCAAAGACCAAGCCGGTTGTAAACGTAGCTGCTGGATTATGTGTCAAGGCGTTGTGTGCCTGTTGAACCTTGGGATGGTTGACGAATCGCCTCCAAGGTGACTGACCAGCAGACGAAGGACCAGATTCAGATTGTTGCTCGACGTCGCTATTGGAAGGAATAGCGGCATAGCCACTTCCCTTTCTCTGAGACATTGTGGGAATGATAGAGAAGAAGAGAGTGCTTGACGCGAGTTAAGCACCCGAAGCGCCGGAGTGCACTGCACTATGTGTGACGGTCAAAAGGTCAGTAGCCCACAAAGGGAAAATCGAATCAAAACCGGAAGTCAACTTGATAAGCCAGACTCTAGCGAAGTTCTCCTTCCCTTCGGCTTGTCATATTACTGGGCAACCTTAAATCAACTCCAGTTAATGATAAGACGCGCACTACATATTAAAATTGACGCAATAGGGTAAAGGTATGGCCAATTTCCATGCATGTGACCAACCCTCACCTCCTCGCCATGAAACTCGGTGCAACAGTCAAGGGGGAGAGACGTATTTTACTATCTAGCAGCAGTCTAATGGCAAATGTTATCTTTTGATATTTGTATGGACCACTCTACAGCCATCCAACCAAGGAACCTTTCACTGTCTCTACAATAAGCTGTTCAGGGATCGATTTACTAATTACATTATGTAACGAAATTGTATATACATTGTTCGTCTGTCGTTGACAAAAGACGCTGAGATACTACGCCATACCATTGACACTGAAACCTAGCAATATCTGCATGTCATCGTTTACAATTAGATGATTTCGCCAAATGAAGATGTCTCAGTGTGGAGACATATATAATTGCCCTGAAACTAAGCACAATATGACGCTATTTACAGCCAGCATAACCTGCATTGAAGTAACCAGATAAGAAAACTTCTGGCTGCTTGATGCAAATTTGTAATCCAAGAATATTGTAATTGCTATCGAACCAGGGCAGTGCATTGTCTGAAATATTTTTTTTTTGTTTACCACATGGACTGGTGAAGCTTATGCGTATTTATGATGCGGGTCAACACATTCGGCCTCGTGAGGGGACAGACTTCACGATAATTTAAATTTTAGACCACAACAATCCATATATGTTGTATTTGGCTGTGATAAACACCGGTCTTAGGCGTTTCTTCTCGATAGTGTCGTTTGGGAATTGCCCTGACGTGTGCCTGGGTGGGTCTCGGTTTAGGTTTTTTTGGCGTTGTTGGCGAATTGAACATGGTCTCATGTATTGTTTTTGGTCCGTTATCAAGATTGGTATTCACCATGCAAGCGAATATCGAACTGCTTGCCTAGCAAGATAACTGGCCGAGAGGAATCGATACAAAGCACAGAGGATGCTGTCTCTCAATATGGATGGGATAACTTTGAGCCGGAATCCACCGAATTTGTTCGCTTGTCCAGGGATCGTGATGGCAATACGTCTTCAGCATCGAGGAAAAGCAGTAAATGAAATTCTTTAATCACTTATTCCTTCGTCTTAGACTACTTCGCTGTTTGTCGTCCTACAGAGTGGACCAATTTGTCGATAATCTATTGTGGATGGACATTAGAGTGAAGAATTCAGTCACGTGCACCTCATTCGCGCCTCTGCCAAAGAATTTTCTTGCCCCACGACGCGTCCGCTCCACGTTCACTTTTTCGTAACTTAAACATTGTCATGTATGCAACAAGAAGAAATCAGACTGCTGAAAGCAAAGTGTTTTATGAAGTTCCAACACTCTCAAATACTACATTGCTTCGATGCCTCAGAGAAATCCAGTTGCCTTTCACAGAGGAAGATCTTATGAAGCCGACCGCACAAAGCACACAGTACCTTTTCGAACGATGCTTAGATCTGTTAATGGGCGTCCACACAACACAAATTGAAGAAGTTCGAGACAAAATGCTCCAGAATATTGAGCATCCTGTAAGTTCTTGTTTTATCTACTTGAAATGTGCAAATGCAAGTACTGAAGGATTGCTAAATAGGAGGTTCACCACGACATGTTGGGAATGCTCTTGCTGTACGACAGAATGTAAGTTACTTCACAAACGTGAGCGACGTTTCCATTGTTCTAAATTGAGTGTTGATGATACAGGAGCAAGTTGATGTTGGAACTCGGATTCGCCGATTTCAATTTTAGAGATATCACCAAACCAACCCATGACCGCATCGTCAAAATCCTCAGCGCGCTAGTCAATTACGCCAGATTTCGAGAGGAGAGATTGACAACGTTTGAACAGATTTCTGCTACAGGAGTAAGTGTGAGCTCAATGATTATATTGCCCTGAAATGTATTAACCACGGCATGTAGGATGAAATTGCCATGAAAAGAGCAAATCTGGAGCAGATTCATGACGAGACTAGTGCGAAACTTAACCAGCTCAAGTATGCGCATATTGATACATGTACTTGGTGTACTTCAATTTGCTAACCTCGGATTCCATAGGGAAAAGGCAAAGGCAGAAGAGCCAGAAACAAAGGCAAAGGAAGCTGAGAATGAAGAATACGGCAGAACACTTCGAGACCAAAAGAAGAATGCTGATTCGATACATACACAATACCAAGAGCTAAAAGCTACTCAACATCATCTGAGAGACGAAATGGTATGTCCATGTAAATGAAACTCGCATTACCAAGGACCGATTCTCACCTTTGCGTTTCCCCTCCCAGCAAACAAAAGTGTATCAAATTATTACCCTTGATCGTGAAATCGAACGCCTAAGAATACGTGCAGATCAGAATCCAGAGCGAGTCCGATCGGTCAGTATCATTTCCTGTTTCTTTTCATCATGCGATGTATAATTTTACTAATTGAATTATTTGATTTTATCCATATAGGCAAACGCCAAACTCACCTCTTCTATAGAAGAAGAAAGTCAAGCAGCTACTGAAAATGAAGCGACTGTCAGACGCCTCCAAGCGAAGATTGATACCATATCGGCGATACTGGAAGAAGTAAATGCATGCAATCGACTTTTGTCGGACTGCGAAGAGGGAATCAAAAATTATGAAACTCTCAATCGACACAATGCCATTAACGAGGAAAAAATTGGCAAAAAGGAATTGGATATGCAAGAGTTGCAAAATAAGGAACAGGTATATCACATCATCCATCCATACGTTTCTTGAATCTGGTCATGTACTAACTGTCAAACAGTATTTGACGAGAATGCTCAACAACTTGATGCAGAAAATGGCCAAGTTAGAGCAACAGCAGGAAAAGAAGCGGGAGAGTGTTCAAAGTGATATGAACCAGTCGCAACAGGAGTACAGCCAAACCAGCTCAGAAGTCAGCAAAATGCAACAACAAATGTCTGAGATCCAGGCTAGTGCAGAACTGTTAGAGCAACAGGTATGTATACAGAGCAATTCCTTCAATTCGCTAGCACCTAACTCTAATGCTTTCTTTACAGATAAACGATATAAAAACCTCATTGGAAGTCGATGTCAGCAATTTGCAGTCCGAGTACGATAATCTCAAAGCTCAGTTCGAATCGTATTTGAGCGAAATGAAGTTGTAGGATTGTTACGACCTCCGCAACGATTCCTTGTAATTATTTTTATGTTGTTATATTATGTACACTAATTAAACCTTTTGTAATGCTTCGTATTGTTTGAGCACTTGAAAAGTGAGTGATGGCTTAACAACCTTCAAAGCTTCTTCCAAGTTTTCTTGAGTCTGTATGTTGTGAATTTGGTCAGCATGATATTGGCCCTCATATACATTGTTTCACATATACATTGTTTCAGTCATATTGAATACATACCACGCTGGACGCTGATCTATTCTGTCGTAGGCCGATCATAGCGGCTTCTCGGCACAGGTTTTGCAAATCCGCTCCCGTGTAAAGATTTGTCTATCAATCTGCATGAGATACAACCTACACCCTCTTCAATCTTATAGACGCAAAATTACCTTGTCAGCAATCTCTTCCAGATCAACATCCTCCGCTAATGGTATATCTTTGGTATGAACATGTAGAATTTGCTGTCGTGATACAAAATCAGGCGGTGGAACATAGATAATTTTGTCAAAACGACCAGGCCGCATCAACGCAGCATCCAACATGTCTGGCCGATTAGTAGCACCCTAGAAAATGAGGGCATAAGCAAAGAAAGATATAGTGGGCGAATGGTAACAAAACACATACAATGACAAGAACTGATGATGCTAGTTCAACACCATCCATCTCGTTCAATAGAGTAGAAAGCACCCTCTCCTGAACAGAATCAGACCCTGAACCACCAGAACCTAGATTTCTTTTTCCCACAATGGCTTCAATTTCATCCAAGAAGATGACCGAAGGGGCAGCAGATCTAGCTTTTTGAAACGTCGATCGGACTAAAAAGAAGAGATTAGGACTACATGAACGACATTGTACCCAAAAAAATGTGAGTTCGACGCTTACTGATCTTCTCGGAATCACCAACAAAAGGAGAGTATATTTGCGCACCATTGATGGAAAGAAAAGTAGCTCCTGAAACAGAGGCGATGACTTTGACTAGTGTCGTCTTGCTGCATCCCGGTGGGCCAAACAGTAAGATTCCTCTTGGAGGTTTCAAACCAAGTCTTTTGAATGTTTCTTTATGTAAGAGCGGCCACTCGGTTGCTTGCTTAAGTTTCTGTGATAATGATCAAAGGTCAGACTTGGATACCATGGCTTATATAACAAATTGTATACGCGAACGTGAGGACTTACCTTTTTCACATCCTCAAGGCCACCGATATCGTCCCACCCTTTCTTTTCGACTACCGTTTCGTAGCCTCTTTGTATTGACGGTCCAACTTTCGACATGGAGGCGGCAAAGTCATCAATAGTCACCGATAATTCGCTGAACTTGTAGTTAGTAAATTGTGATTCAATTCTACCATGTCGCACATCCTTTACCTGTTATCATCTTGGGAACTGCCTTGAAGCTGCATGTAGCGCTCAATTGCAACCATGGTAGCCTCACGGCACAATGCCATAAGGTCTGCTGCGACATACCCATTGGTCATCACAGCTAGCTTTGCCAACACTGTAGTATCAAGGGATTAAAACTAGGATTGTGATTTTGAGCTACATTATAAGGGATGCTTACCGTCATCTTCATTGAGAACTGGAACCTTTTTCAATTGCGATCGTAAAATATGAAGTCGTGCGTTTTCATTTGGAGCGTCAATTAATATCTCACGATCAAATCTGCGATACAATTAGCAAAATCGGGTGAAAATTCGTCTATATTTGCGCAGACCTAAACATATACATACCTTCCCGGCCGTCTAAGAGCTGGATCCAGAGAATTTGGTCGATTTGTTGCACCAATCACAACAGTTCGACCTCGATTTTCCATACCGTCCATCAGCGTAAGCAGTTGAGCCACTACCCGTGACTCGTGAGATTGCGCATTTTGTCTGTTGGGTGTTAAAGCATCCTTTGCGCAGCAATGAAAACAATTTGTGAGTGAATGACTAGATAGGAGGGACGGTGGATGATTAAACCTACTATTTCATCAATGAACAAGATGACCGGGACTTTCTTTTGCTCACTACAAAGAGCAGCTTCTTTGAACTTGTTTCGCAGTTTTTCTTCGCTCTCTCCTATGTAAGGACCAAAGACTTCGGGGCCTTGAATTACAATCTGATGAGAAGAATTAAACATGGTGTCTGATCCGCATCATAACTGAGAAGTCACATACCATTTCTGCTCCACAAACCTTTGCAATAGAAGCAACCAGATATGTTTTGCCAACACCGGGTGGCCCATATAACAACACACCTTCAACATCGTCAGTCGCCATTGTGGAAATTTTTGTATGAGCAAACTCCCTTCACCTTACCTTTAGGACATTCTATGTTCAATGTTTTGATTACGTCGTTGTATAGCAGAGGATAGCTGACCACCTCTAATAAAGCGTCATAGGCTTTCTCCAAACCACTCATTCCAAAAGCATTCTTCTTTTGTTTCAGTCGCGCAAGCGAGAGATCAGACATTGACGAAACTAGCTGGTCTATGCCGGAGTCAGTCGTTTCTTGAAATGCGGCGATGTTGTCTTTAATTGATATTTTTGTTCCTGCGGATATCTTAACATGTGCGGTTGATGGAACTGTCGATAAGATCTTCAAGATGTATGAATAGTATGCGTTAGCATCATTGATACCCCACATGAATATATACTCTGTCATCTCATTCAGAAATATTTCGTTTTTACACACCCTAACTTCCAGACAGTGCCGTTCGCTCATTGTACCGATGATACATCCAGCAACTACAACCATTCCATCCAAAATATTTCGAACTGCCAGAAGTCTATCCAGCTCTGAAGCTTCATCCCATATGAAACCTAGCTTGCGCTTTTGTTCCAATTCATCAACGTTTTCCTTCAATTCACACACAATATTAAGTTCAATCCCGTCTTGTATCGATTCGATTATGCCCACGCTTCCAGGTGATCCAGTGCCTAAACAAACAAAAGCATGTCAATTTTTTGGACTACACCATGAGCCGTTCCGTATCACATCCAGTGAACTCACCAGTACCGATGCTTGGTGCCTGAATATATCTGCTGATCATCATTGTATCGCTAGCTTGGTTAGAAGGCAAAGCGTGGCAGTAAAAGGTCTGTTTTATGCATTAGCGGTGCTGGAAACAGCAAGGTGCTCGATCCATTCCTTTTACCTTGCAAGACTGGTCTGTTATTTGTACCCATGACTCGACGTTTTTTCGATCCTTCAACTGAGTGTATGCAGGTGTTGGAATGTACGCAACAGCTACTGGAGCATTACTGCTAACTTCCTGGATTTTCAGTTGCATTAGCTTGCCAGGTCGCGCACACAAAAGAAAAAAATGAGTGACTGTTTGGTTCAATGGGTTGCCGAAAAAGGTCATCCACACAACGGAAAGACTGAGCTTTAAGCCGATCCACAGCCCACGACTTCTTTCTCGTCCACGAAGCAGGCCGGTTCAATCAGCAATGGACAACATAGTTTCATCCAACCTCCAGTCCATTTCGGACTTCTGGATGTTCTTTGTCTATTGCTTAGTTGTCGTCGTTGTCGTGATCTTCTTCCTGTTTTACTTCAATCGAGCATTGGGTCAGGTACTAGCATGGATACTAAACCAATACCTGTGGCGGAAATACCATGCCTATATCGAAATCGGTACGATGGAATGACAAACGATTTAGTGCCATCTTTCTCAATTTCTTCTAATATATATTGGTCTGAAACCATTTATCTCTTATATAGAGTCCTTCCAATTGGCTTTATTGGGAGGCCGAATATTATTCAAAAACGTACGATACTTGAGCACCAATCAATCAATTTGCATATTAAAAGGCCACTTATCATTGCGATACTGGCTTTGGGATGTTCGCCATGAAGGTGGAAAGTTTGGTACGTAGAATTGCATATTTAGGTCATCTTAATCAGGTTATTGATCATCCTGCTTATAGAACCAGGCAATATCAAGAAGCCATGCCGGATTGTTTGTCATTTGGAAGGCCTCGAATGGTTCATGTATAACAGAACACCAGTATACTATGCACTGCAGGAAATTCTTGAAATGAGTGCCAATATGACGAATGGTCAGGCGGAGGAACTACGATCAACAGCCACCACACAACCATTAGACATGGAAAGTCAAGAAGCGGATGGGTTCAGTAATTCATTATTCAGGCGCCTTATGCCGGTTCAAATCGAGTGCACACGCGGTGCAATGATGTTTGGAAACCCAGATCTTCCCACCATGGCTGTCCTCCAGTTCCGACAGGCGAGCAGTATCTACAACACAGATCAATCCAGGTCCAAATTGGATTACTATAAATCATCTTTGGATTTGATTTTTCGCGAGCCAAAACTAAGTTTAAAGCACAATACCGACTTCACTGTAGGGGCGGACGATGAAATACATGTGAACAGAAGGCAAAGCAGTGCAACATCGTAAGTTGAAGACGGTGGTTAAAAACATCCGTTTGTTCTATGCATAACCTGACTATTTCCACAGATTATGGAAATACCTATCATCAGCTACAACAGGCTTATTTGGAAAGGGAGGACGCCAGTACGGATATATGCAGCACTTACACGGCTTCCACAATAATTCGCCTCATTCAGACAACGCAGGATTTGAAGCTCGTGCGCATAAAGAGTATGCCATGGTATCACAAGTATTGGAATGTACAGAGATTGCATTTACGTACTTCGCAGATGTACCAGGTATGCATTGACAGTGCTTGTATCTGCCTTAACAGAAAGTTATTTAACTTTCATTGCAGGACCTGTTCCGTATCCAGAGGCCTCTGAAAATAATATTACATATGATCAAACCTACTATGGGAATGGCGGTGTTCCTCCAGAGTGGGGTATACATGTTTCTCTTCGTAATGCCATGATCCAATATGGACCATGGGCTGACAGGCAGCGGTAAGTTGTGCATCAACATGATACTATATCAAAATTGGTGGTGGTTGATACTGACGTTTTACAAAGCGCATTGATCCAAAACTTTATGTTTCCACCATCTCACCGTAATATGGAGCCATCTCCTATACTTCAACCTGGTCAAACTCGAGCTTGTACAGCTTTAGAGATGTATATTGAGTTCGTATCCGACCTCACTTTGAGAGTTCCTTTACGGGAAAAGTCAAAAGACTGGAAGTTTACTTCAGGCATGGAGGAAATGGATGTTAACTCTAGCGGCTTTATTACACGACCATACGGTTGGATCGACATAAAAGCTGCCGCAGGCTCTTCAATCAAGATGATTATCCCAACTATGGTATCTGCAACTGGATACTCCAATAAGCTGGATGTCAACCTTGTGGATGTCAACGTTCAAACCAGTGTCAATTATGCATCATTCCTGATGTGCAAGAAACTGAAAGTACACGCCGATATGGAAACTCCTCTGGTTTGGAATGCCCACAGAACGTGGAACTTCAATTTTGGAGTATCTCACCCTGAGATCTTCCTGCTTCGTGATCACATCTTTTTACTTCAAGATCTCGTTAAAGATTGGACGGCGGACAGTACGACAGACCTAACCCATTGTATACCTATTACGTACAAGATGCAACTGAAGATGAATAATGCTATGCTATATTTATGTGTCAACCAAGACAACATTATCAACAATCCAAATGTCATGGATGACAATGGTAAGCATTTTGATCTAGACTTCTGATTCACTCAAGCGTAATACTAATGATTTTGCATAAAAAGCATACATCACTCTCAGTGCGCCGACCTTGGAAGTTGACGTTTCACTGCCTTTCACAAAGTTTGAACCTGAGTCAACATCCATTCCATTCGCAGTCAAGGTAAAAATCTACCGATAGGAATTCATTGCATAGATGACATTGTGGGTACTAATTATATTCTATCCAGATCGATCAACCCAAACTAGCGTTCTCGCTACCATCTTCACATACCCTTGGAGCATTCCTTCGAGAAGAAGATGCTCAGTTTGGCTCATGTGTCTATGCTACCTTGGAAGGCTCATACAACTATTACAGCACTGTCGATGTGACACAGCACCTAGAGTCGTTAAACCTACAAGTCAAGGTTTGTTAACTGGATTGCATGCTAAAAATTCAACCACTTTGATGTAGTCTAATTTTTGAAAACAGCTCAAAGGAGTGAGCTGCAAACTTTTGGGCTCAATTGCACGATATTTCTTGATTCTTAAGGACAACTACTTTGGAAACTGGGTACATTTCGTCACCGTTGAAGAATACAGACAGCGTAAGCAAAATCCAACTCAATACCTTGAGATGAAGCGGCGTGAAGATGAGGCGAAGGTACGTATTTTACCAACCTATGATGTAAAATTGGCGCATATTCAATAGGTGAGTTAACCATTGCTTTTTTGAACATTTAGCCATTACAAGACCCATTTGAAGTATATGTACAATGTCTAGTTGAGGAAGCAACAGCTCTGCTACCCGAAAACCTCTATGACTGCTCAAAGTCTTCACAACTTGAATTCCAAGAGCTTCAGCTGGAGCTTCGAAATTTAGATATATATATGGGTTAGTGTTTCCATAATACCTTTTCAGCTTCGCCACTTGCCTTACTCACCTTTTCATTGATCAACCAGACATGCACGTAAATTTCAGCCCATTGACCTGGACAAGAGAGACAGAGCCTAATCCGCAAAGAGCTCCGTTTAAAACCAAGAATGCCCGTGATTCACGCAATTATCTTTATATCACAGGTATGAGTGCAAATATCTTCAAAGGATAAAATTTATGGACCCTATGGTTTTTTTCTTGATGATACTGACTACCGAAACAGAGCTCAACATTTACGCACATAGACTATTCGGTCCTCTACCAAAAACAGCGACTTACCTTTGCAATTGGGAATTCGATCTCGGTAGTATATCTGGAGAGATCAAACCATCTTTCTTGTTAGGAACAGCAGCTTTTGGAAAGGCTTTCCTTTACAACATGGTGGACGAAGACAATGCCCTCGCAAAGGATATGACCATTCTTGATCCAGACGTTACATTTGTAACTGCCAGTGTACAAAGCATAGATATCAACTTAATGGGCCGCCACAGTGCGACGCAAATCAGTCTCTCGGAAGGGTTTTCTTTTGAATTTGATGACTTGATTAACCGCAACTATACCCAAAAGATCAATCTCAACTTTCCATCCATTGTCGTCACAAATTTGGCCACTCAGGAAATGAATGTTAATCATCATGCCGAAGGCGAATATCCCTGGGTCGAAGTAGCGAATGCCAATACCGGTTTGGAGGTAGTCATATACCGGCAAACGTCATTGTGGAAACAAAAGCGAGAAAAGCAGCAATCTTATATACGTACTCAGGATATGCAGACCAGGCGATGTCCTCACTTGTACGATAGCGAAGCATATGCTAGCGAAGCACGATCATTGATATCCATGAGATCTTACAACGACCATCACCACGTTGGCATGTTGTATGCACCGCCCTTCTTGTCCAAATATGCGGATATCTCTGATAGTTTTAGCGTTCGTAAGGAGAATGGATACATGCAACGACAGCAAAGCCAAGAAGAAAATTTCAATGCATACTCTGGTAGTAGTGCACCTGCAAGTTTACGATCTTATTCAGAAAGCTGGCGGGGTCAAGGTTGGGATGCTCAGCCTGAAGTCGACGATGTATACGACAATGATAGTGTCAATCAATCCGTCACAGAGTCCTCTGCGGATTTCGATAATCAATCCTTTCATACTGCGTTTTCCGAGCGTGTGGATGATACGCCCACTGCTGAACGGAATGGTACCATCTTCGGCGCCAGTAATCGAGATTCTACTTATGACCTGGAAGACGAAGAGCTGATTAGTATGCGCTCTGACAGTGATGACAGTTCGGACGATCTAGATATGATTCAGACTCCTGATATCAATGAGCCATTACCAAATGGTGAATCCGCTACAGTGATGCCACCATCCATTCCCTATAGCAGCTACCTGAGGAGATATGAGATCCATCGAGAGGCGCCGTACTCAGATAAATTCTTCCACACTTACCTCCCACCACCAAAGACTCGTCTGATCCCTGCGCCGGAAACAGATGAAAGTAAACACGAAATCCATGCACACAAGCAGGATACCACCAATTTCTCAAAATCTCATAGCAGACTACATGGCGATGAAATAGGTGAAGATGAATCCATGGTTGAAAATGATGAGGAAGACGAAGACAACGCAGAGCCTCTACTTGGAAACGGAACAGAGATGACCATTGTCCTGGAAGCCATTAAGCCTGTCAATGTTCTTCTAACACCCATCTTCGTCAAAGTCGTTCAAGAAGTGACTGAAGCCATTGATCAAGATAATTGGGATCTTGAAACTATGCTTGACAGCACCCAAATGGAGTATATTGGTCAATTGACACGCTTTTTGACTGATCAATATATCTGCACTCAATTTGCTGTGCATCTCCCTCGAACTCATCTTCATTGTATTCAAGATGTCATGTTACCCGATGATCTCATGAAATCAAAGGATTTGCGAACTGGCATGCGTACCCGCTATGACTTGACAGATACCCTATTGTGTTCTGCGGATGTGATCCTAGATGGCTTCGATCTGAGTGGTCTGGTTAAATTCCAAGATATTGCCTTTGACGAGATGAAACGCAGTGTTGCAGAATCAAAGTTGGAACTGCGAGAATCTCGCGTTAACATCAATTTGGATGCCTTAGGATGTAAGGTTCGATACATCAGCACTTCAAGCTCCATGTCGTTCGGTATTCCTATATCACGACAGCATCCTCGCAATCGCAAACTGATGGGTGACGACTGCTCTAGCGAACTTGTTGTTATTGACTTGACTCTAGACGGTCTCAAATTCCAATTGATTGGTGCAATGAAGCCCAACTACATCAAACTAGATATGGGTATGCTGTCTTCCATCATCATTACTGAATCGGTTGAAATTCTTGTCGGCGCCGTTTACTCCTGGTTGACATTTGTCGATGATTTGGAAAACATCTTGGAAACCTTTAGCGAAAGACGAACAAAGCAAATGCAGACATTCATCTACGAAATTGCAAAGTTTTCTGCCGATCCTAGAGTTGGTCGTGATCCTATTTTCCTGACCAAACCTACTATCAATGTTCTGAGATTGGGTGCCAAAGCGTTCAGAAATGATGTTGGTTGGAAGCTCCTAGCAAGAATGCGCCATTGTTTAAGATCGATGCCATCAACGTTGAGAGGAGAACTTCAATACCAGTTGACGTCTGGAGATTACAGCAAAGATATTGATACAAATGCAATGTTCCAAAAAACCATTGATACCTTCTCAAAATGGCGCAGTTGGGAGATTGGCGACATCTCAGGATGCCGATTGCTTACCCATCCATTCCATCAAAAGAAATACGATCAAAAGCAAAGCCCAATGAAAAATATGGATCTTGTGGATATCTTGAAGCAATCTGTCAATTTGGCCGACGTCAAACTAGGGGTGTTTGACTTTTTGATTTATGAAGAAGAGCCTGAACAAGATGATAATAGGATCACTATTGAAGATGTTGCATTCAACTTGGATACGGAATACAAGCTGAACGACGCTCGATTGCCTGAAGGCAACCAGGTCACAGGAGAAAGCGATCGTGTTGGCACTGCTGATGCCTTGGGTTACTTGGATGGCATTGGCAAACTGCATATTCACTCGATCAGTATTACCTCCAATCCAACCTTGCTTGCCTTTGCACGACACATGTTGACAGTTCAGAGAGTGTTCACTACAAAACTTAAAACTCTTTCACATGCTGTCAAAGTGTCAAAAGCTGCTACCAAACCTACGGATGCCACTGCTGAACAACCATTTGATATCATGAACATTCTTCAACGCATCGATATCCTAGCACAAGGTCTAGTCAATATCGATATTATATCCATCACTGCCAATTCTCAACGACTTCGCCTCTGTATTGACATTGAGGATTCCTATGGTTCATTACTCTCTTCCAACCCTAGACTGTCTCCGTTGTCACCTATATTCAGTTCTGATCGTGCTACTTCTGACACCCCGTCAGGATTACGCAGTTCAAACAAAGCAAGCAGAAAAGGGTCGTTACAGCGAGTGATTTTGATGGCTGCTGGTGGTATCCAAAGTGTCAGCTTTAGGTTCATGGAACTAATTCACGGAGCTTCATCGGTAACTAGACATGATCTGCTGCGAATTGACTTTGATGGAGTCAATGTCAGTGCTGCTATCAGTCAAGCCACTAAGCAGACAAAGAAGGCATCTAAAACTGATTCGACGAAAGAAGTTCTCAATGTGTTTTCAAGCATACACTCATTCAGAGTCAGTATGCCTCAAAGTCTTCTGAAAGTCTATGGATTCATTGAAGATTGGCGCGCCGAACAAGGAAAACGGTACACCTTTTTGTTCCAGAACCTTTTGGATGAGTGGGAAGAGCAAAGACTATCGAGCAGCCCGACAACAGTAACATCATCGCCGATAGCGCCAAAGTTTGACCTCAAATTGCAATTCTTGTTGCGCCACCTTGCCCTTCGTTCTGATCTTTTGCCATCTTTGAGCCTGCAATATAATGTTCATGATATGTTCATGATCGTTCACCAGCCATTGTCGCGCGATGGCCCAACGTTGAAATACACGTTTCAACTGGCGAAACAAGAGCTCCAGTTCAACACCAGAACACGGTCAAATGGACCTAGCTCTGAAGACCCGTCGACCGGCTCATTTGCTATACCCGCTATCAGATGCACTGGCTCTATACAAGTGGAAGGTCCACCACGCCCTGCTCATGGCGGTATCGGTTCAATATCGGATATGTCGCACATTGTGCAAGTTTCCAAGCTTCACTCCAATATTTCCATGGATGTGGTCTCTTTGTCACTCAACGTCAATATGATCGATCAGTTGTTGACGGCGCAATCGCTCGTTGGCAGTGAAATTAGTGATCTCGCCGATGTATTCTCTTACTCTAGTAATCAGCCCAAGCAGGCTGCGCTCGAAGCGGCGCCATCCACTACTGTCACCGTAGATAAACCAAGCGTGAAACCACGTATGCTCTTCTCTGTCGATTTCGCACTGCGTGGTTTACAAGTCGCTGCTGCCAGCCCTGCTGCTTTAGGACTGTTCGAATCCAGCATCTTGCGTGCATACGTCTCCAACGATACGAGATCCAAATCTATGCCTGAAACACCGTTGATTTGGCAAGTCATGGCGCACAACTTTGCACTTTCTCTAGAGCATAATACTGTTTCCAAGGTACCGTCCAGCGATCGGCGATATCGCAGAAATCGCCTTGCCTATGTTGCCATCGATTTCACCATGCAAAACTATGCACATCCCAATTCTACAACGGCTGAAATCAAACCTGAAAACGATGACCATCTTGATTCATTCTATTTGGACCTATCGAAAACACATGTGGTCATGCAGCCCATTGCCCTGGGTAAAATGACGGATCTTTATCTCTATTATCAAAGAGAGCTTGCTCGAAAGGAGGAGATGAAGAAATCAGAATTAGATAGACTTGCAGCCAACACAAGAAGGATCATGGGCTCACTCAAAGTCGAGCTTCCACAGCAACAGGAAGACATTGGCTCTATGTGGGATGGCAAGCTCATCTCCATCAATGTCAGCAACTTTGGTGTGGCTGTACCTCTGGATTCCACAGAGAATATTACCGCTGCTTCACAGAATAAGGACGTTGGTGCCTTACTCTTCTCCATTTCATCAATGCGTTTCGTCACCAAGAAGATTGAAAACAGTGTGGCTAATCTGAACAACATCGCATTCCAGTTCATCCCGCGCTTTGATCAAAATAATGAAGCTCACTTCTTGTCGACCAACCACTCTCGCATGAACCAAATGCTTCTACCACACATCTCATGCAGTGTCCATAGCAACAGTCATCATCTTGATGACCAGACCAAAAAGCAGAAATTCTTTGTTGATGCCAATGTGGACGGCTTTGAAGTGGATATTGATGGTACCCTTGTTGATTACCTTAATAAGCTCAGTGTCATTTATTTGGCAAGCATCGATCGTGTCAACGCTTTTGCAGCCGAAGCAAACTTCGGTCTCCCCCGTACTGAGGATTCCACGCAAAACTCAGAGCACACGCGAGCACATAATGATACAGTTCTGTTTGATCTCGAAGGTACTTTTGTATACTCTCGTGGTGTCGTACGATTATACCCTAAAAAGCAGACGGATGGTCCACGCAAGAAGATGCCTGGAAAATCACTACGAAAGGTGGATACGGACTTGACCAGGACGCTCGATACCATGAACATGGCGACCATCATCATCCCTGGCCTTAGCATTTGGTTTACCTATCATATGCCATTTGGTGGTGTATCTTCCGCATCCCAGCGCAGTGTACACATTGAGGTCTTGATTCACGAAAGTGAAAATGTCCTTCATCCTTCTTTGGTCCAGTTTTTGCATGAAATCATCGTGGGTCTTAAATTTGGTGTTCAACAATCCAGCGAACAGAAGGCCACTCAAGTCACAGCTGCTCCCAATCTTGGCATGAATGCATCATTATACCTAAGACTCTCCAAAACAAAATTGGATCTTACATGCCAACCTTATCACAAGGTGGTATGTTCGCTAAATTGGGAGGAAGGCAACTTTTTGATGAACTCGTTCTCTGGTGATACGGCGTCTAGAACGCTCAGTTGCGTAGGAAGTGTTTCTGGAGCATCTCTCAATCTTCGACATCATTTCTCTCCGGAAGACTGTCTAAGTGCTGCAGTCAGAGATATCATGTTCAACGCCATGCTAACGTCCAGCCGAGCAGATGTTAACGAAGATAACATATGTGTCCTTATCAACATTCCTGGCATAGCGGCTAGCTTGAACATGCGTCATCTACAAGATCTTTTGGTTCTCAAGTCTCTTTGGTTAGATCAAGAACATGCGGTGAAGCACGGAGATCCTGCTCATCCTATCCAGACTCCCACTGAAGAAGTATCGGCTGTGCTGGCGCCCGATACGACGTTGAAACCAACACCATTTGCTTATCATTTTGCGTTGAGAGCGCAATCCATTGACCTTTCCGCTGATCTTGGTCAAGCGATTGGCAAAGTCAGTCTAGTGTCTCAAAATGTTGTGTTATCCACCAAGAACATACCGCATTTGGCAAAGACAGCTTTGCTCAGCATGGAAACCATTCAACTCAAGTCGGAGGGCCGCTTGGTAGGCGAGGCTCGCTTGGATAGCATCCGGTTGTTTGGCCACATTGACAGGATTCCTGAATCCGTGCAGCCTCCATTAGGTGGATTAAGCTTCTTGGCGCAACAAATTCAAGCTGCTTTCTCCTATGAATACCAAAATATCCTTCAGTTGGTCATCGACCCCATCAAACTCGAGTCGGATATTAAACTGACTGAAGAAGGATACGCCACTTCAGCAAGCAAACTTGGACTGAACAAAGCCATGATTGAACTTTCCGTGAAGAGCATCCCAGTGGTGATTACCATGTATAAAAAATTGGATGATTTACTTGACAAGAAGTACGCAGAGGCAGGACTTCGCAGAGACAAGGAGATCAAGGAAATTTCCGTAGCAGAGTCGGCCACCAAAGCAGGCAGTCAGATCAGGATGTTATCCGATGCAAGAGGCGAGATGGATATGGATATTGACGGCTTGGAACTTATCATCTATCCCAACCATTTCAATGATACCGACTGTGTACAAATCAACGCCAACACTGTCCATGCCCACCTGGCCCGAAAGTTGGATGACACCAAAACCGTACGAGACTTGCATGTTAGCATTGCCAGTGCAGCCTTACTCAAAAATGTTCCAGGGCGAAGCAAAGAACGCGCTGCGTCAACCACCAACCCACCCACTGTGACGACAACAAGGCCACAAATGTATTCCAGTGTAACGATTTTTGGTATACCTCGAACTGATTTGACCATGCAATCTACCCAAATTGAAAAGATGGTTCAGCACGCCTTCCACGTTGGCTTCGATGGACAAATCAACGTATCCCTTAACCTTGGTCTCATCAAATATCTCCAAGAATTGGTCCATCAATTTGAAGACCAATATCGACGAGCATTACGTGGACCGGCTGTGCCAATTGAATCCACATCCACCCTGGATGAAAAACCAGAGGAAGAAAGTCAAGAGGACGAGTTCAAGAGCAAAGAAAGTGTCAGTCCTCCCACCCTGGATGAAACCGTCACCGAGAGTCAGCTACAGTATCAGGCTCTCATCCCCGTGAACTTTCAACCTCAGCTGCAAATCATGGGAGAGGCCACTCCTCCTGTTGAATGGCTTGGTCTGAAACGAGACCGAATTCCTGCTATTATTCACGAAGACCTGACTCTGAATTTAGAGAAGGTACTATTATTAGGATGGAAATTATATGAGGAACAGCTAAATGATATGATCATGAAGCAATAATATGATATGATAATGAAGCAATGGATAGAAAAGCCTTAGCTCAACAGATGTAAATAAAAAAATAAAAAAATAGGTTCGGTTTGCTTATTTTCGTACATTACAGTAGGTGGGTTTATTTCTTGCGTGGGTGGGGGGGATTATTATGATATTTACACTTTACTAGCTACACATCGTTCGCTTAGCAACTTGATACTATTACGTTCGTGGGCCACTTGCTTACAGTTGGTGAGATTTACACACGCATGGGCTTCTGGCAAACGATGTCGTCCACAAAACTTAGCCTCACAGTAGCGGCAGTCTCCAACGATCTTGACAGCCTTATCAGTGCAAGTACCAAATGCGCAACGGGTTAACTTTCTACGAGCAGGAGCGGGCTGTTCTAAAATGAGAGTTGATTCATCCTGGATATTATAAGTAGCTAATGGTTGGCCTTGTTGCAGTTCATGCCCTTGATACATCAGACGATATCCAGCCTTATCTTCCACCTTTTCTTGGATGCTTTCTACCGTAGCGGAGGATTCTACGTTGTCTAGGATAAGCGCCTTGCCATTTGGGGAGGTCACATGTATTCGCATGCCGCCACGTAAGCGGAGAACTAAGTGCAAGGTGGACTCCTTTTGGATGTTGTAGTCAGAAAGCGTTCGTCCATCTTCAAGCTGTTTACCAGCAAAGATGAGACGTTGCTGGTCTGGTGGAATGCCTTCTTTGTCTTGAATCTTCTGCTTCACGTTATCGATGGTATCGGACGACTCCACTTCCAAAGTGATGGTCTTGCCAGTCAAGGTCTTGACGAAGATTTGCATACCACCACGTAAGCGAAGCACAAGGTGGAGAGTGGATTCTTTCTGAATATTGTAATCGGAGAGGGTGCGGCCATCTTCTAGTTGCTTTCCAGCAAAGATAAGGCGCTGTTGGTCTGGTGGGATACCCTCTTTGTCTTGAATCTTTTGCTTGACGTTATCGATGGTGTCTGAAGACTCCACTTCAAGAGTGATTGTCTTTCCAGTCAAGGTTTTGACAAAGATTTGCATGTTGTTATGGGAAGAAGTTTAAGAAGAAAGTGGTGAAAACATGATTTCAAATCTCGGCCCCTTTATATTCTTGGCTGATCACGAGAATTGCCGAGCGCACCAGTGAAAATGTCATTTCCTATTTTAGATCATGACAAAAAGTCATTCCCCTCTGCCGCTCATGGGGCCAGCCAGCCTACTACCAAGATGAACCGTCGGCACGACTACATTCAACGCGTTCATTCATTCATTCATCTATCCATCTTTGCCTACGTTGTTTTTCACACAACTACCGCAGCCAAAGCTGGAATGATCTGGAAGGAAGGACTCGAAACATAGCCCAAAACCGGTGAAGTCAGCGAACGGAGTTTGAGTCAAAATTGGACAAGTGATGACCATGCACCAGCCACCAGCCTCATTTATTAAGCATCTTCTGATTGGTTCTCTGCGTTTTCCTTACAAATGCAGAGACCAATACCAGTTCGTTGAAGAATAAAATAGTCGCTAAGCTATGCTGCTCCCGTGTGGCAGCCCTAGTGAATGCACATTGGCATTGGACCATGTTGGGTCGATGCCAGCTTTGATTTCCTTTTAAGCTTGAATCGGCCCACTTTTACCGCAGCTCAGCTTTTTTAGTGGCTCCTTGACGTCAGGACTCAGCACTGAACGTCCCTATGCAGATTAAACCCCAATGCCATAACGTACCATTTGGCTTAACGCTCAGGGTTCATCTGTCAGTTGGTCTCATAACTAACACATTTCGGTTAACACCATCCGGTAACCGGATCATGAGCAACATATGTTTGTTGGATGAAGTCACATTATTTCTGTTTCTCCTTGCATCCGTCTTTCTTTTGTTGACAAACATGTCAAGCTCGAATACCGTGTGATTGGCGCTTCGGGGTTTCGTCAACGTAGGTGGCCTATCTTAGCTGAGCTTGCCTTTTTCTTACTTGCCGCGTCACAGAGATCCATAGGTAATGTTGACAGCGATCGAGGTCCAACTTTGACGATCCGCATAACAATTTCAATGCGTTTTACCCAAGCATGAAGGTGAGGGACCCTGTACTGGTTGCACATAGGCTTTGTTTGGTTTGTGTAACGCAATAAAGGCTTCGGGATCGTAACATACAATCATCACGAAATTGAGGTGGTTTTTTTTATATTTGAGAGACATTGAAGCTGGTCTCCACCATGTCAAATCAGTGTGTTGTCCATCTACGACGCCTCTGTCGTCGTGACATGAACACGATACGCATAACCCGGGGATCGATCGTGCAGTTACACATACTTGCACCAAAGTGGCCAAAATCGGGGCCCAGCAACGTTATTAGCGAAATGTAATTTATAAAAGCCTGTTGACCTTACCAGATTCATGCTCGATACTCTTTCACTTTTTCATCCTTCCATTCCTTACCTGGTTGTGGGCTATGAAGGTTTCTTTTGCTGTCGTCAACGGGCTGGCTCTACTTGCCGCCGTGGTTAGCCCAGTGCTAGCCAAGAGCAAGTTCCCTTACTGCACTGGCTCAACTTATGGCATTACCCATAAGAATTGCGCCAAGTTTGAGTTCGACACTCTTCACTCCAACTGTGTGGAAACGTCAAACTGCACTACGTAAGTACAATTCCAGCGTAAACATCGATAGGGAGTGTTCCTCGATTAATCAAGTCACCTGCCAATACCGTAGTTTTTACGACATCACCAAGCTTCCCACTGAGAAAATCGATGCTCACACTGAAAAAATGGCACAGTTGATCACCAACGTGTGAGTACATGAGTGATCATTTAAATTGATTCAACGGGCAACATACTAATTGTTTATATTCAACACAAAAGCTTTGAAAATGGCAACACCATCATGGGCTATGCGGTATGTAATAATTAAAAATTTTTGTCTCACCTCCTTTTCTTGAAGGGATGGAACATTTGGCCCACTCGCTATGACAAGGCGATTGGGGGCAACCTACTCCTGTGTTGTTTCAAACGTGCTCATCTTTATTGGCCTTTTCTATAGTATGTCGAAGCTCTTGGCGATGGCCGTGGCTACACTTCAGGCTATATTGGATTCACCTCTGGCACCAACGATGCCCTTACCGTGATTCAACAATATACCAAGAGAAAGCCTAAGAATAGCCTCACAAAGTATGTGCCAGAACTGACCCGCCTTTCCAAGCTCAAGTTCTGCGACACTCAACGTAACGATACCAAGAAACTTTCTGGTTATCCTGCGGCTTGGACCAAGACTGCTTGCACTGATCCTACCTTTGTTCAAACTCAACTTGATGTTGGATTCGCTATGTATCTTGCTCCTGCACTTAAATACGCTGCTAGCGTTAATGTTCAGTCCAACTTGGGAAAAGCCATCTTTTACGGTATAAACAATGATCTACCTTCCATTAACCCATAGGAGAAGATTCGCTAACGCTATTTATTCTTTCAAACAATTTAGATACCATCATTAACCATGGCTGGCAATACGTTGAACCTTTAATCAACCTTCCAAGAATTTTGAAACTGACAGGTCCTCGCAAGCACAATGAAACAGAGAAGAGCTACTTGAATCGATTCTTGGTCACCAGACGTCAGTTGATGTGCTGCTTCCCTGACGATGTCTGGCCCCCAGCAGCAGACAGAGTCGCCGATCTCCAGCGACTGGTCAGCAGCTGGTCTCGCAACAAGGATCTCAAGCATCCCGTTACCCTCAAGATTTATGGAGTCACTGTCAAGGGTACTGAAGACCTAAGCTACGATAAGGCTGAATGCCCTAAGAAGCCCAAAGGCTGGAAGCTTCCTGCTGCGAAGACCCTTCCCATCCCTGACACCTGCCCTAACAAGCTCTTGTCACTTTGAGCCATACCATGACGCGAACGTCTGATGACCTATGTGGTTATTGAGATCTTTTTCAGGAAAAAAGATCGATCCACTAAAATATTCCTCAATAAATAATCCCATTGCATAACACTATACCATTTTTTAATTTTATTTTTTTTGACCCGTCTGGTGGAGCCGTCGATTTTATTTCTGACAGTCACAGAAGGTGCTTGGAGGCCAGAATTCCCTCCCCTTCACACTTACGCTCATAACATGTTGCCTCAAATGTTGCGTGGTCTGCGACCGCTCGTTACGAAAACGGGACAGGTGAGAGCTCTGTCACAACTTTCTACCATTAACGCCGAGGAAGTCCAAAAGTTTAGTGCGAAATCGGCGGAATGGTGGGATCCTCATGGTGAATTCGGCATGCTTCACCTTATGAACCCAACACGCGTTTCCTATATCCGCGACCGTATCGCACCGATTGCTCAGGATAGTACGCCATTCAAGGGACTGAAAATGCTGGATATTGGATGTGGTGGTGGCTTGCTTTCAGAGGTAAAAAAAAAAAAAAAAAAAGTATTCGCTATTTCGCAGGATATGATTTCCAGGCACTCACTCGCAACGACTATAGTCTTTGGTACGACTAGGAGGCAATGTCCTAGGAGCTGATGCCTCTTACAACAATATACAAATGGCTATGCTTCATTCTCGAAAGGACCCAGCTCTTTGGACGGGGCCAGGCCAGCTGGAATATCGAAATACCACAGCAGGTACGTGACATAAACATTAGAAAGCTCATCCCCGGTACATACCATGTTAAACCATTCCTGGTGATCCTTAGAGGACTTATTAGCCGAAGGAGAATCGTTCGACGTTGTACTTGCAATGGAAATTATAGAACATGTAAATAACCCCTCCGAATTCCTTCGAGTATGTGCTGACATGGTTCGACCCGGTGGCAAACTGCTTCTCTCGACTATTTCACGAACACCCATGGCTTATTTCTTGACCAATTTCTTGGCTGAGGATGTATTGAAGATGGTTCACAAGGGCACACACGATTGGAGCAAATACATCAAGTCTGAAGAGCTCAGGGAAGCCATTCACAGTTTACAAGGCGGTTGGCAAGTCGATGATGTGCGAGGAATTGCCTGGAACCCACTCAGAGGACGGTGGGTTGTTAGTGAGAAAAATGGTGATATAGGAGTAGCTGGTATTGGATCATTAGAAGTTAATTACGTCTTGACGGCAAGCAAGGCAAGTCAATAAACACATCATGTATAATACAGTGCTCATCCATTCACTATGCCCTAAAAAAAAAATTGGCACTAGACGGAATTTAAATTTTTTGCAATCGACACACAGGACTGGCTGGGCTCAAGTCAAAACTGTGCGATGGGAGGGCAACCGTATTGAACCTCCTTTTATTCTTGTAGCAATGGTCCGTATCGATACTTGAACAACCCTCATCTATCATACAGCATGAATCCTTTCAACCGTATGACCGATGGATGGATGGATGGATGAACTACGCTTTCTTTCAGACATCCTTATGGGGGTTTATTCGACATTCGACTTTAGACATAATTTGACTGACGCATTTTCCCATTCTTTGTTCATTCCAGCCTACCAGACTTCACCACAACAGAAAGAAGCGTGGACATGTTTCCGCCGGTCACGGTCGTGTCGGTAAGCATTACTGTTCATTTTTGGAAGGAATACGACTAGATTGTGACAGCAGTAGATAGATAGTCTTCAACCCACCTATCTACATTTCAACCACCTAACGGCAACGACCATCCCCAAGAATGCATAGAAACTAATATACCGCAATTCTCATTTTCCAGGCAAGCACAGAAAGCATCCTGGTGGTCGTGGTCTTGCTGGTGGTCAACACCACCACCGTATCAACATGGACAAGTACCATCCTGGTTACTTCGGTAAGGTCGGTATGCGCTACTTCCACAAGACCCACAACCAGTTCCATCGTCCTATTGTCAACCTTGACAAGATCTGGACCTTGGTTGGTGAGGAAGTCCGTAACAAGTACAAGAACACCGAAAAGGTTGCCGTCATCGATGCTCTTCAACACGGTTTCCACAAGGTCCTTGCCAAGGGTCGTCTCCCCGAACAACCCGTCATTGTCCGCACCAAGTTTGTTTCCCGCCGCGCTGAGGAAAAGATCAAGGCTGCCGGTGGTGGTAAGTTGATGTTTCTACAATCATCGTTTGTCCCTTGCCGAACGGATATTAATTTGGTCTATGATTTACAGTTGTCGAGCTCATCGCTTAAATGCAAAATCACCCCACGTCCATTGTCATCTTCAACAATAAAATTGTTACAGTTTTCACTATGTAATTTATCGAGGGGACTTGATCGTATGTGTCAATGTTAATATAGTAGTAAGGATGGAGTGCCTGGACTAAGCTCTGCGTATATGAGAGAGAATGCTATAGTGTAGCAAATGCTAGTCATGAAGCAGCCTATGCATGTCAGGATTAGCTGTGCTATCGCAAAGCTAGGACTGGCAAATCAAAGTAATCCTATTTCTATGAGCCTTTATGTGGTGTTTCAAAAATTGAACAGTTGAGTTGAGTAGAATGAATATTATACTGTAATATGCTTTTATTTTTTACTGCTTAGGAGGACGAGATCCAAAGATGGTGCTACCAACTCGAATATTAGTAGACCCAGCAGCAAGAGCTTCTTGGTAATCAGCAGACATACCCATGCTGAGTTCTAGTGACAATCCAGGAATAGCCTGTTCTACCTTGCTCTTACATTCTCGCAAACAGACGAAATCTGGATTCTCGCCTTCAGAGCCGTCTCTATCTGGCGCACCGATGGTCATCAATCCTAGCAAGTTCAGTTGCGGGCAGTTATCAACAATGTGCTTGGCGATTTCCACACATGCTGATGGTTCTGCTCCACTCTTACTCTCCTCGCCACTGGTATTGATTTGAACAAACACATTGATTTTGGATTCTCTTGACACCTGAATGCAAGCCTTGTTAAGACTATCGGCTTTCTTGCTGCTTTCGATAGTCTCCACAGCATAAAGGTTGGGAATGGCGGCGACGACTTTACATTTGTTGCTTTGCAGGTTGCCGATAAAGTGCCATGCAATATCGCGGGGTAATATTTCACTCTTCTCTACTAGTTCTTGAACATAATTCTCGCCAAAATGTTTCTGGTCGGCTCCTTCGTAAGCTGCCTTGATATCGTCAGCAGGCTTGTATTTACTGACAGCGACAAGGGTAGCATTTTGTCGTCCTTGCAAAACTGCGTCCATGTTCTTGCGAACAGTGCGAATGTTCTCCACAATGTGTGCGTGGTTATCGGTCATTAGGGATCTTGCGGCACGGAATTGGAATTGTTTTAGAGTACGCACAGGTGGGAGCAATCTAAGCATGTCAACCTTTGGACTTCCAGTTGCGCTTAGTTTTCGTTTCGAGTGGTCATCGGAGTTTGTCTGTCGTTCTTGCCATTGGGGGGCCAAATTTGCAGTCTGCGAAAAGCTGTCGATTAACCACTTGCGGTTGATTATTCTTTAGAATGAAAATGCGTAGATATTAATGTTTTTGCTTCATACTATAGATCAAAATGCTATCAACAAACAGGACACTCATCCAGCCGAGTATACCGTTAACATGACTGAAGTGAACCTCGATGATCAAAATAAACGAGTCACAATTTTTTTGGCACCTGAAGTCAAAAGCTTTTTTTTTTTTTGTCAGTGTAGAGTCCCGATCATTCAAAGCTGTAAATAACACAATTGTAAATCATGCGACCATTGACAGAAGAAGAAACAAAAACCCTTTTCGAAAAGCTCGCAAAATAGTATGTCTCGGCCCTTTGCTACCATAGTTATCTACTGTGCGCTAATCATACCTCTTTTTCCTTTAGCATCGGCTCTAACATTAAACACTTGATTGACCGGTCAGACGAAACCTACTGCTTCCGTCTGCACAAAGATAGAGTTTACTATGTCAGGTAATGCATCATGAAAGATTTTTCACCTATATTCTTCACGGCCTTGTATCTAATTGTAAATTGACGGCAGTGAATCAATCATGCGCAAAGCTGTATCTGTCGGCAGAGATCAACTTGGCTCATTGGGTGTGTGCTTTGGAAAAATGACAAAGACAGGCAAATTCCGACTTCACATCACTGCCCTCGATTACCTTGCACAGTACGCTAAGCACAAGATGTGGGTTAAGCCCAATGGTGAAATGCCCTTCTTGTACGGCAACCATGTTGTCAAGGCTCATTTGGGACGAGTCACTGAAGATACTCCAGAACATCAAGGTGTTATTGTCCTCAACATGTCCGATGTTCCTTTGGGTTTCGGCGTCACCGCACGATCAACCTCAGACTCTCGTAAATTACAACCCACTGACATTGTAGCTTTCCACCAAGCTGATATTGGTGAATATCTCCGTGAAGAAGATACACTCTTCTAAGTGAAAACCAACTGAGAACCGCTCCGCCCCCATCTACATATATCATTGCATTCATTCCAAAATTGTTGAATTACACTTTTACAAGATATAATAAAAAATAAAAATAAAAAAATTGCTCATAGAATACATTACAGGTTCGACAAAAGTTTATTTTTCTTATGGGGGACAGTCTATCTAAATTGGAGGTCCATCTTGACTTGTTACAGACAGTAGTCTATGGAGGGAATGTGGGAAAGGGGATGTGAAAAGTGTAAGAGATGAAGTATGTATGATACAGATAAGAAATATGCTTTGCAATGGGGATGTTTAGAACGTTCTTGGAGTTTCAATGGTCTGAATGCTCTGAATGATATCGCCTTCTTTAAAGTCAGTGAATCCTTCAAATGCCATACCGCACTCGAGACCCTTCTTGGCTTCTGAAATGTCCTTCTTTACTTGTTTCAGCGTATCCAATTCGCCTATAACATGTTGAGATTTTAGTCAAAGTGGTAAAGAAGTAACCCCCCTTAGCCTGAAACTTACCTTCCCAAATAGTTTCTTTGTTTCGGACAACTCGAACTCGACCATTTCTGGTCACACTACCGTTGGTGATTCTGCAACCGGCGATGGGCTTTGTATCGCGACCTTTCACAGTGATCTGGAAGATTTGTAAAACAGTGGCTTCGCCGTTGACTTGAGTGGAAATGATGGGTGGAAGCATATCACACAGGCTTGCTTTGACATCGTCTAACAGTTTGTAAATGACATTGTACGATTTGACTGGCACATTGCTTATGCTAGCTTGTTGCTGGATGCGCTTGTCTGCCTTCACGTTGAAACCGATGACGTGTCCCTCACAAGCTGCAGCAAGCTGAATGTCACTTTCGCTAATGTTTCCAACACCTGAGCTGACCACCTTGACACGGACTTCTGGAGTATGCAGACCGTTGAGACAATCCACGACGGCTTCCACCGTACCACTAACATCACCTTTGATAATCGCTCGAAGCTCCTTGACCTTGTCTTCTGCTTCTTCCTGGGGAGTGTTTCCTACTTGAATATCACTCAATCGCTTGTTAAGGGTTTCCGGATACTGAGTGATGAGACCTTGATGGAACATCCACATTTCCTTCTTGTAGGCTCGCTCAGCGTTTCGTTCCGCTTCGACTTGCTCACGTTGACGTCTGCGCTTGTCATTAATGACTTCGAGATCTTCCAACTGTTGCTTTCGCTGCACTTTAGCAATTCGATTGGCCACGACCGTCTTCGCAACAGACTCCGAAGGCGCTTGGAGCATTTCGTCGCCAGCATTGGGTAACTCTTTCCAGCCAATCACTTTGACAGGCATACCAGGTAATGCTTCTTTCACCGGCTTTCCTTTATCGTCCGTCATAGATCGCACTTTGCATAGAGCGTTACCAGCAACAACATTACTACCAGGCTTCAGCGTTCCAGTTCGAACCAAGACGGTTGCGACATTGCCTCGACCTTTTTCAATATTGGATTCCAGCACAACACCTTCGGCCGTATTATTTCGTTCAGCTCGAAGATCCAGAACTTCCGCCAAAGTGACAATGTTCTCCTCCAATTCATCTAAGCCTTTTCCAGTCAATCCAGACACATCAACCGATGGAATATCGCCACCCAATTCTTCCAACTGGATTTCGTGCTGTAATAGTTCTTGCTTCACTCGATGTGGGTCTGCGCCATGTTTATCGCACTTGTTGACAGCAACAATGATGGGGACATTGGCGGCTTGAGCATGCTTGATTGCTTCCACTGTCTGAGGCATAACACCATCATCTGCAGCCACGACAAGTACAACAATGTCTGTCACATTAGCTCCTCGCGATCGCATGGCGGAGAAGGCAGCGTGTCCAGGGGTATCCAAAAAGGTAATACGTTTCTTTGATGGAAGATCAACAGAAAAGGCGCCAATATGCTGAGTGATACCACCTGCTTCACCTGCTGCGACAGAGCTCTTACGAAGTGTATCCAATAAGGTAGTTTTACCATGATCAACGTGGCCCATGATGGTCACCACCGGAGGTTTGGAAGGGAAGATAGACATATCCTCGGGTTGCTGACGAGGGAAAAGATCCAATGCAGCTTGCGAGTCTACAATTGGATTCATATCCAGTTCCATTGCAATCAAACTAGATTCGTCTGCAGTCAGCACTAAACAACCAAAAGATGTGAGAATGGGATACCTCTCCATACGACTCCTTATCGATGTATCAACTTACTATGATCGTGCTTGGTATTTGGCATTTCCAGAGCCTGCATTGTACTGATCATTTGCTCTAAGGAAAAAAATATGTCCGAAATGTTTTAGCTTGCTTGGGACGAGGCGACGCTACCTATTTTTTCAAACCTTGCCTATGGTGACTTACCCAAACGAATACCTAGAATTTTGGCCAAGTTGGAAACGTTGACGACCTCCGGGATATACACATCGCGTTGAACTTTCTCAGCCTTGGCTTGCTCCAATTTGTTCTTTCGTTCTTTCGCCTCAGCTTCGGCTTTCAGCTCTTTCTCGTATTTCAATGCAGCCAACCGTTCTTGCTCGAGCACCCTTGCTTTCTCTTCCTCCTTCTTCTTACTTCTCTTGATATCTCCTTTATGTTTATGCTCTTGTGTAAACTTTTCAACGTGTCGTTGGTGAAGTTTGGGTGCTTCTCCTGCATGCTTTTCAGGATGATGATCAGTCGGCTTTGGTTGTTGTCGCAAAGTGATATCCTGACCGCCCTTCCTCTTCCCTGTCGATCTTGCAGCGTCGGAATTACTTGGACGAGCCCATTTACTCTTGACGATATCATCAATGGCCGATTGGGGTTGCACACCTTTCTGAACTTTGCCTTTTATTCGTCGTGCTTGGTACTTCTGCTCAACTTCAGGAGCTCCAAGTGATTCATACATACGTGGCTTGGCTTCAGCTAGCAATGTCGAAGAGTCTTGCATCCAGCGCTTAGTCGTGACACTTCTTGCATTGACAAGTCTAATGTAGCATAAGGACCGAGTGGCACCATTTTGCAACAACAGTCTGCTTGTCATGGTCTTGCAGGTTTGCAGTCCTCCCGCTACGGCCCATGAACGATAAATTTATTGACTCTGTGACGGCTTTTTAACCCAACCAAAACTTCCGACCGACAGGGTTTGTTTTCTGCCTGAACAAAAAGTCTTTCTAGCAACGGGCAAACTGTAGCACCATTTTCAACGTAAAGACCCATTGCCAAGAGATCAGCATATCAGAGTATAAATAGCTTATTCCTACATTTCTTCTCTACTCTACTCTACACTAGACTATCAAGGGACTATACAAGCTCCTAGATTGGCGTTTCTGCTGAAAACAGTTTGCCTGTGTCATTTTGAGCCTATCGTGAATTGACTGAAATTTTTGGTTTGCCGAGGGGAAAACCCAGCGGTAGGAGCTTAGTGATGCGAAATTTTTCGTCTTACTTGATGTTTTATGGAATTTGCCATGACTATTATTCATAGTGAATGTAACATGGATCATCTATTTATGCTCACAATTGAGCACCGCGCATTAGCACAAGGCTTTGAACAGACTGGAAAAAATCCCCCTGAAGGGTTCGATTCAATCGATGCAGCGGGTATTCTTGGCAATGGTCCAATTTGGGAGATTTGTGTTACAGTTCAAAAATAGCAAACATCAGTACGTAAACATTATTTTTTTTTTTGTTTAAAACTAATCATCCGCTTTACTTTATCTTAACGTCGTCTTCTTCCTTTTCACGCATGGACACAAAACTAAAGAAGCTTTTTCGCAATTCTCGCTTAGACTTTCCTACTCGATGGTCAACCCCACCCCCATCTACATTCGAGCGTCCAGATAGGCCAAGGCAGTCACTTGATTGTCCACCTAGACTCGATACCAAATCCCCTCCACAACGCCGAACATGGAGAAAACCACTGCCCCAAGATGCGCCAAAGATCAAACTTACCGCCAAACCAGATTATAAACAAATGGATCGCAACGTTAGCTTAGCTCTCGATGCACTTAGTGCCTGCGATTTCAACGAGTTGCCTGCGCAGCTCAAGGCTGAATTGGTCAGACAACAAAACGCAAAGCCTGCTAGTCAACTGAAAACCCTCGGTACCGCCAGCTCGTTGTATCCAAAAAGCGTCGGTCACCATACCCCGAGACCTAAAATCATGTCTCAATACCCTGTTCGCCAAACATCTTTATCGTATCAGAACAACCCCCAAGTGACTGCTCGTCTGCAAGATATGGACAAGAATGTAAACCAGCGACTCAGCCGATACTCCTTAGAGAGTAATATGAGCGATAATACATCGGGTGAAGAGTCTTTAGGCCCTGCAACGCCAAGACATTCGCTTTCGCCTATGACGGAAACCACTTCACATCAATCCATGCCTCCAGAACCTCCTAAGCACAAGTTTGAATTACCGCAAATTGTCATGACCGGCTCCGAAAATTCACTCCCAAACTCTCCATCGTCCGATGCTAAAATTGCCCCCAGTGTGCATACACCTAACGATCAAAACACCGTTCATATCAAGCGACAAAATGAAAATACAGTGCATCTACGACCCAAGGTTGCTTCCATTAAGAGAACATCGTCGGTACGAAGACGGCCTAGTGCCCGCCGCCATGTGTCACTGAGACGTCATGTTAATGATATACTTTCCGGTGCGTTTGAAGAAGCTGATGATGAGTGGGAAAACGAGAGTGACGAAGAAGATGACATGAATGATCACTTGCAAGTTTGGACTCGTCGGTCGTTTCAACTCGATAACCAATCCATCCCTGCCCACTGTTAAAAACTGGCTTGTCCCTACTTAAAAGAACCCATGTATATCTCTGTAAAAATTTTAAATAACAAAATGCCCCCCCCACTCATTTTTGCAAAAACTAGCTAACTATCGCGCTCCTTACCAAATAAATTATGCTCTTATTCCCTGCAAAAGTGCCTGAATTGTTTCGTGTTTTCATGCGCCGAACCATACCTTCAACCAGCCCTTACGTCATGGGAGTGATGATGACCACGCTCTAAATCGGGGGACCTGACGACCAGCAATGCTATTAAACAAAGGCCTGCTATGAATGCCCAGATAGCCTCAAAGCACTTCTCACAAAGCTCCATAGTGCAAAATAAAGCTCGCGTTGATTCACGGCCATAGATGTTTCAGGTGGGTTTATTTTTAAACAGTGGCGCTTATCCCTTTTCTGCATTTCCTAATGTGGATACAGTGACGACAGAAGCTGGCAAATGTGGCGTGCATGATTGTGGCGGCCAGTAGAACGATGCAGTGGTACGAAGTTAAGCTTACAGCTGTTCTAGAATGAACACCTGCGCAGTGTACAAGCTGCACAACAACATTATGTACCACAACAACAGCGTCATGAAACTCAGACTGCACACATTACAACCCTTTGGAGAATTGGTATCCCTTTATAGCATTCGAGAAAACATCAATTGCTTGCCTGCAACATGAAATAGACCATACTACAGCCTTATAACATAGAACTCTGCCAAAGTAGAATAACTTCACCGCGCATACTACGACATTGCTTTGCGTCAGTCTAATAATACTTTTGTACAACATCATTTCCCCTCTCCAAGATACGTAAAGTTTCCCTCTGTACTGACAAGCACGATGACCGAATCCTTTCCAATATCAAGACCCTGATATTTCATTGGGTCAGCATTTGATTGTAATGTACGTAGTGCTGCTAGAGTAGATGCACCACATGGCCCTGAGGAAACGCCTAATGTTGCCAAATCATGCACCGCCTTGTCCACGTTTGCGTCGTCGACAGTAATGGCAGCATCGACACCATGCTGCAGATCCGGCCATGAAAGGAAAGATATCTGCCCGCCTGTCAAGCCTGGCATGATGTTTCTGCCTGCGTCAATCGATAGCAACTTATTCGACTTCAGACTGAGTAGAAGACAAGCAGCATTATCAGGTTCGACGGTGAGGATATTAGGAGGGACACCTTTTCTTTCTGCACTTCGGTAGTGCCTGACACCAGCATGGCCAAGTACACCACATCCTACAGGAATAGCCACTACAGACGCCGAGGGACTGTTGGCTAGAGCCAGTTGCTCGTCGATCTCGCGAAACAACGTAGAATAGCCATCCACTATATGCATAGGAATACTTTCATAACCATCCCACGCAACATCTTGGATGTGTATGGCTTTGGATCCTGCTTGTTGTACCGCTTCCTTTGCTACTTCTACCGCTGCTTCATAAGAACCCGGCACCACAATGACTTCAGCACCTTCTGAAGCAATGTAATTGCAAGACCTTTGCGTGGTCGCTTCCGGGACATATATCCGAGAACGAATATTTAGTATGTTGGCCATACGAGCAACTGCACGACCATGATTTCCAGCAGTGGCAGCAATTAACTCAATGGGCCCTGATTGTTCCTCTGCAGCATGCTTGCGCAGCACATCGATCGTTGTAGTGTTGATGTCAAGGTCCCACCTCTGACATAGGGTATGAAAGACGCCCCAAGAGGCACCAAGTACCTTGAAAGCCGGCAAGCCCATCCTTGTGGACTCATCTTTGATGAATACGCGAGAAACCTGCAGTTCAGATGCCACACTAGGTAGCTCTGTGAGTTTGGTGGAACTGTGACCAGGCACCAGTGATCGATGAAACTTGAAAATGGTGTCGTTGGGCTGAGCGGTTGTCGTCCAAAACCGCGCTTCCGGATTGGAATACCATAGTGTCTTATCTTCTGTATTTGAGGAGCTCATGATCAACGTTGAAGAAAAACGTACAGAGGTGAGAAAAGCGGGAAGGCAAAATTGATCACGCTATTTGTCGCTGATTGGCGAGGATTGACTCACTTCGGCCCGCTGGAATAACCATCTGCTCTTCAATGTTGCCAAACAATATCGTCTCACATAGAAATCTTACCATTGGCATAAATCGTACCAGTATTCAAAGGCGCTCCGAAAAGAAAAGCACTGACAATCAACTATTTTGAAATCGTTCTTGGCAGTCTAAGTAGGATATATAGCATGTATTGCATTGACATGTTGATTATTTTTTATTTAGTACCGCTGCCCGTCTATTGTATATTATTTACTCTGAAGGAAATTGAACTTCGTCACTAGGCAAAATCTGCGTTTCTTTGGCAGCTTCCTTTACCCATTCCTGAACAATTCCGTAATTACAAAGTGTTTCAATGTATTCATTGGCTACTGGGTCTGAGATAGGCAATGACATTGACTTGATACGGAAGCATACCGGGGCGTACATGGCGTCCGCAGCAGTGAACGCTCCAAATAGGAATCCTTCATCAATTTTCTTGAGGTCGTCCCGCGACTGGACTCGTTCACGACAAGTGACGAAGATGCTAGTGATTCTTGCCAGGTCGCGCGCGATCCCAGGAGTAGCTTCGTAGTAGCTCTTAACAAATGGGTAGCTAGCTCGGAGATTCATAGGGTAGTTACCACGCAGGGAACCGAAAGACGAAGCCATTTCGGCTGAAACAGCCCTTGCCAGTGCTCGGTCTGCTTTACCACTAGGCCATAGCTGTGGATAGTCTATAATGATGATTAAGAATTGTATACATTTTTCTGATCCAACCTCTATTGGCACTCACCTTCAGCCAAAAATTCCATAATAGCCAGAGACTCAAAGATAATGATCTTTTCTCCATCCAAGTATGTGTGTAAGGTAGGCACTTTGCCGGTTGGTCCAGCTTGCTTCAAGATCTCTTTGGCTTGAGGTGTGCCAAAGTCATGATCTTGATCAAGGTAGAGGCAGTTAACTTCACAGGGATAGTTCACGAAGCGAACAGCAAGCCAGGCTCGCAGAGACCAAGAAGAGTAATTGCGATTGACAATGTAGAGTGAAGAGGGAGAAGAGGCCATTGCAGTTCAAAGGTAGGTAAGAGGGCCTATAGTTGATGAACTCCGAAGTGGCTGCACTGCTTTATACTCGGCGAGACAATTAGATGACTCACAAAGATACTGTCACCCCTGTCGTGGTCTGAACACCAAGTTGATTCTTCTTCACCTTAAACACTGTTGATTAGGATGCACAGAAGAGGGTCCTGCCAATATGCCACAATTCTTCCGTTGATTTTTTCGATATCTTATTAGGAAGTAACGGTTGATTCTTCACATATCATTAGCTATACCAGAGTTGAAATGAGGGGAATTTGCCGAAAAAGTTTAATAACAGGTCTAAATGCTTACGAGGTAAAGGCACAGAATGCAAGATTGAAATGCAACATAAAAGGTTGTTTAAACTTTTTAAAGGAAAAAGTGGGATCGAAACAAGAATAATATACAATTGCTGATGATTAGAGCAATACGATCAGGAGTCTATTGACTTATACAGAGACAGGGGTGGTTGCATTTTCCACTGCCATGGTGCGGTTGTCGCCAACTGCAGATCTGGCAAACAGCATATCCATGGAAGCTAACGTTTGCATCAAGTCCTTTTGGAACGCAATCTCCATCTTCACCTTGTCACGCAGGCGGCCGATCAAATCATCAATAAGTGGTGACTGTCCAAGTGCAGAAGAGTACATATCTGATTCAAAAAATAAACCGTTAGTCAATGGGTGGCAGATACAATGAAAGGCGCGTAAAAGGGAAACCTACCAATGATAGCATTAGCAACGTCAATCAGAAGATTAACATATCTTGGGTAGTTAATGTGCTTCACGACAAATCGAACAATAGGCTCCAAAGAAATATCATCTCGACCAGCAATGGCCAGTTTCAAACCATCACGATGAATCAATTCTTGAAGCAACGACACAACCACAATTGGGAACTGCTGTGTGCGCAAAACTTCATCCAAGGCATTACCATATTGGAATTTCTTAAGGTATTGGTCGTAAGGCTGAAGGCGCTTCTTGCGTTTGGATTCAATCTTGAAGTCATCCTCGGCACCCTGATGGCTTTGTCCTCGAACAAAGTACTTGTAGGTACCTCCTTGAACGTAGTCGTCTCTTATTTTCTTCATGGCCATTTCCGATGACTTAGCTTGGCGTTGTCGAATGGAAAGATAGCCATTGGACATACCGACAGCGAGCGTCGAATCAGTAGACTATGTAATACCAGTTTAGTACTTATCGATAACATTAGTTTTTCATTCCATATACTTACAGAAATTCCGACACTCATGACTGGAGCAGGGTATTTGATACTGTGCACAACCTTGTAATCCATAACATTGTAGATTTTAACGTGTTGATCTAATGAACCAGTGAGCAATCTGGATGAAGATCCATCGAAGCACATGCTGGTGATGGTCTTTTGGTGGTTGGCGACCAAATGCAAAGCCCTACCACCACTGAGCAAGTCCCATACTTTCACAGTGGTTCCGCCAGCTGACACAATAGCTCCTCCTCCTGGATACATCAAGACTTCTTCAACTGGTGCTCCATGGTTCATTGACATAACACATGAATTTGATCGCAAATCCCACAGTTTGACAGTTTGATCGTAGGAACCGGAAAGAACAAGGTTGGGGTTCTCAACGCTGACCAATCCAGCTCGAATATAATCAGTGTGATCTTCAAAGACATTGAGTGCTTCTGAGGTTGACACATCCCACACTTTCAGCGTCTTGTCGTCCGATCCTGAAATAACATGCTTGCTATCATTTGAAAACTTGGCAACATGAACAGGACTGTTTTGCATTTCGAGAAAAAAGTTTAAAAAATAAAAAAACATTTGTTAGTTAGCGTCACTTGCACAAACGATTCACATTAGTCGAGCAGACAACTTACAGCTTATGACCGTTGAATTGACGCAAAATGGCTCTAGAGTTGACATCGAAAACTTGAACCAAACCAGTAGCATCACCAGCAACTACAAGCTTTCCATCATGTCGGAAAGTGCCGCTGAAGGCGGTATCCTTGAATCGAGATATCGTTTTCTTAGGCTGATGTGTTTTCGAAGAGTATATTTGAACTCGAGTCGACGACGTAACGACAAAATCATATGGTGCGACAGGCGAGAAGTTGATAGAAGAGACTTCTGCATATTCTTTGATTGATACAGGAGACTGAGAAACAGAGCATTAGACATGAATCCACTTTGAGGATGTCGTGCGCTTGGAGATTAATTTTACCTTGAACTTCTTCCAGAATCTCGACTCGTTTGTTTGCCTTGAAGGCAGACGGGCGTACTTTTTAACAGCAAGCTTTTGGTAATCACCCATAATGAAGACACCTGGAATGAAAGAAAAGTTTTGGACAAGGGAAATTGCAAAATTTCGAACAAGAAGCAGTCCTATGTGACGGCCCATTTTTTTGGCCCCACTACCACAGAACTGATTTTTTCACCAAGCTTGTCAAGACAAAGTTTCAAATGCTTGCAGGACCAAAAAATATATGTGGTGCATCCAGGGACATTACAATGAAAGGAACATATAATAGAGAGCACCTGAAAAAAATTCATTTACTAATTGTAATGGTCCCACACATCTTTATCAGGCCACATGGGTTTGAACAATAACCTTCCACAGCAGTATCTATTCTCCATCATCACGAGAACGATGAACAAGAGACAGGTATAAATAAATACAATTTACTAAGGCTCCGCGCTGAATCCATGTTTGATTACACTGCTTGATTATTTTTGTGGGCATTGCGCCGTCGGCTGAGGTTCTCAATTTTCGGAAATTAGTGTCGGATGGAAAACATTGGTGCCATCCAGCAGGCCCCGCAGACAAAAAATGGTAAAGCAAAGTCTTCGGGATGGAGTGCCTGCCGATCCAAATTTCCGTCAAACAGGTACGTAAATAATGATATAAAAGAATACCAAATTGAATTCACTCAACTTCAGAAAAGATGCTTCTGGGTTCGTACACACTACTGTCGTCGCTGGCATTATGCCTTTTATCACAAGTGGAGGCATTTAACGGTAAGATGAGGCTATGTGGTACGCTCACAGCGCCAATGTATTTAACTCGACTTGCAACGTTTTAGCCAACGATGTCGACGATCGTGTGAAGCTGAACTTTCCTCAATGGTGTAACCAGCAAATCGCAACTTGTCCTTTAATCTGCCACGATGAGTTTAACCAAGGTGCTAGTCTAAACATTTGCGACACTGCTTCTCTAGCATATGAGTGCGTCTGCGCAGGAAACAAACGCCCTAACGTTGCCGAGTACACACAAACAATCCATTACTTTACATGCACCTATGACCAGCAAAGTTGCGTTCGCGCCTGCAGAATTGGAGATTCAAGCTGCATCATAGCCTGTGAGCAGAAGTACCAGTGCGGAGCAGCACACCCTCGTCATAACAATAGCACAATTCTTTACCCTCCTATGGAATCCGACGCGAAAGGAAACCCTTCGAATCGCCCTGACTCTCGTCTAGCTGAAAACTTGACTCCAATTGGCAATGGAGGCAAAACTTTCCTTTCTTCCTCAAGTTCAGTGCACGCGTACCAGGCTAAAGCAGCTGGACTAGCATTTGTAACTGTTGCCTCTCTCGCACTATTTCTCTGATTAATGACTGGTATAGATGTACACAACACTGTCGTCTCAATAAACTAGATTTTTTTAAGCAATCGATCTCATAATTGCTGGCAAACATTGGTATTTGTGAAAACGGAGAAAAGCAATTTTACTAAAAGCATGTTAATAAATACAATGTGATTTTATGGTACACTGAGGGTTTTTTGTACGCTATCAAGCATAAGCAACGTTTACTTCTTCGGGTTCTGTTGTAACTGTCAGCTTTTCTGAGATGGGGTTAGGGGTCAACAACTCTGACTCTGGTTCGAGTTGGCCATCCTGACCTACATCCATTTTTGCACGATCTATAGTCGATGTTTGATGCTCCGGGCTATCTTCAATTTTCGTTGTTGTTTCTGTCTCTGGTTCCTGGCCTACTTTCTCTTGATCACTTTCAATAGGCAATGTATATCTTGTTGGTCGTGGAGGAAACGGTGGTGGAGATGTTGGGCTCCGTAAATGATCATCTCCCATAACATCGACCGACTTTCCGGTTTGGCGGGGTCGTGGCGGAAATGGAGGAGGTGGACCTGTTGGGTATTCAACGTGCTCAAACATCGCTTTGTCGTCAACGGGAGAATCCACCATGCGTCTATCATACTCCATGTCAGAGTCGGAGTCGGAAGCATACTGCTTCTTCTGGTCATCGCTAGTTTGCTTGCCACCAAGCTGCCTGGTGCCTCGTTTAACCACTTGACGGGCAATACCACGAGCATCAAAGTACACCAGCATCTCCACAATATTTCCTGTAGCATGCAGAGTTCTGGCCGCAACGAATCCTGCATCCTCGCCATACTTTTTTCTAATGATATCAACCAGAGCCGATCTTGCCGAAGCACTGATAGTACCAGCAGCTACTCCTGTACTACTTAATACGGTGGCAATGGCCGTCAGAGCCGATTGGCCAAGCTTTTGCGCATGGTTAGGCTCTGACGGAGTAGATGGTGGTTGTGGTATATCCTTCATTTCCGGGTCCTTTGTCTGCTCATACATAAAATTGATTCCTTTAATTGCTGCCGAAATGGCTCGATCAAATGTTTTTGTTGCAGCTGCAATAAATTGCACACGGGTATGAGATATGGCATTTTACTTCTTTGCAAAAAATGTTCCCAATGACTTACCGGTGGTGACTTTTCCTGTTGCTGTACCAAACATTTCTAATGCAACTCTAGTATCTTGGGATATCTGGACTGGATGCTCTGCAGGTGTGATCGTCGTTTCCAACTCCCGCGTGCCACTAAAGAGAACAATGAGTGATACTGTACATGGATTAAGCATGGACACAGCTGTACTTACTTTTGGATCTTTATTGCCAATGCATTACTTCCCTTAATCATATTGTTTGCCAGCCAACCTGATCCCGTCACCAGGGCATCACCAGCTTTGTTCATTAAGACCACATTGTGAATTTTTCCTGGTTCCTTCTGGTTGATGGAGTCACCGGCAGGTATCAGTACATCGTAGTATTGATATTTGAACAAAAAAAAAAAGGTAACTTACTATTAAGTTGCTTTGAGAACCTTGGATGACGACGGGAGCTCTCTTGCCTATCTTCTGGTCCCACTCCTCGGCCAGTTCGTCGTTGGATTTGAAATCTGAGGATTCGGGAACCTCATTGATCTCCATTTCAACATTCTCGGCCACCACTCGAGTGACTTCGCCGTTGGTTGGATCAACTAATGCTAGAGTGTTTCGCATGATGACCATGAAAGGAGGGAATGTGGGATTCTTCAGAGAGCCCACATTTTTTTAATTCCCAATTTCATCACACTTGCCCAATGCATGTGACACCAGATAAAGTAGTGTTTTCTACCATTCATATCGCTTTGGCCTGATTCTTTGCAGCAGACGCAACAGCATCAGGTCAATTGATATACTGCTTCCATGTTTTGGTAGTGCGTTACGAAACTCTATGATCAATACCCTTTGATTTCAGTACAATTGCTCTTAATGAACTGTAAAGTATAAAAATTACGTCATTGGCGGATCGCCTAAAGTGAAGAGTCTTTTGTTTCGAATCTGTTCCATACGAACAGAAAGCAGATTCCGTTCCACAGATGATAGAGTTTGTCCCATTTGCGGCTGTCTGTTTGATATACGGCAAAATAGCGATGCAATACATCATGGGGGAAAAAGTGTTATAGTGTGTATTTAAACACGCTGTGGAATAGCAAATCACTCAGGAACTACAATGCGACTTAAGGAAAGGACATTACTGCAACGCGCCATGTGCCCAAGATTGATATCTGATAAAAGGTCATGATGACCATGATTATATTTTGAATGTATCATATACTACGTGTAATTTAATATTATGGTCCGAGATGTAAGGAAAGCCAGCTACCATTGTTCTCAAGGTTGACACATACAATCACATTCACTGACTGGACAGTGCTTATGAGTTCTAAACCAATCCAACATGTGTATAGCGTGACCTCCATGTCGGCAAGTTTGACACCATGTGAACCACAAGTCAAACCCAGCAGGATCCACTAGAACGAGGTGTTAGTATCAAACAGAGAGGAAAAGCAGAATTAAAGCAAATGAACATACTGCTTTGTGTATTGTTGGAGGCCATGGCTTGTCTAAGCGAGTCGGTGGGAGTTCCAAGATGTAGCATGCACAGAGCGCATCGAGGTAAAGGCTTTCGACAGCTTGGACATATCGTATACTAATGCAGACATCAATTACAGTGGGCTCAAGCTGGCTCAGTCTTTCAATCAAATGATAATTGCTTACCTTTTGTTTTCCAGCTCCGCGACCGCCCGATCCAGAATTGATGTTGGCTTGGACACTCATGCGCTTTCCATCCTTGTTACGTACATTTTGAACTACCAAACTGTGACCCAATGATTGCGCACAGTAATTGCATCGAACATAAACTTGTGGTGCGGCGATCTCACTCGAGTTCATACGCTTTCCACGCTCGATATCAAAATTGGCGCGATCATGCCACAGTTGCCATCGATCTAACAAGGACCGGTACCTGTGAAATACAATACAGCATTAGTAAAACCAGTTTTCGTTCAACGACACATGGAACCAAGACTTACTCCTCTACCCAATCCTCTACACGACGATCCCTGAAACGTTTAGGCATGACGTAGCTGAGAACTAAGCTTGCAGTTTGAATGTCTCCATAGCGATCGATAGCCTTTTCAAAAAGGTCTATACCTTTGGTTGTCAGACCAGTGACAACAACACCTTCGATGTCGCCTTCCTGAATGAGTTCCTCGGACGTCGCACTGATATAACTCGTCAGCTGAGAATAGATATATATAAAAGTCATAAGATACATTGTCGGTATTCATGTGGCATGCGGACGAAATAGTACCTCATCGTCTTCCAGGATTCTAAGTGCAACAGCCATACGCTCACACAATGGCAATTCTTTCATGTTCAATACTACGGACCAATCGTTGGAGGCAATATAGGCAAAAATCGCCTTGAGATAGGGTCGTCCAACCATATCCTCGCTAAGAGACTTGCACAGCTCCCGCCATGTTGGGTTCATATTCTCCCCGTTAGATTGGTATCCGGCCAATACCGCTGACATGAGTTTACGCTGTTGTTCTGAAATAAATAGAGTATGATAAGTCACGAATGTCGAAACTTGCAGGTGAAACGGGCATAGCCCTTTGTAACTTACCGTCAGCCGACCCAAGAGTGTTTCCACGTTGGCTGCTAAGTGCCTTGATAGCACGATCAGGCAATCCATTGAATAATGCCCACCCTGCCGCAGTGTCGTATTCTCCTGCTGACTCCAATCTATGACAACATCCAAAACGGTATTAGTTTGTCATATCGCGATGTTAATAAAGAGAAGACTAGCGTCATTACCGAATGAGCTCTGCCTCTAATTGATCAGCTGTAAATGCGAATCCGCAAATGGTAAGTGCCAAATGTCTCTGTTGCAGTCGAGCAGTTTGGACCATGTAGAGTTGGCTGTCAGTGCTCGGCGTTTGTGGTGGAGTGGTCGTTACAGGGGATGATCTTGTTTGATCCGAAGAAGCGTCGCTTGGCAGTCTCTGGCTTATTCGTTGGCGCAGTGGCGTTGGGGGTGAGTTTGTTGATGCACGCGGGGTGCTGGAGGGTGAAGAACGTCGATTGTGCGCTAAAGAAGTGTTACAAGAAGTATACCTTGACAGCAACAAGCTCAAATCTACTCACTTGGTCCCAGCCAAACACCGAGAACTCCTTGGAAACTATAGTCGACGTTTCCAATCTGAGCTTTACCATGAGAAAGTGTTTCCGCACCTATGAAGTTACATAAGTACAAGGTCACCATAGTGGTACATTCAATAGCCTGTTTACATACGATACATCCAACGCCAAAGTTCTCGCAATTTCACGTCACGATCAATTATATCCAAGTTTTTACGGCACTACGATGGCATACATAGAAATCAGTATTGTCCAAATTTCGTCTTGTAAATCAAGCTCTGTATCTTACATTCATGGAGTATCCTTCAGCAACGCGCTTACGCATCAGCACAGAGATATCGCGATCCAACGCAGCTGACAGTGCTGGATCCTTATTAAACCGAATCTCTGCGAGTGGCATGACCTTGGGTCCATTAGCCAAAGAAAGACTTCTGCCAGTTTCATCTCTGTCCATACTGATATGAAGCTTTTCAAAAGCTGTTGATACCGAGGATTGATTTATGCCAAATGCATGCAATTTCTTAATGTTGTCTTGTTGTTGTTCCTTGTCTAATACTTGAGAAGGTCGTTGTTGAGGGCTGTATTCCGTCATTCCCATGCCTTCGGTTGCTAATATTCCTCCTTTAGGTTCCCAAGTCATATTAGGAACTTGCTGAACCTTCAGTGTGTCAAACACCCCGTCTTTCGTAAGGGTAAGCAGTCCTTGCACGGAGGAGTGAGCGCGAGCAAAGTAATGACTTGCTTTTGGTATAAAGGAAAAGGATGCTAATGCCTTGGTACTAGGTTTGGCTACAAAAATTGCAGATATTTAGTCAATAGTGTGCTGTTTTGGTTTAACTGCTTCCCATGAGTACTCACTGCGGCGACTTCTCCAAAGTAAAGGAATGCTGATATCCTCGTCTGTGCTGGCGTTATGTGGTATTCCATAAGTCGATACAGGAGGTTCTGTATCTACCGCGGATGGCACATTTGCGGTGGCTGTTGTCATTTCAAATGGTGAAGCAGATCGTTGCAGTTGCATCTTTGCAGGCGAGACTGTTGAGCTCGTCTCTTGTAAATCCCATAAATCAACTGCGTTAGCGTCTCTTGATAAAGATGCTAATAATCCTCTCTTTGATGGTGCAAACAAAATTCGAGATAGAGGCGTTCTAGAGCCAGATGAGTGATCAACATTGATACTTAAAACAGCATCGTCCGGTTTTCTGATGTCCCAAAGCTTTATAACACCGTCTTCCGTATAAGATGCGATGCGATGAGTGTGGTATGGATCAGTTGTCAAACCGTACACTGCCTTGTCTTGGATGGATAATGGCATAGATGTAGCATCCACTAATGCGCCAAAAAAAAAAATTGAATTGAAGTCCATTGTCAGTAAGACTTGAACAGAGCAGTAGCAGAATATATTTATACTTACATCGTGTGTCATAAAGTCTCAACCATTTTCCTCCCATTCCAGCAATAAGCAATGGTGCGGAGGTCTCACTCAACCATGCACAAGAAGTAATGGCTTCAGCAGATCCATATTGCTGCATCAATTTCTGCTCTCCGGGTTTTGTACTAAAATGAGGTGTATTAGTCACTGAACTATGCTTGACTGTTGGAAGCTTATAACTAACCTTTTAGTAGGAATGTTCATGTTGGAAAATACACCAGATGTTTGTGCGAGGCGTTCTTTAATATCCACGCAAGCGAGGGCACAATGGTTATGAGTTTTACATTTCTTATTTGCACTTCACACATGACGTTCGCATAATGCAAGCTTACCGTTTGCATCAAATGCCCCAGGTCCATTTGGTTTCCATGTATTCACGACCTGAGAGAATTGTCCGACATCCCCAGTGGCAAGCGGTGTCATAGTACCCGGAGTACGAGACTCATCTAAGGTAGTTGCTTGCGAAACATCCCATACCATCAGACATGACTCGTTTCGAGCTTTATCAAGGCCCACAGCAAGAAGATTAGGATGAGTGGAAGAAAATTTGACCACATTACATGCACGAGAGGACTTGACAGGTAAGACTGGATACTGCTGTTGAGCTGACATCTGTGGTGAACTAGCCGGAATTGGCGTACGAGCGACTCCTCGGCGCGGTGATATCATGGTATCTCCTTGAGCCCAAGGTCTCGGAGACTGATCAATATCTGTATGTTCATTCATTCTCACCAAAACTGTTCGACCAGTTGTCATGCCTACAGCTACGAGGTCATTGCAACCAGGATCGGGTGACCAATCAGCACACTATACTCAAAGGTTACTTGAAACGTCTGGAAACTTATCATCAATAAATTTGAGCTTACCATCATCAACGTTATATTAGGTATGGGTATAGACGATATGAGTTGTGTTCTTGCGGGAACTCCATCTTCCTGCAACCGGAAGTATTGTTGAGAAGCAGGCACGAAATGGTTTACCAATGCGCGAATTTTACCTCTGGCAACCATTCATATAACTTGAGTTCTGAACTTCCCACAAGGAACTGGTTGTAGCCCTCGTGTGGTGACCATATTAGATATCGAGCCGTTGTCATCGAGTCTGAAGGAATCCAACACGTTCGGAGCTGGAGGGAAAATCACAACCGATTTCGCAGAAACCCCACAGTAGAAGCAGTCACCGTCGTCCCCATGCGGCAGTTCCTGCTCCTCTCCAAGTCGTTCGTCATCAACTTCCAGTCAGCAACGGTTTCCATTTTGTACATTTTCCAAGAAGTATGGCCGACGCCTTTATTGAGAGTTTGATCAGTAATGCGTCTGGATCCATGGGATCGCCAGCAACGTCATTGGATCGTCAAGAACTGGATGCACTACTAGATGCCATTGATCGCAAAACGGATTCTTTGGAACACATGCTCTTTGACACCGTCAAAAGCTCCTCCAATATCTTCCTCAACTCCTGGAATAATGCCCATTCGACAAAATCCGAAGTTGAAGTGTTACTACAGGATTTAGAGTCTCTCCAACGCGAAGTATACAACGATGAAGACGGCATCCAAATAGTAGTGAAGTCATCGCTTGCAGAATATAACACTATCGTGGATAAAGTAGCAAGCAACCAAAACGTGATTGATTCACTAGAACTTTTGGTACCTATCGTCAACCAGCTAAAATCAGTCGAGTCCCAATTGCGAGCCGGCCACCTCATCCAGACACAAAAGCAACTTGAGGAACTCGAAACCACAGTCGCTGAACGATTTGGTAGCGGACAATGGAATCGAGTCAATGCAGCTCACGTCATTCGAAAGCAAATGCAGACCGTAAGGACGCACTTGCTGGAAGCGCTAGAAAATTGCATAAAGAAGAATGTAACGCTCAGTATTCAACCTCGGTCAGTCGACGAACCTTCAGCTGCCATTGACACCATTCAAATGAAGGTCAACTATCAGTTTAAGTCACTAGATGATTCTGGGACTGAATCTGACCTGGCGATAACTCTTTCGCAAGTCTTCACCTGCATATCGGATTTAGGCTCTCTAGAGTCGTATATGGCGCCTCTCAAAAAGAATGTATATCGTAATGTCATTGTACCTTTACTAGAAGCACCAGATCGCGATTGGGTAGTTCAGGTTCACCAGGATAGCATTGGAAGCGCAACGTTGGATATCAAGGCAAACCGAGCCAAAGGCGAAAGTGGTGACGAAGATGAAGTAGATCCACTTCGCTCTGTTCAAAACGCTAATACCGTATTCGATTTCTTCTACAATTATATGTTTGGACAAAGCGTTCAACCTAAAGAACAAAACTTATTATTTGGAAACTTGATAGTTCCGGACACTTTTGAGCTATTGAAAAAGTACACACTACAGCCATCCATTCCATCTACTACACCAAAACTAAACAGCTATACGGAGATCGCAAACAGTGTTCGAACGTTGGAGGATAAGTTGATACAATACAATTTTATGGCAAATAAGGACACTGCTTCGCTCAGCCAGTTTGTCAACAACATTGATCGTTACTTTTCACTAAAGCTCAAAGGAAAGATTCTGGTCAATGCTCGCAGAGTTATGCTACGAAAGATCTACGATGCAGAACCTGCCGACGATTTAGGAGATGGGTCACAGAGTACTTTTGTTACGCAAACACCAAGATTATTGCTGGTCCTTATTCAAGATACTATTGATACAGCCCAGCAGATTGCAGAGCAGCATCCAACATCTTCCGCCGAACTTTGGAACGCTATCAATGAATTGGTCGATATGTATCGAGCGCTTATGCCTACTTTCCATGGCGAAGCTTACACCAGCGACTATAGTACGGCGATGCTGTTCAGGAATGATTGCTATTGGTTAGCATCGCATCTTACCAAATCGCAAAGTGTGAATGCAACAAACTCGCAACCATTGGAAATATCAGCACAGAAGCTTCGACAGCTTGGCGGTATATGGTACGAACTGACGGTTAGACGCATTGTGTCACAAGTCAATCATGTTCTTGATCGCACGGAAGGATTCCGCAATGTTACTCCAGATCCAAGAATGGCGGAAAGAACCGGCCAAGCAGTGACTGACGCTGTGGACTTGACTTTGCGCTTTTCTGCCATGATTCAAGGCGTACTAAGTGACGACTTGTTCATCCAAACCATTACATTGATCTCCGATGAAATCATTCATAGATTGATATCAGACATTGAAGAGATGCATGACATAGGAGATGAGGAGTCCCATATCATTGCAAGGTGTTTGAACAGCATCATGAGCCTCATTGATGCCTTTTCGAGACCCGGCCAACCAGATGCCACGGATTCCTTCGTAGCAAGTCATGTCAAGGATTGGAAGAAATTCTGGACGTTACGGACTATGCTCGAAATGAGCTTCAGAGACATCATGGAATTATTCCGCAACGGCGAGCTACAATCTTTTGAGACGAAGGAGCTCTGTGACTTCTTATGCTCCCTATTCGCTGATACAGAACTTCGCACCACCAACTTGCAAGAGATCCAACGGGGATACCAACCACAGAAGCATATCACGTCATTTAACCAACCACCGGCTTCTTCTCACAGCAATTTGCATCCAAGTAATCAATTACAAAGTAAGACGGCATGGGAGCCATTCGATGATACGACAATGCAAGATCAAGCTGAAGATGATGGTGGATGGGAACCATTCGATGACCATGCAGCGTCCGATAATGAAGGATGGGAGCCTTTCGATGAACAACCGAACCCCAAACAAGCGCCTGATGATCACGTTGTTGAAAATACTGGTTCTGATGTAGGAAAGCGTTCGTCTGATCAACAATTAGGCACTGCATATACACAAACAGAGGGATGGAACTTGTCAGACCAAGAACAAGATGGTGACCATGCATCTAACGATGGATGGAATTTGTCTGATCAGGAAGAAGAACCATATGTTGCACCTACCGAAGAGCCAGAGTTGCACAATCAGCAACATGAAGTCGATGATGCTCCTCCAGCTGAAGAATGGAAAACGTCTGAAAGTAAAGCAGAAATGGATCAAGCATCCAATGAAGAACTGGAGCTACCCGAAGATTCACAAGCAGAAGGCTGGAACTTATCAGACAACGACGAAGAGTTGGAATATACTTCTAATGAAGGATTGATCTTACCTGATCAGCCACAAGCAGCTGATGACACACATAAAGAAGAGTGGAATACGTCAGACCATGAACAAGAATTGGACGATGCATCGAACGATGGATTGATCCTGCCTAGCCAACAACAATCAAGTGCTGATGTACCAACAGAAGGGTGGAATATGTCCGACCATGAAGAGGAAGTAGAAGATGCACCTGCAGAAGGATGGGACTTGTCAGACCAGGAGCAAGAAACGCATCATTCACCACCTGCAGGCCAATGGGAGCCATATGATGCACATATCGATAAGCAGGCAAGGATAGATGCAAACGATGCTCATCTGAAGAGAATACCGGCGGTTGAAGCTGCTTCACAGCCTCATCACCAAGAAGATGAATCTTTATGGGAACCTATGGATGATCCAAACTCAGAAGATCCAAACCACGAAGGTAAGCAGACCAGAGGAAATGACATTGAACTACCCTTTGACCGTATGACTCTAACTGCATGTTTTGTTTTCAATGAAGGCTGGGAAGCTTTTGATGACGAAGTGGCGATAGATACTGAACCCCTTCATACATCCAATAATCAGATAATTGACTCAAGGCACCATAACGAATCACCATTCGCAAGTGTGCTAGATCAACTAAGTGACAAGCCAGCGCCGCCAAAACGGACCGATTCAAATGAAGACAATAAGCGGGGAGATTCGTTTGCTAACTTGTTCGGCGAGATGACTGGAAGAGCCTCGTCTCCCAAGCAAGACCATCAAATCCCTAGATTTGGATCCCCATCGATCGAGAGCTCATTCAGTAGTCTCTTTGGTAACATCATCGGAGCGACCCCGTCACCAAAGCCTGAGCAACAAACAGCGAAGCAATCATCGTCTGGACTCGGGCTGCCTTCTTTGGATGCTTTTGGATATGCCTCCAACCGAATTGCAGGCGAGTTCACTAATGTTGTTGGTAGTATGATCGGAGCTAGCTCTCGGCCAGCGCAGACCCACAACGCTGCATCGCCAGACAGACCTTCAACACCACTCCACTTTGAGTCAGACAGTAGTAAACCTGTGCTAGACCATCCAAAGCCTAAAAGCAAACTCGACTTTGTACCACAAAATACGGGTGACGAACAGGCTGGTGAAGAAGAAGGTGGTTGGGAGGACTGGTGAAAGATAGCACACACTTAATATATAGCTACAATATATACCATTCATAAACAGATATTATCCCAAAATTATTCAGTCAAAGAGTAAGATGCTTTATCTTTTTCCAATTGAAATTACAGCATGGGGGTTATGTACAACAAGTTATCTTTTTTTTTGGCTTTCTTTTTTACTTTGCAAGATCACGCACTATTTTCTTTGCTTTCCTTTCATCTTGGCTGAGCAATTATCGCAATACCATTTACCCTTGGGCACAGTTTTGAGGTTTACACATGCCAAATGGAACCATTCAATTTCGCACTGCGAACATCAATAAATTAGCAAAAAGCGTGTCAGTAGGCGGAAATATACCAAGATACCTACATCATCATTATCGCAAGCAACCATCTCGCCGTAAGATACTTGTTGACAGTAGCAGTAGAGAGGCTCGTTGGGATCAATAGGCATGTCTGCCACAGAAGAGACACTACAAAAAGGCAGAGTCGAGTCAGTAAAAAGTCGAGTAAGAAGAGTAGAGCAGCGTAGCGTAAAGAAAAGATGACTAACGCTTTTGCTTTTCCAGAACCGTTTCGTCCAGCAGCAGAAAATGCGCCTTTTGCTCTATCCTTGTCAGAACGGATGGCTTTCAAAACACCGTCCTTCGGAGTCTGTGCTCTCGGAGGTGGAGTTCCTTCACCTTTGCCAGTTCTGCGTTCTAAACAAAAAGTACGGAGATCAGCAAGCTGTATGCAAATATCAGGTACAATGGATTCCACTTACTCTTATTTGCAGAACTATCAGCTGGAAAAACGTAACAGACGTGCCAAATCAGGATATATGCCCGTTGGAAGTTATGAAATTTCAGTTATTTCACTTACCGTGTGCTGAACGTTTATCACTCTTCCTACCGGCATCTTTCCTAGAGTTCTTTTCGTGATGAAGATCATCTTTGCCTCTCCCTGATATTGATATTCCTTGTGGTGCCACTCGGCCTAGACCTGACATTTGCTCATCCTCAAATTTCTGTAAATCAGTGTCTAAGCGACTGCAATGGCGATCTACCTAAAAGAGTGAGAGAGAGACAGGAACATGAGGAATTTGTTCAAAAGGAGATGTACAAGGCTGGCCAGGCGGCGAAAATCTTACAGTATCAAATGTGGTTTTAGCTAAAGACACTTTCTCTTCCCCTCGCTTTAAGCTGTCGCTTAGTAACGTGCCGATTTTCTTCAGTGCGAGAACTCGTTCGTCTGGTGTCATTTGTTTTACATTGTCGATGAAATCTATTGATTCCGAGGCAACGGATTCCATCAAATCTATCATAAACTACAGTCAGTAGCGAGTAGTGACTTTGTTCAAGCATGCAGGTGAAGCTTACCTTGTGCGTAGCCATCTAGTTCACGCATCAGCGTGAAATTCCTCTGTAGCTCCAGGGGCAAGGCTTCTAGAGCTTGAAAGGTGTCAGTTGAGGTTTAGCGAAAGAGCTGGCATGCGCAAATGACTTATTCCCTACTGTCAATGTAATCGTCAAGGTATACTAAGCTATCAATGTGTTTCATAGTATGTAATCCCGGCTTCATGAGAAGAGCAAAAGTGAAAAATTGGGGGAGTTGCTGCAACAAAAGTTGGAAATGTGTTTCGGAGTTGGTAATCAGGAAACTCGGTTTGCGAGTCACTCTCCTTTACAATCCGCTTCTTGTGGCAAAATCTATTTCACTTGGCAACAGCGTCCTGCGATCATTCGTATATTTACGTCCTCGTACTAAAACGCGTTCCAATAATAGTAGGCGAAAGTACTTTCGTAGCTCCGTCTATAAAGTCAAATGCTAGAGCAACCATAGGTGCTGCTTCCGGAGCTGGAATGATAGAGGACATACACAATTTGTTCATGGAACCTATCAATCCATTCAACTCTTGCAACTTTTTACGATAAATCAAAAAGAAGCAATATGCAGAAGTATAAACGATTCCCTCAACACTACCGCTATCTCCTCCTTTGTTTACCTACTTAGCTTTATTCCTATGTTTCCAATTGGAGAAATCACCAGTACTCAAGTGGAATAGTATATCAGAGCAACCCCTCACTCCTGTCTGGCAAACAGCTGCAATAGCGATTTTCAAAAATATTGTGGATGATGCTGTGGCTGAATGAATGATAGGCGAGCACGTTAAATTCTCAGTTGAAAGTTGCTTTATTATGCTTTACTTAGAGTTTTTAATCGCTTTGAGTCACAAAGAATGGTCTGTTAACACAAAACACAGAGGAACTCTAAACTAAGGCAACAACGTTATTGAAGACTGTACAAAGAGGTAGGATGAAGATCGAGAGGACTTGGTAACTTGGTACCAGTTCTATTGGTTGCTTGGATAGTGGCTGACACGGTTTTGTTCATTGAAATTTTATGCATGGTGGAGTGGGTGATGTGAGAGCTGGTAGGTGACTTCTTGAATGTAGGATGAGAAAGGGTAGATTGTATAGGTATGGCAGGTTGTACCGGCGTAGGCGGCTGTTCTTCTACGAGCTCGTAAATAAGCATGTAGGGATTTGCTTTTAGAACGTCTTGTACTGGGCACGTATCGACGTTTTCGTCGGACACTCGATACCAGTCGTGTTGAGCCGATTCAATTTTGGTATTGGCTGCCAAGTTCGTCTGACATTTCTTACATCCACATCGTCCCATACGTCGTTTGTAAGCAATGAAGTGGCCAAAATTATGACTGCCGTAATGAACAACCGTGCTCATAAGTCTGTATTGATATTTCTTCTGCCCTTCCGAGTCCTGGGCTCCGCTGATAGGTGCGTCTGGGTCCACTCCCAAGTCGGAATTAGTGCAGTATGGCGAGAGATCAAGCGTCTCTGGAAAAGCGACTTGGCAAGTGTTTTTGTACACGGCACCAGAAGTGTGAAAAGTCGAACGGGAAATGTGCAGGCAAAGGCATTGCGGTGGTTTTGCGAACATCACTTGCTTTGTCGATTTTGGGCTCACAACCCTTGATAAATGAATGCTGGGGTCAATCGGGTCTTCCACTCTATGAGACTGTAGCCGACTTTGAATTAGATCTAAGTTGTTAGTCAGCTTTTCGATTTCTGTTGTATCGGCTTCCGCAGAAATAGCAAAATCTATTTCGGTTTGTAACCGTTCAGCAGTGGCTTTCAATGAGCATGACCTGCAGCTCACGTCATCCAAAGTCTCCATAGCGATGAAGCTAGATAAGCAATCCTCTAGTGGCACGTTGTACTACAAAAAAGCACCGTAAATATCATTGTACTCAAGCCACCATCTATTGAAATTAAAAAGATCTGTATATGCACTTACAGAATTAGGCAAAGTAAGTTGTATATTATCGAATGAAAAGTGTCTGATAGCCTCCTAATAAGTGAAAATGCCAAAGTCAGAAACCATTCGTTTTAGGAAGAACCATTCAACCTGCATGAAACACTTACTGTATATCCACATTGACTACAGGATAAACGGCTGGCTAAAAGCCCAGTAAAGGGGTTGCGAAAAGTCTTCTTCAAAGCGTTTGAAGGCTTGGCGGGTATAATATTGGCTGACGATTTGGCCAAAAGCAGGTCTCTAAGGCCGGCATTAGAGGACTGCAACTTTAATGTATCTTGCTGCTCTGACTCAAGTGAGCTTGAAATGATCTGAAATAGTTCTTGAGCGTCTTGTTGTTCGTGGTTGATAACGTGATGATGGCGCGAAATAGCGGTAACAAGTTGATCGGGTAGGATGGCCGATTTTTGTGATATTGGTTTGGAAAGTAGTAATAGCGTTTGTCGCAAGGCGTTTGCAACCGGAACCTCAGATGAGCTTCTGTCCTTTGTCAAATAGTACAGAAATGGCTGCAAGTGCTCCAAGGAAGATAATGCCTTCACAAAATGGAATCACGGGAAGCAGGCAACGTAAGCATATGATGACACGGCGAATTTTCTTAAAAAAAAAAAAAATTGTCCCTCACCTGCAACACTGAATTCAGGAAGCATGAGTTGCCGGTATTGACGATGCCGTGAATGTATAGTGAGATAGACATATCTGTGTCGTTCAAGCAAGGCTCGGCTTGCACAACATCCAATTTTGCGGGAGGTTTCTCAGCAGATGATTTAGCGTAGCTCCAATTAAAACCGGTTAAAAAGTTGTTGCCTCCAATTAATCGAAGTGTCACTCGCTTGACTGTCACCACAGCTTGACCACCGGATCGTACGCATTGCCAAGTATACTTGAGGTCGCATCGAGTATATACAAATTGGAACACAGGGACAAGGGTGGATTCAACAAAGTCGTAGATGAGGTAGTAATATGAGGGGAAGAAGGTCAAGAAGACGGTAATGAAGCTAATGAGGCCGAATATGAGTTCAAAAATGAACAACATATCAATTAGCAGTGCTTGTAGGCGCTGCACTGTGATTGCCTGTAGCATTGCTGGCGAGGGGGAGGTTGAACAAAAAAAAAAGTTTTAGCTGTTCGGGGCCCTGAAGACAACCCAAATTTTGGATTTCGAAAACTTGCACGTGAAACCTTCCTTATCTGATGAGACCAGCCAAAACTCCTCAGAGTGCAAAACTGAAATCCCTCACTCCATCAAGCGTGATCTGAGGCAGTGGTTACTAGGGAAATGTAACCAAATCGTTGGAAACGTGATGAAATCACAGTATAGCTCGTGCATTTCACGAGCCCTGGGAGATGTCACGCGGCGATAGCTTAATTTTAACTCTGAATAGCTGGATGCATGAGCCAACCCTTTCAGATAACCATAAAATGATAACATTCGGTTGAAAAATACATGCAATACGGTCGTGCTTCCTTTGCCTTCAAAGGTATTAATCAATCACACGAACTTGCTGGGAACAAAGAACAAAATGAATTGTTGAGCAATGAAAAATGAACAATCATGGGTTAAGCAACCAGATTCTATTCTACGTATCTTACATCCCTCTTTTTGACACTTCTCCAGGTGTTGAGTACTTTGTCTTTGGGATGTTCCTGTAAGATTTTCGGCCGTTCGTGACGCAAACAAAAATTTCAGGTTTGCAAGCTGGTGCCCGCTTGCCAGTATGATTGGAGAAAAAAACAATCTCAGCTTGCTTTCTCGCATTTTTTCTTCATGGGCCTGAATGCGTATCAGCTGCCTTCACAGCCGACCATGAGGACTCACATATACCGACCAAACAAATGCTCATACATAGCTCCATCAGATAGTGAGTCGGAAACCGAGGATGAATGCCCCGAAGATCATGATGCTCATTCACGGTCAGTCTCAGACATGGGTCGTCTTAATCAATATAACGAAGGTACTGATATATCTCACAGTAACGACAAAAAGCGAGCAAATGATCCAGGAATGTTGCTTCACATGATCGCCGAAGACCGAGATCTTCTGTCTACAGAGACACAAGAAATGAAGCGGCAAACATGGGTACGTCTCCGAACCTTTTGTAAGTTTTTTCCGATGCCTCATTTTAACGTGTCAAATTAGTTGAGAGCGCAAAGGGAGCATCAGATCAGGATGGACAAGCATCATGCGCAAATTGAACAGAACACTCAGAAGATAATGAAGCAATATCAACAGAAAATAGAAAAGGATGCAGAGGACGTCCGTAAATTTTTGGAAAAGCTGGAATTAGACAGGTAGAGTAGTAGACGAAATAATCCACTTACAACTTTTTCATCTTATTAATCTTACCATATTTACAGAAAAAAGGAAGCAGATCGCATCGATCGAGATTATGAGATGCGTAATACGAAAATGCGCCAGGTATGGGTCCATGTATAGGTTGAACAATAACTCGCAGCTGAAGGCATTGATACAAATTTCCGTTTTCAAAAAGACGATCGATAAAATCGTCAAAGAAGAAAGGGAACGACAAGAAAAGATAAGGTTAGACGAAGAAAAGAAGAAGGCAAAGGAACAGGAGGATCGCAAACAACAAGAGGAGCAGAAGCAAGCAGCTGCAACAAAAGCACAAGCCGAGAAGGAGCAGAAAGAACAGAAGGAGCAGCAGCAAAAAGAACTCTTGTTGAAAAAGCAACAAGCGTCACTTAATGTGAGCTATGAACAATGATTTTTCACTGACTTCATGCTATCTCTCTAATATAATGATATTGCAGCAAAAATCCTCCACGCTCTCTATCAAAGGCTTGGAAGAAGCCGGCAAATATTTTGACTTGTTGAAGGTATGGAGCAAAAATGTCAATAGGCGCATCTTTAGCCATGTTTAACACTTGTCGATCATCTAGAAATTCAAAGAACAGATTAAACCAGCTATTGCCCAGCATGCCGAGTGGAAACAAGGTGCAATGAAATCGCGCATGAAATTGAAACGTATGATTGGTCAACTTGTCAACAAGCGCGAGACCATTATGCGAATTGTAAGCTACAATACAACATACCTCAGTCCAGAAAAGTATGTTGGCATTAACTCATCTATCATTAGACAAATGACGCGCATACCATTTTCTCTGACTGCCAACGAACTTCCGACATATTATATGAATGGATCATGAATTTCACGGCCAAGGCATTAGTGGTAAGGGCTCATCGTTCTCGTGGATGTTTGATTTTCCGAAGCAGTGTTTGATCATGTACATGTCACTAGGAACAAGCTGAAACAGAAGTTACTGTCAAGCCATCCACAGCCTATCCGCTGGCACACGTTACCGTTATGTTGGCTACAAAGCACGCTGGTTTCATGGACATTGTGATTGCTCGTCTCATCAAGCATTGCCCATACCTTATTCCTCGTTATTTTGATGATGACCCGGTAAGTTTCATGATTATTAATATTTTTCGTGATTAGATGAGTCGCAAAACACTAACGCCTCGATCATCTTTATATCAGAAACGTTCCCCAGACGAAACCCGAAAGTTGATGGGTTACAAATATAGTGACAAGGAAGCCAAACAATGGGAAGACGCAGTACAATACAAAGAGCATATGAGTGGTCTTATTTCCTTATGGGCCGCTATTGTCCAAACTGCTCCAGAGCCCGGAATGGGCGAAAACCCTTATCCCATACAGCATGGCTGGACGTGGCTCGCACGTATTTGTAACATTCCTCCGAGAGCTATCACGCCTGCTCTTATAAACTCATTCTTAGAAATTGCTGGCGAACGGATGCTGGCAACCTATCCTCGGCAACTTCCAAAAGTACTACAGCTTATAATGCAACAATACCTACCACTTTTGGCTGGCGATAAAGATGCCGTAGCTGCTGCTACTCGACTATCAAGTTACTTGGAGACATACGCTACATCGGGAAAACTTGGAGCAATAGAAGGCTCCAGATACTAGCTTGTCTCCCTACATCACATATCAACATTTGTTTATAGTCCTCGCTCATATCATTTGCCTTTTGGATTAAATCACCATCCACCCACATCCACATTAATACATTTACCATTAGTTTGGAGCATTAACAAAGAATCCATTGGTACAATTTACATTTAGATATACTGTTATACACTTGATATCTGTTTGATTTATCCTGCTCTCAAAGTCGATGTCGAACGACCGTAGAAGTCATTGTAATCGAGGCGAGTGGAGAGTGATCTCAAGTCGTCATCCTGATAAGATGAGAGCGTGGCTAGGAGATCCAATGTCTCTCGCTGGTTTTAGACAGTATGGAAGAGGCTGTTAGTGTGGAGCAAATACTGAATGAAAAGAAAAAAGCGCTTGTTTCGCTCACCTGAAAGCTCTCTGCTCCTGCCGTCAATCGCATGCGAATTTTGAGCAGCTTAGAAGTGTCAATTCCACTGTGTCGATTAGCATCTCTCCTCGTAAACTCATAATCCGCTAATGCGATCAATTGATCCTATTGAAACAAATGTAAACACCTCCAAATCATACCCAAAAAAGCAATCCGTATATGTGTCGCTAAAACACTTACCAAGGAGGTCCTGTACTGAAGGGCAGTATCAAGTATTTTAAATAGCCTTAAGAGCATATTCTGAAGGAACATCCATAAAACAGCGTTAGAATACCATTTCCCAAACCCGGGTCAGTACTATGTCGCGGCCATGTCGCATGATAAATATACCTGATTTGTTGAGCCATTTAGAAACCCTTTCGTCGTGATATCAGTCAAATATCGTGAGTGGGCATCAATCAGAGAGTCTAGATCTATGCATTTGTTCTCAATAAAATGCGATAGCTCTTCCCAAGAGCATTCCAGAACCTAAAAAAATGAGCGCCGTTTAGCATCGAGCCACTGTCTTGCTGTAGTTTGTAAGACAAGAAATACTGTACCTCAAACAGATAATAATATTGGAGTTGAGAAGTGAAATGGATCATGGATGTGATCACTATTTGTGCTGAGCGTATGTCTCTTGCAAGCTCAGGGATACTATTGTATTGACGGCCAGATGTCACCAACCCTCTCCAAGCTGCCGAAAGCGAATGTTCTACACGTTTGAGCCGCCATAAGAAATTAAACATCTTGAGATATTGTTGCATTGCCTGTGGCGTAAAGATGGTATTGATAGGCGAATCAACATGATAATCCAACGTGAAAACATCCCATCCCAAATCTTGTGGTGATATCTACGGATGTCCAATACTCTTTAGCACGTGTAGTAAGCATATTGTTCCAAAAGAATGCTTTAACTTACCTCTAGCAAGCGTACATCCAATCGAGCCAAAATGGATGGGTCATCGTACTGCGCATTGGATGCTCTGATCGCTGCCTCGAGGACACCCGTTAAATTATGGCGAAATAATGTATTTGCAGGCTTACTCAGGCCAGATCTATCAATGATGCACCATTAGACGACTTTTCATGTTGTATGCGCTTGCGATGATAAACTTACCCGAGAGTATCCAAGAGATATTGAATAAAATCGCCTTGAGAGAGAAGAAGGTATCGCTTGAACGCTTTCAAATGCTCCATCAATTTGAATTTGTCTTTAAGGATGTTTAATAGTTGTCGACTAGTATCCAGATACGCTTTGTCGATAGAGTTCTCAACAGCGGATATGTTACCATACCTCAAGGTTTGAACTATCCAATTGCTTTAGTAAAAATGTAGGTAGTAGTATCATACTGACTATTTCAAAATATATATTTACCATGGCCTTGTGATCTTTCCTGTATGACTGCACTTTCATGACAGTTGTATCGAATGAAATTTAATGACTTTCCAATTGAAAATATCTATGATGAAGAAATAGCACATGTGAGTCAAAGTGTTGAGCAATGCACTTAGTACTGTAGATCCATTTTCACCTTTTGAGCCAACGTATTTGAAATGAACGATGGAAGCATGCCTTCTCTAAACGTGTATTTCTTTTGCCACAATTCTTCTTCAGAGACCGAGTCATCGCAGCCGACGAAAAACTCCTCATAAGGATCTTCCAGCTCGCCTTCATAGATCCACATTCGCAGCATTTCCCAAAATGGAGCTGACACTTCTTCGAGAAGCTGACTTATGAATGTTTGAATGAACGGATCTCCATGTTTTGTGTAGTTGTGAATCACAGAAACGAATGCACCTCCCTTTTGATCTGTTGCTGAGTTAGTCACAAACGTATGGCTCCCGACATACAAGACAAAAGCATGCTAAAGCTTTTCATTACCTTGACAAGCATCAATCAGCACACTCATCAGTCTAAGACGTTGAAGGCTGTCCCGCATCCATACTACAAGTCGCTTCAGAGTTAAGCTGTTGGTTGATAATGATGTATCCAAATCATCTGACAAAAAAGTGAGATCTTTTCCTTCATTTTTACTGATTTGCGCTTCCAGAACTGCAATTAGCTTGTAGTAATCGTTCATCTCTCGCTGTAAGCTAGAACAGAACGACTGTAACACGGCCACATTAATATTTTCTCTACAAAGTTCTTTAGCAGTATCAAAGCTGCCGCTCTTACCTGGCCAACAAGCCCTATGGAGGCGTTGTCGATGTTAGTCGCAATAAAGGCTTGAATACGCTTGTAAAGCCAGCCGAGTTCTGTCAGCTTGTGAATGAGTTCTCGAGCAGAACGAGAGATCCCAACCTTTACAGATATTTCCTTTAGTCAAACATACAGCTATGGCCAAATTTCCTTGGTCAAAAAAGTATCTCCTACCATATCATCTATAACATATGCGTCGGACTCAGCATCAAATTTAATGTATGTGCCATCGATACCCTGGAATATGAACATAATGTCTCGAAGTATGGCCGCCTCCGGTACTTGTTTGGATGAGAATTCAGCTTCGTGTGTTCGCAAACCCACTTGAAGTTGCTGTGCAGGTGGAAGATTATGGTCCATTGATGCGTCTGATTCGTCGCTCACTTTCCGCCGAATACTCCTTGAGGTATCTGACCCATCATGTGTCCGTGCCAATGTTTGGTGATGAGGAGATGTGAAAGTCGGTAAACCTTGAGAAGCAAATGAATCGATCTGAGGTATTGATGTATTAGCATAAATGCAATTAGCTGCAGGATTGGAGCTTCTGTACATACATCGCTTTGAGCGGCGGACGGCATTCGACTTCTAGAGCGATAGCTAATATCAGCAGCACTATTATCTTCGCTAAGCTCATTGAGAAGGTATAGTATCGCCCATTTGTTTTTCACGGCATTCTAAAGGCAATAGGATGAGCCACGCTGCAAGTTGGGATTTTACGGTTGTGGTTCAACTTACCTGATCCATCAGCTTGTTGAGTAGCGTTTCAAACCTGAGCTGTTTGCTGCTCGACCCACTCTGGAGAGACACTAGTCAATGAAAGAAGATTTTAGCATCCATGACACTGACTACAGTTCATATGTACATTTCAATGCGACTCACGCTTTCTACTGATGGTGCCAGCCAGATGCATTTCATCTTGTGCGGTCGATGGTCGCGGAATGCTGCGGCATATAAGCCAGTTAACTAAAACTCACATAACTTTGTTGACGACAAACACACCGTTACAAACCTTCGTAATATGGATTTGCATCGTTCGTATACTCTCTCTTTATTCTGGGTATCAGCCGCGGATTGTCTGCCGTCTTTCTTATCCAAGAATTGCTGTACCAACTGGAAGAGTCCCTTTTGTACAGACAAATTGTTTGATTCCAAAGCTTGACTTGATTTTGTTGGGGGATGGAGGCGATCTTTGCCAAACTTCGATAGCGAGTCTCCGCGAGCAGACTGATCAAAAGTCGATTGCTGACTTAATATGGAGGAAGGCGAATCGACAAATGAGTTGTTAGCAGCTGAATGGCTGGTTGTTGAAGAACGAAAGAACGTCCTTATAGCCTCTGGACGATTCATGGTGAAGTGGTCTGCTTCAATAGACGCGAACTTTGACGCGCAAAATAAAAAGTCGACACGTCCAAGAAAAATTCAGGTCGAACAGGCATTGGCGAAAAGTCAGCCAGTCAGTCGCTTTAGTCACGTGTGAGAATTGCAAAGGAAGTATAGGCCATCCTCCGCTTCTTTGTAGAACAGGTTCCTTCGTCTCGGGAATGCCTTCTGTACGGCTACCCTTGTATTATCGCCTGCTGTTTCCTGATCTCGTAGAAGCAAGGAATCGTTCGGGTTTAATTGATGCTCCTCCTAGAATAACTCAATCAGCCAAAATCGACCAGGAACTGTACACATATCTAGCACTCATTGTACGAGATTTCATTCAACCATGGTACCTTGCTATCACTCTGGATAATGGACTTCCTTCTGAAGTAACAAGGATTGTAACGCATTGCTGTCGCGAGATAGAACTACGTTGTCAAAAGGTAAAGGATCGAACGAATTTATTTGATAGTATTTGAGATGGTCATTTATCGATTTTACTCGCAGATCGATGTAGTCGAACTTATTTTGAAGTCGTTTCCAACACTATTGACGCAGCATTATTTGGATTATCACCAAGCTGTTGATAAGCTACACTTAAATCACGGTGGAGGCTCCGCGACTGAGCTTGAAAGCCTATTTCATGGATTACAACCGCACTTTGCAATCGAACATGAGAAAGAGTACGTGAAGCAGCTTTCTGACCACTTGCTCAAATCCCTATTACCAAAAGACGAATATGATAGCGACTGTGTTCGTTACCTTGTAAGAGATATTCTTAACATGGTTTTGACGATTATTATTGCGCGCTTGAGTGATCCATGGACAATCAACACAATTGTTTCCAAGGTACGTCTAGCTGAAGACCAAGTATTCCATGCGAAAAAGATGTAATTTTTCTAAGCATTACCTTCTTAGCTTCTTTCTCATTACGATGAGAGATTACTGAAACTGCAAGCTCCAGGCGAAATATGGGCCCCAATACAAAGCGATCAGCCTAAAGAAGACACTGAAAGTAAACCTATTTCGACAACTGGTGGATCCACTAGCATAGATCCCACTGGTATAGTAACATCTCTTCAAGAGACACAGAAAACCACCCTTTCCCCTCAGTTACGACACCGACACATCCACTCAAGACAGAATTCTGATGTACAAAAGCAAGAACTGACGGCCTCGCCAAGCCCCAGGCGATTTACACCTCTTAGCACGTTAGAGGAACAAGGCGATGAGCTAGCACAAGCAACTTTACCTCAACCCGAAAAACCTCCAAGAAGATACTCCATGCGCTTCATATCCCTACAAGTTATACTCGCGCCACTTCAAAATATGTGGTTCTACATCATATCTTTGCTAACCCTATCGCAAGAAAGGTACCAACATGTTGTGCGACAGCGAAAGAAGAGTCGCCATGTAAGGCTAGAAGACCCAGTTCTTCGATTCACTGAAGTAGCGTTTTGTGTGGAAGACAGACCTGTCGTTCTGTGGGCTTGGCGAATGGTTGGGATGTTTATCTGGCCGATAGCTCGCATACTTGGAGGCGGCGTCTTCACTGACAAGTAAGACAAACAAAATCAAATTATTAATATAAATATGGAATGCTGACAAGAAGCTGATGACTATTTATCAATTCAGGTTTTTGGAGCAATCTGTATATCATCTTTTGTCAGAACAGCGACTGGTATACTATATGCAGATTGGGAGAGAGACATTATGGCCAGGCGGTAAATTCGTAACAGCTGGAACATTGCCAACGGAAGAGGAACAGAATGCCTTGCGCATACAAGCGGAAAGAAAGCTCGTTTTGGCCATCCCAGGTAATGGTTCGTTTTGACTCGCCCCCCGAAAACAACGTGTAAAGCTAATGAAAATGAGTCCACCTTGTTTTGTTGCTAGATATCGTCGAGCGTGTGCTTTTCGAAACATCCGACATTAATGTCCATCAACAATGTATGAGCCAAGCGCTGGCTCCTCTTCAGAACCCTTACATTAATAAGCATCTTGTATTCTACATGGTAGACCTAATTGTTTCCACTGTCTTCCCCGAATTAGCCTATAATCCCGTTAAAGCTACATGATAATACCCTCGATCGTATTTAGATACCACACTGCACATGTAAATTTTTAATTTCACTCATGTTGGAAACACCGATCCTTTAATCACCTATGTATGTACACCAACTATTCCTATTTTCATAAAGTATTGTTATCTGGATTTACTGTTCTTCAGCCTTGATTTCAGCAATCTCATGGAGGTAGGTGCCAAGCAACTTGATGCCTTGGATATAGTTGGAACGATCAAGCTTTTCGTTGATGGAATGGGCACCCTAATAAAGTAGAAAAAATGTCAATCAAGGAACGGAATAAAGGCACAGCTAAGAACAGAACATACATCGTCACCACGGCCCATAGGCAAAAGAAGAACATTCTTGTTAAGAGCATCCTGGAAGGACAAGGTGACAGGAATAGAGCCACCTTCACGTGTCATATCAGGCTTGACATTGAAAACCTTCTCAACAGCCTTAGCAGCAGCAACGTAGTTCCAGTGGTTAGGAGTAGCGAACCAGGGCTTTCCAGCGTGGCTGCACTCGATGTTGAGGACATTCTTGCTGTTGAGCTTTGCGAATTCGGATTCAATGTGCTTCTTAACAAGTTCGGTAATCTTCTCAGGTTCCATATCAGGAACGGAACGGATAGAGAACTTTCCGATAACCTTAGCTGGGACTACAGTCTTGTCACCTGCATTGTAGAAGGCACCTTCAACACCGTGAATAGAAAGGGAAGGGTATCTCCAGCGGTGTTGCAAGATATCACGTTCGCTATCGAAAATGTTGACCTTGCTACCAACAGCACTATGGAGCTCGTCCATCTGGAAAGCCAAGTTATCGTATGTACGTTCTTCCTCCTCTATCGAAACGACAAGATATTTGTAAGTCCCTAATCAGCCAATTGCCTATAACACATCCATTGAACAAAAGGCAACTTACCAGTGAGAGGGGCAACCTGGTCATAGATACCAGGGATGAGGATCTTACCGTTAGGAGCGACCAAGTTGCTCATAACAGCAAAAAGATCAGTCATAGGTTCGTGGACAGTGCCTCCAAAGACACCAGAGTGCAAATCTCTGCCAGGTCCCTTGATGCTAAGATGGAAGTAAGATACTCCGCGAAGACCATAAGTCAAGCAGGGCTTGGTGGTACCGAGCCAGTAGTTATCAGAAATGCAGACAACATCAACATCGGCAAAGTATTTCTTGGCCTCGAGAAGGATAAGGTCATCAAGACCCTCAGAGCCAGACTCCTCCATACCTTCAAAGCACATCTTCAAGTTGACGGGAAGTTCGAGACCCAAGCTCTTGTGGGCTTCGATAACATTGATCCATCCAAGAATAGGACCCTTATCGTCTGTGCTGCCACGACCGAGAAGACGACCCTCCTCATCCTCAACGAGGGTGAAAGGATCGGTGTTCCAACCGTCTTCCTTAAGAGCCTGATAACACACAAAATGATCCATTTAGGTTTTCCCAGTGTATATGATGCCCACTTTAAAAATTAACTTACAGGTTGAACGTCATAATGTCCATAGACAAGGACAGTCTTCTTTGCAGGATCGTTGCCATAGGTAGCGAGGACAACAGGAGGAAGCTTCAAGGTAGTTCCGTCATGCATCTTTTGCATACCAACGTCGCGTGTCTCAACGCTAGCACCAAGAGTCTCAAGCTCAGAGACAAGGAATTCGCTCATGCGAACAACGTCTGGGCGACGAGCAGCCTCGCTACTCACACTGCAATCAGGTGTGTAAGCTGTGAGCGATAAGACGTAACGTGAGATGAGGCCACGTGATGGGGTGGCACTTACCTGGGGATCTCGACGGCCTTACGAAGACGATCAATGAAGTCAGATTGGTGAGCTTCGACGTAATCAAAGAACTTGGCTACAGACATGTTGCAGGAAATGAAAAGAAGAATGAAGTAGTGGGTTTATTTTTTTGAACAATTTTTTTTACACTGTAGCGGGACCTGTGCGTGCGAAATTTGACGCTGCATACGCTTGATTGGCCCGGTTATTGTTTACCCGTTGACCCAAAACCTCCAGCACCTCGGAGAGTGTCTTCCAAGCTCTAATGGACGCTCGCTCGTTAACTCTTGTCTGTTTGCTTTCATTTCATTACCATCTGTTTTTCTTACCTCAACCTCAACCACGGGAGGAGTGAAGATTTGCTCCAATATCAACTGTGCAATACGTTCACCTTCTTTCACTACCCATCATGAAAAGATTCGGCGTTAGTTCCGCTTCCATGGCATAGCATATCTTGCTACGTTGTCATTACCTTCATAATCCGTCTTGGAAAAGTTAAACATGACGACACCAACGGGGCCACGGTAATCCTCATCGATCACACCAGCTCCAGTATCAAGATGATGTTTAACAGCCAAGCCAGAACGTGGTGCGACGCGTCCATAACAACCTGAAGGTACAGCGATAGAGATATCTGTTGGGACAACAGCCTTTCCTTGAGCAGGAATAACTGTATCGGCAGAGCTGAATGGGAGTCATTAGTACTGTGTTGCATGGTAATGCCATTGGTTCCAGTATGGTGAGCTAAACTTACCAGTAGAGATCATAACCAGCTGCATGGCTGCTACCACGGGTTGGGATTCTTGCGCGATCGCTAAGGCGCTTAACTAGGAGAGATTGTATGGGGGCCATAGTTGTGAAGGCTTTGTTCATAAATTGTTTGAGATCAAGGTAAAAAAGGCTGATTCGGTTTCAGTCGCGTTGTCCACCACGCGTTCGCTGGTCGCCAAAAAAATTCCAACTTCTGCGGCCCCAATGTGACTGACTTTGCTGCTCTTGGCAGCCAATCTCTAAACACCTACCATTTTTAATAATTTAAAAGGTTAATATGACCCTTCATCCGCCACTGGGCATACATATGATGCATGTGGCACATACAAGGCATATGAACAAAACTTTCAACATGCAGAGTTACTGCTATCATGAGCACTTTACCTACTGCGGCCTTACCACTACCATTTGATAGCAGTAGATTGCGTGTCGCCCAAAAATAAAAACACCATTACGAATTGACAAGCAAATTTATCTGCAAGACGATGAATAAGGAAACGCCGTTGTAGTCAGCACGTCGTGCAAAACTAACAAGGGACAACGCTTTCAAAGGAGGCTCTCTATGTTCTTCGTACATATTAAGGCAATTCTAAATAAACCAAAAGGCTTTTTTTAGTTACAAACACATTGTTAAGACGTTGATGTTTCATAAAAAGTACAGTTGAACACGCTTTGTTATTATCTGGTTCGGTTAAGGTTCGCGGCTGGGCACTTCCATCTAGGAACGTGCGGGGGGAGAGAAGAAGGATCATCAGGAAACATAACCAGCCAGGGGCAGCGCACCATTTGACAGTGTGAATTACTATTTATAAGAAACGGCGCTGAAAAGCACCCAGAAAAATAAATAGGCTCAAACCTCTCTTCGTTTCGTCTTGTTCGATGCCATCACCTATGAGTACTTCCTCGATTCATGAAAAGACATTGAGTCTGGAGCTAAGATCCAGTTCACATAATCACATTCCGCAAGTGAGTAAGCACCCCATCAATGGGAACCCATCAAATTGAAAGACCCTTTGATATCATTAAATGATACCAAAAAACAAGCAAAGAAAAAAAAATATATATCATCTCTTTCTACTCATACACAGCCATTGAATTGTAACTCATTGTCTTTGCAGGCTGATATTACTGACATGCCAGTGAATAAGCCGGAAGATTACAATGCAACATTATACACTACACCAGTAACTAATCCACCAAGGGCATCCACCGAACTCACACGGGATAACAGTCGAAGAAGTCATCATGGCAGTATATTGCGAGCACGGTCACTTACCCGACCCGACCGACAGCGACCAAGACCACCATTATTTCAACACGACATGCTTCCTCCACAACGTACAAAGATGGATATGGTACGAGCTCGCAATGAAATTCTCAATGCATCCGCCGTAGCGAAAGACAGCAACATTGTGTCTTCGCATGAGGCTAAGCACCTGCCGCCTGTTCCCCGAAATCCTGTTCAAACTGCCAACATGACATGGTGGTCAATCACTGCAAATATTGCCACGTGCTGCTTCCCCAGCTGGTTCCTCAGTTATTGTTTTAAAAAACATAACCCACTCGTCCGTCAAGCATGGCGTGAAAAGGTAATACCCCTAGAGAGGGCAATCTATTTCGTGTTCGCAGAAAAAAAGGAGTACTGGGTGTTTTCCAATCCGCATGCATCTAATATTTGATAATACTTTCCATCCATAAGGTTACACTCGTGTACATCATATTATTTTGTTGCTTGGCACTGGCGTATCTAACATTCGGACTGCAACAAACATTGTGCCCAGAGCAGCGACAGACCTATGCTTATTCCACTTCCTACAACGGCTCTTTGGTCAAAGCGTATCGTGAAAATATCACGGTTCATGGCATGTTATACCCATATGAGACAATGCATCATTATCTTGCCACAAAAGGTCTCAACCTCACGAAGGAGTTTCAGGGCGTCGACCTGAGTTCACTATTTGACGCAGACACATCTGGGGCATGCAAAATATATGATGCCAACCGCAGTGGTGCCACCTCCACCCTTGGCAACTGCATAGTCAATGGTCCTTATGGTGAGTTTTTTCTAGGAAAATTCTATTTTCAATTATCCACAGCCTTTCTCCCCTCGACCATCCCTTATTTCCCAATTTGTAAATGTGAACTGCTTTTGATGTCTGATTATGAATTTCACTCATTACCGAGGTACCTGAAAAACATTGTTACATACAGACAAAGTGTTAACTAACTGGTACTTTTTCTCTTTTCTTGTCTGTTCATTTTAGGAGGGACTCTAAAAACTAAGAATGGAAATTGTATTCCCATGAAGGATTTGCTTCTACAATACAAGTCAACTGCCACGTTGAGTTATGACTGGACGGATTTTCAGCCTGAGGGTATCGGCAAATTGCACGGGACCCCTCTTGTCCTGCTTGGAGAAAATGGTAAAATAAATATCTTTTCGGTGGCTCTATAAAAGAAATTTTATGCTTTACTGATACATTTTATCCTGATTATATCGAGTATAGTGCTCAATATGTCTCAGTATATCAATACAGGGATTGAGTTTTACGGAGTCAATACGCACATTGCTCTTTTACAGTCTCTCGGGAATGACGGCTCATTAGCACTTTCCAACTGGGACGACGCCAAACAAGCGCAGAACTGTCTCTTGGCCCGGTACCGAGTCGGAGTTATCCAAACCGAAACGGGCGGCTGTATAGCGTCAAACCTGGTCATGGATATCATGCTTGGTATTATCATCTCATTGATTGCTGTACGTTACTCCATGGCCATTGTCTTCCGATGGTTCATTGCTGGAAGACTAGTCAGACCAGGTGGTCGATCAGGTCTAGTATCATGGCAATCTCGTCGAAACGGAAGTAACGATTCCTTCAATTGGCAAGCATACCAAGCTTCACCTTACAGAAACAGCATATCCCAGCCAGCCCCACCACCCATGGAACCCAAATTAGTACCCCCACCCAAGGACTTGTATACCGTTATGCTAGTCACATGCTACTCGGAAGGTATTCTTTCCCTCAAGACAACCATGGACAGTTTGGCAGAAACTCATTATTCCAAACAACACAAATTATTCGTTGTTGTCGCGGATGGCATGATCACCGGTTCGGGTGAAACCCAATCCACCCCGGACATGGTACTCTCCATGCTTGACTTACACCCTTTGTCATTGGACCCAAAGCCTTGCTACTATCAAGCGATTGCCGATGGTGAAAAGCAACTTAATCGAGCCAAAGTGGTAAGTTTTTGGGTAGTGTGAAGCTCCGAACTACGACTTTTGGCTCAGTCTTATTTTCCCAGTATGCAGGTACATATAAACACAGAGCAAGCTCGACACCATGTCTCTTGATTGTCAAATGTGGAACGCCATCAGAAGAAGGCACTAGCAAACCAGGAAATCGAGGCAAGCGGGACTCTCAGGTACATGTAGCTTACATATGGATAACACCCAATGGGTTTTTTTTTCATCACATTAACACATATCACCCTAGTTGATATTGATGACATTCTTTCAACATGTTCTCTTCAATGATCGACTGACTGAACTACACTATGAAATGTTTTGGAAGATGACGACCCTGATGAACGGCATTACGCCTGACAAGTTTGAGGTTATTTTAATGGTAGGTGCCACATAGCCTTTCAATTTTGCACTGTGGCGAGGAGAAATGGACCATGCTAATGATGACTACCTTAGATTGATGCGGACACTAGAGTCATGTCAGATTCTCTCTCTTACATGGTTGAGGCTATGAAAAATGATCCTACCATCATGGGACTTTGTGGAGAGACTTGCATAGCTAATAAGGCACAGTCATGTAAGCTATTTACATACGTGGGGTATAACCATTATCACAACTGCTAATGTTGATTTACAGGGGTCACTGCTATACAAGTGTTCGAGTACCACATTTCACATCACTACGCAAAAGCGTTTGAATCGTTTTTTGGCGGTGTGACTTGTCTCCCTGGTTGCTTCAGCATGTACAGAATCAAAGCTCCTAAGAATGGCGCTTGGGTACCCATTCTTGCCAGCCCAGATATCATCCTGGAGTACAACTTGAATGTTGTGACAACACTTCATGCCAAGAACCTTTTGCTGTTAGGAGAGGATCGATTCCTTTCGACGCTAATGCTCCGAACATTTCCCAAGCGGCAGATGATTTTTGTTCCTCAAGCTCGATGCAAAACCGTTGTCCCCGATAATTTTGCTGTCCTTCTATCACAGCGTAGACGATGGATTAATTCTACCGTTCACAATTTGATGGAGCTAGTCATGGTTTCGGATCTTTGCGGAATTGCTTGTCTTTCCATGCAATTTTCTGTCTTGATTGACTTGATAGGCACTGTCGTGCTACCGGCCGCCATTGTCATGACAATATGGCTAATTGTGACCAGCGCAGAATCGGCCACGCCACAGTGGCAGCCCATCATTCTTCTTTTGTCTATTCTTGGTCTTCCAATTGTGCTTATTATTGTTACCATGAGAAAACTTGTTTACATAATGTGGATGCTAGGTAAGTCAACGACCCATGATCAATAGTAAAGGCAAACGCACTCTAATGTAACTTTTTATGTCATGCAGTCTACATCATGGCATTGCCCGTCTGGAATTTCATTCTACCAGTATATGCTTTTTGGCATTTTGATGACTTTTCCTGGGGAGCTACAAGAGTTGTGGAAGGCGAAGTAAAGGGATCCGGTCATGATGACGACGATAAAGGACTGTTTGACTCATCCCAACTCACAATCAAGCATTTGAACGAATGGGAAATAGAGAGAACAGGAAGATCGATTTACGGTAAACCACGAGTCATGAGAAGCTACTACAGTAATCGAAACTTGGTTGCCTATGACCGACAAGATCGTTATAGCCTGCATACACCTTCCCCCAACCCGCTTGCATCGCCTGCCCCACGACCAATGTCAGCCAACATCTTACACAACATGTATCAAACACCCAATCAGTACTCTCGAAATAATATATATCTTTCCACTCCTCCAACATCATCTTCCGAAATTCGGCACTCCTTCCTCAAAAGTCTCCAAGCTTCTTCTACCAATACGTACGTTGATGCATCATCACGCGGAGGCGTATCCACTATCTCCAAGGCTCAGTCGTCGGCCAACTCATCGACGGTCTCCAGATCAAGTGACAACGACTCAAGCACGATTGTCCCTTAAAATAATTATTATTTTGATATACACATTCGCAATAAACACGCACACTTGTAAGGTACAAATGAAAAGATTATACAGTAAAAGTGAAGTAGAACAAAAGAAAATGATCACATTATGCTTTCATTGTGCCCATTGATTAAATTTAAAATGCCGACCAATTCGTTACTTGCTCGGTTCGAGATAGTGATCTGGTTGGCTTCACCATGACAGACTCCATTGATACGATTACCGAAGTGGAAAGCATCGAACATGACTCCCAGGGAAAAGAGCCTTTTCGAAGGTTCCAACGACACACTGAGGGGCAACATCATAATGAGGATCGGCGGATAATGAGTGAACAAGATGCTCAAGTTCAAAAGCGCTTGACATCTTCCTCCGAACGTATACTGTCAGCCTGTGCTGGAGCGCTTATGACCTCGCTTCTCGGTAAGGATAAACACTATACTTCTAAAATTGTGTGAATTTTTCAAAATGTCCTGTTGACTAAACTAGTTATGTTCATTTATTAGTCACTCCATTGGATGTGGTCAAAACTAGACTTCAAAGTCAAGAGAAATGTGCCACAGGATCTATACATTTTCACCATAGATCAGCCGAGATAGGCAGTAAACAGTTAAATGGAACGCTGGTAAGATATTTCTTTATCAGCATACGATAGCAGTGATTACATCCTATTCCACACCCATAATCCCTGTGCTCTAACCAACTCATGGCATCTTCATCTAGGACGGTCTCTATAAGATTATGCGGTATGAAGGGGTTCCGTCATTATGGAGGGGGTTATCACCGGCTTTGGCTATGTCAATCCCAGCTACAATTATATATTTTGTCGGATACGATGCGGTAAGAGATACTACCCGTCAGCAGGTTGGAGAAGACTCTTTTCTCTATCAATACTCGCCACTCTGGGCAGGAGGCGTTGCACGTAGTAAGTCCTAACCTTCAACGAACTGTTGCCGTAAATTCACATGAGTTTTAATCGATTTTTGTTCCAACAATAGCGTTTGCTGCATTCTTTATATCCCCTATAGAGCTATTCCGAACCCGCATGCAATCAGTGGAAGGTGTGAAAGGCTTTCGGTCTGTCTTCAACGGTGTGCAGGCTATGGTCCAACAACATGGCCCTCGATCTTTATGGAGAGGCTTGGTTCCAACCATGTGGCGAGATGTACCATTTTCCGGTAGGTTTGACATGACATATTGATAGCACAACGATCCCACTGTGAATCTGATCACAGCGATATTGTATATAGCGTTGTACTGGATGAGTTATGAGAAGTCAAGATCTATATTGTCTGCGAATGCGGCTCTGCACCAAGGAGCTAGCCCAGAGGATGCATGGAGAGAATTTAAGCTATCGTTTGCATCTGGAGCGATATCTGGCATGGTATGTTGCTGTTCCCATGCACACTATCTAACATAGCAGCCCACTCATTTTGGTGTCTTTTTAGGTTGCAGCTATCTTGACCACACCATTCGACGTTGTCAAGACGCGCCTTCAAGTCAGTAGTCGAGAAGGTAACATCACATCACATTCTCAAGCTCATCCGTTTTTAAACCGAAAAAATGAAACTAAATGAACACTTTCATTTCTTCAGAGAGGCGCATGCTTTTCTCCATAAAGGAAATCTATCATCTTGAAGGCATACGGGGACTCTTCAGAGGTGGGGATGGATAGAGATATGGAATCAAGTTTGACTTTCAAGTTGCTAACCCTTCTGTTATCTAGGATGCATTCCTCGGTTAGCCAAAATTGCCCCCTCATGCGCTATCATGATCAGCAGCTATGAAGTTGGCAAAACATTCTTTGCACGCAAACGCGCGGAAGAATTGCAAAACACACTTACCATCCAACAGACATAATACCAAAAATGTATCATAATTATTCACGCTTGAGCGCAAGACTGGCGGGTTTTTGTTCGTGTGCACGCTACATATACAAATTTATCAGTTGACATTCCCCTTCAACATACATTGACGCCGTTTTGTTAATGTTATTGAAATAGAGCATTTAAAAAAAAGAGTAAAACGTATGGAAAAAGAAAGGCGGATGGTGGGGAGAGACGGGAAAAGGTTCACAAAACACAAAAGAAAACATTGATGAAAAAAAACACAAGCTGATACAAACGAGATGTGTAATTAAAAAAAAGTTGAGCTACTTGATATTCTTCTTGTTCAGTCAGGCAATTGAAAAAGAAAAGAAAAAAAAAGTTTTTTTTTGGTTTTTTTGAGAGGGCTTATGGACCTAGCATTTTGCTAAGATTGATTTATTCCTCGTCCTTGCCATCATGAGCAGCCTTTTCTTTTTCGTAGCGCTTCTTGTCAGTTTCGGCTTGGGCAATGTAAGGCTCCTTGTCCTTGTCAGTCATGGCCTTCCACTTGTCACCCAAGATCTTGCCGATTTGACCTAATAACAACAGAGTTAGCGAGTGAAAACAACCCTCTCAATTCAAACGCGCGCGTGCACATACCGAAACCGGCCTCAGGGTTCTCTTCTTGAACGGTCTTGCGGTGGGCTTGGGAGAAGAACATGTAGGCAGACAAACCACGCTTGGGAGCGCTGGGGTCCTTCTTGGCACGGCGCTTCTTACCGTCGTCAGCGCGCTTGCTAACCTTAGTATCCTTTTTTGATTCCTTTGGCATCTCTAAAAGGTACAACGGAATACTTTAGTACGGAAACGCCTTAAAACGCGCGTTTTCAGCCAAGCTGAGCGCGTTATAGAGTGATTATGATAAGGATAAGTCGATATATAACGAGTACATGCGACTAGTCGCGAGAATAAGCGTGCTATAGCATAGACTGGTAGGCCATAGCTTGAAGAAAAAAAAAAAGTGAGAGAAAAAAAAAACAGAAGGCCCCCAGCTGAGGGTGGGAATGGGGTGTTTGAAGAGGATGATAGGTTGAATGACGGTAATGGAGGTAGAGTGTAAAGTAAAGAGTTTTTGGGGAAGCAGAGAGAAGGTATGAAGGTGACTTCGGGATATGAAGCCTTACTGTCGGGGCCAAAGCGCTCTCCAGCTTAAATAACTTACCAGCGTTTTTCTTGCAAGTGTGAGTGTTAAAGCGTAAAGGGGAGAGTTCAGTGGGCGAAGCGAGCTCACAGCTAAAAAAATTTAATGTGCTGGCCTGCTGGGCTGGGCTGAGTGAACCGGGCCAGCGAAAAAAAAAAAAAAAAAAAGCATGACGCCCCTTGCTACGTTATACTTGCGATTACAGTACGCAATGTACAGCGCGCTGCTTATTATTAAATAATTATTGCCTGACTCCCTTTTCCTTACCCTTGCAACCAAAGCAGAGTTTACTCTCTTCCTTTCTTACAAGTGCATGCTCATAAAAAGATGGCTTACTGAATACTTTGCATTATACCAAAGGATCAAAAAACCATAGACTACAAAAAATGTATAATATAAATAAAATAATTTAAAAAAAAAAAGGCGTGAGATTGCAGTCGTACCACGCACTAACGAACCAAAACAGCAGGCTCGCGATCTCGACTGGTACGGAGCTGCTGCAGTGCTCCCAAGGACTTTTCTTCCCCTTCTCAGTCTGATAATCATTTTTAAGCTTGGAGATTTTTAAAATACGCGTTTCTCATTATTACTTTCTAAGAGAGAAAAATCAAACTAACTTCCAAAGTTTGCAAGATCGGCAAAAGCACTACAGAGAAGGAAACAGCATGAGTGAGAAGCGTGATCAAACACTATCAATTTCCTTATTTTGGCTGGTGACTTACTCAAAATTTGGCCGCTGAGGGTTTGAAGGACTTTTGCTGTTAGCTGGTTGGTTACTGCTATAATCTGTAGAAAAAAATTGCCCGCCTTGTGGCATACTTTGCTGGAATGCTGGTGGTGCCTGATTGAAACTCGTGAAATCATTGTTGTTGCTCCAAGCCTGTTGGCTAGACCCTTCTTGAAACCCTCCCCATACATTTTGGTATTGATTTGCCTGTTGCGGCGGTGGTTGTGGTATCATCCCGCTAGGAGGTCCCATTGCTAGCCCGCTCAATTGCTGCTGGTAGTTTCCAAGGTTGTTAGCATAGCTTGTCGTGGGTTGGGTACTAAGACCACCAGCACTAGCATTTGCTCTTGGACTGTTGTACAACGAGAGAATGGAAGATTTCAGGTTGTTGTGCTTGGAACCCCCATTATCAGCTGACTTAATAGACGCTGTCGACGGTGTATCTGGACGCGATTGTGCTGGCGTCACAGGAGCAGAGGAGGAGTGTCGGATTTCCTCATCTGCCATAGAAAAGAAGTTGGCTCCATGAAGTTGATTGGGAGGTGACGAGGAGTCGGCCACCCGATGAGTTGCAGAGGGTGCTCCTAGAAAAGCGTCGAGATTAGCAAAGTCAGAGCTTGACTTAGGCTTGGGGGCGACAACGGGCTGGACTTGCTGAGAAGGCTGTGCAGTGGCCTGGAGAAACACAGTCCGGCGTGATTAATTCCAAAGGAAATTACCATCTCCAACAACAACAAAACCATCACGTACCGACACAGTTTCAGAGCCATCCCCCAATGTGCTAGGGTCAGGAACAGGACCTTTCATAGCCCATCGCTTATGTTCGTATTTGGCTCGAATCCATCCATCAATGTTGCTTTCTGAAGGCTTTCTATCTTTTAAGTTGGCTTCCCAATAACTGTATTGGATGAAGAATGAGTCCGGTGAAACATCCGCATTCTTCAGCTATTCCTTTACTTACAGAGCAGCTCGTGCGTTACCCCATTTGACCATATTTTCTACCTGGTCTGGTAACCAAGTATCCAAATCCACCGATTTGACTATGATGTCAATGGATGAGTATCAAAGTGGTGTAAGCGCTCCCAAAGCAATTGTCTTCGTACCTTTGCTAATATGGGTTCCCATTGACCGATGAACACCTGAGCATCGTATACAAACGAACACACCGATATTCCAAGATGCCCATCGTGGATCTAAGTAGTAACGGCTGAATGGTTAGTTTTTTCAGGGAGAGGTAAGCAACGAGGGCGACGGTATGAACTGCACCTTTTTTCCTACAGTCTGCACAGTATTTGTTATCAGGCTGCTGTAACAACGACTTTAAAACCTTGGTATTTCGCTCATTGGTGGCCTTGTCTGCCGTACGTAAATGGCGAGTGCTCATCTGTTTGTGATATTTCCAGCCTCAGCGAAAGCGGGATCGAAAGTCCAATTTTGTGTGTGAGAGAGTGTCCCGCTGAGCACGTGTTTCCTAGTGACGTTGCTCCAGCTGGGACTGCTGCTCGAGAGGATGGAAAAGCTGACGCGTCAGAGCACTACTAACTCTATACCTTGGACACTATGGCACCGCAACAAGTCAAACCCGTTGGAGGATTCAGCTTTGAAAATTATACGAGGTGAAACGTCTACCCATAGTTTTGATTTATCTCGATTCCTTCTAAATGGCTGTTATTGCAGAAATGCCGTTTTGGAGACCAAGGGAGCTAAACCACCCAAGGCTACAAGCACAGGCACAACCATTGTTGGAGTCATATACGATGTACGCACTTTTTCTACCCAGCTCTGTCGCTTCATACTCCATATACTAATCTGTTGAACTCAACTATACAGAAAGGTGTCTGTTTAGGCGCTGATACTCGAGCAACTGAAGGTCCAATTGTAGCTGACAAGAATTGTGAAAAGATCCATTACCTCGCCCCAAATCTGTAAGCTCGCTTTCGTCTAATTCCTACATCTTTGGCCATAGCAAAGTGCTCACCGCCCAACTCAATCCTTTTTAGTTACTGTTGTGGTGCTGGTACAGCTGCCGATACTGAATTTACAACCAACTCGATCAGCTCTCAACTCGAACTTCACAGACTCTCTACTGGAAGAAAGACACGAGTAGTTACAGCCATGACCTTGTTGAAACAGATGCTTTTCCGGTAAGCATGTCTACTCATTTAATACACGCTTTATTTTCTTGTTATTGATTCGGCTCCATACCATAGGTACCAGGGACACATCGGAGCAGCTCTCGTTTTGGGTGGATACGACATTAACGGACCTCAACTTTACACTATATATCCTCACGGTAGCACTGATAAGTTACCATATGTTACTATGGGCTCTGGCTCATTGGCAGCTATGAGTGTATTTGAAAGCAAATGGAGACCTAACCTCACGGTAAGCTGATTACGTATTCATGCAGAATCATATCACCTCTAGGCGAAGTCACTAATGTCATTTTTTTTTTTTTAGCGGGAGGAAGCAATTGCTATTGTGAGCGAAGCAATTGAGGCTGGTATTTTCAACGATTTGGGCTCAGGTTCCAATGTCGACGTCTGTGTCATTGAGGAGAACAGCACCGATTATCTCAGAAACCATGTCAGACCAAATGAACGTGGAATCAAGGAACAGAGCTACAGATATCCAAGAGGCACAACGGGTGAGTTCATTGATCTGCAATACTGTAGTACTATAATGAATCAGCACTAACATATCTTATCCGGGTTTAGCAATCTTGAAGGAATCCATAAGAAATTTTGTGGACGTTGTAGAAGGAGATGCGATGGACATGTCTTGAATAAACCAGTTGTGTTATTAAACCGTAATAAGGTCCGACATGTATAACGGGTTTTATCAAATAAATGAAGTGAAATATGGCAGTCTATACAGGTGGGGCACAATATCTAAATTACATCGTCTTTGTTGCCATCGTTTTCTTTGGCACTTTCCAGCTTTTGCCAAAAGCTCTCTTCGACGTCGGCAAGGGTATCCTTTGGGAAGGTTTGAATGCAAAGGTCATTGAAAATTTGATTGTTGTCGAATTCATTGGGAAATGGTGTACAGGCAACCACTTTGACCGCAGGTATCAAGTACGGGCAATCACGTTTTAATTCCCTGTCTAATAACCTATGATTTTTTTCCATGGTGAGTGATTTCATTGGTTCAAGCAACAACAATGAACGATATACCCACCCTTCCGTGTAATTTTCAAACCGGTTGCCAACCACAACAACATTATAGAGCCGGTCTGCGCTCCAGTTCGCTTCCAATGCATTACTATATAAGCTCTTTCCACAGTGCGGCATGTAAAATAATGTCGGCTTTTCCACTGTCCGTCGACAGTACTAAAAACAATCGTTAGCTTGCTGGTTTCATAATTGCAAACAGGTTACGATCAGGTTCAGGCACATACCTCATTGTCTTTTATAACTTCCATATTGTAATGGTCACATACTTTGATATCTAATTCAGTGAAAATGGGATCATAGATGTACAAGGCCCCAGGCAACTGAAATTTTGATAGATCGATATGTGCGTTAGACTTGTCACGTTTACACGAACTTAAAGGCTGGCTACCACATACCTTTAATAAATCTCGCATCAACAACGCCAGAACAAATTGATACTGTGCACTCTTGGATTCTTGGATTGATCCAACGCCGTAACAAATTATATCGTGCGGTGATTCTGCTACGACTTTATCTTGCAACATCACTACCAAGGTATTAGCAAAGTTCACCAAAAAAAAATTTGTATCTCTTCCACTACTTACCGAGTAAATCAGTGTAAAAAGAGCTATCCAAAAGCGCTTCTCTATTTGGAAAGAGAAGTATGAGTGTCATGTCCCTCGAAGTGAGCAATGGCAAGAACAACCAGTCACAGCACACTCACCTTCGGCGATCGAGCACATTAACGACATCCTGAACAGTCCATTCGGAAATGTCCTTTACAACGTTCCTCTTTCTATTGGCGTTCTTTTTGTTCTTTTTGCTTCGGACGGTTTGGTATTTGAATTCCATTCCGAATAGCAGAAGAAGTCCGGTTGGAAGGGACAATTTTTTTGAGAAAGAAAACCGCTGTCCCTGAAAGGCTGAGTTTCAATTTCACGTGACATTAACGGATGGTGGAAGTTCCAACTTTCAGGCGTCGTCACTAAGGGTCAGTCCAACTTGGATTGCTTTCAGTATTTGACGCAGCAACAAGGAAACCAGCTTACCCTTCCGTCTCAACGCCTTGAACTTTAGGATCTGAACAAACATCACCAAATTCCTAATAACTGTTGCTCGGTGCGATCAATCGAAATCCCATTATGCCAGTCACTTCGCGACAGCAAGCTAAACGAGCCGTAGACGAACACGACAAATCGCCTATTGGTTTAGAGGTCGCGAGTCGGAAGAACGGTTACTCAGCCGCTTCAGACCTAGTGTGGGAAGACGTACCTGACGGCGATCTGCACAAGTGCTTGCATCAAATTACCGCCATTGTGTTATCGTAAGTGGATTTGATGGCCGTAATGGGTATGTAGTGGATAGAATGTCCAGTCTCTGACATGTTAGATCGCGCATAGGTTGGATCGCAAAAATATTTTAAGTCAAGCGCAGTCTCAGCCCTCAGCTGAAAAATGGGATATTTCCTTGGAGCAAATAGACCAAAAAATTGCTAGCAAAGAATATTCTAACATAGCTGAATACCAGGTGCGTTACTTTTGCTTATTCCCCCTCCTTCAACCCTAGACTGAACCTTTTACTAACGTCATTAATATATTAGACCGATATGGACCAGCTCTTTAAATACGTGTCCCAATCGTTGGATATTAATTCGCAAGGCCAGCTTATGTCTTTGCTTAATGCTGCTCACCAACTTATTCGAATAGAAACAAAGCGGCTAAAAAGGCATCCACCTGAAGACTCACATCAAGAGTCGGGCGCTGTGGATACTGATAATATGGACGGTGATATCACTATGGATGAAGCTCATAACGGTTCCAACGGGGTGCATACTGAAGAAAATGTATCTGACCAGGAAATACGCAAGGCTTTATTTCAAGTCACTGCAGATGGCTATGTCTTTTCTGAAATGTCCAAAAAACCGCACTGGGCTGGAGAGTCTGAAAATAACCCGACGCTTCGTAAGTCAACTAATGACGTTCATTTACTTAGCGTTTGTTATGCCTCCTTACTTAAGATACCTTTCCTTTCTATGCAGCATCAAATTATCAAGAGGTCGTCATTCATCCGGCTCCATATGAGGAGAAGGAGGTCGTGCCGCTTAGCCAGGCTGTCCCAAATCACGTTGAGCAACACCGACGCATAGATCGATATGAACAACGAATGGTGCCAGGTATGTGCTCTCAACATTACAATATCATGTAGGTTGCGGTCAATTTCCATTGACTTTTACCTCTGATTGAAAATAGTGGAAATGCTGGATTATGGCGCCTTTGCTAGCTTTGCCCCCAAGTATGACTCAAATTCTGCCACAATTTCATTCGAAAGTACCTACATGGCCAAGACCTCTAAACAAGCGTTGCGTGAAGATCAAAAACGAAGAGCTCGCGAATTTTATGGAGATTCATCAGTTGATGCAGCATGGTTAAAAGAGCAAGGTTTTGATGTGGATGCGATAATGGAATCTGTCAAAGACGTCGAAGGGCAGAATGAGGAGACGGATGACATGTCCAAAGCGATTGAGCAGAACGCCCATCTACTAAAACGGCTGGCCGAGCTTCAAGATGAAAGATTTGCTCAACAAGGTAAACCTGGAGGCGCCGTTAACAAGGAGGAACTCAAAATAGGTAGGTTTTTCACAATGTTTTGTTTAGATGGTTCAGGATACATACCAATACATAACTACCTTTGCAGCTCATGCTTTGGAACAGCGGCTGCAAGGAGCGATATCACAAGTCACTCCAAAGGACCTTGTAGATGCAAGTGCCATTGAACGTGCTATGCAGAGAATTCCAGTGAAGGATCCAGTGTACCGTGGCACATTACCGCCTACCAAGTTATTCGCTTTCACTACCGATGATCAGAGATCCAACAGTGTATCAGGATTCCCTGGTCAGTCTGGCGCTCACCAGATGAACGTTAACAACCATTTTCGAAATCGCTAAACGACGATAGCAAATCTTTCTTTCCGCTTCCCCTCTTGCTTTCGTGCAATATAGAGCTACATGTACCATCCACACCAGTTTGAACGCTTCTTTTACATATATAATTATTACTTCTTTTTTTTTTTCTTTCTTTCCAGCGAAGAACTTTTTTATAATTGATATGTGACATCTTTGCTCGTGTTCGTCTACGTCTACAAATTTTCTGTTCGCTTTTGTACATGATATCAAGTATTTGTATGGAACTGAGACATCCAATCGAGGGTATGATGAAACCAGAGAGAGAGACAAGAAGATAGTATATCTCTTTTATGAGTCAACTGAAGTTAGGCTACCAAGCTGGCTTGATCATCGCAAGAGTCGTCGCTGGTAGTTGTTTTCAGGTATTAACCCTGTTTCCTTTTTATACTGTCTATAAGCTTCTCTTATATGATCTGGGCGCATGGGTCCTTCCTCGTTCAAGTCTGACATGACTTCGCGTGCTGTGAACGATATACTTTAAGCCCTTTGATTCCCTTCTATTATGTTAACGCCTAAAAGCAATTTCTTGAGCCTTACCTTTTTCTATGATCTCACCAACGAAAACCTTTGCGAAACCAGCAACTGCAAGTGCCATTGTCGGAGAGCACGGCTGATTCAGTACCTGACTGACCAGCTACTCGCATATCGATGTTATTGAGTGTTCTCTTGTTCCATATTAAGATTATTAACAAAGCCTCACCTTTCGAACGTTGTTTTTGTTGAATCCAGATCGACTCCAGGCTTCAAAGCGAGCCATTTGTTCGTCGGAAAAACTTTCCATCAACAACCTTGAAATTGACTATTAGGAAAAGCGAGATACTGTATGTTCACTCGAGACTCAATAAAATACCTCATATCTTGCTTTCGGCGATCCAGTTCGGATTGAATCATCATTCTCATATCGAAATCATCCACCCCGAGGTCTTTGGTTTCTTCTTCACTCTCTTCACCAGCATCTTCTTCAGCCACCTTTTCCTTCTCTTCCTCATTTGGAGGAGCTTGTGAACTGCCTCTTTCGCTGATTGTTTCGTCATTGTCTGCCTCCGAAGGTCCTACTGAGGGATCGCGTGATAACCCACGTACTGGTGGTGTACTTGCATTACGTTTAACAACTCTCTTCCCTGCCGAAGATCCAGCTCTCTTTAAGGACGGTGAAGACGCTTTAGCCTTACTGGATGCTGAAGACGTTGAGGATTTGCGTTTTATTTGCCCTGGTGCTGCTACCGGTGATGTGCTTAGATTCATGGATGTGAGTTAGGCGAAAGGTAATCGAGTGGTGGTTTCGTGACTTCAAAATTTTTCTGCGCTCCAACTGACCAAAAGGAAGAAAATGCGAACGACTGCGCTTTTACTACATATTGAATTGAAACAATAATCATTGAAATATTATTACAGCACTCCCATGGTCATTCGCTCTGTATGGTATGTAATGTGAGTATTTAACGCTTGGATATCGTAATTTTTCGATGAGTTTGCTCTGTATAGCTCCCATTTATTTACCGCATTGACGTTCTTCCCGATTTTATTTTGCGATTGATGCATTATGCTGACTCTTTCTTTAGAAAAAAAAAAATTAAGGCTAGCAAAGCAAGCATGCTATTTAATTGTGATAGTGTTCTAAAAATTGTCATGTAATAAAAAAACTTATGATAAAAGCCTTTTTTCTCACAATTTTAATGAGTTCATTTACAAAATTCATTTGATATGATTACAAGCATTAGGACAAAGTGCTTTTACTTTGACACCACTTCACATAATCAAGAGATGATTTAAAAATAATAAAACGCGTCCATGCACAAAACGAAAGCTACATAACTGTAGTCAACCAAAGTATGAACAGATCACAGAAGTAAGTCAGAGAATAATAATAATTAAGATTATTTAATAAGTGGGATATACCACAGGTAAATCAAGTGTTGGAAAAACGGCAATTTTCTAGCGGATTGGCTTTCGAAGCAAAATTCAGCTGTAAAGCGTTCCGGTATAAAGAAAAATGCAATGGCAAAGAGTGCCAAGTAACCTGCGACAAAGTATGAAGGCCCAGATTCACACCACAATGAGCAAAGAGGCTAAGTGAAGACAAGCATTTGGCGCTTCTTAGTGGTCACAGCATTATTTCTGGCTTGAGGTTCCATTCAAAGTGTCCGGAAACTGTCGAAGCAGTGCATTTCAATTCGACTTTTGTTAGGTCATTGTTATTTCTCACTTTCCGATGTCTTACTATCTTTTATTAGAGCTATAAGCATTGGAATTAGAGTTGGTTCTGATTGATACGAGGTTACAACCTTGCATCCGTGATAAGCCCTCGACTCATTTCACAAGCAAGATGGACATGCGGATTACGTATCATGTTCTAACTCTCATAGCCATGTCATATAAATAAGCTCTGAGCTCCAAAAAATATATTACTTGGAAGGATTTTATAGGAATTTCATTGATCGGATGTCTATATATCTGAGTCGCGTTCGGTAAAGAAATTTTAAGAATAGGACTACACCCGTATATGCAGTCTAAACATGCCAGACATGATGTTGAACCCCACCTATGCGACCAAGCTAACCATCCGAGTGCTAGCTGACTAAATGTGCAAAAATGTATTCGGCATTAAATGATCGAAACCCGTAGCACAAATCACACCAGGTTCAAGGTAGAGAAGGATATAGTCAGAGAGGTTGCGCTTAAAGTACCTATTGGTACGACCGAGGTGGGGCACATGCATTTAGCCATGAAACAACCGGCGTCGAAATTGGCAAACCAAGTACTGTAGCGTCTGACACTCAAATTTAAAGTAGCCATAAGAGCTAGAATGTTTCTGCAAATTCATCGTTCTATGAGCCAGTTACCTTAAGAATAAACTCGAGGAATTACGAAAAAGAAACTGTCAAGTTTCCTCAAGATTAAAGAGACCACTAGATAGAGAACGAAGAACAGCAACAAAGAAGTCTAGTTGTATTCAATAGCAAGCTAAATATCGTAAAACATATTATTGAAGCATGAGAGAGGAGATTCCCAAGTTTAACGTATCTGACCGCTTACAAAGGTTTTAATGACCCAAGATATTTAAAAAAATATTACGAACTATGATGGCTGTATCTTATCTCATGTCCCTTCTGAGTTATATCCACTCTAATGAATATTGTGATACAAGGTGACTCACTCAATTGAGGGAGTCATGGTGATCAATGCTCTATTGGAGCTCTTCTAAACTATAAATAAGACTAAATTTAATTTGTATATAAAGCTTCAAGTTTTTATTTGTTACCTTTTATGCTTGTTATACTACATCATGGATATTTGGCATTCATATCAACGTAAAAAAGCTGATTACTTATAAAATTTGAAATATATTATAAGTATTTTCAAAATCCCCAACCGAAGCGGGTTTAGCTCAGTTGGGAGAGCGTCAGACTGAAGATCTGAAGGTCATGTGTTCAATCCACATAACCCGCATTTTTGCCTACTGCTAGTTAATTTTTACCCTTATAATTTTGCTATATTTTATGCCATAAAACTAACTAGTTTTGTGAATTTGAATTATATCAAAGTTATTCACCTTCTTGAGGTCAGACTTATATTTTATTTTGACCTTTGGGTGGATGACACGAAGAATACCTACACTTCTGAATTGGCGAAATCGCCCTAAGTACCGGAGCTTCAATTGCGCGCTTGACTGCTTACGTTTCCTGGTCAAGTTGACGTGCAACCTTCTTCTCGCTCACAATGTCAAACACAGGGAACCAGTACAAGTTGGAATGCTCTTTGCATGGGCACGAGTCGGATGTATGTACTTTTTAGCCGTGCGCACTTGCTTTGTTCTCTTTTCACTGACCCCCACCTTCAGGTCCGAGCTGTCCTTCCTTTGAGCAATGACGTGGTTATTTCGGCGGCAAGAGACAAGACCGTCCGTTCATGGAATCGTAACAAACCCAATGACTTTCAAGAGGACAGGCTGTATTCAGGCCATACCAACTATGTCAACGCATTAGCTTACTTACCGCCAAATGAAGATCATCCTAATGGTAAATATCAGAACGACCGGGTCAAAAGACTTGGGTATTGTGTGAGTCCGCTAATACGTGTTCGACCTTCCGTAGGTCTCATTGTTTCCTCTGGAGCTGGAAAAGTCATCCATGTTCACGATGTTGATCGTCCCGACGAGCCTGTTTACACTTTGATCGGACATGAAAAGACCGTCTGTAGCTTAGCAGTAACATCTTCAGGAGACATAATATCAGGATCTTGGGATCAGTAAGTTCAATTGATGCCATCGTATGCAGCATTGGACGACTTACTAAATCTAAGACAAAATAAGCACGGCTATTGTTTGGAAGAACTTTCAGCAAGCATATGTACTTCGAGGTCACGAAGAAGCAGTTTGGTCCGTTCTACCCGTAAAGGAAGATGTCATCCTGACAGGTACTATACAGAAAAACATATAATGGGAAAGGACATTATTCTAACGTGATGAATCCAATAGCTTCTGCAGACAAAACCATCAAGTTGTGGACCAATGGCAAAGAAAGCCGAACATTCACTGGTCACACTGGCGTTGTCAGAGACCTTGCTTTGCTTCCAGGACAGGGTTTCGTTTCTTGCTCGGCTGATTGGTAAGCATACACATTCACAAGGTGTGAGAGGGGTAAAATGCATCACTAATAACATGGATATAGTACAATAAGAGTATGGTCCTTTTCCGGACAAACTTTACTGGAGCTAGTCGGCCATACAAATTTTGTGTATTCTGTAGCAGTTTTATCTACTTTAGAGATCATCTCCAGTGGTGAAGATGGCACTATACGATTGTGGAGAGGTAGGTCGAATGCGAGGAGTGAAAAACTTTACCTTATCGTGCGAAATGGCTCACATTATTTTAGATGGTGAATGTGTTCAAACTATCCAGCAACCATGTTTATCCGTATGGTGTATCAATGCCCTACCAAACGATGATATAGTGGTCGGAAGTAGTGATGGCGTTGTGCGACTTTTTACAAAAACAACCGATCGTTGCGCGGACCAAGAGACACTCAAAGTACGTTGTGGTGGATACTTTAGATATGATAGGAACGATTGAATGCTAACCATCCAATTGGTTTCATGCACATAGCAATTTGACGATTTGGTAGCCAGCCATGCAATTCCATCGTATGTATACAATTTTCATTCATATGCATTGCTATCCATCCTATCGTATACAAGCTAAGATATCTGTGTGTAGTGGTCAAATTGGTGACATCAAGAAGGATGACCTTCCAGGAGAGGAAGCTTTACAGGTACCAGGGAAAAAGGAAGGCCAGGTCATCATGATTCGCAACGGTAATATTGTAGAGGCACACCAGTGGAGTACAGCTGCATATGAGTGGCAAAAGGTCGGAGAAGTTGTAGACGCAGTAGGCTCCGACAAAAAGCAAACATACAAAGGCAAAGAATATGATTACGTTTTCGACATCGATATCAGTGGAGATGACCAACCGGGCAGTATGCTAAAGCTTCCATACAATGTTACGGGTATACTATGTGCTTTACTGTAGGTACGAAACGAAGCAACGTCTAACATCACAACTTTTGTAGATAATCCATACGATACTGCACAAAAATTCATTTGGGAACATGAGCTCTCACAGGGGTTCTTGGACCAAATCGCAAACTTTATCATTCAGAATGCGAAAGGCGTTGAACTTGGTATGAATAATACTGAATATGTCGACCCTTATACTGGTGCATCCCGATACACCCCTGGTAATCGAGCTGCTAGCACATCTACATCATATTCTGATCCATTCACAGGTATACTTCATCTTTTCTTTGGTGCGACAAGCGCTCATATGACTAACATACTCCGTAACAGGCGCATCTGCTTACAACTCAACGCCTACCCCAAAGCCAGTTGCAGCCAAAATTCTTCCACAGGTAAGGAGACAACTGAGATAAATAAGGATCATTACCGTGAAAGAATTACCTTGTCTAATAATTTAATATCAAGCGCTCACCGCTGCTGTTTAAACAAGCAAGTCTCGCTGCTCTCCGTCAAAAGCTTATTACCACGAATGGTCAGTTAGATCCCGAAACTGCTCTTTCACCGGAGCAGTTCGAACATGTCTTAAGTGGCGTGCAGTTTCTGCAAAATCCCACCGCTAGTGCTAATGGACAGGAACAACGAAGTGCAATCGAAGCCATAGCCAAGATGGTCACTACGTGGCCCGTCGATCTTAGATTCCCCGGACTGGACCTTCTTAGATTATATGCACTATATCAACCTGCATTAATCATTGCCTGTCTCGCTGACTCTGACTTGGAGGCGTTCTTTAGAGTTTGGGCTAATTTGAATGACCTGAGCACGGTAACTGCACCCGTCAACAAAACATTGGAAACCAACTATATGCTAGCCGTGCGAACCTATGTCAACCTCTTCGGTAGTGACGCTGGATTGGAGTACATCAAAAGTCACCAGCTAAGCATATATAGCCTACTATTGGCTGATGGAGCATGGCAATCGTTCAAGACAAAGAACTTCCGTTTGGCAATTGCAACCCTATTTCTAAAGTAAGTTGTTTAAACAAATGCGGCCATGAATGAAGCTGAAGTTGAAACTGACCGCATACTACGTCAGTTTCTCCGTATTAGCCACTACTTCCAGCCTTGAGGAAGAAGGTGAACTGCTGTTGGTGCAAAACCTTATCGAGTACCTCAAGAGTGAGGCTGACGAACAAAACGTCTACCGTGCAGTTGTGGCCATAGGAACATTGGTAAGACAGAGGTTTTTTGAAATGGGGGTGTGAAACGTTCCTTGATTGGAAAAAGTCCTAATGTCCCTTCGTAGGTGACCCAGTCATCCACTTCCCGGGAAGCAGCTGTTGCGTTTGATGCCCGAGTAGTGCTGCAGGCTGTCGGCCACCAGCAAAAGGGTCAACAGATTAGCCAAGCACTAGGTAAGTCTTATATACATAAACGATACAAATTCTATTAATGGGAGGAATAGAATGGACGCTAATGACCTTCTGTAGGCGAACTGGACGTCCTTTTCCGGAAAATGTCCCTTCAAAAGCAATAGTTCGGGTAATACAGAACCGTAAATCCCCGCATTCGGGGCATTCTCCAAATAAATATCCCGTGCTGGAAAAAGCGGACCTGAACAATGGCATAGTCGGAGTGCATTCTAAAACCCATAAAAACTGAGTCTTGTGTTAGTGTCTTGCAATTTGCTCTTTCTGGAATTTACAAACAACCATGACTGACAAAGTTAATGTATTGATGATTGGAACCGGTGAATACACCACCGGTTATGTGAACGGAGGATCGTCTACTTCCGACAAGAAGGTGGGAGTGGTTGCACTTACCATGTTTGACCTTCGACGCCTTGGTAAAGTTGGAGAAATATCCATGGTTGGCACAAATGGATCAAAGCTACCTGCTATCCGCGAGCATTTAAACAAGAATATTGGCCAAGTCTACAATATGGACACGAGCTTGACGACATATCCTGGTGATAATGTCACAGATAGGGAATCCTGTAAGTTGCGAGCGAGTTTCTCCAATGTTGACCACAAAAGTGTTCTATATGCTGACGTGGAAGGTTGATGGCTATAGATAAGGGGGCTATTGACGCTTTGAAAGCTGGAGATGCCATTACCATTTTCACACCGGATCCAACTCATTATCCTATTGCTCTGTATGCTATACAGCGTGGTATCCACGTTCTCTTGACCAAGCCTGCTGTTAAGCTTCTTCACGAGCATCAAAACCTGATCAACGAGGCAAAGAAGAACAATGTCTTTGTTATGATTGAGCATCACAAGCGATTCGACCCAGCTTACGCAGATGCTAAGGGAAAAGCCGCTGGACTCGGACCTTTCAACTACTTCTACAGCTACATGAGTCAGCCAAAATTCCAACTAGAAACATTCAGAGCTTGGATTGAAACCAAGGAATCTGATATCAGGTAAAGTGGTTTTATGATGGGCATGATGTACAAATAGGGCTATGGGCTAACGATTGAATGTTCCTAGTTATTACCTCAACTCACATCACATTGATCTTCATTGTTGGATGGTGGGAGATCGAGGAGTACCTTACAAGGTTACAGCTTCAGCAGCCTCAGGTGTTGCTACTTCAGAGCCCTTCAACATGGTGGAAGGAACAGAAGATACCATCACTTTGCTGGTCAATTGGCGCTCTACAGACGAAAAGGCACCCACAGAAGGAACCGCTGTATATACCTCATCCTGGACCGCCCCCGCTAAATCAGAGGTGCACTCTCAGCAATATTTCCATTATCTTGGTTCCAAGGGAGAAGTCAGAGTTGATCAAGCCCATAGAGGATACTCATATACCACTGATAGCACTGGCTTTGCTAATGTCAATCCATTCTACATGAAGTACACTCCCAGTGAAGAAGGCTTTTTTGATGGTCAGCGTGGATATGGATACGTGTCATTGGAGAAATTTATTGATAATTGCCAGAAGATCAATGCAAAGACCGTCACTGTTGAAGACTTGGATAAGCGCGGTTTACCCACCATCAAAAACACCGAGTTGGTTACCGCTATTCTTGAAGCTGGTCGCCGTAGTTTGGATGAAAAACGATCTATTGAACTCAAGAAGGATAGCAACGGTGAATGGGTTCTTGTGTAAATACACTGTTTTATACTGTTTGAAAAAATAAAAATGAAAAAAAATATCCATTAAGAAGCCCCTTGCATCAAAAAGGCGCGGTTTAAATCACATGTTTTAAAAAAGTGAGATTACGGTGAAGTCATTTTGTCGTTCGTTATCCTGGTTGTTGCGCCATGCTTAGACTGTTGAGCCGAGATTCTCGGTCGGGTTTGGCCCACCGTCAACCGTTTAGACGTCCTACAACTAGTAATGCATATACCTCGCCAACCCGAAGATCCTTTACTCGCTCAACTATTCGGAGAACGGAGCAAGAAACCGCTGCGAAGGAGACGGAGTCCATGGTGAGCAGTTTATGATGTCATGTAGGTAGTGGCCATGTCATAGAAATCTCTAATAATGGTTTACAATGGAAGTCTATTGGAGGACCTATACATGAGCAAGAGTAAGTGACTTTTACTCCTGATATTGTAACGAAACAAATACTTAAACATGTTTTCAACAGAGCATTGATGTATCTGGATAACACGTTTCCACTGCGTGTTGGATTTTGGGACGTGCGTCAATACTTGTTTCGCAATACTGAGAATTCGATCAAGTCAAAGATTGACACATTGGTGCCTAAGGACAAGATCCCTTGTAATTTCGAGGTCGAACATGCTATCCCACGGTAGGTGAAAAGCCATGTTGTTTATGTCGCGACGTCCTGAGGAAACATCATTTAAATTGTGATACCACAGAACAAAGGACGGTGGTGCTTTTGTGCAATTCAAGTACAAGTCTGACACACAAAGTGCTTTGTCGGCTCCAAAAGTCATTATGAAGCATGTTACGGAACATCTGAAAGAACACAATACCATCACTTACTTCAACTTTCAACCTGTACGAGCGTTTCTTGTCAAAGGAGAGCCTTTTATGGAGGACATTGTATCTCGGTACCCTTCATTGAAGCTGAAAGTTGAATTTCAAGGTCCTGACTTGACCATCGAGCAATTGTACAATAACTTTCGTCCGTACGGAAGAATCTTCGATATCTCTATCTTGAGTCCAGCCTCTAAAGAACTTCCACGATATGCTATGATTCAATTCACACGCATGCGTTCAGCAACAAGTGCCAGAAACTGCTTACATGGTTTGAAATTGGAAGGCACTCGACTTAATATTGGATATGAAAGTCAAATGGTAAAAATGACTTTGAATATGGAAAAGGGTGGTGTGACAATGGGGCTGACATGATATTGATTACAGCGCACCAACATCTTCAAACAATGGGTCGTGGATCATCCTCGTATCACCATCCCAGTCGCTGCTGCATCCTTGGCTGGTGTTACTTATGTTATCTTCGACCCCGTTCGAGTGTTCTTTATTCACGCAAAGGTTACCCAACGATTTAATCCTGATGAATATGCATTGTACCGATGGCTGCGTAGAGAAACCTGGGCCAGGTTGATGAGTCATGGTGGAGATGATGGTACTACCGATGCTGGAGCATGGGCTGACAGAGAAGAAGATGGTCAAAAGATTAAGGAATGGCTCAACGAAAGCCCTGGTAAGTTTCATCATGGAGACAGATCGATCGTGTACCTCGTTTTGGCGAATATTGACATGGTAAATCTGGGTTTCAGAAACATTCATTGTGATAAGCGGACCAAAGGGAAGTGGAAAGTCTGCCTTGATTAAGGGAGCGACGGACAAGAAGAGGTATGTAACCGGAAGCAGGTACCGCCAATGTTGATGACTCTATGCTTATGATTCCCAATAGAAATATCATTCGCATTCAAGGAGAAGAATTGGCCAACGCCCGAAACAAGAACGAGATCACCACTATCCTGGCCAAACAGCTGGGTTACTATCCAGTTTTCACATGGATTTCATCATTCAATCAACTTATCGATACCCTTGTAACCGCAACGACTGGACAGAAGGCAGGGTTATCGACCACGCCCGATAATCAAATCAAGCAAATCCTCGAAATTGCAGCAATCGCATTGCGCAAGGTGTCTGCTGACATTGACGCTCAGCGTCAAGAAAACTCTATTGATGCCAAGAAACCTTGGTGGAAGACCCTCTTCTCCAAAGTAGAGGAGAAGGACGAGAAGGATCACAAAGACGATGGAGGTGAAGACAACAGCGATTTACCTATAGTCATTATTGATAACTACTTGTTCAGAGAGACAAGTGTTAGTTCAACACTGTGGGATGAGCTAGCTGAGTGGTCTGCAGTTTTGGTGGAAAATGGCATTGCACATGTCATCTTCGTAAGTGCCAATGTCGGTATCACAAAGAGCTTAGGCAAAGGTAAGTTCAGTAGCAATGCTTAGTGCTTTGTAAATCGCACAATTTTCTAACATCGTCCGAAATCTAGTTATGCCAAACAAGACATTTGAGAGTATTCTCTTGTCAGATGCTCCCTTGGAAGCTTCCATTAACTATGTCAGCAAGCACCTGGGTTTGTAGACATTTCATGACACAAAAGTTCTCATAAGCTGGAAAATATGCACATAATTAATTCCTATTTTTTTTTTTCACGATAGACGACTACGAGGGTGATGAATCATTGCAGCAAGTTGTGTCTGTTCTAGGTGGAAGATTAACGGATCTTGAACTGTTGGTGCAGAAGATGCGTGCTCATCTCACTCCAGAAGGTATGAAGTAATTTTGATCTAAATTGTTGGCTGAAAATCCCACTGAATGAGAATATATGGTGTTATACAGAGGCGCTCAATGATATTGTTCAGCGCAACATGATCGAAATTCGAAAGTACGGTTTCGGAGAGGACCTCAGTGATACCGAAGATTTGTCCTGGACTGGCATTCAGTTCTGGCAAGTCGTTAAACTACTGGCAACCACCAACACTGTAAGTACTCTGGTAGCTTTGGCGCATACATTCTTCCTTATACACAGTACTTATTCCATCTTGGTGCTCAGATAAACTATGAAGAGTTGAAATGGGGTCCCTTCTTCAAAGGTGCGGACAAGCCATTCCAAGGAATGGAGCACTCTGAACTTATCACCATTGTTCACAAAGATGGTGAGAGCTTAATCATTTTCATTTGTTTGCTCACATTAGCAGTATACTCAAAATGTCTATTTTCACGCTCTAGGTTGGCCACATTCAATTCGACCTGGTAAACCAGTTTACCAAGCAGCATTTGACCGTCTCAAGAACGAGCCAGTCTTCGCTGCAACAATGGATTTGCAATCTTACAACTTCTTAATAACAGCGACAAAGGAAGACATCAAATCTTATGAAGAGGAAATCAACAAGCTATCCGCACCATTTTCTGGAAGACCTCCCAGAGAGGTGGAAAGCAGAATCCGCTATCTTCTTCAAAAGTTGGCAGATGGCCAGAAAGCTATCGAGGGATATGAAAGCCAAGTTAAAATTGCCAAAGATACCATATCCAAGCGATGGTCAGATGTGTAGAGGGCGGAGATGTATGAAAGTATTAGCACTAAGGAATAATAAATGTCAAATTTCCTAACGGTATAGTCAATCCCACATCAAGAATTACAATATAGTCAAGCTAATAAGCGACCACTAGCAGAGTGTAATTGCAGGAGAGGAGAGAACGGGGGTTATGGAGAAACAGCAATTTTGTACTGTGAAATTGGGCGGCGCTGGTCAATTTCGAGATGGACCGATTCAGGGTTATTGAATTACGACAGTTCTCGGAAGAATAATAATCATTGTATTCGCAATAGGAATGTAAGACCCTCTTTGTTCATTGTTTCGTTTCGTATCTTGATTTTCTTGGTTGGTAGAACTTCCAGCCTAGCCAGCATTCTGGCCAAATAATCACAATAAAGATGACAGCTTCGACACTCCCGGCAAACCAGCCTTGCTATCCACCGTCTAGAAAAAAGCAATCGTATGAAGATTTGATGAAATCGCCTGCAGACTCTATAGATGTGCCAAACGAAATATTGCTTGCCCGGTCGCCAACAAAAGGAAAATCCCCAGCTCGTTCTGAGCCTATGTTCGTTGTGGATTTTGACAAGCCATTAAATGACTCTCCCGGCGGTACATACATATACAAAGAGATTTTAGCTTTGTCGCCAGTTGGACAAGAGATCAATTTGAGGTTCAACAAAGATAGAACCAACAGCCTACCCATATCTAAACCGTCACTAGTAACCGCCATATCTGAATTACCAGATCGACAGCCATCCATCTCCAGTAAATCATCGGAGTCTGGATCAAGTATGGCTGGCAAAGTGTTAAATCTGCCCGCACCCACAGCTGAAAATATTCGTGTATTGAGAGACCAGGCCCGGGCACACAATGATCCAGACCAGCTTTTAGCATTTGCATTGTATCTGATAGATACTGTGTCTCAAATTACCATTGACGAACAAGACACTAAACAAGGCGCCAAGACTCGAGAACGAATGGTCCTCGAAGCTCAAAAAATCATCAAGAAATTGGCAACCCAAGGCTTAGGAATTGGCAAAACTGCATACCCTGAAGCACAATTTTACCTCGCAAACTGTTATGGGAGCGGATCTATTGGGTTGCCAGTAGACTATGATAGAGCATTTTCTCTATATTTACAAGCATCCAAACAAAATCATCCACCGGCAACCTATCGCACCGCCGTCTGTTATGAAATTGGTGCTGGTACCCGTCGAGATTACAATCATGCTATGCAATTTTATCGAAAGGCAGCAAATCTTTCATACACCATCGCGATGTACAAGCTTGGCATGATATTACTGAAAGGTCATCTAAATCAGGCTAAGAATCCTCGCGAGGGCATATTTTGGCTCAAGAGATCAGCTGCCGCTGCTACTGAAGACACCCCACATGCTTTACATGAGCTTGGATTGGTGTATGAAAAAGACGTCAGCTCAACTGTTATCGCAGACGAGCGATATAGTTTCGAGTTGTTTTCCAAAGCCGCACATCTAGGATACGCACCCTCCCAGTGTAAGTTGGGAACATGCTACGAATATGGCTTACTACAATGCCAGGTTGATGCCTCATTATCAGTGCTCTGGTATAGAAAAGCAGCCGATCAAGGTATCACAGAAGCAGAGCTAGCTGTTTCAGGTTGGTACCTGACAGGATCTGAAGGTGTCATTGAACAGAGTGACCATCAAGCATATTTATGGGCTCGAAGAGCAGCAGACAAAGGAGAACCTATGGGAGAGTTTACAGTTGGCTATTATACGGAAATCGGGATTGGTATTACCGCCGATGTGGAGGAAGCCAAGCGCTGGTATATGCTAGCCATGTCCCGAGGTAACCAAAAGGCTGTGGATAGATTAAAAGAGCTCAAGAGAATAGCTGCAGGTCGATCACAAGTAGAGAGTAGCGTAGAACAGAAGAGTTGTGTAATAATGTGAACCATTTTTTTTTATCATTTTGTTTTTGTCCATAAACATAAAGCATCAATACGTTCATTTATGTTGTAACAGCCTGAAGGTTGTTTGAATGCACAAAGTCATGGTGATTGTTTTTTTTTTTTTTCGTTTGTTTTAATAGCCAGAAGAAGAAGGGTATATCGCCATTGCCTGCGAAAAAGATCACAGTTTGGTAACGAAGCAATCATAAGATGGAATGCATCTAAATTACAAAGGCAGAACATCTTGCTACGGTACAATCTTGTAACAGATATTTGAATTCATCTGATCAAGAAATAAAAACGCAGCGTATGAAATCAAACTTATTCTTTCGATACTCCATTTTATACACAAAAAAAAAAATTAAATCGTCGCGCTGTTTCAACTGATGCTCTTCAACAAAGCGAAAGAAATCAGTGTCACTTTTAAAGCCTGAGCACGGCTGGTTCTTCCATCTAACAGAGCATAGAAACATTGTTTTCAGTGTTCAAGTACAAACTCATAAATAAAATATACAAGACTTTAAAATGAAATTGCTCATTGACAAAAAACTACCCTTACAGCGTGGGTTCAACTTAAGTATGGAAACGCCTATGACGTTGCACCGGCCTCCCCGCTTGCAACTGGTTTCCCACTTTTCCTTCTCAGCTCCTTCATCGTCATCTTCGTTGTCATTGCTACAGTCTAAATGCCTTCGGCAGCTCTCTCATCCGCCGAGGACAAGAACCGTATAAGAAGAGCGTTACCTAATACGGTACGTGTATTTTCTTCTCTGCTGTTAGAATTCCTTCACTCGGAAATTCTGCAATCCAATCCCGCCAAGCTAACACGCTAAGCCTGCTGCAAATTTGCCCTTTTATTACAGAAAATCTTCACGGCAACTGTTGCTCGACTGTATGTAGCCTACCCTAATCCTCAGCGATGGAGTTATACGAATATATGGGGTGGTTTAGTATTTCTAGTCGACAAGAAGCGGAGGAATGCGTTTTTTCTTCGCATCGTTGACCTGAAGGTAAGGATTTCTTGAATACTATATGATGATCAAAGCTCTATATGTGCCCATCAAAAGAGAACTAATCAATCTTTACAGAATCATCCAGCTGTCATCTGGGAACAGGAACTGTATGATGGCTTTGAGCTGAAAATGGATACACCGTTCTTCTTTACATTTACAGCCGATGTAAGTAATTTTTATGCTTCCAGGAGCGTGTTATAGAAGCGAATGGCATCAAGATTGAACCTCGTTATTTCAGGAATATGTTGCTGGTCTATCGTTTACCGACGAAAATGACGCTCTAATTCTGCACAAGAAACTGAACAGTCGAATGGCATTGAACGTCAGAGCCACAAAGCCCGCCGGTAAGTCACAAACGTCGAAGTCAGTTCATGTATGTTTTTGTTCGTGACATTAACTTTAAGCATTATATGACGATTAGATAAAGGTAAAAGCGGGAAAGGGAAAGGAAAGCTGGACAAAACTCAGATTGGACTTCCAGCCGACTTCCGACACTTGGGTCATATTGGGTACACTCCAGAAAAAGGATTCAGTGTGCAGAACAATGATCCTGAATGGCAAGGCGTTTTCGAGCAGTTGACGGCTTTGGGTATTTCAGCGGAGGAAATTCACGAGAATGAAGACTTCATCAAAGATTTCGTAGAGCAAAGAGGAGGACCGGCTCAAGCAAAGCCTAAAAAAGCTCCCCCGCCTCCTTCACGACCAGGATCTCGCAATCCTGCTCCAGCTGCAAAGTCTAAACGTCCACCACCTCCACCTCCACCTCGCGTTGGAGGACGCCGTCCACCGCCTCCACCTCCTCCATCGCGTAGAAGTGCTCCACCCCCTCCTCCTCCCACGCGACCCATGTCGCATGCACCAGCTCATTCACCCAGACCAGCGCCGCCTTCTATGATGAGTCCATCGCAACCTAATGGGATGGCTTCTCCGAGATCGAACAATCCTTACAAATCTCGAAGTGCTGCACCTAGCACCCCATCCATTTCAACACCACCTCCTCCGCCGCCACCGCGAGTAGAAGAACAGCAGCCAACTTATTATGAGGATGAATACAATGAATGGCCGGCCGAGCAACATGAAGTGTCCTCACCAGCACCTCCGCCACCGCCGTTGCCGCCATCTTTCTCGGCTCAGCCACCGTCTCGGCCACAACCTGATAGAGCCCCATCTTCATCGGCACAATCGCGCCCAGCACCCCCTCCGTTGCCTCCTATGCCAACTGGACGAGGTGCTCCACCGCCACCACCTCCGCTACCAAACCGGCAAAAGGATCGTGGTCCTCCACCCCCTCCACCCGGTCCACGTATACCAGCTTCTTCTCCAGCTCCCGCGTCTACTCCAGATTATGATTATCAAGCTGAGCAGCAGCAAACCTCTGCTCCTCCTCCCCCACCACCACCTCCGCCTCCCCCGCCATTTTCTCCTCCTCAGCAGGGTGGAGCACCACCACCACCACCACCACCTCCTCCTCCTCCGCCAGTTGCTGGAGCGGGTATGCCACCACCACCACCTCCTCCTCCACCGGTTATGAGCAGTGCCTCATCTTCGGAAACACCACCGTCGATATCTGAAATTCTTCCACCGGAAGCTTCTTCTGGTGGCCGTAACGCTTTGATGGATGCCATTCGTGGTTCAGGTGGTATTGGTGCTTTACGTACTTCCAAATCTCAACCTCGCGAAGAATCTCCAGTTGATTCACCTTCTATGAGTAGTGGTAGTGATCTGACTAACAGCTTGATTGCTGCCCTCAAAGATCGTAAAAAGGCTATTCAATCTGACGATGAAGAAGAAGAAAGTGGCGGTGAATGGGATGATGATGATGATTTCTAATAGTTTTATAACCGTCTAGTCTACAGTAGTTAATGGCTTATTGAACACATGTTGGGGGAAAAATAAATACGTCGATTTTATTACAATATTGCGAAGAAAAAAAAGGGTGTTTGGAGAAAGGAAAATATTACGTACGTTTGATACAGGAAGTGAACTGGACTAGAGAAAGATTACTGGTATGGTACAGCTGGGGGTATATTGCGTATGGGGGCGGGCAATCCCACGGGTTTATAGAGGAAAGGCTAGGAACTAATTTATAGCTTTGCGGATCCTAGGCCGTTCCAAGTGCTGACCGAGCCTTGAAAGACGAGCTGTTGCTTCAGCCTGCTCAGCCTTCAGCAATTCAATCAATGCAGCCAGCTCTTCCTCTAGCTCGGCATTTCTATTCTTGAGTGACGTATTTTCATTCTGCTCATCCTTCAAAGAAGTTCGAAGGTCAATAATCTGTCCTTGTAGTTCCTTTTGCGAGGCAGAGTGTGCAGCTTTTTCGTCACGTAGATCTGTCTCCAATTTATCACGCTCCTGATCCTTATCTTTGAGATCATGTTCAAGGTTCTTTGCCTTTTGCGTCATGTTTTCCAGCTTGGACTAATGAAAGGAAGGCATAGCAGTGTTAATATACGTTGCACAAGTATCGCTTCGCTTGGCAAACAGTTAGATTCCTTTACCTGAAATTCCTCTTTTGTGCTTTCGAACTGCTTTCGCAGGAGAGCTCGCTCCTCAAGCTCGTTTCGTCGCGTTTCCTCTTCTTTCTGCATAAAGTGATCGAGCTGTCGCTTCAGTTCTGCGATTTCCAAATCTTTTTCGGTGGTATCTGCCGCTTTCTGAATATGCATTTCAACCTCGTTTTCGAGCTCCTTTATTCTGCGATCCTTGACAATGTCGCTTTCCTCAAGAACATCCACTCGCTCGCCGAGGGCCTTATTCTCTTCGTCATAATCCTTCAACTCGTTGTGCAGTTTGTTGATCATGGCAATTTGAGCGGCGTTTTCTGTTGTGAGAGAAGCAACGCTCTCTTCTTTCTCCTTTTGAACGGCTACAAGCTTGTTTTGCTTCTCCTGTAGCTCTTCCTCAGCAAGCGCAAGTTTTTCTTGGTTGCTGAGGAGGCTGGCAGCTGTGTCTTGAGCCACCATACGCTCTTGTTCAAGCAGGTTAGCGTACTCGCGTTTCTCTGCTTCGAGATCCCGTTGCTGTTGACTGGCGGTGCGAAGCTCAGTTTCGCGAACCGTTATTTGAGTTTGAAGGTCCTCAATTTGCTTTTCTTTGGACTTCAGTTGGGATTCCAGGTTATGCACACCTAGCAGCGGCTTCATCTACAGACAAAAAGATGCCAATGTTTAGAAAAGACCCTAACTAACCCTTCTTATGGATTTCGCTGTTTCTGTTATAACTCACCCTTGCATAGAGCTTCCATAAAGGACATTCACGGCGAACAAGGTAAATGCGAGAGTTTCTTTGAATAATCTTGAGAGCTTCAGTGCGTCGACTTGTCTTGTGCATTCGGTTGCGAGCAAGGTGACCACGGCAAACAGATTGGATGGTAGTGAAGATGGCAGAAAGCTTGCGGTCTCTGATTTCTTCCATTTCTGCAAGCTGTTCACGGTGTTAAGAATACATGACAGTAATGTCGATATCGATTGAAAGACTTACCACTGTTGCTTTGAAAAACACCTTGGTGGTACCAATGCGGTACTTTTCTGGATCCAGCTCCATGCCCTTCAGAAGTGCTTTGCATGCTGTACGTGAATCAACAAATCCTTCGCCAATAGCTTCAGGACAGAGCATCTCATAGCGTTGCTTAAAGGCAGCAAACGGAAGTCGGTTGGGAAAACCTTTTCTGCAGATACGAATACCCTCCAGCACACCGTTGCATCGAAGCTGGTCGCATACTAGCGGAATGTCCATATCGCCAGCTCGCTTGTGAACGTTAGGAACAATGCACCGGACAAAATGAGGATGGGTCATGCGAAGGGTCTTCATCAAGGTCATCAGCTGTTGCTTGTGTCTCTGACCAACTGTTCTGAATGAACCACCACCCTTACGCAACTTGGCCAAGGATGGGAGGCTTCCTTGATCATCTTCTTGCAAATAGTCCTCAAACAAATTGGCAACATAAGACTCTGAAGACTGAGCAAGGAGTCTGGTAACATCTTCGTTCAGTGCTATAATGGGAATGTAAATGGATTAAAGACGTACTCTTGGCTCATATTTACAGGTTCATGCTACTTACGATCTTTGTTCTTATCAAGCCATCCTTTGGTGCAGTATTGAACGTCAGCTGCATAATGTTGTATGATGAAACCATCTTGGAAACGAGTTCTTTGGTATTTTGAATCAACATCACCCCATGTGCGATTCAGCTTCTCCAGGAAACGTTGATCTGTTCCTCTGGGGGCAACACACTCTTCTTCCAGGCATGCCAAAACGCCCACGGGCTAGATCATAGATATGGTTGGTACGAAAAAGCTATACAACGCATTGGCCGAAATGTGCACACTTACGTTGATTTTGTCAATCAAGTCAATGGTGGGCTGAAGGTCAAGGCCAAAGTCAATATAAGACCAATCGATGTTTTCCTTGCGATATTCCTCTTGCTCAATTTCAAACATGGTATGGTTGAAGAATTGTTGAAGCATTTCATTTGTATAGTTGATACAGAGCTGTTCAAAGCTATTGACCTATGGCAGGGAACTCATTGCATTAGCATACATTCGCACTTTTATGTCCTTGACCATTTACCGCTTACCTCAAAGATTTCGAAACCAGCAATATCGAGGACACCAATGAAACCAAGCTTGTCTCCAGAGACGTTTCTGTCAATGGCCTTGTTGATTCTTCCCACCAGACTGCTGAAACTGCGTTCGTAGAGAGCCTTGGCCAGCGCTTCCAAGCTGGATATGACTTGAGCTTGGGTTCTAGCAAGGTTAACCCAATCGCGTCCAGCCTTGATCTTGGGTGTCAAAAGGCATTTACGGAACTCTTGAGCAGGAACACCTAGAAGGTGGCAGACCCGCTCGATGACGGCAAAGTCACGAATATCAGCACGATCACGGTCTGCCACTACGTTGATGTTTCCAATATGTAGAATGGCAGCAACAACTCTGAGGAAGTCAAATTGTTCATTTTCTTCAAAGCCCATGATATCCATTGCATTCTGGGGGGGGGGGTGGAGTTTGGTTAAGATTGGTCTAGGATAGCGTAACGATGATTCAAAACGCAAGAACTAACCTTGAGATTCTTGAATTCTTGTGCATCATCCACTCCTTCGATATATCGATTTGAGCGCTTGATGTAGTTGTATTGGCTAGCATCATTCTCCAACAAAAGCTTGGCTGTTATGATAAAGCGATGAGTCAACCTTCGATCACACAAAAATGCAAATGGAGTATTGGCATACCTCTGGTGGCGCTATCGGCATGCATCAGCTGATAGAAGATGTGGTAATTTCTTTCCTTTGGAGATTGTTGATGAACTCGAGACTTCTCCAAAAGATACCATTCAATGTTGGCACCAGCAATTTGACCTTGCATATTGAATTCGATGCGAATGAATTTACCCTGCAAACCAATGCCATATCGGACAATTTAGTACCCACGGCCGCTGATATCATGAGTGAGCGGTATAAAAACTTACAAAGCGGGAAGAGTTGTTGTTGCGGATGGTTTGAGCGTTACCGAAAGCCTCAAGGATGGGGTTTGCTTGTAGAATTTGTTGTTCTAGCCGATCGGCCGATTTATTCGCTCCTCGACCTTCGCCAGCGACCGATGCCAAGTACTGGATCACGATCTTTGTGTTTTCTGTTTTACCAGCTCCTGATTCTCCACTGGTGGTGAAAAACAAAGTCAACATCTTTTCGTTCAAAACGGACAGTTTGCAGATGGTCCACTTACGTAATAAGGATACTTTGGTTCTCTCGGTCCTGCAACATATCATAGTAGGCCAGATCCGCCGTGGCAAAGATATGAGGCTGTACCTCACCACGCTTTTTTCCTTTATACATCTTAACAACATCCTCAGTGTAAATGGGTAGCCGTTTGTACGGGTTGATGGCTACCAAGAAGAGACCAGAGTATGTCTATAATTCCCGATATCAGTTTCAAAGCGCGCTTGGCTTAGGCATGAATGTCCCGAATTTATACTCACGTAAATATTGTTGGCAAGATATCGCATCTTTAGATTGTGTACAACTGAAGGTTCATTCAAAAAGCTAAGTTCCGCAACATCCTCTACTTGATCAAACTTTGGCGGGTTCATCTTGTGTATTTCGCTTGCACTGACGGTTCGGACCTGAAGAGAAGTAGGGATGAGATAAACGATAGTAATGAGATAGCTGGCAACATCAGACACCATACCGAACCACTGCTGAGAGCGACTTCAAAGGATTGACCATTCTCTAGCTCTCTCAGTATATGACCTGCTACATAAGCCTCGTCTGCGTCTTCCACCCACACCCAACGCTTTTCATTAAAAGCGGCGTGAGCAACAGCGTCTTGGCTCTGGTCACTGTGGGATTTGAGGAATACTGTTGTGCCATGGCTGTGTACATAGGAACCACGTTCCTCTAGTCCTAGTGTCATGACAAAGAGTAAAAGTAAGAAAAGGATTGATGTTCAAAATATCGCTGATGCCTCTTTTGTTAAATTTTTGGTCGCTGCCAAAACAACCGGTCTAAATATGGAAGTTGTCGATTTTGGCGAACCCAAAAAGAAGAGATTGTTTTGCTCCTTCGGTTCGTTGGCAGTCAACACATTGAAGATCCGTTGATTGAGATATGGACTATGTTGCTGTCTGACGTATAACTCTCTCACTTCATCAACACGGTTGGTTGGTATTTTGTACATGAAAGCGAGGTGCAAAAATTTATAGATTGGTTATAGTTACGTGGAAGAAATGGAGAAGAGAGGAAATAGGGGGAATACTGAATATGAATATCGCTTGCTTGCTCTGTGAAGGAGGGCAAAAAAAACAAAAAAAAAAAAAAAACAGGGTTCGGGAAAATATGGAAAGGTCCCATCGAGTTCACAAAATACAGTCATTGTATGGAATGTAGTAGTATGGCTCAGTATCTACCGTGATGATGAAAGGAAACGTTCGCCAGCAAAACGTGAGGGGGAGCCATACGCGCAAAGGGAGGTTTAGTATCGAACAGCCTGTTCATACTTTGGTGGTTCGTAGGAATACATGGGAGGAGGGTGAATTGACTCGTTCATGTGTTGCTCGTAAGGTGCAGTGTAGCCCCCTCTATTCTGTAAAGGTAATCCGTCTTGGTCGCCTTTCAGCATCTTCTTACGGACACCGCGAATGCTTTTTGAAATATAATATATTAAAGCTGCGAGCACCAGCAGACAGAGCACAAGAATGATCACCCAGTGAGAATTAGACGAGATCCAGCTTTGACTTTTGCTATTAGCTCCATTGTCGGATTGATCAAAACCACCTGCATTGACAGAGGCAGTTGGATTCAATTGGCCTTCATAAGGTCCAGTTGCCTGACCGTTGTTAGCGTACTCTGTATTGGCTGGCACGGCGGCGACGGTGGATGTTTGAGCTGTGACCAGCTGAGCTGACAAGGTGACGGCAAAACCATAGATTGCCAATGACCATGCAAGGCCTGTCATCTTGGGGAAAGAGAGAGAACAGAAGCAGCACTAATTTGTTGGATTGAGTTAGGGGTGGCAACCCCAATAAGACTTTGTAACTCGTTCTCTCTGCACGCCCTCCCTCGCCATGATCACTTCACTGCAACACTAGCCAGCCGGCAGAAGTCGCCTTGGCTATTCAACCAACTCTACTATGATCCATGTTAATGATCCATTTCCTTTTAGATGGAAATACATCTATTCTCGCTTTCACGTTAATGGCGGTTTGCACCATGAAAAAAAAGAATTGGACAAATTTAGATCTTTTTTAATTGCTTTGTGCTACCAAAGTCGGTGTCGGACCACAAGATTTTTTTTCAAATTAACCCGACCGCTCTAGCACCTCGTTTAAAGTAGGTACAGACGACATCGACCCAGGGCGTTCTACAGAAATAGCCGCTGCTACATTAGCTTCGTTAAGAGAGGCTTCAACCCGTTTGAAAAACTCTTCTTGGCTGTCTCTTAAGAATGCTGCCAAAAAGAATCCCTGCAAAAAAAGAAAATGGTTATGTCCCATTGGGCATTAGGTTCAGGTACACCAAACACGTACTACAAAAGTGTCTCCTGCCGCTGTGGTATCTTTCACAATTGCCTTGGCAACAGGTATTCTGTACTTTTGTGTCTTGTTGTTATGTCTAAAGAAAGCGAGAACGCCATCGCCTCCAAGTGTCAAAACGATGCCTTGCAACTTTGGATAACTACTCATCAATAGCTCGATAAGGTCCTCAGGAACCGGTTCATCTGTTCTCCCCGTCACCGCTTGGTACATTATAGTTGCTTCGGTTTCATTGACTTGTAAAATATCCACTTTATCCAATGGAAATTCGGTCAACACAGACGAAGTCATAGGTGCAGGATTAAATATGACGCTGAGACCTAAATTCGAAAAGCATGAGAGACGTCGGTCCAAAAATGGGATGTCGTTCGCGTCCATACCTTTGTCAGCCGCAACATTCATGATAGCGCCTCCCTGACTGATTTCATTTTGTTGCAAAATCCAATCACCAGGTCCAAAATTTTCCAATACCTGTTGGGCATATTCAGCGGTATATTTGGCATTGGTGCCAGGGTATAATACAATACAATTGTCGCCGTTTTCCTGGGACACTTGTATAAGTGCACGGCCGTTGACCTATGAGTAGACGGGGGATATAAGATTCAACGCCGCTCCGAACACGCATGATGAAACTGTACCTCTTGTTCATCCACCTTGATGAATGTAACGTCTACGCCTTGGTCGCGTATCAATTCTTTGACCTTTGGAAGGATAGGTTAATTAGGATGTGGGGTCAACCATAGTAGTTGTATCCGCATTCGATGTTTCCAATATATACATACCCAAACAGCATCCTTTCCCACAATACCTGCATGGTAAACCTTTGCTCCTGCCTATAATGCAAGGAATTGAGTTATATTATAGGGAAAACGTGATGTATAATGAAAAGTAGAAGCAGTACCCTTCCCAATGCAGCTGATTGATTTGAGCCTACAGTAATGAATCAAGTAGCTTAACAACTGAGTGTGTTTGTAGGTGTGAACACTCGTCTTTGAGTGTTTGCTTTGCGGTGTGCCTACCTTTACCACCTCCTCTGACAGTATACCCGACGCTGGATAAAGTTTCACCTTTTTGACACAAGCGAGGAACTTCAAAAGTTTCGTCGATGTTGATGGATCCAAAATTTAGTACCTTTGACATGGCAAAGAGTGAGAGTGACGATATCTTCGGAACGTGCGAAAGCTTGTACTGCAGGTCAAAAGCAGTCCCTTTACCCCACTCGACGCACTAACTGATGGGCGTAGACTCTTATCCAAGCTATACGTATCCTTTATATATTTTTATTTCAATGAATACTTGCAACAGCATGATATCTAATCAATGATATGAATCTTGACCGTCTCTGTAGCAGTAAAAGTACCTCCTCGTGTGCGGAAGGATTCATTGAACTGAGCGGCAATATAAAAAGTTAATTGAGAAAATCCTGGTATTGGCATATTGTTTCACGCCGAGTTTAAATGTACTTACTTCAACGGCATATGAGCCAGGCTTGGTATTGGCAGGGACTTTCCACTGACGGGTATATGTAACATACTTGGACTCTTTAGCAGTTACAGGGCACTTGGGAGCGATGGTAGTTAATAGCTGCTGCTTCTTATTGCCGGATCGCGAGTGGAATTTAACATTCAACGACAGGGCTTCACCGAATGCAACGTGATCTTCAGGAAAGGAAAGCAAACAAGTCAGTGTTTGTCGCTCACTACTTAAGCGTGGACTCTCTTGCTCTTACCAAGGATGAGCGGCTGCATAGTGTATTTTATGGTCATGTTATCGCCAGCTTGGACAGTTGCGCCTGAAGCGGGAGAGACAATCTTAATGAACTGAAGCTGTGAGAACACACTGGCTGTCACTGCCTGTAGCAACGCGACTAAAAGAATGGCGCAGATAGCGAGTACTTTCATTTTGAGCAGGAAAAGAAGTAAATCATCATTAAATTGCCAGTTGCACGGGAATAAAGCGAACAAAAATAAAAAGTTAGTTTGTCGCACAAAAGAAAATAAGGAAACAGTCTTTGCCAGTTCAATCTGTTCAATAAGGATTGGACTCGCTATGTGCTGCATTATTGAATCGATCAGAGAGTTAGAAGTATAATGTAAGATACCCTACCAAAGAAAGCTTCTGTAGCGACTAAGAAACAATTGCTTCAAAGGAAGTTGCTTTGATTTTTCTGTCACTAACACTATGGTATGGCCAACCAGAACAAAAAAAAAATTGCATGTAAGAGGACCATGCTATCTGAGAGAGTTCAGGAAGCGATCGTATGGTAATCGCTGTAAAGCTCAAGGTGTGATCACAGAAAGTAAATGTATGCACGCACGTACTGAATGAAGGTGGCTAGAATTAAATGATAAAATAACGTCGCTATCCTGACTACTCGGCATGCCCTTTACCGGCTTTTTGCAAAGTGACAAACATGGCATAAATATAAACAAGTTGTAATACGTCGTCAATCAAAGACATGACTTGTATGACAGATGCACTGCCAGTTGGGCGGCATGATCATTCAACTGATACCAGCACGACACCGCTTTTAGTTATGATTGTACAAGTCGCTTCAGCAAGCGTGGTTGCATGACCCATAAGCTTTCAGCCCATAATGCTTTGGCAGCTGCCAAGACTGTTTACAGATGCATACGCATTTTAGCCTATAATTTGATCTGCACGTTCGGCCATTATTTCCATCTTGACCGTGTCGCCCGCATGGTGTATGGTACAGCCACTAGGAAGTTTCAGCAAAAGGCGTCAAACCGAAAGTTCTAGCCCACACCAGGGCCCGAGGGCTACCCTCTTTATCTGCTATGAGATGGATTGAAGGAATCAAAATCTTATCGTAATATGAACACAGATGGCGAACAGATATAACAGTTTTGAGGGGAGATTATGTCTTGTGGTCTCCAGTGTTACTGAGCGAAAAATTCCGTATGACTTGACACAGGCTGTAACCATTTTCTCCAGTTATATCCGTCACATCATCGATAGCAGCCAAAAAGATCTAGATGATCGTGCTCAAACCCTTTTCTTCTTACGCCTTGTCGATTGTGAGAGAGAAAGTTAGATGCTCATAACTGAGCACCCGACTTTTTAGTAAAGATTGAATGCTCAGCTCTAGGTAATCTAAAAATAAATAGAAATAAGCGGAGGAATAAAGCCGTTGATGCCATGGAAACGGATAAAAAGCGAGGACAGCCAAAAGTGGTTGGGTTGCTGACAAGCAAGTCAGTGTGATGTGCAGTTACCATGAGGTGAGAAAACATCGAGCGATTCTCAATCGATGGAGGGCCACAGACCGTTGTACAAGCTCGGCCACACCGCTCGAATTAGAGTTGTGCGTCACCTGCTAAAGTAGCACTCATCCGGTCATTGACAGACGACATGGAAGGCGAATACCGTATTTTTTTTTTTAATAACATCCAAACAGGACAAATGTCGTCTCATCGGTTCAAGATGCAGGGTATATCTCCGTTCCAAACCAGCGGAAATACCCTAGTAGGCAAGTCCTGTTCGCTGCGCTGAGTCGTGGCTTAAAATCGATTGTTTCAATTGCTTTGCATTCGCAACGGCGTCCCGATGATTGCTAATAAGGTGTGGAGAGTCGATCCCATACCTATATGTGAAAACATCCTTTATTTCCATAGCTTGATGTAGGAACGGCGTCGCGACCCCTGGGTGAAAGCCAGGCAGTACCAAAACTAAAGTTTACGGAAACCAGGCTGAATTATTCGCTTACATTTGCATTCGCCACATTAGAATGACACTGTAATATCTGTATATATTCAATTTCTGCATATAAATTTATACAATGCCCTCACTCTACTTTTTTATTTTTATTTTATTATTGTTATTGTATTTCTGTTTGCATTTGTATTGAACAAAAAGGACACTGTAGTTTACCAACCACGACAAGTACTTAGGAGCGGGAACGCAGGACGAGTTTCCCGGTGAAAATAATAATAATAGCTCTCCATACCAGAACCGGAAAAGGCACGGCGGTGGTGGGGTCACTCTCCGGAAACAGTCACTTCCATACAGTATACCTGTCCGTCCACCAGCTGACCAGACGTCGTTCCAACAGTCTTTCTCTTCTTGCATGAGAATCGTCTACCACTATTGCGGGAGCGATCAGACTCTTGAGGTAAGTAACCCCTAATGCTTGAACCACCACTTGATGAATGGTGGCCGGAGCGAGCCGATCAGTCCCATGGTCTGGGGCGGCCCGCAAGATTGACCATGTTCCTGACACTTGCCAAAAAAAAACCTCCTAGGACGCATTCACTTCAGATGGCATAGACTTCACTCCTTGCTTTAGAGAAACGTACGTACTTGTCAATGGAAACGTTGAGTTTGACTTGGATCTGAACCTATCTAAAACCTGAATACCTTCAATTAGCGTTTTCGATGTACTACTTCCGTTTTTTTTTGTTCTGACATCCCTCGCCGTCTATATCCACCGACGATACACTTCATACTACGAAAGACCTCGCATTGATATATCCGATGCCGACTTTCTGCGCTTGCCAACACAAAAAGTTCATACTCTCCGAAGCCTAGCCCATTTGGCTGGGGTCTTGACACAGATCGGCACTTGGGGATTTATTTTCGCCTGGCGATTAGAAAGTTCGATATTAGACCACCATCGACAAAATCCTTGGCAAGATGGACCAACGCCCTTGTATCAAATCATATGCCCAGCATTGTCAATGCTGTCTTGGGTAAGTGATGGGTGGAACCACACTTCGATCGCATCGAGGGAGGCGTTGTGGGTCATTTGTTCCTTCCGGGGTTGAAAATATGAGTACGATGTGAATGACCGACTTTCCTTTTTGGTTCGCAGATCTACGCGCTCGTGATGGTCACTAAACTGTTCATCATATCCTCCAATCCTGTGGCGCCATCCAAACTCTCGCTCTACAATCCTCACCTGTTATCATTTTATACCATCACATCCTTGGCCTCTGTCATTCGAATTCGTTCTTTAACGCTAGGTTCCACGCCGGTGCCTGGAACGGCTCTCGAGACTTTGTTGGCCGCCTTGTCAACATGCATCTGCTTTGCCTTGTTTTTTGTGAGCGTAACAACCCCGCGAGAGATTGAACGCGAGGAGCTTTTGGATCTTGACGATAGTGATGGGAGTGTCATGATCTTGAAAGATGGTCGAGTCCTGCGTAATGTAAGTCTCACTTTAATATAAACTTGGTTCTAGTACCTGAAACATATGATTTAATCCAAATTTCTCAGGGTCGACTATTGACACCAGAAGCATCTGCTTCACCATTATCCAGCATCATGTTCAACTGGATGAATCCTTTTCTCACGCAACTACGACAAGCACCTACTGTTTATGCTGAGGATCTATGGGCGTTGACCAGACAGCATCGCGCCAAAGAGTGCCACAGAGATTTCGAATGCGTGGAACGAGGTGAAGGTCCTTTCAGCCTTCTTTATCAAATCTACCAAAGCAATCGTCATGCTATTTGGTTCCAATGCATCACTTCATTAGGCGCAGTTTTATCCCATTATTCGAACCCATATTTCCTCGACAAATTTCTTCAGTATATTGAGGATCCCGCTGGCAGACCGCTTCAAATCGCTTACCTGTATTGTCTTGGAATGTTTGCTGGTAGCGTAGTCAACACTCTGTTTTCGTCTCAGACTTTACTATGGGGCCGAAGATGCAATGTTCGAATGACCAACATGCTGAATGCTGAGATTTATGCTAAAAGTCTTCGGAGAAAAGACGCCACTGGGTTCGCCAAAGCCGCGGAGAAGGACGACGGTAGTGACAATGCCGAAGATACCGTCAGTGAGACGACCACTGGAAAAATCACAAACTTGATGAGCGTTGACGCTGAACGTTTGGCGGAAATGTCATCCTACATCCACGTAAGTTGAAGCTTTTGTACAGCATCGAATGAATGCGCGGAAACTGATATATCCCAAATAGATATTTTACAGCAGCCCTTTTGAAATTTTGTTCGGCGTCATCTTTTTATATCGAATAATGGGCACTGCTGCGTTGTTCGGGCTAACAGTCATGATCGTCTCCATTCCTCTTCATCATTACATGGGCAAGAAATATCACCGCATTCAAGAAAGACTGATGACGGCAAGAGATAGAAGAACGGAATTATTGAACGAACTTCTCCATGGCATTCGCATGGTCAAGGCGTTCGCATGGGAAAGAAAATGGGAAGAGAAGATATTGGTAGGTTAACATTGGAGAGTGGTCAGCAACAAACTTCAGTCATCTCACATTCATATTGCAGAGAGCGCGAAATATCGAATTGGATAGATTTGTTCGTGTCTATATCATGAACACTTGCGTCGGGCTTGTGTGGTTTGCATGCCCAGTTCTTGTAACTGTAGTGTCTTTTCTCTGGTATACCAAGGTTGAAGGGCATGAACTGACGGCAAGGTGAGTGATTTTAAAGCGAGCCACTTGAGTCATACTTGGTTTTTTTTAAATACTCACTATGTTTCTTAACTTCATGATGATTTGCGCCTACAGCACCGCATTTGTCAGTATCGTACTATTTGGCATGATCCGAGATCCCTTAAATGTCATTCCGGAAGCATATATGTCTTACATCGACGCCAAAGTCAGTTTAACCCGTATTAGCGACTTCCTCAGCGAAGATGAGAGAGGAAGTGACAGGAAAGGCGCAAAAATGCTTTCTCCAACGTTGAACAACAGCCAGCGAGCTCGCTGCGGATTCGACGAGGGAACATTCCAGTGGCATAGCCATCTCAAAGATAACAGCAAGTCAAATCATGACGATGGTCTTACCAAAACCATCGACGCTGTTGTGAAAGGTGACAAAGAGCCTACAGAGAATGACCCATTGCTTCCTGTCAATCGAAACCGTGAGGACGCTACTTCCTACTCGTCATCATCCAGCACATTGACAGCAATAACCTACCATGGCACGAACAGTTTCGTACTTGATTTGCCTACCATGACTTTTCCATCGGGAAAGCTGACCATCATTTTCGGGTCTACTGGAAGTGGCAAGAGTAGCTTGTTGAACGCCTTGTTGGGTGAAATGGATGCCGTTACTGGTCGCGCCTGGTTGCCATCCAAATTTGATTGGAACAAGATTATGACCACAGACAAATTTGCTTTGGACTCGGTCGATTCTAGTTTATACATGTACAAGGTGGCCTATGCCGCTCAGCAACCTTGGATTCAACATGCATCGATTCGTGACAACATTGTGTTTGGACAACCATTTGATGAATTGCGATACAACAAAGTGCTTTATCAGTGTGCACTGGTCAAGGATCTCGACATTTTGGAAGATGGTGACCTTACGGAGATTGGTGAAAAAGGCATCAATCTTTCTGGAGGACAGAAACAACGAGTCTCTTTGGCTCGTGCTGTTTACTCTCGTGCCAAAACGGTTCTTCTGGATGATTGTCTTTCCGCTGTCGATGCCAACACTGCCAGTCATCTTTACGAAAAGTGCTTACTTGGCGACTTGATGCATGATCGCACGATCATTTTAGTCTCTCATCACGTTCGACTTTGTCTTGGTGGTGCGTCGTATCTTGTACAGATGAACCGCGGGCAAGTGATCCGCCATGGTAACGTTGAAGACCTTCGTAACAACGGTGAACTAGCCCAAATCTTTGGGGACGATGATATACCAGATCATATCACCGAATTCGTCAAGAATGATGATGAAGCCGGATTTAACGACCAAGACAGCGCTAAAAGCTACGCAGGAAGTGACGTGCTGCGCGCAGTTCCTAAAAAGCTAATTGAGGAAGAAGTTAGGCAAATTGGCAAAGTCAAAGTCAAGATTTACGCAACCTACCTCTTGGCGTGTGGTGGCCTTCTCTTTTGGGGAACGTTGATATGTTTTTATGTTATATCGCGTCTCTTCAATATTGCCGAGAACTATTGGCTCAAGGTTTGGTCAGCAGCGTACGATAATAAACACTCATGCACGAACGTCACCGCCTCTGTAGCGTCCATAGGACAAGTGGTCCTTCCGCAGCTGACTGGGGCCGCCACCAAGAGAGCTTCAACCGTGGTACTTTATGGTCAACTTTTCGACAAGGAGTGCTCCAATGAGCCTGTATCCGTCAATTATTACATCTCTATTTACGTTTGGATTTGTTTTGGTGCCATTATCATCAGTTTGCTTCGATCCCTCATCCAGTACTACGGTTCTTTGCGAGCCTCTCGATTAATTTTCCACAAGCTACTGATATCAGTGTGTCATGCACCTATGCGGTTCTTTGGTAAGTTGTATAGTGAATGAAGTGACCATGAAATATGGAAAAAGAAAAAGAAAGAAAGACTTACCGTTCACCCTGCAACAGATACTACTCCGGTGGGACGAATCCTAAACCGATTTTCCAAAGACATGGAGACAATCGATCACAGTTTGAGTTGGCACGCGACCTTGTTGTTGCAAACTTTACTTGGCATTACCGCGGTGGTGGCGGTTATTAGTGCGATCACTCCCGAATTCCTATTTGCCAGTGTGGTTATAGGTAAGATATATTTTTTCTATTGTAAAAAAGGGGGAACGGACGGACCTTCACAGCAGCCTAGGGAATAAATAGCCGACTAGCTGTGCTCCTGTGATCGGTTATATTGACTTTGTTACACACACCTTTTAGGAATCATTTACATCTTTATCGGAACGTACTATGTTCGGGCTTCGAGAGAATTGAAGCGCATCAATTCCGTCACTCGGTCCCCGATCTTCAGTCAATTTTCAGAGACTCTGGTAGGCGTTACCACCATCCGAGCCTATGGTCAAGAGAAGCCTTTCATGTCCGAAATGCTCAACCGCCTGGACGAAAACATGAGATCCTATTATACATTGTGGACAACCAACCGCTGGCTTTTTGTACGAGTGGAAATGTCAGGTTCTCTTGTCTCGTTCCTCGCTGGTGTATTCCTGCTTCGCAATCTGAATACCATTGACGCTGGTCTTGCTGGTCTTTCCTTGAGTTTCTCTTCTACTTTCCTGGAACATATTTATTGGCTTGTGAGACAGGTACCAACACATAGAAAGAAAGCCATGATTGAGATTAACTTTTTATTGATTGTTTATTTGTTCAGTATACAACGGTGGAAATGCATTTGAACTCGGTGGAACGTGTTCAAGAATACCTTGAGATGCCTCAAGAGCCCCCAGGTATCATTGAAGACAGTCGACCTCCTATGAACGTAAGTAGGTCTATTGTAGTTCTCTTGAGGAATACACAAGGTAGCTGACTTGGTTTGTTTTCCATTGTAGTGGCCATACGAAGCAGCCATCTCGGTACGAGATTTGGAAGTCAGTTACTCCCCGGATGATGATCCGGTACTTCGCGGAATATCCTTTGATGTACAGCCCCGAGAAAAGGTTGGCATCGTCGGCCGTACTGGATCAGGAAAGACAACGCTTACTCTGAGTTTCCTACGATTTGTTGAGCCACTGAAGGGATCCATCGTGATTGATGGTATCGACATTCAATCTGTAAGACGCCTTATCCTTTGGGCCTTTCTCTCTGCTCCTCCAGTGCTGACACATCTTATTTCCAGATTGGTGTAGATGACCTTCGGTCAAAATTGACCATCATACCTCAGGACGCCATTTTATTTTCCGGCTCTGTAAGTACATACCTGGTATGGCTTTTATGCAATGGCCCCATGCTCATTTTTGTTGTTTGCGTTCATTTCCTTTTCAAAGATACGGGTGAATCTCGACCCATTTGATGAATTCTCAGACAGTGAGATATGGCAAGCATTACGTAGAGTTCATCTCGTAACCAGCCACTCTTTCCTCCTGGATATGGACGAGGAGGACAATCTTAGCATTATCACCAGTCTGGATACCCAAATCAGTGAAGGTGGCACGAACTTCTCACAAGGACAACGACAACTCTTATGTATGGCTCGCGCTCTATTGCGCAATAGCACACGTTTGATTGTCATGGACGAAGCAACATCCAGTGTTGACTTTGACACCGACAAAAAGATACAAACCACAATTAGAGAAGAATTTGCAGATTCAGTAAGCCTTTTTTTTTGTTTGTTCGCTCGCTTTCAAGCCAAGCGCACAGTGCCATGTCCTTTTCTTTAACATTCTTTTTCGCTTATTTTAGACTCTGCTTTGCATTGCCCATCGCTTACGTACCATCATTGACTATGACAAGGTATGTTTTTCTCACCATTTGCCTACTGTATTATTCAGCATTGGGCTAACTCCTATCTCTTCTAGGTACTCGTGATCGACGAAGGCAAGGTTGTAGAATACGATACGCCATATAACCTTTTACATGGGCACTCTGGTGTTGGCGTATTCAAATCCATGTGTGAACGATCATGGGAATACGATCACCTGATTGATATTGCAAATCAAGTAGAAGCCGCCAAGCAAGCAATTCCAAAGTAAAACTGCAAAACTCTCCCACCTCACCAACCAACCCAAACATGCCCACAGATGAATTTAGGCAGACAATTTTGTGTTCATCATTGCATTATCATTCACCACAAGAACTGCTTTTCAATTGCACAGATACTTCTCATCTGTTTCATAGCCATGTATATTGACAATATTGATCCTCCAATGTAACGTTTTTTTTTTTTTTTTGGTCTCCTTCCCCTCATACCGCACAAAATAATTTCTTTTTCTTCTCGTCCATTTTTTCCCCTGCGCAAACAGATTAACCTATAAAATGAAATATATTTCACTGCAATGCATAGCTAGCTACTTTTACGCGAGAATATACAAGTTGGAGGGGGTTTCTACGGACTAGAGCAATAAATTTACAACACTAAGGCACAAAATAAATAAAACAAAATGCTGGGTATAGCGACTTGTCGAATGTTATTTGCCGTCCTCTTGAAGGCATCTAAGCATTTGCCAAGATGGATCCGATTTTGAGAAAGATATTTATTCTTCCTCTGGTCGTCCTTATTTACATCTTGGCGATAAGACGGTATGGTTGGTGATGTACTACCTGATTTCAAAAGACCATAGATTTCCAGCAAGTTGTTGCAAAACAGAACAAGTACAGATAGACCAAAGAGGATGGCGTATCGAATAAATATGGATATTTGATCAGGAAGCAAGCAGAGCTTGTTTGCGTAGGATTCGGTTTTAGAGTCTTCAGCCGCCGAGAGACTGAGGAGGACCACGCCTGGATAGCGAACACCTTGAGCCATACTGAATGTATTGACAGATATTTCCGGAACCTGCCGATTTCCAACTTTGTGAATCACTTCACAGTAGTCATGGTCATCGCCAGAGAAGACAAAGTCAGCTTGCGTCTGGGTAAGTATATAATCAGAGAGCTCCTTGGTCATTAAGTTCTGGTACTGGTATCCTGCACCTTGTCTGATCTGCTTCTTGCTTTGTCGTAGTGGCCCACATAAATCCTCTGGAGGCTCAGATCTATAGGCTCCACTTATGGGGCTGGGCTCACGGTAAAGCGGCACATGCGTGAACAAAATTCTCGGTTTATCAGATGGCCGAATCTCTCTTACGAAATCTCGTGGTTGCTGATGAATATTAGGATCCGACGAACTCATTGACACCGAATCAATCACGACAATGCTATGGCTATCCAGAAAGAGTTCGTATGAAGTATCTCCGAATTCGCCTTTGAAACGGTTGACAATATCTGCTCTGATACCGTCTCCAAATCCAACGTCATGATTACCAGCCATGTAAAGAACCTTGGTACTGCTGTCTAATGGTTTGAACAATGCTTTGAATCGGTTGACTTCTTCCTTCCATTCACTGCGTACTCGAATTAGATATAGGGTAGTAACCCTTACTCTCATTGCGTCGGACAACTCACCGATCATCGGGCCATTCCCGACCTCCATCCATCAAATCACCAAGAAAGACCACAGCGTCAGGTCGCAGCTTTCGGTTGAGCTTTTTCCAATTCCTTCGCATATACTGATCACTATAGAATTCAGTGATCCATTGAATGACACCTTTCCTTCCGTACGAATACTTGTCCGTCAGTTGCGGATCACCAATGATCATGATATTGTAGGGCCGTGCTGTACTATCGATCTATCATGTAAAACTTTAGCAACAGCTTTTTAAATATAATATCATCAACAGATACCTAAAATTCTACCTGTCTATGGTCATTATGGCTTAATTCTTGACGAGATGCTGATGATCGGATGTTCCAGCTAGGAGACTTGGGCCAAGGAGCGCAATCATGAGATGCTTTCCAAAATCCAAGGTATTCACCAGTAAAAATTGACAAGAGCCATATAACTTTAAGCGCAAATAATAGTGGAGGCGACCGTTTGCCCGTCCATTTCGTGAACTGTCTTAAATTCATACGGAATGTCTCTGGTCAATCCTTGGTGGGGTTTGCGGAGCAGCAAAATTTCGGATGTGTTTAAATTTTTAAAAATTCAGTGCTGACAGCAGCATACCATAGGCAGTACACTAGTGAAGTGAGTCTGAGAAGCGATCCTTTTGTGAAACGAGATATGCGTATGGACTATCCTTCCTATGCACACTACAACATTCTGTTATCAAATTTATTCCATCTATAGCTTATTCACCCATAATGCGGATGATGGCACGTGTGACAGGATACAGAGATTATAGTACATTTTGATGTCTTCTATGGACAGATGCAAGAGTTGGTATAAGGTCCAACACAGTTTTTACAAGCCGCCGAACTGCTGGATCATCCGGACATACTGCAAGTTGTTGCCTTTTGGCAGCCATGGTATTATGAAATGGAGCTACCCCTGTCGCCATTTCGACCAGAATACACCACAAACTCCAAATATCTAGATCAGCCGTGGCAGGAATCTCCAATCTTCCCTCTAGATAATAACCAATGAAAGGGAACACTGGTTATATACTGGAAAGATTCTTGCTATAAAAGGTGGAACGTGCTTACCATTTTTAAACATGTTCGGTGCGCTGTACGCATTGAGTGTAAGCGACCAATCTATCGGCTCCACCACATCATTTCCTGCAACTGTCAAGGCACAAGCGTGCTGGAAGTCCGTAATCAGCCAGTGTGATGGGTTGTTGCGCTCATGGACAATAGATATAGGCTGAAGTTGTAAGTGCACAATCCCTTTGCTGTGGATCCACTGAACCGCTTCACATAGGGAACGAGCACTTTTCCGTAATAGCGCATGATCATTGCGCTCAAGCCGACCATCATTCATCAAAGACGCCAGGCTCGGTCGGTATTGCCAAATGGATATATATCGATGCTGGGTTATGGAGCTCGGCAATTCAAAGCTGTCAATAGCAGTCGTTACGTAACTTGATTTTAGATAACGAGTTGTTGATAAGTCTTTATCAAAATCATTTTGATCGATCATGAATTTCAGTATGACTAGATCGCCAAATCGTTTGACATCGCGAGCCACACGGAAAGCGGTGCCGTCCGCCAAAGAGTTCAGTCTGACGGACTGTATAAGTTCGTAGCGGGTAAACATAATTGTGCCTTCAGGTGCTGTGGGATTAGCAGATATATTATTACTAGCATGTTTGGCTGAAGTAGGGTATAATACAGCAATGGCACTGGTATTGAGCATTCGGAAGCTTGGTATTTTTGCATTGAAGTTGTAGCGCTTGACTTCAGGCTTAGACTCTGGTGGCATGGTGGATACGATGGTTTCGCTGGTAGGGACCCTTGTGTCTAGTTGAGGGTGATCGCTGGAACTAGGTCGGATAGCACGTCGTCTTCGCCTATGACATAACCATACCATAGAAGAGAGAAACACAAGAGCTACAACCCCACCCGCAACGGCACCTCCTATTTTAGCTGCAGCGTGTGGATCTCCTATTGCTTCATCTGATTGCGTCATCGGTGCCAACGGCGTACAAGGTTCTGTGGGAAGTGAAGAAGAAGATGGAGGAGAGATAGAAGGAACCGTCGCGTTCAATATAATCCAGGAACCATTGTTTGGAAAGAACTTCTGCATCTGACCCCAATTAGGGTCAAAAGCGAGCAATTGCTGTCCTGTCGATCCCAGTATTAGCTCACTAAAATTTTGCGGCCCAGTCGCTGAATTTTGCAGAATGTTGCTGAAGGGATCAAACATCCATATAGAGGGATCCGATGCGCTGATCATTGCCACCAATTGTTTGTTTGTCATAGCATCCGTATAACCTGCTGCTGAAATGGCGCCAGTTGGTAGCATGCCCGATATAGTTATCTTTTGCAAAGACAGGCCGTTTAAGCCATATATCGCATTACTTGCATACCCTCCAGCAATATACACATTACCATTTACAACCGCAATACCAGCATGCGCTAAGCTTGTCATATCAATGCCATCGGTATTCACAATGTACGATGCTACCGTAGCTCCCTGATTTAGGGTTGGGGAGCTGAACGTATAAAGAAAAGCTCCAAATGTACTGTTGAACGGTGTTATGGAAAACAGGCAAGTGGAGTTCAGAAAGGTAGCAGATGGTGTGGCTAAGCTCCATGTCAACAATGGAGCATCGCCTGTTTGTGTGTAGGGAACATATGATGCCGTTAAACTTCTAAGTGAAAGTATGGCCAGCGTCTGTCCAGAAGGCATGTTTGGATCTAAAATGAAAATCAGAGGAGTTGTTGCTGATGGTTCTATCTATGCATATACGTACGTACTTACTCAACATTAGGTTTTGACCTTGTCCATCTGTAACAGATGAAACCTTTCCTATCACCACCGAATCCGTCCCAGGCTGCTGAGCACACACGTTGTCGCCGGATGGTCCAGCGGAAAGGGTTTGGGTGGATGCTTTGTTACTAGATGTATCAAATGTTATTATGGAATTTGGATAAATAAAGTACATGATGTTGTCGTTATATGCAATACAAGGACTAAGAGTTGCTGTGGCCAACGTGAATAACTTCAAGAAGATGATAGCCCATATTGTGCGGACATTGGTAAACATGATGTATCAGAATGACAATATGCGATCCGTAACGATGCGTTCTTTTTGGTTGGATGAAAAGTAGAAATACAGAATAGATGAATGAGTGTGGCAAAGGAAAGAAAGAATACAATATTACCAAAATTATGATTTGCTATAGATACCGTATTCAACTAGATCCAAATATTCCTCATCACTAAAGCTACAACAGGAGTTTCGTGGAAGGCTTTTGAGCAGTACAAAGGATCATAAGAGCAAGGGAGGGGTTTCCTAAAGGGACACTCTGCAGTGATCGTCAAAGCCATAAACTGAATCTGACGTGCCTGAACTTCCGCGCAAAATACACAACACCCTTTTTTGTAGGTCCAGGGCAGGCGAATGTCAAGTTGTTAATAATAGCGTGTTGTATGAGGTGGAGTTGATGTAAAATAACATCATTGTAATAGACTTTTTGTAAGATCCTTCCGATAACTGCAGTGCATTGGGAAATTAAGCTTTGCATCATTGATGCCCTCCTTAATTGGACACACGCAAGTTAGAAGGTTGGTTGTGGTGGCAATGTGTATTGTGCATATACATGATGAGTTCTCTATTTTTCTGGTTGCAAAGCTTTACTTTTCGTTCACCCCCACTATTTGGCCATAATGTGGCAGACAAAATTATCGAAAGCAATGCTAGGCAAGATATAGCACTTTGCAATGATCATCGATTAGCATTCGACCCTGACAAACGAAAATCTGTAAACGTTGACACCTCTATTTCGGTATGGTCTCAACTACGATCGCTTAGGTATATCCTGCTGCTTACTTTGGCAATGCGCCGAAAACACATTTAACTGCCCGTTTTGTGATGGATGTGTTCACGTCGGGGTCCATATGGTCACTCCTTAAAGCTGTTTCCAATTTCAACCAACGGTAAAAAGCGCGGTGTAATCATGCAAAGCCATTGTCACTGTTCAAACATTATGCAAATTGTTTGGATATTTCAGTCAACTTTTAGCATGCATTACAGAGAACGTTCTGAAGCCACCAATTGCGGACATTGTGTGCCTATCAAACACTGATATTGGAATTGGCAGATGCAGTGGTAGTGAGACTGCCAAGGCTGCAATTGGCGTTCAATTGAGTTACCAATATTAATAGTATCGACAGCTTTTACACAACAGTTCTGCAAAAGTTTATAAATAGGAACCGCAGTGTTTTTTTTTGGTTGATAAAACGTAACGTAGCGTAACCTAAAGCTTACTGCATTTTTTTTAGGCCATGTCATGCCGTTGCTGGAGCAACTGCCTTCCAAGCACTTACGCGCTCTTGATAAGAAGCAAAAGAGAGTAGATACCACTGAACGACGATAGGTTCAACGAGAAGCAAATTCAAGCTATGTTTGGATTGGCCAGAGCCAGCTGCTCTTGCTGGCCAGCCAGATGTACTGCAATTTGCGAATTCGCAGTCCGAGAACGCTGGGTAGGAACAACATGAGCGTTGAGGTTGTGGACGAGATTAGAGCCCGGTTCACGTGGAAAATCCTAAATAGTAAGGCGGGTGCAGGTCAAATTCAAGCTTTGTGCGACTATAATCAACCAAGCAATAGTAGCGGCAGAGATTGGTGAATTTTTAAAATAAAGAGGTGGTAATAGAGTTCTTGTGTGGAGGGCAAAAAGAAGGACCGACTGTGCAATTCAAACACCACCAGCCAAGCAGGGAAAAGGAAAAATAAAAATAAAAGTGTGCCATGAAACAAGGCAAGGCTGAGGCACGTCTGACCGTTTACTGTCACAGTTCTTCACTCAGCTCCTCTTTATCTCGCTTATTGCACACTTTTCCCCAATGTCCCAGGTGGAAGGTCAAACCTCCGCTGGGCATTTCACTACAATAGACGACTTTATCTTGCCGGGGAACCACACTCGCATGGAACCACCCTATGACTATAATCCTAATTTCAAGCCTGCTAAAGGCATCCTCAAACAGCGGTCCCGGATTCTTCAAAGAGAACAACAAGCATCGACATCCTGGATATCAACCCTCAACTCTAAGCTTTCTGGCAACCCAAATACCAACGGCAATGTGAGCGATTCGCAGAAGCGCAATGGCACAGACCAACTTCAAGATGGCAAGACTTCCGACAGTAGGCCACAGACAGGTTTAGTGGGTGGACTATCAAGTTTTCGCAAATTCATCAGCAATGCCGCCAGTAATCGCACCGCCAATGCCCAGGGTTCTATGATGAATTTGGAAAACTCTTCTGTTACATCTCTTAGCTCGATCAATTCTGAAAACTTTGAAGATAGCAACCTTGAGCTTGACCCAGAAGACCTCAAACGAGTTCGGTTTTCCATTCAACAGCTGACTACAGAATACCGCCCATATGATAACCGCCAGTATATTGATGATCCTCCAAAACCTGAGGAAACAAACGAGCTAAAAGTTGGTGCCGCCGACGATCAAGTTGCTCCTGCCACTTTGGAAGCGAATCCTGCCACTTTGGAAGTTTCAACCGAGGTCGACTCCAAACATATTGATGAAACGGCCGATAATTTCACGGACATCACCTCTAATACTGAATCATTTACCGAGACAACCTTCGAGGAAGTTACATCCAATGAAGAGGAAACTCCGGTTCCTAAGCGGACCGATAGTCTAGTATCGTCATTGTCGTCCGGTCAACCTTGTTCACCAACCGATCTTCTGATATTTTATGAAACGGCATGTCGTAACAAGGATGAGCACATGTTTCAGCCTCTTGTCCGCCAGTTACAGGTAAGCGTTGACGGATGTAAACAAACATTGAATTGTCTGATAATTAAAATGGAATCTGCGTAGGAGCAAGCCCATATGTCTCACTTGACATCTCTGGATCTTTCCAACTATCTGATTGATCGGGAGGCCGCAGAACCCATCAGCGATATCTTGACGTTGGAGCATAATCTTCAGAGGCTGATAATGCAAAATTGTGGTTTGGAAGATGAGGTATGATGGTGATGATAATATCACATAAAAATTACCAGCCCTGCGTCTTTCTGGCAGTCTGTGTAGTAATCAAATTTCTCTTGATGTGTACAGACAATTAAGCTTATGCTAAATGGTTTGCTGACAAGCGACAGCGTGAAGTATCTCAATATTGCAAATAACAAGAAAGTGAAAGCGAACGGATTCAAGTACATTGCCATCTATATGCGAGAGGTATATTATGTGTACACAGCGTGATGTAAAGAGTTTTGATACAGGCTACTAACTCAGTCCATTTTCCAGTCAATATCCTTGCAGGTGCTGAACTTGTCCCTCAATAACTTTGATAAAAAGTCTGTTCAGATGATATCGCAAGGTCTTATTTCCAAAAAGTCAATGCAAAGCAGCGCAGGAATCGATACCCTCATTATGGACGCCTGTTTGTTCCGTCCTTCTTTGTTAGAAGCTTTAGCTGTCGGCGTCAAAAATACTGCTTCCCTCAAAACGCTGTCTCTTCGAAATAACCGTATCAACCATCAGGGAGCTTCCTGGATAGGGGTCATGCTGCGTGATTATGTTAGCCTTGGCTTTTATGCTGGCTCCACTGAAAGTATTTCGTCAACCTCATCGATACAGCATGGCTTGGAACGCTTAGCTTTGGATGGTAACGACTTGCGACAAGGAATACAGTTTGTAGCACAGGCATTGAAGCGAAATCAGAGTTTGAAAGAGTTAGGTCTGAACGGTTGCAAAATCGATGCAAGAAGTGTTGTATACCTTGGTGATGCTTTGGTAAGTCAAGCTACTGATGAGAATAACAGTTCAGGTCCATTCGATCTCACTATCATCCTTTTTTACCAGAAATACAATCAAGCATTGGAAAAACTGAATATCAGTAACAACGATCTTGGCGTACCAGTTCGAGATGGGGTAAGTTTCCTGTTGCAATCGACGTTATCGTGGCCACCCACCTAACTTGCATCTGTATAGTTTGTTTCTTTGTCACTGGGATTGCAGCACCACCCTTCCCTACGAGACATCGATCTAAAGGGAACATCCATGAAAACAGAAGGTTCGTTTTTTCAGCACAAATGTAATTGATCCAATGGAAGAAATTAACAAGCCATCTGCTATATAGACGCTATAGAGATTTCTAAATCTTTACCATATGTCAAGTCCCTAATGAGGCTTGACTTACGCAACAACCCTCTCATTACTATAGAGGGCTACGCCAGCTTGGCAGAGGCCATGAAACGAAATCACACTCTCGCATTTTTGGACATAGATGTTTCGGTAAGCGCGCGCTTGTCATGGTTACATCGACGTAAAGTCGGCCATTAACTCATAAAATTGGCTTGCGCTTTCACAGCAGGCGAACCAAGAGTTGACCCAATTGCAAAGTGATATCTTGACACAATGCAGCCACAATACCCGCCGTAATTTTGCAGACGCAACGGATGGCGAAGACGGAAGTACTCCAGCAGATACGAAGGTAGCTCCACACAAGGATGTGGAAAGAGTTGTATCGAAAACAAAAGCACAGGCAACTGTACGATTGTCTCTGCAAGAGCGTCTTGCTGCTGTGACCCGGGGTGCCAACTCCAGAGTGCCAGTCCCAGCGGAAGTTAAGCCTGGTCCGTCTCCTGAAGACGAGCTGCGAGAAAAGCTGGAGGCCAAGCGGAAAGAAGAAGAGTCCTTGAACAAAGAGATTGAAATAGCTTCTGATCATCAATCTTTATTAGCGGAAATGTTGAATGCCACTTCAACTGAACCAACTGACGAAAGATCTGATGTCAACGAAACACTTAATGTAAGTTATTTTACCCCCATTCAATTTTTGTAACTGGAAGCTGATTTTTTTTTTTTTTTTCATATTCTTCCAGCGACTTCACTTACAGTGTGAAACATCTCAACGACTGATCATGTCCTTTGTACCAAGAATTACAGATGAAGGTCTATTAGGTAAATATGTTCCCAATCGAAGAGTTTGACCTTGTTTTGGAGCAGTTCTACTCACTTTCCTTTGACTATGCAGACAAATTATTAAACGTTAATGATAAGCTGACGGAGGTTATATCGCAATACGAAAAGAAATATCTTGAAGCTCCCGAACAGCAATTGGATGAAGATGCTGAGCCGGCTACTGTTGAACCTCAAGTGGTTGAAGAACCGTCATTTGCTATAGGAGATGATGATGACGACGATATACCCTCTAGACCAAACGCATCGGCATTAGATACCACGGTTTCGGTGAAAGATGAAAAGAAGACAAAGTTAGAAGAGAAGCGACGCGAAACAGAAAAGCAAGAAGCTGAAGCTCTAAAGATAGCCAAGCAGCTTGCTGACCAAGAGTTGCAGGATGAGGAATAACAATATTCGTTAATTTATGGGCCCATTTTCTCCCCCCCCCCCAAATTAAAAAACCTGTCGTTGGCTTGTTTCTTGCCTTCTTTATGCAACCATGTCTAAATCAATAACAACTACAACAGCCAAAGAACTAGGATTGTCTGGCGTAAAGAAATCTTTAATTGTCGTTCAACCAACTATATCCATCCGCGACGCGCTTGAAGTCATGTCTAGAAATGGCATTACGTCGCTACCAATGTACTCCCACAGTAGTACCCAAATCACTAGCATTGTCAATTTATTTGATATTCTGATTCACTTAGTCAAGGGTTCCGAAACGGCCTCCTTTGACCAAGAGGAGTTCGCCAAATTGGCAGAACCGCTTGAGAACGTACTGGGTTTAGACGGAGATATGGAGAGTTATCGTGTCTTCAAGTCTTACGATACCGACGACCTTATTGACGTGAGTGTAGTTGAATAACTCTACTGCTACTTTTCAAAATGGTAAATTTAAGATATACATATGTAAATGTACAGACTTTGCAAGCTTTCGCGTCTGGCATCCACCGTTCTCTTGTCGTCGACAATATGGACGTTTCTCCGCCTTGGCTGCTTACCCAAACGGACATTCTCCGCTATGTGTACCAGCACCCTGAGTCTCTGCAACCTTTGGGTATAGATGTTAAAAAATCAATTGGGGAGTTGCAAGTTCTTCCACCGTCGGCTTCGGTTGTTACAGCGTCTCCCGATGAGCTTGCTGTGAACGTCTACAAAAAGATGGGAAACCTCAAAGTTGCTGGTGTTCCCATCGTGGATGAGTATGTTTTATGTAAACATGATCTGTGGGTGATTCGATATTTATATCATCTCTTTGTACACCTAGAAACAACAAGATTATCTCGGACTTGTCAATTGAAGATTTGCCCTCGGCTGATCTAACCAAGCCAAATAACTTGGCACTTCCTTGTCTTAAGTTTTTAGAGGTACAGTATTGGCAGTCTTGACCATGATCAGAACAAATTGTAACCATTTGATTAGGAACTGGGCAAGTCGAAATCTTTAACCGTGCCCAAGGATATAACACTAAACGACTTGATGCAGTCGTTGTTGACCCAAAGAGCTCATCGTGCATGGATAGTCAGCCCCGAAAACACTCTTGATGGAGTTATTTCCATGTCTGATATCATATCATACATTTGCCGTCAACATCAGGCTCAAGTTCATAACTGAAAGTTTCTTATATATGATGATGAATTCTCTATATGTGTATATAATTTTCTTCTTTTTTACATTACATGTTTGATGAATTTCAAGGCTTTGGGTTGTGCATAACTACACAGGCAACAGATCCCAATGCTTGACGGATGTATTCTTTCTCAACATCGTGGCCTAAGGAAAGCGAGAGAGCCATTAGTAAAAAGAGAAGAGACATGGCGATGAAATATACATATAGCCCAACATTTCATTTTAAGAAATAAAACTTACTGTCTTCAACTTCTCCCCAACGATCAATTTGGGAATTGACTTCAACATGGGCAGCCTGTGCTGCTTGCTCGACGGTGATACCTCTCTTGACAAGTGCCAATCCGATCAAAAAACTTTTGCTGCTGATGACGGCTCTTTCTAATGCGGCGAGCTCCAACGGGTCCATATCAGTAACTGACTTTCTCAAAGTATCCTTTGTCTCTTGCGGCTGGTTCACTTGGAAGATACCGTCAGTGACTTTTAACTCCACATCGTATTGCTTTTCAATCCATTGAAGAATTGGCTTCCAATGTTGGGCTTGCAATTGGACCAATATTTCAGGGAAATCTTCGTGGAAGCATATAGTATCTGTTTCAAGGTAGGACATCAACTTATCAATGACCTGTGGGCGAATTGAGGGATCTTCTGCAGCTCCAATGTCAAGACCGTCAATGGCTCGAGACAACAGAGATGTCTACAGGGTTGCAGAATGATTAACCGTTTGCTCCATGCTCAGAATGATACATGTACTGGATCTTACCAAAGGTAGTGAGTGTGGCTTCAAGTTCGAGAGTTGACCATCCCATTCTGCGGCAAGCAGTTGGGCCAATTGCTTACGATCAGCAGACAACATAATTTTGTTCTTGGAAGGCGTTCGAAGGTTGCGACCGTCCAATTGTACGACGTACTTTTCATCATCCAATTTAATCGAAGCCTTTTTCCAGAAACGCTTCATAGTACGTTCAGCCTCTGTTTGTAAATGGGCGGGTTATGATGAGTCTTTTTGGAGGGATCATGATAAGTTGAATCAAGTAATTTATACGAACTGTTGGTTGCACTTTCTTTGGAGCCAGCAGCAGCAGCAGCTCCTGGTTGTGCGACTTGGAATCTCGGAGGTAAACAGTGGAATGATCGTGTTGTAGCATTGGTAATTCTAAGATTCCTGGCCAAGCAAGCGCTTGTGAGTTGTGAGGTAGTTCGAATGGCAGAGAACATGTTAGGAAGCTCAGGTACAAAAGTTGAGAGGACCCAACGAGCAATGTTGTGTCGTAAAAGACAGTCACGGACGGTTGGAAAATTGCCGGTTTGACAGCTTCTCTGGTTTGACCAAAAATCAGGCGTTTTGCCTCCCCTGCACTTTGGGATGGTCACAGGACAGAATATTTCAAACCGTGCATGAAGAAAGTGTCATACTGGGAATAAAAATAAATTGAAATGAATGATGAAAGCGACTTTCTATATCAGTGTGGCCACAACTTTGTATCGGCCTGGTACTTGAGATCAGGCATTAAAGTCTCAGTCACTTCACACAGGTATTTCCACTCTAGCCGATCCAATTATCCGTCAAATGAAGATTTTCTCATACCCAAATTTCGACCCTACCAACTTTGGTGATGACAGGTATTTTTTTGGTAGCTAAAGGGCCTTTATTTATCGGCGAGCTCATAAACAAATGTGTGCAAACTTGACGTCATGTTCTTGACCGTAGAGACGATCAATGCGTTTTCAAAGGACATCATTATTAGACCATCCTGCACAGGAACAGAACAAGGATGGCGTTATGGGGATTGTCTTAGGATGAGTGAAAAATGGCAAGTATCCGCATCGCAATGCAAAATATAACCCAAGTGGTGTGCCATTGAACATGTGAGCCGCTTATGTCTTGCAATTACTTGATTTGGCAGCTGTGGGGAGCTTTGGATTGCCTGATGATGAGACAATGCCATCAGTATATAAAGATCAATTTGGCTCGTAATAAAAACCTGACTTGAAAAGAATAATAACATCCATCTGATTCAGTCTCAAAATAACATTTACCATGGATACAGAAGCGGAACGCTCTAATTCTATGGGTGATGAACGCTCTAATTCTGTGGGTGATGAAAAGCACACCGTTCAACATACTACTGTGACAGAGGGCAGCAAGCTCGACGATAGAGCAGAAACATCTCACATTGATCACCACAAGCCTACTGTTGAAGAAATGGAAGGGTCTGGGGGACTGAAAGGTCTCCTAGCCAATCCTTTCGTGTTCGCTACTGCAGTCTTTGCATCGCTCGGAGGTCTCCTGTTCGGATGTAAGTTATAACTTGTGCATTTATGTGAGCTGGTATACATGCATGCTTATCCTGGCATCGCATATGTCGATATACAGATGATCAAGGAGTAATCTCTGGAGTGTTGGTTATGCCTGTAAGTGATGCTATCTGATATCAATTCCTTTCGTAAAATGTTCGATCCCGATATTCAATCAATTTCTTTTTTTAAAAGCACTTTATGGCGACGTTCCCATTGAATCCTACTGAGAAAGGCTTTGTCGTGGCCATCTTAGAATTGGGATGTTGGGCAGGCGCTTGGTTTGCCGGGTACTTTGCAGACAAGATTGGCCGAAAATTTACTATAGTTCTTGGAACCGTCATCTTCTTATTGGGCGCTTCTTTGGTATGTCTCGAACACATAAAATTGATCGACTTGGACAACTTCCTCATTTATGAAACATTATGCATTTATTGTTCCCACAGCAAGCTGGAGCTCAAAACATCAGCTTTTTGTTCGGTGGTCGTTTCGTATGTGGCTTGTCTATCGGTATCTTGAGTATGGTCGTGTAAGTCCACCATTTTGTCCCCAACTACGTTTGGCGTTTTTTACCCCACAAATTCCATGTTTTGAAACATGTGGCTTCCTTTTCGCCCAGACCCCTTACTAACTTTGACCTTACCTGCTTTAGCCCACTGTACCAAAGCGAGATCAGCCCTCCTGAAATCCGTGGTTCTCTCGTTGCCCTACAACAATTTGCTATCACTGGTACGTTGCTTATGCCTTACCTAAATTATCCCAGCGATGTTGCTCATCGTCTAACTCTTTCTGTTCAGTTGGTATCTTGATCTCCTTCTGGATTGACTATGGTACAAGTACGATTGACAGCGATGTCCAATGGAGACTTCCTCTCGCTTTACAGCTCATCATTGGATTGATCCTCGGTGTGGGCATCCTCTTCTTCCCATTCTCGCCAAGATGGTTGATGTCGCAAAACAGAGAGGAAGATGCTTTAAGGGTACTCAGTCGCCTTCGACGTTTGCCTCCTGATAATCCGATCGTTGAAGAAGAGTGGAGAGAAATCAAGGCTACAGTTGAATTTGATCGTCAAATCGAAAGAGAAAAGTACCCTCAGCATATCAACAATGGTGCAAAGGGTCGATTCATGATTGGTCTTGGTGGCTACCGTGACTTATTCAGAAAAGGCATCTTCAAGAGATTATGGCTGGGATGTGCTCTACAATTTTTCCAGCAATTTACTGGAATCAATGCTATCATTGTACGTTTTGTTCGACTGCTCATGTTAAATGAATAGCATTGCTTACTCATAATTTGCCCCATCGTTAGTACTATGCACCCACCATTTTCCAATCTATTGGTTTGACTGGTACAGCCGTGCCTCTCCTTGCTACTGGCATCGTTGGTGTCGTAAACGTTGTATGCACTATCCCAGCTGTCCTATTCCTCGACCAGTTCGGCCGACGAAAAGCTCTACTGGTTGGTGCTTTCTTCATGGCCATTTCTCACATTATTATTGCCATCATTGTCGGCCTCTTCGAGAACGACTGGCAAGCTCACACTACTGCAGGTTGGGTTGCTGTCGCTTTTGTCTACTTCTTCATTGGTAAGTCAATGCTGGACTTGAATTCAAATCTTTATTTTGTAACATGGTATACTCATTAATGTTACAGCCAATTTTGCCTACTCTTGGGGACCTATTGGTAAGAGAAAAATATCATATTTTGTGGCTGCGAGGGAAACTGTTCTTTAACATCACGGCCTATATTGCAGGATGGGTATATCCCAGTGAAATTTTCCCATTACGAATCCGTGCAAAGGCTATGTCGGTAACCACATCAGCCAATTGGATGTGCAACTTCATAATAGGTCTCATCACACCACCTATGATTGCCTCATTACGATTTGGAACTTATGTATTCTTTGCTGCATTCACTGTGATAATGTTCTTCTGGGTATTATTCTTCGTTCCTGAAACCAAGGGAAGAAGTTTGGAAGATATGGATCAAGTATTCGGTGATAAATCAGCCGTACATGATGCTGAGCTTATGGACCACATCCAAGCGCAAGTCCATGAGCATGATGCCCCACCAACTGCTGCAGTCAAACAGGAAAGAGATGATTTGGAATAAGTTAGCCTATATCGATTATAACTTCCTGACATCAGTTCCCCCCCCCCCTTTTTTTTTTATTCTTCTTTATTACGGGTGCGAGCTGCCAACCTGCCCATACCTATGTTTACCTATTCTTTATTCGCCTCTTTCTTCTCAATATTATACTACTGTAGTCTGGATATCTTAACTTCATATCCACAATATATGGTTGTCACCATGTGTTCTAGTATGGAATAAAACATGATATGCTGCCTATCGCAAGCGACGGCAATACAAATATGGCATGTCTGCTGTAATTAGTGTGGGAAGTGCAATGAAAGCAGTGTATGCTGTGCATCGGGTCAAGAGATATGACGTGCATGATACAAATACGCCTGTCTGTAAATGTATGCATACGCTGATTACAATACCATTGGCCTTTTCGATAACGATGTCATCGCGGCAGGTAAAAGCAGGGTTTGCAAAGGTCCTGCATCGGCAAAGGAGTTACGCATCTAACCACAGGAAAGGGAGAGTCTCAATTATTTTCGTGCTATCGCTCCAGCACTCTTTATTACAAGGCTTTTTGAAAACAAAATTACAGTACGCACAATACAGTAAACCAAACGTCAAATATGTACATGTGTGTTGAATCTACACGGTGAACAGTCGGTTCTGTTCTTGTTGTATGAAGCTGCATATGAAAATGGTCAATGCGATCCATTATTTTCATCGTAATATTTAGAATTAGCGATATCGTACCTTAACACATCAAGAAGATAGTCTCTCAGCATAAGAGCAGAATCAGGATCTACGTTGCTGTTAGCAATTAAGCGAGGCATTTGCACTGAGTTTTAGAACGAAGAAGTCAGTAATGCAGTCATCAGAGTGAGTGCCTGGAGGCATAGAAAGAGCCGATGTTTACCGAATAATCGCAAGAAGTGCTCTACGCCATAAATGTCTGAAGGTAAAGCAGAATCATTTTTCGCCATGATATCTGCATGTTGCTTTCGTTCAGATCGATAAAGAAGGGAATCTTCTAATGTTTTGTTGAAGTACAGCTTGATACCACGAACCACTTCAGTTAACAGCTCATCGGTCGCTCTGATTATTCCGGTTAGTGGCAATGCACCTTGATGCTATCACGTATCATTGAAAGTTCATACCCATTACGCTTGCTAGCTTTCATAGCATGATCCAAGTAGTCTTCCAAGATGTCCGATACATTAGGTTTTCGTGGAAGGGGTATGAGCTAGATGACGGTTTGGTTAGTACTAAACATTATGGTAAAGGGAGAGATAGTCTTTAAACTGCACACACCTTTTGGGTTTTTGTAACATTCTCCCAATCATCCACCAAGAAACCTTTGAGCTGCTCCGGAATATCCAACTTGACTTCTACCTTGTTCATCAATTCCTCCTCCTGCAATCCATACGTTAACACTTTCTTAACATATCGTGTCAAAATCCTCATGCATTTGTGACCGCGTACCTTCGCCTTGTCAAGACTCGAGTCCCTGGCTCGCTTTCTACCTCGCGATTCGCCGTCATGCGACTTTTCTGTTGTAATGGATGTTGAAGTTGATGACCGTGCTGGCTTCTTTCTGTTATGTGCCTCTTTCAACTGTGTCTGTTTCTGCAGATTCGTCTCCGTCCACTTCAATACGCGATCTTCAGGCACCCACTCATCCCAGCTATCCAAAACGCTGTTAGTCGCGAATATGCCTCCATAACAGTTCTTCAAATGCTAACTCACGTCTGCTTCCATCTTCTATAATGGACGAAATAATGCGGTCCATGTCTTCCCTCTTCGTCCACATTAGCGCTTTTCAATACCTAGTTTGGCAATGTTGCAAGTCAGCCGTCGCGATCGTAACGTATTTCGTATGACTCGGCTCGTTTCTGTGATTCTCACCTTGGCTTCATACAGCATTGGACCATGATAGCAAAGAACACGCTCATCGTCTGCAAAGGTCGGTACCTCCTTTGGCATTCCGTCTGAGATTTGTTTCGCGATTACAGCTTTTTCCGGCTTCAGTATAACGAATTTGTGGAAAATTGTCAAAGTCAGATCACCGCGAGTCATGTCACGTTTCTTCACAATATTGACAAGTATCATAAAATCAGCGACCCACTTATAAATCTCACTCAGAACAATCAATCAATCATATGGCAAGGAGAACCGTTTGATGAGCGTTGCAAGAACAAAAATTCAAGTATGAACATGTTAAAAAATAGGGTTTCGAAAAGAAATATTCCTTGCAGATTGAACTGTAATAAGCCCAAAACAAAAGGTTTGTCATGGGACATAGTAGTTGGACACTGTACTTCAATGGCTTGTTTTTCAGGCGAGCCACATTCTGGATGAATGTCGCCTGAGTTGAAATCTAATTCCAAACTATAGATCATGCCGCTGATTGATTTTCTCAGATGTTGGTGTAAGAAATAATCTCTATATGGCGAACCCCCAGCAGCCAATATAATCTCAATTTAGCACCCACATTCGTGTATGCTCGAAGTGATATAACAAAGAAGTAGCATGAATATATATCTTTTATGTGTAGAACGAAGAGCACAATGGTTTGCAAAGCAATTGTTGCATATCTCAGTCGCTGCGCCATGTTGAATCCTTTGCAGTCAAATATTCCTTCTTCAACCTTACTCAATGTTGTATATCAAATGACTATGAGCTCACACGAGTATCAAATTGTTTGCACGGTGTGGCTATGCAATTTAAACTAGATCGATTACTTGGTAAATTCTCGCTCCAAAGTTATGTTAGATGCCGATCATAGTATTACGGTTTGTCGGCATGACCCTGGTATGATGGTCTAACTGAACTCACGGGTCAAAACACGATGCGCGAAGAAAATTTCAAGTCGAGTAAGGAGATCATCTCCCGCGTAACGCTACGACCAGCCTACAGTCCCTTGTTATTACCGATCGATAATGCTGCAAAGTGTCTCTTTTTAGTCAAAGGTAAACCGACCAATGTAAGCTCAATCAGATCCGCCCATTCTTGGTTTGTTTGCCTTGTTCCACACGCAATCCAATTGGAACCCGTGCATCGTAACCCGTGAGATACTTAGAAAGCTCAATGATCACAGGATTGTATTCTCAATATTTCTTTTGATTGAATTTTGCTTCGGATGTCCAAGTCCAATATCAAATACGAACACATATATTTATTATTTATGTGGACTTCATTTTACTTTTTTCGTGTGAGCGGGCGGAGAACTTTGAGTTTTTAGTGATCAATTGTCATGTGGCTCACGAACCACTTTGTGGTCATAAGCCGATAGTAGGGACCAAAGTGGAGGAAGAATTTATCGATTACTAAAATTTGGAGTCGAGCCAGGGAGTGGTATCGATTAGAGAAAGCACAATCTTGGAGATGTGTACCGTTTTTTTTTTAATCGATATGATTTTTGGCACGTGGAGTACTGGAATAAAGGGAAACACAAATGCAGTGTCAGCAGAGTGTAACCACTGTTTGAATATAATATTGGGGTCCAAGATCAGATGAGCACTATCTATCACATCAGACTGTTGCTGCTACTATTCCGTAAAAAAAACATACACATCATCACCATTATTTCGTTTAACCAGTGGACCTTTGTTGATGGTGTATCAGAAGAAGTTGATGTTACCCAGTATTTTAATAGATCGACACACCTGATCTCCATCTCTTCTCTCTTCTCTTCTTCATTTTCTCGGGCTCAATTATTACCACGCAAAGAAAATCATAAGAAATGAGCACCGATAATCAACAAATTTATGGGTCAGTTGAAGGATCTTCTGCTGCTGCTACTACAAAACTGACGCCCGACAGAGTCGCCAAGTTTTTGCCCTTGTCCGCAAAAGGGATCAATTCCGATGGCAGAATCATTCATGTTACGCATCAAATTCCATTCAATATTATTCGAAAACAAAAAGAATTTATGGTTGTCGCCGAGGCTCTTCCATCGCCCCCCGGTACTCCCCCACGGGGTAAACAGGATACGACAGAAATCTCGGTTGAGGCCAACTCCGCAAAGGAACAATGGCTATTCGTTCATCGCCGAGGCCATTCTGCAATGTACTCCGGTATCCAGAGTGTTTCACAAGAAAGAGAATCAATTCACATTGGTTGGACCGGCAATATTCATGAGCAGCACACCAAGCGCGTTGTGAATGACATCCATGATGATGACAAGAAAACCTTGACGAAGCTACTTGAAGAGAAGAGCATTGTGCCTATTTTTTTGGACAAGAAACAATCGCACAATCATTATGAAGGATACTGCAAATCGAGTATGACCACCTTTTTTTATGAATGCTATTATAATTTTTGAGTCTTATGAAAATTCTCTCAACAGCACTTTGGCCACTTTTCCACTACCTGACCTGGAGCAAAGCCTCTGATGGCAGAGAAGAGAAAGTCAACTGGGAGGATTATGTCGCTGTAAACACACAATTCGCACAGTGCATCGCTTCCCAATATCGTCAAGGAGACAAGAGTGCGTATATAGGATCTGACAGACCGCATGGTCTTTTTTTATTTACCTCACTAACCTGTCCGTTCTACATCGTTAGTCTGGATCCAAGACTATCACTTGCTATTAGTGCCAGAATTACTACGTGCCCTCGTTCCAGAGGCTCCCATCGGGCTGTTCTTTCACGTTCCCTTTCCTAGTTCGGAACTCTTCCGTTGTTTGTCCAGTAAGTTAAAAGAACCTCCGTAGACAGCTTTGACGTTTGATCTAACCGTGGGAAATTAGCTCGCAAACAAATCCTGACCGGCCTTCTAGGTGCTGATTTGATTGGATTTCAGGTGATTTCATTGTTGACGGGTGTACTATTGCAAAATTAGTTGCGCAAACTCATACGGTTTTTTCAAAGACGTTTTCATACGCAAGGCACTTTATTTCCTCCTGCACTCGTGTGCTTGGCCACGAATCTACTCCTTTGGGAGTCAACGCTGCTGGTCACATCGCCTCCGTTTGTACCATTCCCATAGGGATCAATGCTCAGCATGTCGATGTCCTAAGAAATTCCCCTGGTGTGATTGCAAAGGTAGAGTCTATCCGTGAGACCTACAAGGGAAAGAAGATCATCGTAGGACGTGATAAGTTGGATGTTACCAAAGGAGTGATTCAAAAGCTCTCTGCCTTTGAGAAATTTTTGGAAATGTACCCTCAATGGAGAGACAAGGTTGTGCTGATCCAAGTCACCACCCCAACTCACTCCAACAACTCGGGATTGGAATCCAAGATCTCTGATCAAGTCAGTCATATAAACAACACTTACGGATCCTTTGAATTTCTTCCCATCCACTACTATCATCAAGATGTTGATCCTGACCAATATTATGCGCTGCTATCGGTGGCTGATCTTGCTTTGATCACTAGTGTTCGTGATGGAATGAACACCACAAGCTTAGAGTACATTATGTGCCAGCAGGAGCGCAAGAGCCCACTGATCCTTTCGGAATTTACAGGAATGGCCGGCAGTTTGAGTGCTGCCATGATGGTTAATCCTTGGAATTTTGCTGGCGTTGCAAAGGCTATAGACACCGCATTGTCCATGCCGCTAGAAGACAAGATAACCCGTCATACTGTGAGCACCCAATCTTTGTTCACCTAAAATGTAATCCACGATACTAACCACATCGCTTTATTTCAGCAATTGTTTGATCATGTTAAGAACAACACGTCTGAATTCTGGGCCCAGACCTTTGTTAAGCAGCTCCAGGTCATTCGGGAACAACCCTTCCAATTCAGCAGAACCCCATTGTTGGACTATCAAAAGTTGAAGGCTGATTACGATAAGGCTAACAAGAGGATCATGTTTTTTGACTACGATGTAAGTTCAATATAACCAGAATTAAAATGACCAGCATTTCAAATATTTCCAAGCTTACCTCTCTGCAATAATAGGGTACATTGACCCCTATCGTATCAGTCCCATCTGCCGCTTTGCCACCCAAGGACATGTCTGAATACCTTCAGATTTTGTGCGATGACCCTAAAAATGAGATATGGGTGATTTCTGGTAGAGACCAGGAGTTTCTTGAGAAATGGCTAGGAGGTATTCGCAACCTCGGATTCAGCGCTGAACACGGCTGTTTTATGAAACAACCTAATTCTGATAATTGGATCAACATGCTGGAAGACGTTGACATGTCATGGAAGAATGACGTGCTGAAGATTTTTGATTACTACACTGAGCGTACACAGGGAAGTTTTGTGGAGCACAAAAAATCTTCTATTACCTGGCATTACAGACTAGCTGATCCACAATACGGGTAACTTATCAAGCCTTTATATCGTGGTTAGCTTCCGCATGCTGTACTAATACTCATCTCTCATTTAATAGATTGTTCCAGGCTCAAGAGTGCCAAAACCATTTGGAAAACGCTCTTTTGTCGAAGTTACCCGTCGAAGTCATGGTTGGCAAAAAAAATCTGGAAGTCCGTCCATTGGCCATCAACAAGGGAGAAATTGTCAAGAGATTATTGGCATTAAGCCCAGAAGTTGATTTTATCGCGTGCGCTGGCGACGACAAGACAGATGAAGACATGTTCCGAGCTCTGTGTGCTTCCCCCGTGGGCGATTCATGTTACGCAATTACTGTGGGTCCTTCAGATAAGAAGACATTGGCCAATTGGCATGTGGAAAACAGTGAAGACATTGTTCAAGCTCTTGGACTAATGGCTGGTGCAGCCAACGGTCAGTAATCACTGTCAGTATGAATGATATGAAATGGTAGATTTACAATTGTTACGAGTATGAAGTGATGGGAGTGATATAGAAGCAAGTCGAAGCAAATCAAATGTATAATGTATATCCAGAAACTGCATAAAGGCATTCACTTTTTTTTTGTGCCAATTGAAAGGTGTATAAACACGGATCATGGCCGGTTTTTGTTATAACGTGAAACAGCATGCTTGTATCTTTTGGAATTTTTCGACGTCGAGGATTCAGCTGGGTCTGACTGGAATTGTCTCTTTCGTTTTCCATTGTGATTCGAGTGGCCATCATAGTTTCCTTTCTTGCCAGGTCTATCTTCATATCTGCTTCTCCTTCCAGAATCATCTTCATGTCTGCTCCTCCTTCCAGATTCATCTTCATATCTGCCTCTCTTTCCAGAATATCCTTTCCTCTTATCTTCTTTGTTCAGTGCATGCCTTATCGCCATACGGGAGGGCCGTGAGTTGCTCAAATGAAAATTTCCCAGACCTTCTAATACATATTGTTTACCACAGGGTCGCTGATCGCCGACGTTGGCTGGAAGCAGTATGAACGATGATAAAAGAGAATCTTGCTCTGAAGTCTTCAAGCGTTCATCTAGCAATTGATACGCCTTCTTGAGACCACTTATAATCTTGTCTATCTTCGTACTTGATCTAGCGACATTGACATCTGGATAGCTCTTAGTCTTCGGTAGCATATACTTCATTGCAACTGTTCAATTCCACCCACCTTCATTGTCAGGATCCTCAACAGCTATAACTTCTGGGTTCTTCAAAGGACTATTCGTGGACTTGGTATCCTACGAAGCAAAGCAGTAATGGAATGGTCAAAAAGGGATAACAGTTCCTCATTGGGTGTACAAGCTCTTACCTTTTTGAAAAAGCCACCCTTGTTCTTTAAGAATATGCCAGTATGAACAAAGTCGAATTCAGACCAATACTTGAGGATTCTAAGAAGCGTATTTCCTAAAGATAAATCTTCTATCTTCACGCCTTTGTCTTCTTCCATCTGTGGAGATGTTATAAACTAAATACGCATTATATCAATAAAAATCAACCTGCCTGATTACCTGAAAAAAGCGAACGATGAGGCAGATCAAAGTGAAACTGGCCATCCCATTTCGCTTAGTATCCATCATATAAAATGTTGGATGGTTGTCTAACATCAAGCTTGACAACCCGTGTTTTAATACCAGAAATAAAGGTTTAAGCAATGAATACTCCTCCAGCCACTTTATAGTGGTCGCCGTACTCGGTGCATCGTTGTTGATGCATATATCAACTTCAATATCGGAATCGTTCAGAGAGAGGGCAAATACTGGTACCTATGGTATACGGATTGTCGAGGTCAGAGAGGTTTTCAGATAGAAAAAGCTATACATTTTGTTTTAGGTTTGTCTTACTTTCATGTTAGGTCTTGCTACCACATTGGTTCTCGCGTACGTCGTTAATCTCTTTTTCAGCATAGCTTTACGGAGCTGGCGTAGACTGAACGCTATAGTGTCGGTAGACATTTCGCGTGGGATTTTTACGCATATATCGACGTCGCTAAATCAGGCATTGAGGTCAACTATTGTACATAGGCAAATGCATATTATACGGCGATGACTTCCATACCTACAAGGTAGTTCCAGTCCAGTAATGATAGAGCCGTAAGCATGAATGGAACTACTAGGAAACTCTTCTTTGACTATCTTAGTCACTTGGCTCAAAGCTTCGTTCCGTAATTGCGCTTCCTTTTTTGTAGGCTGAATGTAGGTTATGAATTCTTGAATTTCCTTTGACAAACTGCAATTCAAGCATTCTTCAGAATCCAGTGTCAGTTCAAGTATAAGCCTGTGTCAATGCTGCTTACCGTTCCTCAGGATCCTTGCAATTAACAGATTCCTGAATCCACGGACTTGTTCTCATGTTTCGTTAGAGGTTCGTAGTTGCACCCGGCGTTCGATAATTTTTTTTTTTCCCCTTCGCGTCCCCAAAAAAATCTTGGGAAGTGTTGCACTCTTTCCCTTCCGACACTCAACATGGCATTATCGGTTCAGAATCAGTTTATAATGGTCAAGCCAAAGGATAACGATATATAATTTTTTAGAGAAACGATTGGATTTTCAATGTCATTTATACTAAGCATACCAGTGCTGGTGTAAATACTAGGAGAAAGTCTTGATTTCACTATTCTTTTGCGAGAAGGTTGTGATTTTCCGTCTCAGTCTCTTCATCAATAGTCTGCATAGTCTCAACAGAGCAAACTGAACGTCTCTGCCGCGTAATGGTTCGCTTTATACTTTCTTGTTCATTTTCGTCCAGTAGGAAGGAGTGCTCATTGCTATGATCTTCTTCACTATCCGCCATATTCACTTGCGATACTTCTGCATAGTAATATTGGGAGCGTGATTGGGGGTACATCTCTGTGATGAAGCGATGCAACTTCGTGTTTAATGAATTGAAAAGTGCCATAATCTAGCAAAGTTGAAGACAAGAAGCCAAGGCAACCGATCAACCCAAACCGATTAGCATTTTAAGAATGAGCATTAGCTGAGTTACCCCTTTTTTGTAGTCGTGCATACGTGTTATGGTTTTACGTTCCTACTGCCAAGGTTTAATTGACTCTGGAGTTGATACTGGAAATGAATGTAATGAAAGTGTTAATTTATCCAATAAATGTTTTGACAAATGCAACTTTATATCAGCAGTATTCTTCCAAACAGCTGCCGTCTATACAAACAAGAAAATGATATCATGTTAGTTGGCCTGGTCTCCTTTCGAAGGTACACCATTACATTGGGTCCCCAGGACAACACAGGGCATAAAGGGGGAGGGTATTATGGTTTGTTCTTTCGAAGGTCATCCCACACACACAAACAGAACGGTCATTACTGAGAAAATGGAACATTATTTGCAAAAATTCTGTTATTATTAATACATTGAAAGATCGTTTAATGCAACACAAACAGCAGCTTTATGGTGCCCGTTATATTGACGGATAGTTTCTCCTTGCGACAACTCCCACAATCTTGCCGTGTGATCCGACGAAGCTATGATGGTTTTGTCCAAAATTTAGTGATCAGCCATTGCTAACTCATATTCGGTAAAATTACTTACCTGTCACAAGATATGCAGAATCGGCAGAGAATGCACAATCCCAAACCCATCGCTGATGCCCCACCAACGTCTTTTCCAGAGTAAACTTGCCATTTTCCGTGTTCCAAATCTTGACTGTTTTGTCGGCTGAACATGTTGCGAGGTGCCTGAAAGGATATCATTGGTTACAACATGCTGCGTCGATCGCGGATGCACTCCTCTACTGCTTACTTTGTATCTGGGCTCAAAAGACATCTGGTAATATATTCATTATGAGCGTTGAGTTTAGTTATAGGCTTGAGGTCTGAAGATTCGTTTCCTTTTGGTAGTTGCCAGACATAACAGTTCCCCTATGAAAGCTTGGTTAACACCTGTATTTCTTGCAAACGCAACAACTCTATCAAGTGCATACCTTGTTATTAGCAGCAACGAGCATTGACCCATCAGAGGCAACAGTCACAGATCGCAGTGGTACTTCTTCTTCCGGTACCTTTTGAGCAGCACTGTTAGCCAACTTATTCATAATTGGTGTAAAGAGGATTGGTAGGTACTTACCAGCTCATGTGTACATGCATTAGCGCTCAAATCCCATATCCGAACACTTCCATTTTGGTCACAAGAAATTAATTCGCCTTGGTTGGGGTGGATGACCACGTCGTTTATAGGTGATTCATGGTCGAATTGACGTGTAATGACCGGTCCCCTACAGATGGATAGTAAGTAAGTACTTCTGGATCAGGTTGCCTTCAAAACTTAATAAATACATACCGGGTATCCCATATTTTCAAATGTCCATCCTCACCACCGGTGAACGTCCACCGACACTCGGCATGGAAACCTGTGGCTGTGATGTTGCCAGTATGGTCGCCAAATTGGGTTATCTACAAAAGCATTATCGGGGCGGGGCGCGATCAGCATATATCATCTTCCATGGACGTCCTCATCAAAGAAAGATGTTACTTACAGGTTTCGGATTACTGCTATTGATGTCGTATAGCCGAACAGCATGATTGCCTATGTTGACAGTATGAGCCATAGACCCGAACATACATTAAACGACAAATCATAATGAACTTACCTGCTGCTGCCAAATACCGCTTGTCCGGTGATATGCACAATCTATTCACTTGCTATAAGGTTTGAAGCTATTAAAAAATTGGCCGAAAGACATAACATTTTCTATATCTTCAATTGCTTACAGAATTAGGGTGCTGTATTGTTCGGGAGCAGATTCCGCTAAGAGCTTCCCAAAATCGAATTGTGTTGTCATAGCCAGCTGTGACTAGAATGACTGAATGAGATTCGGGGCTCTGCTTTGGCTGCTGCTGTGCATTTAGAGGTTCCATTTTGGTTGTTCCATTTTTGAGAGCCATTTGAGCTAGCGCAACAGTTTGGTGAATGTCTTGCGGGTTGTGCAGCTGGTTAAATTTCAAGCGCAACGTGTGTCGGTTGGCAAGCCCTTATTTCAAAGTCCGACTAAATGGCCCCCAGTGGCTACACCTTTCGCCATGCGACCCACCGACGAGAATACAGTAGTTATTTCAGATGTCATATTATGTTCGAAAGACGTTGAATTTATTACATATCTATTTGATTATGTTATCAGATATAACTTATAATTGAAAAGTGCAAACGTTAGCATAGGTAGCCACCCAACAATGTGCCACTAACTCCAAATTATCCAACAAAATACGAAGGAATTCAGAGCATTTCAATATAGTAGTCTCAATTTCTATCCATATTCGCTTTTAGTAAGAACTTGATTTATACTAGGGTGCGCTGCTAAGCTTTCAGCCTGTTATTTCACTTAATGCGATCAAGATGTTTGTGACTATCAACTTTGCTCAGCCAAAGTCATGACGTATCACTGTCAGTTTTTCAAAACTGTCGGGTTTGAAGTGACCATGTTTTTTTTTGGATGCTTCTGAAAATTTAAAGGCACCTTCTTTATTGTTGCTTCAATCGTCAGTAATGCTAGCTCTCCGATCCTTGGCAAGGCAGTGCACCAGAGTGCCAGCAGCAATTCGCTCCATGTCTACAGCAGCTGAGGCTGGTAAGGCTAATACGTTTTTTTGTCCAATGCACAGTGATTCCAGCACTAACCTTCCGTAACCTTTAGCTCCAAAGTACACAGCACCTGCCTCCATTCAGGTCCCAGCCGAGCAATTCCCAGCACCAAAAGTTACCAGAAAGAACCTGATTGATGTTGTTTCGCAAGAGCAAGTTCAGCGTGCTAACGTTGACGGAAGAATGGAATTGTTTTCTCGTAAAAACCCAAATCGCATTCAACCTGGTTCAGTGTTGCTAGTAGAGACTCTTAACTCCAAGGCAAAAGAAAGCACCTCAACATTCATGGGCGTCGTCATTGCCATTAGACGAAAAGGATTAGAAACCACCTTCACGCTACGAAACCTTGTTATGAAGGTCGGTGTCGAACAACGTTTTGCCCTGTATTCTCCTATGTTGAAGAGCATCAAGGTTCTTCAACAAGCTGGTAGCAAAGATATCAAGTTCAGAAGAGCAAAACTCTTTTATCTCCGAGACCAGCCTGGCAAGGCATTCCAATCATTACAGTCATTGTGGAAGCAGGAGCAAGCAGAGAAAGTTGCTGCCAAAAAGAACTAAAATCCTTCACTATCTACATAGACTTCTCGTTTCTTTCCATGCTAAATCTTTACGCTGTCATGCAGAGGTGATAGTTTGTAATATAATCTTTTTCAATACACTCAAAAGTTTACTTCAAATTCCAGTGGAGCGAAAAGTTTGCACAATAAGGAAATAGGAAAGAAAAGGATTTGAGATTATTCGGTGATTGCAAATGCGCTAGCATAGCTTACACTACTGTCCTTAGGGGTCTTACAAGGGCTGCTCTGGTCATAGTGAACGAATTTCAAACGTTGATGTTGGCCCTGTTCCTTAAGCTTGGCAAGCGCAGCTAAAAGTACACCAATTGGATGTCTACCACATATAGTGTTTTCGGTCTCTCGCAAGTATTTAGTGAAGGCTTTATGATCCAGATCTTCAATTATCTTCATTCCAGCATGATCCAGGTTCGAAATGGACTTGTGTATTGGAGTTGTGATATCACTTGGTTTACTCGACTGCCTCAGATGTAGCGGACTAGAGGAATTTTCTGCCTTATAGTATTGGTACTGAAAACGTGAGCCCCTGCGAAGCAGATCTTTATGAATATACAATAGCTGCAGCATGACTGTTTAGAAGCATACTTACCAATGACAGAAGTCCGATGAAATGATAAAGAGTGTATGGGGGTCGGCCAGATACGACGCAAGAGCAGCACCATACACCTTTTCCTTTTCAGCAGATATCGATCCTACCATGATTGGAACAATCTTGATACTATCAATTTTGCTAAAAACGAATCGATTAGCACATTTGATTTACAAAAGTGTCATGCCAGTTCAACCCTACCTTTCAAAAATCTTGTAGGTATAAGGTAAATGCATCTCGATGCTATGCTCGTCCTCATCGACAGAGTTACTCATTGCTTTGAAGAGACCGGTCTTCTTTAGCTCCTCCACAGCTGTGTTATACAGTCTTACATCAGTAACTATCTAAAGTCACTTGAAAGCCTTCATTACTTCACTCACTATCGGTGTCGATTTGGAGGTTACCTAGCGGAGTCTCGTACTCGACTGCCGATGGTACCGCACAAGCATCAAGGTAGACGTGATGCGATGGTCCTAGAATAAAGACACGAGTTCTACAAAACATTGTTCAGTCTTCCAAAAAACAAACCGTTTGCTATGGGACCGTGCTTACATAGGTTCAATATCAATGCATTTGTACGCATAAGCAGCGGTTGGGCCACTATAAGAGTACCCTGCATGTCTGTAGAGAAGTTTTAGTAGTTTCGATGTATATAAGCAAAGCATACGATAGTTACTTACGGGCCAATAATTGCTTTCGTTCCTTTTACCGGGTAGGGAGTATTGTCGTCGGTAGTAGCTGGTACACTGTCAAGGTAGGACTGAAGTCTGTCGTTTAACTGGTTGCCTGCAAGTTTACTGTCAAATACAAATACCTACTGACGCCATTCCAAAGAAGAACATGTCTTACGATTTCCAGAGTACCAGCTTCCAGCATGTGTTGCATTTCTTATCATTTCCGTACGATAGTTCCGAGTTTGGGAATAGCGGTGCGAAAGTACGTTGAATACCTCAGGTATGCGTATTTGTCGTAGTTTGAGGTCCACGTGATGTCTATGATTTCCAATGATCCAACCCACAACAGTATCAAGGAATTAATTGAAATGAAAACAGCAACATATTGGTGTTCTTTATAGCCATGAGTAAATTTGACTGATAACATGGGATTTATGCTAGATATGGCTGTACAATGACGGTAATGGGATAATCGTCTCAAATTTTTGAACAATGCGAGCGATCAAGGCGTATGGCATATAAAATAGATGTATTCACTCCTTTTCTGCTTTACTCGCTAGGAGGAACCTATGGAATCTTCATGAATTATGCGACAAAGTTCATTCTAGAATGTGGTGTCAAAATACAATCTTTTTTCATAAGCCAATTTACATCCATTTCAACAAGCTTAAGAAAGTCAATTTTAGCTGCAGGTAACGACAAGTTCTATAAAGCAAGCAATGCTTGACAGTAAAAGGGCATTTTATAACAATGTCTTTGCCATATCTATACGACAATACACGTATCAGATGCAACAGTGTATAGAATTGCCATCTAATCAGCCAGCACTGGTATCGGAGCTGCGATTTTCAACATCCTTTCACTTCAAGCATATCCAGAGTCACCCATGCAAGATTTTTAGTCCTAATATTTAGCTTATTTTAGCTTCATAGTCATTTCACGTTTTATATAGAATAATTTGTACTTCAAAAGCAATGTTATGTAGGTTAGATTTATATTGTCAGGCACGGTGGCAACAACAGCTTAATCTGTTTTTCAAGGTAAAATTACAGACCTCGCGTTCACACTCGTTTCCCACGATGTCATGCTCTCCCCACTTCAAAAAGATACAGTGGTACTAAGCAGCATTCTTTTTCTCAAATCAAACTATGTTCAGATTTCTAGCAAAGACCTCATTGCAGACAGCAGTAGTACGCTCAAGTGTTACTCCAGCACGTGTAGCACCATTGGCCGCGCGATCCTTCACAACTGGTAGTGGTGATTCAAAGGTATATATTTTTTGAATGCTCATCGGCTTCACCAGCGTGGATGTTCATTAGTTATCACCCGAAGAGCGACGCTATTTGGAAACTAGGACAGTTGAACCATGTGGCTATTGCTGTTCCAGACCTGGAGAAATCAACCCAGTTCTATAAGACAGTTATGGGAGCGCAAATTAGCGGTGTGCAGGTGAGTCCAACAGTTGATCCCCAGCCGAACTCAGTGCAATCAATCTGACTGTGGGGCGGTTTCACGTACATTCAGGAATTACCGGAACACGGTGTTTACACTGTTTTTGTCAGTCTCGGCAACACCAAGATCGAGTTACTCCATCCCCTCGGTGAAAAGAGCCCGATTTCCAAGTTCTTGGAGAAGAATAAGGATGGCGGTATCCATCACATTTGCATAGAGGTAAAAAAAAAAAGTCTAGAGATTGGAACAAATTACATCAGCAAACAGCGTATTTATCGTTTCACCCCAGGTTGATGATGTCTATGCAGCGATTAAGGACCTGACAGCTAAAAACATTCGGGCACTGAATCCTGAGCCCAAGATTGGAGCTCATAATAAGCCTGTTGTATTCTTGCATCCCAAAGACTGTGGAGGTGTCTTGGTTGAATTGGAGCAGCGTTAGGTGTGTCATACTGATGGATAATGGTAGTGTATAGTCAATAGTATCAAATCTTGTGTACATGTACCCACAAAACCCTGGAGTACAATAAAATAGAATGGCCAACGGGCGGTTGGAAAACCTAAAGATTGAAGAACCGATATGACAGTTTGACCATTCATGCGCACTGTTGGTGCGGATTTGTTTAAAGGAACCATTTGAAACCTTGAATTGAGCTGTAACCCCGCTGGATTTCAGGGCAAATGCCAGTCACGTCACAGCATTTGCAACATTTAAAAATGGATGGTATCGCTCTACTTTCAACTCTGAATACAACACTCCCTGTTTAGTTTCATTTCATTAAGCACCTGATTGACTAGAAAACATGGCATCCCACAAGACTGGTAAGAAACTTATGTGCATTGCGCGAATAGCGTCACTTTATGTACTCGCTCCAGGATTGAAGGCTGATTTTCTCAATATCAAATTACAGTAAAGCACCTTATGAACGATCCCAAAGATGTAAGTGTTCCCGGTTATTTGGCGTACCAAGTAACGTATGCTAATAACTACGTTTTGATTAGGTGGTGATCGAGAGCTTGAAGGGTCTCTGCTATACCAACCCTCATCTTCGTTTGCTCGAGAACGAGAAAGGTACAGTATAAGAGCATGCTACGGTTGCGTTCAGTACTTCCGCCGACTAACTTGACTTTTACTTTTTCAGTTGTCTACAGTTCCGATATTGATGCTATTGCCAAGAAGCAAGTTACCATCATTTCTGGAGGAGGAGCTGGTCACGAGCCCGCCCACGCCGCATTCGTGGGTGAAAATATGTTGACTGGTGCCGTCAGCGGGCAAGTTTTCGCATCACCTTCCGCTGGACAAATCCTGGCCGCTTTGAGAAAGGTGCGCTCTCCCCACGGTACTCTTGTGATTATCAAGAACTATACTGGTGATTGCTTGCACTTTGGTCTTGCTGTTGAGCGCGCGAAGGCCGAGGGTATGAACATTGAAATGGTCGTTGTCGGCGATGATGTTGCTGTTGGTCGTGAAAAGGGAGGACTTGTTGGACGCCGAGGTCTTGCCGCTACTGTGCTGGTTCACAAAGTTGCTGGCGCCGTTGCTGCTCAAGGGTAAGTGTACTGGCGGCTAGTGCTATTCCAAAAAAGAAAAGCCGTGACTGTGTGTAAAACTGAGTAGACCCTAATAGTTTCTTCTTTGCAGCGGATCCTTGACCGAGGTTCGTGATGCTGCCAAGTATGTCATCGAGCACAGTGCCACCTGCAGTGTCAGCTTGGACCATTGCCATGTTCCTGGTTCAAGCAGCTTCGCTAGTCTCGGTGTTGACGAAATGGAATGGGGTACCGGTATCCACAACGAGCCTGGTGCAAAGAAGTCTGGTATCGTTGACGTCAAAACCATTGTCAAGGAGCTTTTATTTACTATCTTGGATGAAAATGACAAGGATCGTGCTTACCTCAATCTGAATAAGGACAACGAAAAGATTGTTTTGTTGGTCAACAACCTTGGTGGTATCCCTGTTCTTGAACTTGGTGTCGTTGCAAAGGAAGCTGCTGAATACCTTGCTGAGAACAACATTGAAGTCGAGCGAATCATCAGTGGTACCTTCATGACCTCTCTCAACATGCCCGGTGCCTCCTTGACATTGCTCAAGGTCCCCAAGACCTATGGAAATTTGGACTTCTCTTCCTTGTTGGATCTTCCCGTTGGCGCTCCTGGCTGGCTCAACAACAGCCGTCGTGGCTTCTCTCTTGACGTTTTGGATCACACCGCTGGCCTCAGTGACATGTCCGTTGAGCTTTCCAACAAGACTGCTGGAAAGATTGCCAACCCTGCTGCCGTTGCTGATGCTCTCCGCGCTGGTGCTGAAAACATCATTGCCCACGAGCCTGAAATCACTCACTATGACACCATCCTCGGTGACGGTGACTGTGGTCAAACTTTGAAGGAAGGAAGCAATGCCCTCATTGCTGCTTTGTCTTCTATTGACTTTTCATCGGGCCCAAGCGCCATCCTTGCCATCTCTGATATCTTGGATACAAACATGGGAGGAACTTCCGCTGCTATCTACTGTATCTTCTTGAATGCCTTGGCCATTGGTCTGGTCAATGCTTCCTGCAATACCTCCGATCAGTCTGCTGGTAGTGTCGCTGTTTGGGCAGAGGCTCTCAAGCAAGCATTGGACTCTCTCATGAAGTACACACCTGCTCGTGAAGGCGACCGAACCATGATGGATGTGCTCATTCCATTCATCAACACTCTCCACCAAACTCAGTCAGTGGACCAAGCCATTGAAGCTGCCAAACAAGGCGCTGAAAAGACGAAAACTATGCGTGCCAAATTGGGTCGCGCATCCTATGTTAACGATGAAAGTGTTAAGTCTGCTGCAGTTCCCGATGCTGGTGCATGGGGTCTTCTCGCTCTTCTCACCGGTATCCAAAAAGGTCTTGCGCAGTAAATTGGTTCGCTTCAAATCTAGCTTCGTAACACCCAAATAAGCTTCTTGCGTTCCTTTTTTCACCTGCTCTTCCTCATAGTCGCCCTATCCTTAACTTCATCCATTTTGTATGCTGGCTTATCGGCATACTGTACAATAAAATACCAAATTATTCACTAGCATGTATGGTAATAACTGTTTTAATAATGAATGACGTTGAATGTTTAAAGAAAAGAGTGGCCGGATAAAAGTTAATCACATCCAAAAATGCTTAGATAATGTAGTGGAACAAAAAGGAAAGGTAATAAAAAAAAAATACAAGGCACAGTGCATTGCTAAGGTGATTGAGGAAATCACAGTGGTTAAGAGGAAGGAACTTTCAGAGTATTAGTACACATTACTATGGACAGGGTGACGAGAGAGAGGTTTTTTTTTTTAACGCTGAATCGTCATGAATCTTTTCTGATTACTCTTTGCGGCCGCTCTCCTTTGTCTGGATAGAATAACCACAGGGTCGTCTGCATCAGAGTCTTCCGAAGACATGTCATCGGCCGCATCGCTCGATTCCGAATCCGATGCTCCATGGAAAGGTATGAAATTGGCGAGCGGTCGTCTTGAGCTACTAGGCGATGACAAGTCGTTTGAGGTTATGGTGGTGTTTGAGGTGGTCGACCTTCCGTTCTCGGAAAATGTACTAGAATCTTCACAGGCATTAATAAGGGTATCTGCTGACGATATTTGAGTATGATAGCTGGTCTGATCATCATCATCCGATAGTTCATCCCTGAAAATGGTGGTGAATGGCTTTCTTCGTCCTGAGCCAGTAATAGTTCTAGCACTGTTGCTAGAGCTCAAAGTCGGCATGGGCGGTCGTAATGGTTGGCTAACAGAGTCGCGAGGTGGCCAACTCTCTCTGCGTGAAACTGGCGTAGTGGATGGTGAAGCTGCTATAGGACTGAGCACGATAGAGCCGCGGTGGCTCTGATTGAGGGAGAGATCATGCATTCCAATATCTATTGGCTGTAAAACCATGTTTGGAACGTCAGAGAGCATCTCTTGTAGCTCGTAAACTGGGGTGCCTGCTGCCATATTTCCTGCTGAAGAAGGTTTTGAAGTATGGAGTTCTTGCATGATGTACAAAGGAACAGAGTCATCGCGAAATGATGGAACGAAATTAGATGAGGTGCTGGTGGAAGAAGTATTTCTAGACAAACCACTTGGTGCTGACATCCATGATTGGCGAGAATGATTAGAAGAAATAGAGGAATACGAAGTGATGGAATCCGATCGTGCAATGATATGCTTTAAATCCATGTTGGGCACCGATACACTTGACTGTCGGGAGATAGCTTTCTCAATGCCAAACACAATGGTGCTGCCCTCCGACGTCTGCGACTGCGTCTCCATTTCATCCGCAAACTCTTCTGGATCAATAGGCATAGATGCGAAGGGTAAAGTACCCAGTTTGACGGGTACATGAAGCGTAGCTACATGGAGAGATGCTTGCATATCGGTACTTCCTGTCTTGAGTTTTGATAGCAGACTGCTTTTGGTCATATCACTTAACTCAGCCATGACCACAATTTTATATTGCACTTGCATAAGTCGGCCATTGCTATCTATGGTCGGAGGTGTTGTGGTAGGTATCAAAAGTTGTTCAAATATGGTTTGCCTCAAGTTGTTGGCACTGGTGATGTTGATGTCGCATTTTATAGTTTTGACCGGCTCTTCTGGTGACACATACGTCCTGCAAAATATCGTTTTAATAAAATACTCGGTGTTGGGGCTTTGAAAAAAAAAAAAAAATTCGGAATCATTCGAAATTCCTTACTTGTTGCCGTTAACAAACAACGCTGCTCGACATAATGAAATGGTAAGGCCCCCGATTCGTGCAAATGGGTATATGTGTTGAATCAATATCTGTACAGGTATAGTCTCGCCTACATAATTTTCAGTGAAAAAAAGGATGAGTCATTTGCCTAACCGCACTGGGCTGACATCATGGCTTTTTGGAGCAAAAAGGTATATGATTAGACTTTTCTTACCTCGAACGTAAGCGATACGAGGTATGGTCGCTTTGATTGTCGCCTGCATGCCAGCATCAGGTGCAACTTGTCGTCTGAAGTCATCGGGTAGTGCATCATCGAAGTGGCAATAACCTTCAGTTTCCTGGGGGATTTGAAATTGCTGCGACGTAACATCAATTTTTTCCAGCAAAGGAATATGAAGCTGAGCTTTCTGAGCCATAATGTCCGCTACAAACGGCCGGTCGTGAATAGCCTGGATTGCATAAACGACGGAACCTTCAGGATAATCATTCTAATCAAAAAGAAAACCATAAGTATCAGTCAAATGAGTGTTCCTATGTTGTCTATAAGACAAAAAAAAAAATGTTCGCACCTCGGTAAAACTTGGGAGCGTAAGGTCAGACGGAATGGTAAACTCGAATGGGTATGAATGGACTTTGGCGTCGAGAACAGAAGATTTACTACCGGGCATATGGTAGGCAACAATCTCTTTTTGAAATAAAGGGAACTCTTCCTTCCTGTCCTTGATAATGGTAGTGACTTTTCCCCACAAGCATACCCGTATACTGGTGGTTTTACAAGGTTTCGACAAATGCAATGTAACTTTGCCGCGAAGACAGTCGCCAGGAAACCAATACCGTTCCTCGTTGAGAGTGATATAGAAACTCGAATTTTGTTTCTTACGGGCTATGATGCGCATGTATTCGGTAGAATGATTAAATGCTAATAGTAAAAGGAATTGGAACACAAATGGAACGTCAGTCCGGTGGTGCAAAAAGGTTTACGCCAGCCACAACGAATGTTAATTTTAGGCGCCGGTTGCCTTCGGGGCTATCAATTGCTGGGCGGAGGGAAGTGCTTGCAGATCAGGCTGAATAAATTGTTGTTTACTCTGATCACTGTGGAGTAACTCACGCGAGTAAAATTGGTTAATAACTTTTCGGTCTTTAAGCATTGGATATCGTTCCAGGAACTCGAAAAAGTCATTTTCGTCTAGTCGTCCGCTGAGAGCGTCAGCTTGTACGGCCGCACAAATCAACTCGACAAAAAATTCAGTGATGGTCTCGTTATAACTAAATTGCACCTTGTCCTTGTTGGCTTTATAATAAGAATCTATGCCGCTCTTGATAAGTGGTTTTGCTTCCTCTTTATCCATTTCACGAAGATAATTCCATGCCATTCTAACGTGAGCGCGATGAGTCCATTGCCGAAAATCAAGTGTGTGGTCTTCAAACGCTTGCATAAATACTTCTTCACCCACGCTATGATAGCGGCGATCATGGTATAGCAAAGGTGTGCTTTCTTCTCTTGTTCCTTGCATACTTCCTACTCCATGATCTACTCGATCAACTTTTGCCACCCAAAGCTCGTGATCTCCGAGAACAATGACTTTGTGCGTCGAGCAGTGCATGGCACCAACCGAGCCCATTAACACAGGATTTCCTGTCTCTGGATCAATATAGTACTGTGTATCTTTAAACTGATCGATGCCTTCTTGGTTAGGCGACGAGAACGCAATAGATTGCTGAACTTGATGACTGCTTAGTACTTGAACCACAAATCGGTTGGCCAAATGTAAAAGATCGGATGCTCGAGATGGCTTTCGTACACAAAAAGATATAAGTGGGTATGGATGAAGGGAGATAGATGTGAACGATGATACTGTGATGCCTCGGCGGTATTTTGGGTCATTTGGATGAGCTGTGGTTACCACTACAACTAATTGTGGAACCTTTCGCATGATACTTCGAACTTCGGTTTGTATACTCTCTATTTTGCTGCCTGACTCGGGAATATTGGAATAGTGCATTACATTGTTGTCGTTTGTTTGGTTCTTGGCATGGGCCTATATTTTGGAACATTAGCAACAGGTGTGGCGGCAATGGCAGTGGAGGAGAACAACTAACATACCTGAATGGACTGGACAATGGGTGGATTCGACAGCATCCTGGCTACTCCTGGTTTAGCGACATTGGCGCTCGCAACTGAAGCAACAGCTTTCACGGTAGCACCAATATCCTTGAGGTGAGTGAGTATTCGCTTTGCCATAGTGCACAATGCAATCGACAGTCAAAATAATTAAAAACGCGGGCAGGGACCATCGCGATAATTGCAAGTCACAAGCCAAAGCTTAGTTTCACGCTGCAGTAGCAATAGCATGAAAGGTGGAAGATTGAGTAGACACCTGAACGTCGAACTTTTCCACCGGAACATATGACAAATCCTCACGATTATTTCGCTCTGTCCAAACTTAAACTATGAGAGTAGTTCAGATATAGCACCAAAGTAGATCGTGAGACATAATTAGAAGTTATTGCTGAGTCCATTAACGCCAGCAAGTATGTCTATACTATGTATTTCCTTCAAACTGGTAAACTATCAGCAGGTATTTCTAAAGTTTTCCTGCCAATTTCCGTTCTTCACCATCCAAACTTGATGAGGTACCAAGCACCCTGGTTAAAACCAGGAGCACCCATGATTCATCCGGGAGGATATGTACAGTCTTTTATGTTTGCATTTTCGTCCGACGTACCGTATTTAACAACAGCCTGTGATACACTTATACCTTCACCTTCTTCTCTGTGAGCATATATGACTGATATAATTTCTCCTGCCCTGCTTTACCGATGATCGCGAGAATGAATTTTTCAAGCTCTCCGCTGGTCATGATTATATCAAAATTAAATCATAATAACATTGGCTCAAAATAATTTTGAATCAACAGACACTAGTAAAATCAACACAACCCTTTCTACCAAACAAACCAGGCTTTCTTTTGCCATGGTTTGGATCATCTGAGATCGTCACAAGAGCACTTGCATTGTAACCTGGCCAAACATGAATGATCATAATAATGCTTACATTGACTCATTATTTCGAAAACAACCGAGATTAATACAAAGGAATATGTTTTTACAAACGATGTTTTCATTAATTGGCAGCCCATAGTATGTTGGGTAAAACGAAAGGAGGTAAAACCCTCAAAAGCTGGGTCAAGTTGGATTCATGTGACGCAGTGAATAAATTTTATAGTGCCTCCTAATAAGTAATCAGATCTTTTTCCCGCATTATTTATCTGATCATTATTTTTTTATTCTTGCCTACCCACCCTGGTCTGAACACTTAGTGACCCTTCCTCCACTTTAAATGCCACGGCATCACATACCATCCCGATTGCTCGAACGAGCACTCACAGGGGTTATCAGTGATGATGCTCCAAATGTGGAATTGGCCAATGTTGGGAAGCCCACTACTATACCATCATCCGAACAAACCGACATGCTGGACATTGAGGCTTGCATTGACCAACCTGACCTAGCTCCCCTTGGTCGGCATGTTGTGAAAGAAAGAAAGCATGGAAAGAGACATCATGATCGATCGTACCGACAGTCCCTTCACCGATTCTTATTATCCCAAGAGGAAGATTCGTCGGTTGGAAACGTTATTATACAAGACTTGACCATAGACAATACCTCTCTCCCTCATAAGAAGCTTGGAACATCCAGAGATACTGGCTCTACTATTATGTTACGTCGTAGGAGACTCAACACGAGCGAGTTGGAGTATAAATTAGCTTCTATCACGAAAACGGGGGCTTTGTCAGCAGACTCCCTTACAGCCGACACCACGACGAAAATTCCACTGGATCAAAGCAGCAGCGGTTACTCCAATGTAAAGGAGCTGGATGTTTCAAGAAATCATATTGCCAATTTGCCTGCAAATATCACTCTGTTTGCTTCCCAGCTTCGTATTTTAAACTTATCAAACAACCTTCTCACGAGTTTTCCACAAGAGATACTCGCCTTCCGAAACCTGGAGGTCTTGATGCTTTCTCAAAACAAAATATCAGGTCCAATGCCAGAAGAGCTACCTCTATTAATTCCCAATCTGAAAACCTTGCGTATCAGTGCCAACTTGATTACAGAATTACCGGCCACTATCAGCAATTGGCGTAAAATGAAGAGTCTCGTTCTAGGATCTGTGTTTGGTGGTAATCTTATTGAAAGTATCCCGGAAGATTGCATCAGTGCGATGCCATTGGAAGAATTGGATTTGTCTCATAATCAACTCAAGAGCTTACCCGAAGACTTTGCTGAAGGTGCAAACTTAATGGTTAACCTAAATCTTTCAGACAACCAACTGGAAACACTTCCAAGATCGATTGGATTGTTCAGGAACCTTAAAAGCTTAAACCTTTCCAAAAATCACCTTACTAGCCTACCCATCGACCTCGTCAATCTCGACAATCTCGATATTTTGGACGTTAGCGAAAACCTTTTATGTATCCTACCTGGCGATATCCTGGAATTTATGCGAAAAACTACGCTGATGATCACTGGTAATCCCCTTTCAAGACCTGGCACATGTGATCTCAAAGCATTAGACACTGCACCAGATAACTCATACATGAAGATAATTCGGAAAATGTCTCAGAGAGCTGTAGCAACCAGGAGTAATGTTGTTGAATACGAACAATGTGGCCCTAATGGCATGGGATGTGAAAGTTCTCCGAATTCTCTTATGTCGTCCCCATTATTATCGCCCCACCTCATGGATGATGACGCAGCCATCGATCATGAATTAGCATTCCACGCTCGTCAACTCAATATTGGCGGTTCACGACCCAGCACCCCTATCAATGGATCTACAGCTTCAGACTATTTTGTCAACGATATGGCTGGCTTGTCAAGATCTGCCAGTCTACCAGTTCCACAATTAATGTCCTCTTCGTCATCCACATCATCATTATATTCCGCCCTCACAGATTCCGATGGTGAACAAGGTACTAGTCCAACATCACTTGGTGATGACATGATAACTTCCACCGTGGCCTCACCGGATGAGCCTAAGCTACCTGTCCCACAACTCGATTGTGAAACTGCACCGCGACTAGTAAATTCTCTAAGAGAACTGGCCTCTCGGTCAGTCTTTATGCACAAAATACCATTCCGCCTTGATGATATACCCGAACCAATCCTTTCGTATGTACAACCTGGAGCGGCTCGACCATGCGCACATTGTGGCAAGCCTTACGTCAAGGAATGGCTATCGTCGGTTCAAGTTAAGAGCTTTCGTGGCCATCCAGCAGTCGTACGAAGGGTTCGGTTTTGTTCTGAACGCTGTTGGAATTACTGTGTAAAAGAAGACCAAGATATTGATATTGATCTGGAAGAAGCTACCTCTCAAATTACCGATACAGTTGTTTGTGTTAATGGCCATCCTCGACCATCTGTATGTGCTTTACCTACCGATTCTGATACCATAGCATAGAACAAATTTTCATTCGATGCATGCCATATTTATGACCATCCTCCATCGTTGACTTTCGATGCTCATCTATAACCTCCATTCCTCTTTGAGATGTAATATAGACTTGTACCATACCCTTTCATTTGCTAATAAACATACCAGACTTGGCTTTGAAAATGATTTGTTCAGTTGCACATTGACGCATTTTCTTTTCCTTCTTTCGCCTACCATCTCATATCAATTTTCACTCTATCTCATCGCAGTGACCAACATTCAAATCGCCCTGTGTGCTTCACGATATGTTGTCAGGATAAAATGGATCGACTGCCATTAATTTTGCGTATAAAATTTCCAGAATGTCTAAATCTGGCCTGTTCAAGCAGCTTTCCTCCTTTCAACGTCCGCGCCTCATGGAAGATGCCAGAGAATTCGCTGTGGGCAAACTCGCAGAGCTGCTGAAGCATCCAGACGACTTAAACGGCAAGGTTACAGCACTGAGGCGCAAGTTTGCCAAAGAGAAAGCTTCCATCGACGCGCAACTCAATTCTGGGGCTCAATCGCAATTGGACAATGTGCAAGAAGGGCTAGAGACTTTACTAAATTCACAGCAGCAATGTGAGATGATAAATGTCAACATGCAGAAGATCGATAAACTTTGCTACGGTGCTCGAGGGATGATTCAAGACTTTCCTCGCATCAATAAGGTGAGCTCATTTTACGCCATCTCGAAACATCATAGTTGCATTCCCCGACTTATGGTTCAAACCACCTTGTTTATCCTACTAGATATCCATAGTGCATCAGAATTTCTTAGCGACCTATGAAAAGGTTGTGGCACTACAGGAACTACACGATAAACTGGAACATGCTCAATCTATGTTTGAGCGCTTACGAGAGGACATCTTTGCGCCTCAAGATACCCTTCTCCATGTGCATTATGAACTGTTTAAGCTGGAAGAATTCCGCGATCAAACCATGCATCAGGCACGAGATTCACCACAAGATGTGATTATCACCTTGAAGAAATATTTTAGAAATGTGGATGCTCTATCCGCTGATTTCACGCAGCATCTGTGGAATTTGACTCGTCATCTGCTGGAATTAGCTCAGAATCATGGTGAGACCACCATTGTCAAGTTGGTCAAGATTATAGAGACTGAAGAGCATGCAGACGAAAAGGCCCTAGCAGCACGACATGCTCAAAATAGTCACCACGATATGGACACAGCTGGAGGCACTAAATGGCGGTTAGCGGAAGGAAGTCCTCGAACTATCAAATCCTATCGTGTAGAGTTTCACGAGCGACTACGGGAATCCATTCAGGAGCGATTTGAGGCGCATTATGCTGAATACAAAGATGCAGAAGATTGGATTGGTGCGTTTGATGCAACTGACTTCATCTTCAATGAATTGGATATTTGCTTTGACAAATTGGTCCCTCTATTTCCCAAAAAGTATAAGATCTTCCCATGGTTTGTGCTCGAATACCACAGACACTTGTATGAACTCCTCAATCACATTGTCAATCAAGACATGAATGCCGCCACGATTCTGCGACTAATGCGATTTGTTCGAGATTACTATGCCATTATGAGTACTGAGCTAGGAGTCACGGAGGAGTTGCTGGAACCACAGTTGCTCGACGGTCAGGAACAAGCATTAGTAGACGAATATCTCAAATTGGTTCGTACTACTCTAGTTGATTGGACGTCCAACCTCATGCAAGCCGAGACACGCAGCTTTTGTCAACGAGAAGATCCTCCAGAAGTGCATCAGGATGGTCAGTACGGTATGGCTGGTGCTGTTGATATGTATCAAATCATCAGTGACCAAATCGATGTGGCAGCCGACGCAAATCAAGGCAAATTGCTTTACCACGTTGTATCAGAGTGTCATAAGGTCATGAAAGACTCTCAGCTCATGTGGAAGAAATTGTTGGATTCAGAAATGCGCAAACAGCTCGAGTCACCTGAAGAGGCTCCAGAAGGGTTTGTTGATTATGTGATTGCACTGTCGAACGACATGATGAAGTCTGCCGATTTCGCTGAGAGCAAAACTTCCAAAATCATGCCTATGGTGGATGCACGATATAAGAGCCAAGTTGAAGACAAGTTAAATATGGCGGTGGATGGCTTCTTACAGACCGCTTCTCTAACTCGCGACATTCTTCTGCGACTTGTTTTCAATGACATTCAACCTATCTTCGGTGACCTTTTCACAACGCGATGGTATGAAAATCCTTTGATCGGATCGGTAGTAGAGACTTTAAAGGACTACTGTCAGGATTTCCAGGGACATTTGAATGATTATTTGTTCACCAAATTGATTGACGATATGCTCGACAAGTATCTCATCCTCTATATAGAATCAATGCGACGAAAGACTGCCAAGTTCAAGATACCTTCGTGCCTGGACCAAATTGGAAAAGATGTTCGGATATCATTTAACTTTTTTGCCAAGTATAAGCCCATCGAAGAACTACAGGTCCAATTTGAAGCACTAGACTTAATTCATAGTCTTCTCAAGAGCAACAAGTCTGTTATATACGTGGACTACTATAACCTTCGACATGCTTTCCCGGATATACCCCTTGCTTTTGTTGAAGACCTACTTAGCAAACGTGATGATTTGGACAAAGCTTCACTAAAGGAGATTATGGAAGGGATTAAGGCTAAAAGTCGGGAATATGAAGCCGATGCGAATGCTCCACCGACCATCTTTAGTCGTATCAAATGGTAAACGCGTACCAGAAGGTTTGCAAAATTTATTTGCAGTGTAACTCATAATAAGATCAAACATAATAAAATAAATGAAGGCGAAGATGAGAAAGAATAGTGATTGAAAGTAGTACCCCATCGCTACCTTACGGGCCATTTCGCAGAGACTGACGTCTTTTCATGCAAAGCTAAATGCCTGCCTTCCAATTTTATTTTTTTCCAAATTGCATATAATATCAACAACCCAGCAGGAGGACTCACAAAAAACAAGGTAGCTGATTTGGTTGCTACACTCCAATATTGACATGTCTGATAAGCATTCATCAACACCACCGAGGAGTCGCGCAGAAGGAAGTGAAGTAGGTGTAGCGTCAGGTTCCTCAGATGATGCGGCCACTTTGTCATATACTGCATTTGAGCCATCCATGAATCCAACACAAGATTTGGCTGTGGGCCACACCACGTTGGAATGGACAGCAGCAGAAGCTGTACAAATGTCGGCGCAGCGAACCGCCACGCACTCGCTTCCTTCGCTCCTGTCCGGCCCGGACGAAAATCGACAAGCTGTACCGACACAACCCTTGATCCCCCCATCGAATAGCGTGGTTTGGCACGCATCCGATCACTCAATTTCCCAAGGCTCCACTCTCACAGCAACGTCCAAGGAATATCTTAGTTCCTCCGATATCAGCCAAAGGTCGCAAGCAAGCATCTTACATAATGTACACTATCATTCCCCTTTAGAACAATTACAACAAAGACGTGCACAGCAATTGATTATACCAGCCAGTCGACCAGAACTGGTCCCTGAAACGTCGTCTGTGGGTACCTGGTCCGACCCAGAGCATACACCAGAATTCCCGCGGCATTCAACGGCAGAAGCGTTCTGGTCTACTCGAGGACACTTTTCTTCATCATCCGAATCCAACATGTCACCTCCGTCAACTTCACGACATTTGGGACGAGAAATATCTGGCCTGTCCAATATCTCGTCGCTGTCCCATCAAAGCACCGAACGCGAAGAAGACACCACCACTTCTTCACGGCATAGCCACGCCTCGACGGGTCAGCACGTGGTGCAAAGCTCACAAGGTTCGTATGCTCAAGAGAGTTATGAAGAACATGCCAGAGAAGAGCCACCTGAAACGCCAACTGTGGTACGGAGAGCAATGTATGTGCAAGGCACGTTCATAGAAGAGAACGTTACTCCAGAAATGCTGAAGCACACGGACGAAGACATTGTTTGGAGCTCGTCTCCTAGTCAACGCGCAGCCGCACGACACCGTCAAAGCCAATCGTCCCAGCCTCCATCTGAATCACCTTTGAAACGCACGGCTCAGCGCAAGTAAGTAAAGCGAAACTACATTTCATTGCCTTATGCATGCACGTTATGGAACGGGAGAACTTACATATGATACTGTAGACGAGGCGCCCAAGCTCCACATACGCAAATGAGCTTACGGTCCACATCCAGCGCACGCAGCCAGCGACGCCATTACAAGATTTTATTTACAGGGCTTGAAAATGGCCCATCGCTCACTCGTGTAAGCGCTCAGAGTGCAACCTTGCCTAAAACAAAAAAAAAAAACACAAAACAGTTGCTGACCATCTTCTTAGGACAAAAGTTTGGTAGATCATTTAGGCGGACTGCTTGTGGATGATTGGCATGAATGCAGTCATCTAGTGACTGAAGAACTTCGCACCACCATACGATGCCTTTGCGCCGTGGCGGCTTGTAAACCAGTTGTGTCAGTTGACTGGATACAAGCATGCCGAACAGAAAGTCGGTTTGTTGGTAAGTAAAGCATCAGGGGGTTGTCATATTCCTGTGAGTGATTCCAACCACCCTGGGTGACCCTTGATTGTCACACAGATGAAACGCCATACCTGATCAGACCCATCCCATCTCAACCTGTGTTTCAAGGCAAGCGACTTTTCCTGACCGACAAAGGCGAGCTTAGTAAATCGGACTTCCGCGAGCTAGTGACGGCTGGAGGTGGCAAGGTAAGCAGAGAGGATGGAGGGGTTGAACCGTTTACCACTTTTTCATGAAAAACCAAAGGCTTCATGACAATAAAAATAATAATAATAATAATAAACCCGGCCTTTATTTTCTCACTTTGCAAATTACAACGGATGCTCCTCTAGGTTCTACATCAAGAACCTTCTGAACACTACGACGACATCCTCATCTTTGGCATTCCTACTCAGCACGATAAGCAACATATGCGACTCAAGGCACTGCGGTACTCCATCTACACCAAGTCAGAACTGATCAGAATGATTCTCGTATTATAAACGCAGCCAATAAAAAGCTGCCTCACAATTGCAAGTGCGACCGTAGAATTTCAATGCCCGATTAACACAACAGGCTCCGTTCACCCATCTGACTTGCCGCAGCAAATTTAAAACCCAAAAGCTGCGTGAAAACTGGTGGCTTCCGTCACTGTCACCAGCAAGCATTTGTTCATGAAGCACTTTGCAACCGAACATAGAAAGAAAATAAAAGCACAGAGGGTTATTCAATAAAAATAAAGGTCACTTCAGCAGAATGTCTAGATAAGGCTTGCCGGTCAGGTTAGGGCACCTGCTATATATGAACAAGAGACGTCACCCTAGTCAAAGACTTTTTCAGCATAAGCCACTGATACTGCGGGAAGAGAGGGCAAAACCACTTTGGAAGCCAACTTTGACCCCCCTTCTTGTTCTGCTACATCTCACTTTTCTGCTGTCAGTCGAACAGATTCCCATCATCATTGCGATTTCTTGCCCATTTTCAAACAACTTGAACAACCACTGAACTCAAACAAGCTTTAAGCCAACTCAACACCTCTTTACCTCAACTTATAAACTAGCAACCATGTGCCCTTTTCGAAAGTAGATAATCCTCCTCTCCTTACAACAATTACGCTTATATATATACATATACCATCCAAATCATATATATAAGGAGAACCAAATAATCGCCTGTCAATGACCACCTCAGAATTTCATCAACATGCTGGGGCCTTTACGTGGGACAACCGCCATGGGCCTCACCAGCTGGTGGATTTTCCATCACACCTCTCATCCGACCTTCACCACTACTCTTTGAGTAACATCCACAAACCTACTACTCTTCATTTCACCCCGGTTGCTGACCAGGCGCCTCAGCGACCTCACATCTCCACCCTCAAGTCTTGTAAATATCCCTCTCTCAAACGCCAACCAGAACAACAAAACACCTCTCAACGACCATCTGTTGGTGCTGCTACCGGCTACCAACATTTCATGAACAATGATCGTCAGGAAAGATCAAAGTTTGTCGACAAACTGATCGGTAAGTTGCCGTGCATTTTTCTTTCTTTTTTTTCCTCTTTGGTCAGCGTATGACTTTGTCCAGCCTCCGGTCCAACTGGCTAATCTTGTATGCACTTCTTTCCGGTTCCCAGAAACCACCGCAACTGTCATAGAGTCCATCTGGCCAAGCAACACTGCGAGTGGACGAAAAGAAGTGATTCCTACCAAAAGCTTTATTCAGGAAGTGTTGAAGCGATCGAAAACCACCTATTCGACCCTTCAAACCGCCTTGTTTTACCTTTTTCGGATTAAAAACATCATCATCGCTCGACTCGAGCAAAGAGCGGCGTCTGGCAATACTGCAAAGCGAAACAGCAGTCAATATAGTACTGATGACTATATTTGCTGTGGTCGACGCATGTTTTTAGCTTCGTTGATGGTCGCATCCAAGTATCTTCAAGACAAGAACTATCGTAACAAAGCATGGGCCAAGATATCCGGCCTGGACATCAAAGAAATTAACGGTGCAGAAACTGCGTTTCTACACATCATTGATTACCGACTGTTTATCAGCAAGCCTACCTTTGATCGATGGTTCACCTTGTTGAACTTGCATGTTGACCAAATGCAACAGCAAAACCAACTCTCAACCTCGGACGATGCAAAGCCTTTGAGAGTGTATCCTTCTCCTTCGAATCCTGTTCGCCATAGTCCTTATCGGAAACCCGTTCAGCAACACTATCCTTCACCACCTAATTCCATTCATGAATATGACACCCTGTCACCCAATGCTGCTAGTCAACTGATGTTTACCTTACCCGTGAGTTTTGACAACATTACTGCTTCCTTTTGGAAAAAAAAGGTCGATATTAAACGACAGATTATTATTTTTTTTTGAAAAATCTAGGAAAATGTCAGATATAGCCCATCTGATGAAGAGGAAATTACTTCTTCAGCCGTGCCACTGCGGTCTGATGAAATGACTCCCCCTTATGCACTGTAGCGTGAGAATGAAGAAAGATGGGGAAAAAAAGAAGTATCCTATCCAGTGCTCTAAAGCATTGGCTACACTTGCGATGATTTTTTTTTCTCTTATTTTATTACTTGGTTTTCTTAAGTTTGCTTTTTTGCTTTACGTTTACTTTTTGCTAGATTAAAAGAAAGTGACATAACTCGCTTACCAATTTTCTTCAGTTAGCTAGCTTAACATTCTTTTTTTTTGGCTACTATGTTTCTTTTCCATTTTTTTTTCCTTCTTCTTATTCTTTTAAAACGGATTTTGAGGTACTCTTAGGTGTTTGTGTTCTCAAAAAAAGGCATGAAATAAAAACATTCAAAAATTATTAATGCCCCTGGCTCCGGCCGTTACTGCGGTGGGATTTCTTCAGAACACGCTAAAGAGTTACTCATCGACACAGAACCTAAATTTTTTTTAAAGGCTACTACATGTACTATTGAAGTTTCTTTTTATTGTATTTACGGGTTTATCTTTCAGTGGCAACAAAGGTTTTAGACGGAGCGAACAACCTTATCGATGGACTCAGCAAAGTAATCGACATTCTTGGAAGATAGTCCGGCCATGGATATGCGACCATTATCAGTCATGTAAATATGGTATTGTTCCTTGAGGACCTTGACTTGAGCGGCTGTTCAACCCATACACAAACAACAAGCAATGAGTATAAAAATATAAGCGCTTCCGAATCAGACGCCATGCCATGAAAAACTTACGTGATAAACCGGTAAAGGAAAACATGCCAATCTGATCAACAATATGGTTCCAGGTACCAGGAGTTTGGAGTTGTTGCAACTTTTCAAACAGACGCTTTCTCATTTCGATGATGCGTCCAGACATGGTACCCAAGTTGTCATTCCATTCAGCATAGAGTTGCTTGTCGTTAAGTACCAAATCAACGATGCGTGAGCCGTAAGCAGGTGGGTTAGAGATTTCGGATCTTTGCAAAATTTCAAGTTGCGACAAGACATGCTGTGCTTGTTCAGCAGTACGGGTTACCACCGTGAGATTACCTGCACGCTCACCTATCATGGCACAATAATTTAGGCGACCAGGGTGGGAGAGTCTTTTTTTTTTAAGGTTCAGCACTTACCGTACAAACCAAAGTTCTTTGCAAAGGACTGACAGACGAACAATTCAAAACCGCGTTCAACAAAGTAACGTACAGCCCATGCATCTTGATCCAAGTTACCCGAAGCAAATCCTTGATAAGCACAATCAAAGAATGGGAAGTGCTTCTTTTTCTGTACCACATCGGCAATGCGTTGCCACTGTTCCCTGGTGGGATCTACACCAGTGGGGTTGTGAGCACAAGCATGGAGCAAAACAATAGACTCTTCGGGGGCGTCTTCCAAAGCAGCCAGCATGCCCTCCAAATCCAAACCACGTGTGCTAGGGTTCCAGTAAGGGTATTCGGCGACTTGAATGCCAACATTGTTGAAAATAGCCTTGTGGTTGGCCCAAGTAGGCTTTGACAAAAGACAGATCGCTCCCTTCTTATGGAACTTGGCCAAGAATGCAGCGGCTGTATGATTGGCGCCGGTACCGGAAATGGTTTGGATTGCAACCACACGGTTTTGTTGGAAAGCAGGGCTATCCTCTCCCAAGATGAGTTTGGAAGAAGCCTTGGTGTATGTCTTTTGACCAGCAATAGGTTGGTATTCATGATCCAAGTTTTGGTTATGGAATAAGATTGAATCGGCCTATACAGTAGATAAATTGGATAAGCAGGAACCAAAATGGAACCGTGGGCACCCATGGGTGACGATTGTTTACCTTTTTCACGACAGGAAGAATGTAAGGCTTGAGGTTATCATCTCTATACGCGCCAACACCGACATTGACCTTACGAGGATCAGTGTCGGCCTGGTACTGAGCGGTCAAGTGGAAGATGGCATCAGGAGCGGCCTGAGGGATTTGTTGAAAGAAAGAGACGTCTAGGTGGTTGGCGGCCATTAGCCCATCCGTGGGGGAATCGCTATTGTCAGTGTGGGGTAAACTTACCTTGGGAAGATTGCATGTGGGACGTGAGTTGGTTGAGACGGCTTGAAGGAGCGGACATGGCTGTTTTAAACTTTTGATGTGGGCAGGAGTGAGTCACAAAAAATTCGCTGCCGGCCAACTTGGAGACAAAAATGGGCTCACCGAGAAGTATGTTGTTTAACTTTTTTTAATTATTGAATGATGAAGAGGGTAATGAAAAAAAGAGAAGAAAAAGAGAGTTTGCCTATATTGCTGTTATATAAGAAACATTTGATAATGGTATGACTTTACATGTGAAAACACCTCGCTGACTGGGTGAAAGGTCAGTATCCACCATCAAAGAAGTTGGTTCTAACAATGACAGGGGGAAGTTAAGATCGATAGACCAACAGTGGTTACCAATGATGAACGCCCGTGCCCTCATTCGAGATGTTGGACTTTTTATTATTTATACTACAATACTCTATCAGTTTGATCGATAGCTGGGCGGTGGGGGGGGCAAGCAAACGTGGTCTTTCAAATTTGGAGGCCGGGTGGCTTGTGTGGACTTAGGCCCAGCCAGCCAGGTCGGCCAGCCCATAAATTCAATTCATTTTCGCCTGTCGCAGATAGAAAATCAAAAGTGGAGACAGGTTTTTCCCTTTCGCTCTTTTCAATATCATAATCCATGGCCAACATCTTACTCGACCACAGTAATCCGCCATCGCCATCGCTTATGTATAGCTCTCCTAGTTCGTCCTTGTCAGACTCGTTGGACGACCCTTTTATGGACTATATTCAAGCTAATGACCATGACAACTCCAATGACTTCTACTCAGTAGCTCACTCAGACGGCATGCCATCCCCACCTCCACCGCCTTCCCACGACCAAGCATGCTTTCAGAATGATCAGATCATAATGCCTGAAGGAGATCTGCCCAAGGTCGAGCAAGCCGATGTATTTGATGTAAGTTATTAAAAAAAAAAATGAGGGATTCCTTTTTGTTAAAAAAATAATCCTATCTTGGGTTCGGTTGTCGATCTTAACGTTACAAATCACTGACACGTTGTGCACTCTGTACCTCATCTAGCTGATATCAACATCCTCGTCACACGCTATACCATCATTAGCTCGGAAATGTTTAAGTTTTGAATCTTTGAAAAGGTATGTTTGCGGTATGGATTGTAACAAGAACCAATCGATCTCGCATTTACATTTTATTATCTGTGTGTGCATCACTGTCATTTCATGGATCAGTTTATCGACCGTTGATACGCCTGTCGTCACAGCAAAAAACCCTAGTACATTTTCGTAAGTAGTACAATTTGTTAACTTTTGTTTGCGTTGCCCTTCAAACATCGCTTATCAGCCCCTTTCAATGATGGCAGCGACTTGCAGATTCGGGTACTCGGTATCCCGAATAGTGGAGCCAAATCACGCGTGGAAACCCAGATAAAATTATGTATCCAATTGGTGACAGATAGAGGCGACAAGGTCCCTTTATGGTCCCATCTAAAGCTACCCGAACATCTGGTGGCCAAGGAGAAATACAAGCGCGTCAATCAAACAAAAAATGACAGTGGCGGCGCCAGCGTCCCATTCAATGATGGCAAACTTTTGACACTAGAGGCTACCGTGAAATGCTTCAGTGACCCATTGCACAAAGTTGAAACTTGTATAGGATGTATTCGACGTGAGGTAAATATTATGTTGTTATCGATATGAAGGTCTCTGGCCACTATCTAATATATCCCATTCAGCGAAGGCGCTCCCAACGGAAAAAGGAAAATAAGCAGAAACGGGACGTCCCGGATAGTCTACCACCGTCACCAACGTCCTCTTCTGGAAAAGACGCCGCTACGGTAGATGATAACAATGTGTCGCCTTTGGAAAAATGCCGAGTCCTTTTGTTCAACTGTACCGAGATTATGGACTTCAGTTCTGGAGATTGTATTCTTCCTACTCGGATAACATGCTATTGTCGCCATCATAATGAGAAGGTGGGATTTTGGTAAGTGACATCCTGGGCCTCTTATCTGCTTCACGTTTTTCTTTTTTGGGGGGGAGGAGCATTTTTTTATTTCTGGTAACAAACATTGTAATCTAAACCTAACCTCCCCCCAGCATTCATTTCACTATGCGCAACAGCCGGAATCAAATCGTAGCTCAAGGTGTCTCTCCTGCCATCATGATAACCGACGATCACAAAAGCAGTAAATCCACTCGGAAACGCAGCCGTGCGGAATTTGAATTCCCACCAACCAGCAGCAATCCAGAAACACCTGCGGTCTCACGTAGACCCTCACCACAACGCCAATTATCTGCCAGTGAGTCTAGTAGCCCTACTACGCCGGTGAATCCATCTCCTCCAGTGCCTATCCTCCCTCGCTCTCCTAAATATGCCAAAGTTGAACAAGATCTGAACATGACGCCTGTCAACTCGACAGCCTTTATGTCCATACCCCATGATCAAGATCACGAGTCTTCGCTGTCCCCGCAACATCCTCTGACAGCTAACAATAATCCATCTTTTCAAGCCTTATTAGAAGGAAATGTTCCTGGTTCAAGCGATACCCCTCAGTCCGCCATGATGCAATCCGTTCCAGAAAACCGTCATCGGCAGATGTCTCTTCAAACCGCCGCTCCACTCATACAACAGCAAGCGTTGATGACCCCTCGCCGCAGGAGGACGGTAAATAGCTATCATAGTGCCGGTGCTGGTTTACTTTCGGCAATCCAGCGGCAAGCATCGGTTAGTCCAACCAGCGTACCTCAACTGAACCGACTGATTCCGTCGGAAGGACCATTGTATGGTGGTATTGAAGTCACTGTGCTTGGCTCTGGTTTTTATGAAGGTCTCGTTTGTCTGTTTGGTGAAACACCTGCTTTGCCAACGCATTGTTGGAGTCAAAATACCTTGGTTTGCATCCTTCCCCCTGCCACGACGGCTGGAACTGTCGTTGTCTCATTCAAGGAACATCCCTTGGTAGTCGACGGACAGGACATTGTCTTGTTCACTTACTATGACGAAAGTGATCGTGCCTTAATGGAATTAGCGCTTCAGGTGGTTGGTTTAAAAATGACCGGTAAACTGGAGGATGCTCGTCAAATCGCTATGCGCATTGTTCAGGGTGATCACCATGGTAATGGCAATAATAATACCACCGGAAGTCAACAACATACCAGTGATCTTGAAGCCCAAATCATCCAAGCTTTGGATAACGTCAAGGATCTACATACTTCGTATGACTTACCAGTATCACAGGCTAATAAGCAAGACCATACTTTGCTTCACCTGGCTGCCATGCTTGGATACACTCAATTGGCCACTATGCTGGTTCAGTTGGGTGCTGATGTGGACGCTCAAGATCGCAATGGAATGACTGCTCTGCATTTTGCCAGTTGGACAGGAAAGCATGACATTGTTCAAATTCTCCTCGATCAAGGTGACGCTCACCCCAGTGTTCGATCGGTGCACGGCAAAACGCCCATCGATCTTGCCGCTAGCGGTCATCATATTGGAATTGTAGATACACTCCACTGGTACGAGATGACGTATGCTGAATCAGATAGTCTTTCGGTGGAAGAAGATGCGGCCGAGGATGATGAACCTGACCGAGTGATTGGCTGGCTTTCCAACCGACAAGAAGAGATCGACCAGTACGATGAAAACATTTTTAGCGCACTGACCACTTCTGATAAGATGGAGCCGATCAAACCCCACGAACCCCAAGAACCGGCTCGACCCAAACCCTTCAGTGACTTGACGGCTTGGATGCAACGTTCCTTTGGCAACAAGCATAAGGCTTCCCTTATACCCAACAGTTATCCCCCTACCTTCCTCAGTGGCAATAGTAAATTGACCACGGATGAAGAAACTTCTTTGTGGGCGACAGCCTGGTACCTAGCCATTGCATCCATGATGAATTCCTCACCGACTCAGCCACAGGATAAAATCCCTTCCCATTTTGTGCCCATGGATATGAGCATCCCTGGTGCCGCCCTCTCCCCAAAGAATGTCATAGACCTCGGCGACCTTGACCTTGATGAAGACGACTTTGATGGCGATCATTTGCGCTTTCAACAAGACACCCGACTACAATTATTCTGGCTCCCGCTTTTACTGCGTAAGTTTCTTCCCTGCACGTTTCCAATAGATCTTCAATGCTAACCTCTATCGTTCACATAGTCATGATCGCTGTCTTGGTCTGTCAGTTCACGGAAGTAGACCCCATCACTATCATCAAAACATCCATACGTACACAACTGCTTGCACAATAAGGACATTTACACTGTACATAATTGACGTTCACATTGTGTTGAGTATTCGTAGAATTGCATCAACCCTCTTTTCTATTATACATAATTTCCTTCAGTTTTCTTCTTGGACTTGCATGGTACAACTTTATTGTTTTTTCCTTCTTTGCATGGTACCAACGCATGCAGATGCACATACATACACTTCTTGCTTTCAATACGTAAAAGAATTGGTTTTTCTCAACTATCACTTGGCTACAACACTTGTTTGCGAGATTTTTTCTTTTTTGGTGGTGGTGGTCAACGCTCTATCGACCCGGACAGCCAGGCAATATTTTTGGACTGCTTGCCAGAACTCGTGGAATTCACTCTTTCAAATGTCAATATGTCGCCATCTCAGTACTCGCTCAACCCACTGACCAATGAGCTTAGCTACCGTGCCCTACCTGGCGTACGAGAATACGTAGTGCACAGCGATGCACAAATATGGTCAATCACCAGCATCGCCTTCTTAACACTGTGCGCCATCTTCTCCTATGTTATGGTGAGTAGCAATCCATCTCAATAGATCACCTACGGTATCTGCCTAACAACCCCACCCCCCTTTCCTTTGTTTTATGAAGCGAGATATCGTCTACATGCGATGGGTGATAGGTTGCGCCCTGGCTGCATGGGTATGGATCAAATTTAACACCGTGAAAGAAGGTAGTTGACACTGATGAAAATCACCTATCACGCAACGGATGTAGTAACTAACTGGATAAACCTCCATATTTTGCAGAAAGCATCTTGGCGGTTCGGAATGTGGGAGTGCAGGTCAAAACAACGTACCTGAGTGGGCGCTCGGTGTCCCAATTCATAGAACGGTCGCGGGTATGTGACATTATCATTCACGAAGCTATCACCATGTGGCAAGTCAAGTTCTACATGGCCATTATTACCGCCAAGCAGGATAAGATGACAGTTGTGTTTGAGGTAACGTTGGATTCGACGATGCTGGATTTCTCGTAGGTTTCCCTGACTGACTTGCTTTGATTTTTAGCACCTTCTACCGCCATTAAACCCAACCTTAATAACCGTCTATCATGGAGCAAGGTCCATGATTTTCTCCGATACCAACCCATAGAGCCCAACATCACCATACCTCGAGAACACTATTTCTTTAAAATCATTATCTATTGCCATTTGTCCAGTGTATTTTTATTATATGTTGTTTTCTGAAACTCCAGCACCTTCAACTTTTTTAAATTATCGGGAGTTGCCGCGTGGTCGCACCTGCCATTGACTGATATGAATATTGTCTCGATTGACCTCATCGCTACCGCTACTATCGGTGCTGACATTTGAGGAGTTTCGTTGCAACAAACGGTTGACAGGTGGTGGAGTGGATTCGTCAAGGGGTCGCACCGTCCAGCGGTTTCCATGGCTGAGAGCAGAAGAGACCGTGGCAGGCGATACGTTGCCGCGAAGCGATTTCCGTGGTACGTGGACCGACCGGATGACCCATAATCCAGCCACGCCATTCAATATGTTGGCCTCGACGGGCTTTTCTTTAGGTGGTGTCGTCGTTGGCGTCACGGTGATGGATGGTATTGGGGGCTCTGCTGGCTTGGCTACGACGGCATCCTCTGATTTCGCTCGCTTTGGCTTTTGCTCAGATACCGAGTTCTCTTCATTTCTTCCGGCATCTTCAGTCTTGCGTTTCTGAAAACCATATGGTTAAAAAAAAAAACTTTCTCTCACACCCCCCCATTGATAATGCCGGTCAATCAATTTACCTTGTTTCCTATGTTGGCATCTACCCCTTGCTCTTGGGTATAGAACAACATGTATGCTCGTTCTCGCATGACGGTCTGAATAGAGACTGGCCGGACCTACAATGGATAGCATGAGAAGGAGTCCAATGACACCAACCTGACTGGCACCTCACTTACATCGTCATCATCCATGCAATACCATTTTCCATTCGCATTCTTTACATACGCATAGTAATGGCCTGAATGGCAGCCTCCGCCCATATGGACCAAGACGCCATACAAGTGGTAAGGCTGTGCTGTTTTCCGGGTATCTTGGCTCATATAGGGTGATAAGTCGAGACGTTCAGGAAACTCAATATGTTTTGAAACCTTATCCATTCCTCCTCGTCGCCAGTTGTACGTAAACCGTTTAAGGTGGACAGTGAGTGCCATTGGAGCACGGTGCACCGTCATTTGTTTTTCAGCATCGACAAGACTATGGCAACTGTAACCAACAGGATGTCAGAGGCAATGTTTCTTGTCACACACAGGTTTTTGACTACTACTCACGCCGAACACTTGTATTTGTTGTCTCGACCACCGATATGATCCACTTTGATGAAATCTTTCAATGCCTTTTGTAGGTTGGTGCTGGTGTTAATATCTACACTTATGTCGAGGCAAGGATCATACGTATTTGACTCGGCTTTGCATTTCATGCAGCGAACTTGCGATCGGAGGTAACCACCAAAGATTTGGTGCACTGCTGTGGTCTCTTGGACATTGTGCGGGAGTTTTCTAATGCAAACGGCCATGTTAGCACTCCAACCCATGCCAAGTCACTCTTGATCCCTACTTCGCCTCTTCATTTCCACTTACCCAAGACCTGCCAAACATGACTTTTGAGCTGCTTGCATCAAATGTCGCAAAAATTCATGAGAATCTTCTTGACGGCCAAGTCTCATATGACTTGAAATGGCTGGTTTTCCACACAAAACAAAATAGCGCAATCAGCATCTTCTTCCTCTGTTCAAAGTCACCATACGGTCAAGTTGTGTACCTCGTAATTTGCCAGTAATATTGCGCGGTGAGATGACGCCGCCAGTCTGACCGGTTTTATCTCCCATCAAACATCGCTGGACATGGTCCTGGAGAGCGCACATTGCACAGAAATCTCTAACTTTGCCTGCGGAATGCATTCCTGGTTAATCTATCATCTTGCTGGACGGTAGATGTGGATCGGACACTTACAGTTCTTGGAGTGAAGACGGTCAAGTAGGTATTCGGCAAAAGTCGGGGTATAGGTTAGACACTGCAAAGTCGAATTGAGGAAACATGTATTTCCAACGTTGACCAGTCCCGGTCCAATTCTTCTATTGGTTTTCCAAGAAGGTGACAAGAGCTTGCGGTCGAATAGTACTCGGTTGTCCTTAGGAGGAGTCGCAGCGGCGGGTGCAGCTGGTTTTGTCGACTGATTTTTGACTTTATGTATCTTTCCGTTCGTAGTTGGTCGGTCGTTTTTCAAAAATGGGTTGTGATGGACTTGGTTGCCCTTCATTTTGGCCATGTTGGTCAAAGTGATCTCTAGGAAGGTTATTCAAAAAGTTTTCGAGGCCCAAAGAAAATTTTGCAACAAAAAAAAAAAAAACTTCGATCGACTCCGGTGTCTGCGCCAATGGAAATTCCAAACCTCTTCACACTAACCCAATATTACCCGACTGGAACAATGACCTTGGACGCTATACCAACACGAAATGCTTATTTGTTATTCTGATAAGAGTTTTCATATCTTGCTATAGTCAGAAAAATCTTGAAAATACAACACAAGCACTATGGTAATAAACAGACCAAATCTTTGTTCGCATTATCAATGTCAATAGGTGATTGTGATGAGGCCATGAACGTGCTCTTAAAGGAGTTTTTGCAGTCATTCAATAGTTGATGATCTCCCTTTTATTCCAAGATACTATTATTTGTTACGTTTGCAAGAGCCGTGCAAATGGTTGTTATGTGCGCCTGGAAGCAAGCAAGCGAAGTATGAAAGAGCATGAAACAGCATCCAACAGAATCCGCATTGAATATTGGATCGCAATGCTACGAAATATATAGAAACTACACTAATGATTGGTTCGTCTCTGCAAAATGCACTTTGACTTCGTGGATATACGTTGCCTGAGGGCAGGCAAAAATCATTAAGGCAAAGTGAACATGTGACTAGCCACCGCTGAGATGGCCAGCTAGCTGGACGACAAAAACTGGCTCAATCCTTGCTGGAGCCCATCGATGCAACCAGTCTCCCATGTTTCGCTTCGATTCATTTCGGTCACAATCGCAAGCAACACCAACAACTAATGCAACACGAGAAGACTCTCAAGAAGCCCCGGAAGATTCAAAGATAAAGTTCCTCCAGCGAATATCCAGCAGTGACAGTATCGATAAAAAATCTTTAACTAAGCGTCCGAGCTTTTCAAGTATGTCGAGCTTTTCAGGACGCAGCGGAAGTTCGTCGTCCACCATTCCAGTCCCTTCCAACTCATGGGGAATGCTCATGCTATCCACACTCCGAAACGATGATATGTTGGAGGACGTGTGCAGCTTACTGACCAAGGACCAAAAGGTATATATTTTCTATATAAGACCATAAATTCCGTTCTAAATTTCTGTTTGCATTTCTGGTGGCTCACATATTCAAACCTAGGCTACCCTGCTCCTACCTGTATCACAACCTTCCCATCCTTCAGCTATCATTGACCGGGAATTTATTGAAGATCATGTCATGTTATACCAAAGCCCCGTCGACATGACGCAAATTGTATCCTTAAGCGGTATTCGTGGCACCTTTCAAAAGTAAGTGAAACGAATATTGGATGAGCTTTATAGCTTTTTGTTTATTCAGAATGTGGTTTCTTATAGGGACCGGTTTGTCGCATTGGGTTTGGTAGAGAGACCAAGCGTTCATGGTATCGCCGCTTCAAATGCAGACACATCGACTAAAACGCAAGTAGTTTTATTGAATATCGCCCTCATCTTGCGCATTTAATTAACGCTGCATGTTATAGACGCTTCGATAGCTTTAATCTGGATCCCATGTCAATCACATCGGATCATCCATCCATAAATATCCTCGCAAGCCACGTCGATGTCAGTATTGCCAACGACCAAACAATCACTGTCATGCTAATTCAAAAACCAGTGTCGCGACAAGAAATCCAAGATTGGTCGGAAGCAAAGGAGAGTGGCATTATAGTTACTTCTCCTGAGCTTGTCTCGTCGGAAGATGATATCAATTCAGAGAGAATAAGCCCTCGCATTATAGAACAGATTCAAAGGTAAGTTTCGACAGGTGGATGGTGTGGTCGCTCGCTCATCTGGCTTCAATAGATCCGCTCATCTTTATCATTGTGTTCTTCTTTTCCAAACAGATTCATCACTAGCTTCCGTCGTCGGCCACCGAAGAATTTGGACGCAGCTGGTATGGCTGTGCAATCTTTGCTACGAGATGTAGAATCTAACTTAGAAAAGGAGAAGCACACGCTGGACGAGCATGCTCATGCCGTCAAGGTATCGCTATCTCCATATGAGGTGGATCAGAAGATGGAATGGGTGGAAAACTACGTTTGTCGAGAGCTATATGATAGGTATGTATTGTTTCACATATCGTAGCCCACTTGTCGTTCCTCATCTAATAGCCGGTTTAGTCTGTTTACATCCCCGAATGGCGACGACACTCTTCACGATGAGGCACTGGTGTCACGCATTGCAGCACTCAACTTGCTCGATCTTGATTTGGCTCACCTCGGTGTTATTGTAGATGAAGGAGACGACATTGCGGAAATAGATGAAGCTGTAAGGAACGCTGGTCATCAACTGCAAAAATTGGAGTCCTCACACGCTGCTCGAGATAAAATGGAGCATTTGCTTCGGACGCATACAATCATTGCTGGTATGTCAAATGTGTCACTTTCACTTAAAACAGTCGTTTTGTGAAAAAGTTCATGACAGGCTATAACACGGTTGTACTCCATAGATGCCTTAGAGCGATTTGCCGAAAGTCATAAATCAAGGGCGACAGTTGATGAGGATGCCAGTATTGTCAAGGAGATGCAACATGCCATGTCCACCATGACAGAAGACAAAACACCAAATGAAGATGCTCAGGATATCGAAAGCGCCGTGACAGCCTCAAGTGATTCCCCTGACAAAACTGACGACGATACCAATAGTACCGAAGACCAAATTGATGACGATAATGCGTCTGAAGTTGTTGCGCCACCTCCATCGCAAGACACTGCCGTTGATACCAAGGCCACACCGGAAAGTGCAGATATGGCAAGGAATGCTTCAGAAACATCTAGCGAGATTAATCTTCAGTTTCCTCCAACACAATCAAAACGACCGCGCAGAGACGATGATCAGTACATTCGCTCTGCTGGTGCCGACGTCTTATTGCCCTTACTCATATACACTGTCGTCAAATCCAATCCACAAAAGTTCGTTTCTAACCTGAAATTCATCCAACGTTATCGGATGTCTTCAAAATTGATAGGAGAGGCAAGTTACTGCCTCACCAATATGGTATGTTTCATGTAGCTGTGTCGACTGCATTAGAGTCTTTTCTTAACCGGATTTTTTTTTTTCCTAGCTGGCGGTTGTAGCGTTTTTGGAAACCACTAATTTGGTTGGCCTCGGCCTTTCTGCTGATAGAATCATGAGGTAAGTCTAGTTAATGAGATTACCTATTCTCAAGCGGCATCAATCTCATTCATCCTATCTGTAGTGATCTCAGCGATCTGAAAGCCGGTTCTGGTTCAAACGGCCCGAACTCCAAACAGCGTTTTAGAAGCCCTCAAGTCGACCAGTTGGCAGGTGGTGGAAGAAAACTTGTATCAGATGTAGTGGATGGAGTTTTTGATGGAATCGGTCGGTTTTGGAGAACACCAGAGAGTACCAGCAGCGCAAGTCCACCGGTATTGCCACCTCCTACGAATACAAACAAAACGGTGGGAGGACTGCTTAGTATGCCTGGCATGGCAGCCATGGAGGAGGTGAAAAACCAAGTGGTCGGTCGAGTACGAGGTTCGAGCGATGCTTCATCCATCAAGAGCCAAGAGGCACGGAAACAGAACGAACTGAAAGAGATGTCGAGAACCCATACCAATGAATCGGTAGACACTCAAGACTCCCGCCCATTATGGCAAAGGGTGAGTACCTCCCGCTTTAAGTATACTGTACTTAATATAGGACTTTATTAACATGCTGAATGATCTATGGCACCTAGTCCAACTCGCAGTCTCGCACTGATATGTTTCAATCGATGCTACAGGCGCCTTCCCAATTCATGGCCTCCGTCGTACCTAGACCTTCATCGGCCGCATCAAGTACAACACCACTGGGCGAGGGACCACTGCCGAAGTTTCTTGAAATGAAATCCGTTGAGGAAATGAAGATTGGCGAAGTAGCTGAACTACTTGCCGACTACAAGCGACTAGCTGCGATCATCAAACAATCTCAACTTTAAACCAAACCATATTGTCAGTGTCGACAGTGACATGATTTAGATTCCATAGGCACTCACGTGATTCATTAATGAGTCACGTGTACTTTTTCTTCGCGTCCAAAGCCGTTTTTTATGGCCGTTTCACACTCCTTACCGCGTCAAATAAAGACTACCAGACAGTAACATGTTTATAGGCATTACTGGACCTTTATGTAGTGGCAAGCATACAGTTGCCCAATACCTTGTAGAAAAACATAATTTCACGTACCTTACTCTTACCGATTCCACACATCCTAGCGTCGACTATGATTGCGTTCGATTCCATACCCTCAAGGAAATGCAAATTTATGTTACGGAACGATGGTTGGAAAACTTTGTTACCTGCGATGTCGACGGTCGTGGTCTATGGCTCTTCAAGTAAGCATTGGTGCAAATCAGCCTAGTTGTGACCTACGTATTGATTTATGTGCAGGAAGCGCCCTTTCTTTTTACTAGTTTCGATCGAGGCACCGATATCCGTGCGGTTCCAGCGGCATGTTCAAAGGTGAGTTTGGGTGGGAGAGTCATTTTTTTAATGTTTCATTAAAAATCAATAAATGAATCACAATCAATTATTGGTTATTTTTATTGATGGCAATTTTAATAGGTGTCAGCAAAATGGCGAAAACGAATTGGGCTTGCTCGAGTTCGTCATCCAAAACGACCTTGCCTTGTTCAATATCCCAGAGGATGATTCCACCATGCTCATAACTGATCCCATGAGCCCGTCAAGACCAAGGAAGCAATTATCCACTACTCAGTCCCATACTCCTCTCTACACTCTCATGTCGTTATCAGACGTTACCATTGCAAATGCTTATCAGTCTGTGCCCCAGCTCCACGCTTGTTTGGATGACCTCGATTTAACGAACCATGAACGACTACGTCCATCTTGGGATACCTATTTTATGCATCTATCGGATCTAGCGGCAAGACGGTCGAACTGTATGAAGCGCAGAGTTGGGTGTATTTTAGTCAGAGATTCTCGGGTAATTGCTACCGGATATAACGGAACGCCAAAGGGGCTGCGAAACTGCAATGAGGGAGGATGTCAAAGATGTAATGATGCAACTCCCTGTGGAACGGGACTTGACCGGTGCCTCTGCATGCATGCCGAGGAAAATGCACTACTGGAAGCCGGAAGAGAAAGAGTTGGTCCTGGCAAAGGTGTTATACTCTACTGCAATACGTGTCCTTGTTTAGGTAAGGGCGTGGTTGGATTGGGGTGGTCATTTTGGATGAAAAAGGAGATTTATTTTTTTTATTTTTCTTGCAGGATGTGCTATCAAGATTGTCCAAACCGGCGTCAAGGAAGTGGTGTTTTCGAAGTCATATGGCATGGATGATTTTATTGCCAAGGTGTTTGCTGAAGCTGGTGTAAAGTTACGTCAGCATAGCCCGCCCAGCATGCGACTGGAAATGCAAGTGGATGTGACTGAAGTCGATAGCAGTATCATCGGTAAAATGGGATGGATGAACTCGGATGTAATGAGACGAAGGGGTTCCCAGGATCCCAATAACCATAATTCATAAATCGGTTTGGTTTACTGGGTATCCACTACCATTGTGTCACCCTGGCCATTCCCTGTAGAGAAGGAATTTCCGCTTCAAGTCAAAATAAAAAACTGCCACTTATTATTACTGCATGGTGGTGTTTTTGCTTTGCTGCAAATCTCGCTTCACTGGGTTTGATCTCGCGAAATGAAAACGGTATTGTTCGCGGAAATGAAAATAAGCACTATCCTTAAAGTATTCGTCAGTCAGACGCTCCTACTTTAAGAGATTTCAGACTTATAAAGGCACACCATGCGTAGAGCCATCGCGTCTCCTCGATCGCTCTTTTCTTTCTTGTTTCTTTCTCGCCTTTTTTTTTTGTCTTTGAAAACATGTTGGCAAAGGTATGGATTGTTTTGTCGTGCTTCATGGCACAGGTTGCATGGGCCCTCCAACCCATGGGCTACCAGCCGTTGAGCATAGCTCAGCTCGTTGGTCAGGCAGATTACACTGTCTTAGCCAAGGTAGTCTCAGTATCTCCAGCAGCCAATACAACCGGCGCAGGTCCAATCAACACCGGCTCAACCGCACCGACCAATGCGTCAGTGGCAACTCTGCAAGTCTTGTGCAACTACATCGGAAATCCACCTATCGCGAACGCAAGTACGATCACTGTACAAGGTTTTGGAACTTACACTAGCGACTGCCTTTCGTTTGTGGGTGCCACTGGATGGACGGGATTTTTCTTCTTGAATCACACCGTTATCAACGCCGCTGGCATCCAAAATGGTAACACTTCCTCCACCGACAATAGTTACCAACTCGGTAATCATTGCCAGTCGCCGGTTATGATGAGTCCCACTACCATAAGCTCACTCTGGCAGCAAGTCAATGACACTAGCAATGTTGCTGGAACAGGCTGCTTGGCTTCCAATGGATTCCCTCTCCAAAGTGGCGGTGGGGTTGCTCAGCCTAGTGTTGCCGGTGCTACAATGAGTGCGGCTGCTTCTGGCAACTCCAGTATGTCTTCTGCTGCTTCTCCATCCAGTTCAACGACAAGCGCTGCTTCATTTTCTTCCCATGTTAGTTCCTTGACTATGGTCTTGGCCCTCATAGTTGGTATTGCCATGCTTTAGACAACATAGCCGTAACTGTATCATTTTAACCTATATTGTCAAATAAATATGTGTCCATATGTGTGTATTTCTCTTTTTTATATATTTCTTCAGAGTTATCAAATAAATAAAAGCACGCCAATTGAAATAATCCAATCTGTTTTACTTAGTAGAGCGAAAGGAACACGGCTTACTGCACTAAGTGCGTTTGGAATTTTTTCAATGATAAAAATACAAGAAGAGCTAAAGGCGGCTGACATCACTCCAGAGCGAAATTTTCGAATTCCCGTCTCAAAAAAAAAAATGTTATATTTTTCGTTTTTGGACGCGCCCCGTAGACGCGACTGTTTAATAAAGTCAATCTTAGACATCATGGTAAATACAAGGATCCAACCTCTGCTAATCTCTACCCGTACGCTATCCTTACTTGCATCTGCTGTATACAGGCTGATAGAAAGAGAAGAAGAGATAGTGCCAATCTCCACAGTGACGATGCACCTGCTTCGTCACCAGCACCTTCCTCCTTGCCACCATCGTCACCCGCTCCATTCTTTTCAGACTTGGGATATAGAGATGAGGAGGAGGAAGTGGAGAATAACATGGAAGATGAGGTTGATGAAGAAGAAGATGATGACGGTATTGATTTGTTTGGAAGCGATATGGAAAAGTAGGTTTTTTGGTAGTTCAGGAACGACCATTCACCAGAGTAACTAAATGCAATATACGTCTTCAGTGATTATCGTGAGGACTCTGTTCGTGATCGCTACGATTTGGCCAACATTGATGACGAGGACTACGACAACTTGGATCCCGCTGATCGTGCTGCTGTCGAACAAAGACTAAACCGTCGAGACGCCGAGATAATGCGCAGAGAAGGCAGAATGGCTGATGCGTTCATGGATGGAATTGATGACGATGTCGATAATCCTATGCCTACAAGACGCCGTCACAGACGACTTTACGATGCCGATATGGGTATGAATTTGGATGACGAGAACATGGCTGTGGTATGTAACGAACCTTGGTTTTTTTTGGGTCAGATTTGCCACAGTGTTCCTTTTTTTTTTTTCGCTAACAACGCCCTTGTTCGATTCACCAGCCTGAAATGTCACTCGACGACCTCCGCAACATGAAGCATGCATCTATGACCGATTGGATTGACCAGGAAGCCCCCAGAAGAACAATTAAGCGAGAGTTCAAAGATTTCTTGCTGACTTACGTTGATGAGCACGGAACTTCAGTTTACGGTGAACGAATCAAGGATATGGGTGAAAGTATGTGGTTTAAATGCTGCGGTGTGTGGAACTGAGGAGAAATCTTGCTCACCATTTGTATTTCACGTCTTTGCTAGGTAATCGTGAAAGTTTGGAAGTTAGCTACGAACATCTTTCTCAAAGCAAGACTATCCTTGCCTATTTTCTCGCCAATACACCTCTTAATATGCTGAAGCTTTTCGACCAAGTTGCCTTGGAAGTCACACTTATCCAATTCCCAGAATATGAACGCATTCACCGAGACATCCATATTCGCATCGCTGACCTCCCAACTGTTAACACTCTTCGTGAACTTAGACAAATCCAACTTAACTGCCTTGTCCGTGTATCCGGTGTTGTTACCCGCCGAACTGGCGTATTTCCCCAACTCAAGTGGGTGAAATACAACTGCGGACGATGTGATCAGTTACTAGGTCCCTTTTACCAAGACATTCACAATGAAATCAAACTACAAGTCTGTCCACACTGTGGTGGAAAAGGCCCATTCAATCTTAATGCACAACAGGTAAATACTTTGAAAGTTACGTGGAAACCTATGGGCCTTTTGGGTATGGTATTAATTTATCATCTTATAGACCGTATACCGCAACTACCAAAAGCTCACCCTGCAAGAGTCCCCTGGCACTGTTCCACCTGGTCGTCTTCCTCGTCATCGCGACATCATTTGCTTGTGGGATCTTATTGATCAATGCAAGCCTGGTGAAGAGATTGTATGTGCTATTTTACATTATATGTATGCGTTGAATCCAAGCTTGGTTATTAAATGAACGTTGCTTTTCAGGAGGTTACTGGTATCTATCGTAACAACTTCGATGCCTCATTGAGCACCAGAAACGGATTCCCTGTATTTGCCACCATCATTGAAGCCAATTACATCAGCAAGAAGGAAGATTTGTTCGCCAGCTTCAGACTCACCGAGGATGACCAGCGTCAAATTTTAGCATTGTCAAAGGACAAGCGCATTGGTAAACGGATAATGAAGAGTATAGCGCCATCTATCTATGGCCATGAAGACATCAAGCGTGCTATTGCACTATCATTGTTTGGAGGTGTACCCAAGAACGTTCAAGGAAAGCATTCAATTCGTGGAGATATCAATATCCTTATGCTTGGTGACCCAGGAACGGCAAAATCACAATTCCTAAAATACGTGGAGAAGACAGCCCATCGATCTGTGTTTACTACTGGTCAAGGTGCTAGTGCTGTCGGTTTGACAGCCTCTGTCCACAAGGACCCCATCACACGTGAATGGACTTTGGAAGGAGGAGCTCTTGTGTTGGCAGATCGTGGTGTTTGCATGATTGACGAGTTTGATAAGATGAACGATTCTGACAGGTATGTACGAAGGTGAACTGATGATTTTGCCTGGGGGAAGCCCGCTAATTATTCCTGCACAGAACATCCATCCACGAAGCCATGGAACAGCAATCCATTTCCATTTCAAAGGCTGGTATTGTCACCACTCTGCAAGCTCGATGCTCTATCATTGCTGCTGCCAATCCTATCCGTGGCCGTTACAATGCAGCCATTCCGTTTTCACAAAATGTCGAACTCACTGAGCCTATCCTGTCTCGTTTTGATATTCTCTGCGTTGTTAAAGATACTGTGGATCCAGATCGCGACCATACCCTCGCTACCAACGTCATTGCCAGTCATATCAGAAGTCATCCAGTGTTCGATGCCGAAAAGGATCAAATACATAATGTTGATGTGGACATCGATGTAAGTTGTGTGAGATATTGCCAGCAGCGCAATTCAACACTGTGGTTTATACTAAGTTCCACTATCCATTTTAGATCTTACCTCAAGATATCTTGCGTAAATATATCATGTATGCTCGTGATAAGGTCCATCCAAAGTTGCAGCAAGTTGATGAGGATAAACTTGCCCGACTTTACTCAGAGTTGCGTCGAGAATCACTTGCCAGCGGAAGTATTCCCATCACAGTGCGTCATTTGGAATCCATGATTCGTATGTCTGAAGCACACGCAAAGATGCATCTTCGTGAATATGTTCGATCAGACGATGTAGATGTTGCCATTCAAGTTACACTCGACAGCTTCATCAGTGCACAAAAGTACAGTGTCATGAAGTCATTACGAAGAGTAAGTACTTTGAAAGAATCATGGTCATGGTGCTTTTGGATCGATTCACTAACCCATTCAATCAACTCAGCGCTTTGCCAGATACATCAACAGCTCTAGAGACAACGATGAGCTTCTTCTGCATATGCTGGAAAACATTGCTAGTGAGAAGCGAAAAATGTACCAGTTCAGACATAGAATGCTTCCCAAGGAAGTGCAAATCGACGTGGAGGATTTGGATAGCAGAGTAAGTATTTTAACTGAGGCATCACTTGTCATAGATTTGTTCGATCATGCTGGAGACTAATCCTACTTCTACTAGGCTCGAGACCTTAATATCCATGATATTCAACCCTTTTTCAAGTCTCAGCTGCTGCCACGAAATCACTACAAGATCGATTTATCTCGAGGAGTTCTTATTAAAACATATATGTAATTTGCTGAAATACCATGCTTTCGACCACTCAATAAATAAACCATTCTTTCTCCAATTTGTATCACCGGTGTGGTTTGCTTTTGAGGAGGGAACGATGTGGACAAGAGATCGAAAAGACATCAAGAAGTAGCACTATCGATGGATGACAAAATATTATCGACTGAACCGATTTCAGCAACACCTTTCGTATTACGCACAAGATTTTTAATGATGAAACAAACCTCAATAGGAGAGATAAAGTCATTTCATAAAGAAATCGTAGATTTTAAAAAAAAAACAAAAAAAACAGCATAGCAAAACATTCAATAAATCGTGCTCATGCAAAATATAGGCCAGTTTGAAGTTGCAAAAAATGCGGGTTGTGTGGATTGAACACACGACCTTCAGATCTTCAGTCTGACGCTCTCCCAACTGAGCTAAACCCGCTGCTGTTTTTTCAGCGGAAAGCTGATTGTATTCGTTCCAATAAGGTAAGTGATATATACCTAGACTTGTCTACATAGTAATGAAGGTCTTGAGTAATCATCTAGCACATTGGAAAGCTGCCAAAATCTAGTTAATATTATTTTAACATGAGAGAAAAGAAAATATAGAATCATTTTCCCAATCTATGCTGCATTTATATCGTCGGTTTATCTTTTGTTAGAATTTAATTGCAGCATGTCGGAGGGCTTTACATCATCAGCATTCATTCATGGTTGCAAACACAAGTAATGAATACAGTTGTTCAAACCTGTGACAAAATTATTTAATAGCTGTGAATATCCCTAAGGATATCTTTCCTTCTTATGTCAGCAATGGATATTACTAAGCTGATTGAATCTCTCGCTGCAGCATACATTCTTGGTATTAAACCTGTTTGTTATTCAACGTCTTCAGCGACATCGATTCTTATCTTATCCGCCTTCGTTAGATTTTTGTTTCTTTTGAAATCCGACCTAGTGCTGTAAGATGACAACTCGCACCGCCTCGCCTTATCTTAGGGTCTGAGAAAATCACGTATCATTCCTACCAGATATGAGAGGTAATCTGTGAATCCCTTAGATGTCTCAAAAAGCCTACTCATATCACGATGGTATCTTGTTACTAAGATGACATAACAAAGCATTACCATGGTCATTTTAAATTTTAATCGCGATTTATATCACACTAGTGCTCAGCGGCAATGTGGACATTGAAACAAGTTGTGATCTTTTTTTTTTCACTTGAAAACGATGAAACTGGATAACCGCATAATTCTTAAATGCTTACTACGTTGCTGAAAAGTCGTGCTTGTTCAGTACTGTTATCCAATTATGGCTAAATAAGTATCTCACAGCCTTCATAGACCAAGCCTGGTACCTTCCCATCAAGAACTCTCCGTAGCCACCAGTCTACTGTGATGGAACACCTAAACAAATTCCGCTTTCCGATTCATGTTTGCCAGATCGAACAGGATAATCGACGCTTACCTAATCGAAGCGCTGAAACATCTGCTGGGAATTGGTGAGCTGAATCCATGCACGTCCATGTTTGATGCTATATATAATGTAAAAATCCCCGGATGACATTCAATTGCACAAGGAGCGAGAAACCCTCATCAACGACATGAAGGCAAGCTGGCTATCGGTCAGTCCCATAAACTCCGCCATTGAGGTGAAATCACACATCGGCCGATATGCGTTGCCGAAACATTGAAATTTCGCTATGGAGAAAAAATCAGTCACGACACAAATTGTAAATTTTCCGTATAACTTCATCACCTTACTTTTTGTTATCTCATGAGAAAATTCTCTTTGCCTTTGTTATATATCAGGGTGTATCCATTTTTTATTGATGCTTCTATTGAGTGAAAGATCTGGTCGTTTTGGAGAGAATTATAATTGAGAGTATGGGCTCTATATTTTTTTTCATAACTGTAGCGATGGTCGGTGTTTTAAATGCAAGCTAAGCCGAAATTGTAGTGTAGGAGTAAGGTGTATTTAACAAGAGTCTCGAACTTACCCCTGATCAGCGCATAGAGTAGCATCAAACGGCGTGGAATACAGAGATACGAAAGGAGAATCAAATTAATTCTTTTATGATTTTGTCTGACGGCCAGTATATGTTAGAAGTTGACGCAAATCGCCGAGACTCATTATACTGCATGCATGAGAACTCGACTGTGGAGAGCCTTTGGTGTTACGGTGCATCAGGAGTACTGAGGCGAAGCATCGCAAGAAATGAAACACCGTATGATTCGAAAGACTTAAAAGCAATATGTTCTTGATAGCAAGGATGTAGTGCAGAAGCTAGGTTGCGACTCACGATCAACCTACTGCCATATGGTATGCGTTTACAAGACATCGAATAGAAAAGGATCAAGGTCTCAGTTGAGCTGAGCTCAAATTTTCTTACTGCAATACGTCAACCGGTTGAGGTCGAAAACTCAAACTAATCTGAAGAACAGGGAGAATGAAAGATCGGCAAATTTATTCGTGCTCAGTTCGGTCAAACTGCATCTTGGGCATGGGAAATTGGTCTGCAATGATGACTAAATCTTATGAGCTCACAAAAGGGAGAGACTTGTGTCGAGCCTGGCGTAAAAGAGCCAATCGACTCTTTAATGTAGATGGAACATAAAACAAAGTAAGCAGTGCTTGCACTGCCAGGGGAAGACTCTAGAAACCTTTCTGACGAGACACAATCCCACGGTCTGGGGCAGAGGCGAGATAGACCGACAATTTGATTTGCTATGGACTGCTAAGATGTTGCAATTTAAATTTTTTTGGAGACGTCGCTGCCATCAAGAATATGTGCCATATCTTTCATGGCAACAAGGTATAAGCCACATCGTTTCCATCTTTCCCGACCGTTGCCAAGCAATTAATCCGCATTGCTTATCTCTAGCTACCCATAATGCTTGTGAGGCAGACTTTTCTTATTTACTTGGCGCAGTTTTGGCTTAGATACAGACTTTTAACCACGCTAATGTTTTAGAAAACTCCAAAACCCGAGATAGGTAAAGCCTCAAGCATATCCTGTAAATATTAAACTTAAATTTAACAGTGCGCTTTGAAAAGACGGGTGGCAATGTGCGAACCATATTAGCATGGAGCATCGTACAATAACATACACTCTTGAAACCATTGCGCTAATGCTTCGGCTTCTCTGCATGGCTGAAAGCTGCACTAACAGCAGTAGCATTATTTCATTATCAGATTCTGGAGATGAAAATGATGATGAAATCTGGTTCTGGTTGTTCTAATACTTGCTGGAAAATAAATAATTATCAATTGAGAGATTTTCATATTGATTGGTCCAGAAACCTTCGATGGCGCCTGAGAAAGAACAAAAAAAAAAGTGGGCATTTGGAACAGTATGCTTAAAACTCAGCAGGTAAAAAGGTCAAAGCGCAGGACAAAATATCAATCCCGATAAACTCTCGCTTTGTTTCCCTTTATTCCCCAACTTTAGCAATGGGTAACGAAACATCCAAAGCTAAAGTGGAGGCATTAACCGACGGCAAATGGCAAGTGAAGCAATGGACTCTTCTGAATCAGCAGCTGAGCAATTCAGGCGATGCCAGCTCAATCAAATCAAACGCAAGTAGCACCCATTCCGGTCTTTTCACCAATAGAACTGACACCATGAGCAGTGGGAATAGCGTGGAAAGCGAAACTCGACAGAAGAAAAAACGGAAACCGTTTAAATACGCTAAGGATCTTTTATTCAATGGCAGTATATCCCCATGGGGTCAAGACAAAGCCTTGTACCGTACGGATCAAACGTCGTCAACCTCTTCGTTACAGCTAAGAACTTTGACCGAAGACACATTGGAGGGCTTACGAACAAGCAATTCCATCACAAGTGTTACAGCATCCTCTATGGATCACGTCTCGGATGAAGATGACTTGACCTTGGTAGCCGAAAAAGGCTGTCATGTCGGACATGAAATAATGAGCAACATTTTTACGCTTGAAGCGTACCAGACTCTATATCACAGGTAAAAAGGTCAGAATTTTTACATATTGAAAGACCTTTCTTCTCACCGCTTCATTTTTTTCTTCATTTAGGCTATGCTTAGTACAGGTTGAGGATCGTTTACGCAGCGGCGCGCAAGTCTTGCACTTGGGGTAAATGATGTTCTTTTTGCTTGCGCTGTGAATTGACAATTTGTACATGGTTAGCACTTTACTCACACTTGCTGTGTATTAGATGTGGTTCAGCTGAATGGAGTCTAGCCATGGCCAAGATATTTCCTGAAGTCACATTTTATGCAGTCGATACTGCAGAATATCTTTCTACAGCCAAACTTCGCCATATTCCAAAAAACGTCTGTATTCAGACTGCCCGAAATGGACTTGACCATCTCCCGTTCAGCGACCAATCCTTCGACTACGTTATGTGCCGATTTCTGACATTTCGGATATTCAACTGGCGTTCTCTGGTAGATGAAATGGTTCGACTTACTAAACCTGGCTGGTTCGTATTCTGCAGTGGCTCAACCATATCATGCACAGCTTATTAACAAAAGTCTTTGTCATAGTTATATAGAACTCTGCGAACCTGACTATTTGAATATAGCTTCCTACGGACCTGTAACTCAGTTACTAGCAAATGCCTGTAAGTCTCATGAAGCGGTTGTGTTCTGTAATGACTGTATTATTTACGACGGCTCTCTAGTGATGAACATGATGCTGAATAACAACATAGATCCTTACATTGCCGACGAGCTCGATAATCTACTGTCGGAAACAGAAACTTTACTGTTTGTTAATTCTCAGTCAGCGTTCATCAGTCTGGTAAACCAGAACGTATCGCAGCACCTGTTCTCCGTTACCGTTCATGGCTTAGGACGGTATATCACCGACTGGAAACCTAATGACACTACAGATTTAGACTCATTAGTGGCTCAGTACGTTCGAGAGTGCCAGGAAGCAGAAGGTCATATATCCGTCCGCAGCGTCTTTGCCCAAAGAAGTCGATTACTATGACAAAAAGCGTTCGTGTCCCCAATACCTACCGTCGGAGAAACGGTCTTGCTACTGCGCAGTTTCTGTCTACCATTGAATGTGATTTCGTTATCATGTGTGACAGCAGGCTATTTACGTTTGGCAATGTACATAGTCATCCGGACACAAATCACTTTTATCCTCCCCTCTCTCCATCATTGCGTAGAAACGATCGTCTAGCTACTGATCGTATATATGACTGATGAAATCAAATGTTTACCTGTAAAAATAATTCGTTATTTACTAGCACTCATATTGACAGCTGTATATTGTAAATATATTCTTTCACATTGCAAGATGAAGACGGTCGTTTTGAAGCAGAAGGTTAAGAAGCCATAGAAATACCATAACCAGGTACCCCATCAGTCCAAAAAAAAAAAAAATTATAAAACGAAACGAGCCGGTGCTGTCTGTGCAACAGTAGATCTTCATGCAAAGAAACGTTCTTGGTTTACCAGGTTGCGTATTAGGAATATGATCACGAGAAAACTTCACCCAGTCGCAAGGTGTACAAAGTCTAAACATGAGGCTTGGTTAATACTTCTAACCACCACTTTGAGGTGTGGCGCGTAAACAGTTTTTTCTCTTATGAGATCGTTGTTGGGAGCTGTTTAGCCAGGCTAGCATTCTGGTTTGTCAAGTGTAACCATCATTGAAATTTTATTTATACCGGGGTTTTTCGTTTTCTTTCATCTCTATCTTCAACACATCTTTACACCATGAAATTTACATCCATTGCTCTCTTGGCTTTTACCACTCTTGGTCTAGTAAACGCCGACGGTTCTCTTAATCGTAGTGGCGGTAGCGGCTTGAGTCGTCGCGCTGAAAACTATCCACAATTGAATCGCAATGGTCAATCCATCAATCCCCTGGAGAGCCTCGAAAAGCGTGCTTCTGTATGCCCTGCTGGAGACTTTGCATGCAGTGATGGAAATGGTTGCTGCCCTAACGGATCGACCTGCGTACCTAATACCCTAAAGTGCAACGTGGCATGCGGTGTTTATGATGTGCAATGCTCTGATGGTGGTTGCTGCAGTGCTGGAACATACTGCGGTGGCGATGGATACTGCTATCAAAGCACTGGTTCCGGCAACGTCGGCATTACTACCACCACTACTAGCTCAACTTCCTTGTTTGTATTCCCGTCAACATCTATCGTAATTGTGAGTTCCTTGAGCCCAACAACCACAGACCTTGCAGCAGGTGCAACCACTCTTCCTCCACCTGCCATTTCCCACCCTTCAGTCGCTTCCTCTGCCTCTGCTGTTGCCGTTGTTACTAACAACCCTGTTTCTGGCCTAAGCGGTGCTACCACCAAGACTGTGTCTGCAGCCAGCATTGTTCTTGTTGCTGTAGTTGCTCTCGCACAATTGTAATTATTTTCTTCTACTTTGGTCAATCCTCTGTCATAAAACTCTCTCATATCAAAAGAATAAATACATAACAAAAAACCATATAAACACATATATATCTTATCTCTTCTGTATGAACCAATGTCTAATCAATGTCTAATACTGGTTTTTTTTTTTCGCTTCTGTAGAGTTTTCTGAAATCAAATCAGTCTTAGATAGGCTCTGATTTTGTACACAGGTAAATTAGTCAATACCTCCTAAATCAATCCAAGTGTGCCTCTAGCTGCTGCGCAAATTGCCAAATGCTTTCAAATACAATGGTCTTGGGAATAAAAACCTCTTACTGTGAGCTATCTGCTCCTAATGAAAGTTGATACGACATTGAATGAGACAGTATAGATTTATCACAGTAATTTTAGGTCAACTTTCATCATATCACAATCAATCATTGATTCCAATTAAAAAAAAAATTGTTTTCATTGCATATGACAAACATACTATCGGTAGGCATCATTATTTGTATACATTGGGGACATGAAATAAAAAAAACTAATTGAGAGCCATATAAGTTTCTTTATCTTACTTAGATCGTCATTTGCTCACGCAAGACCACTGAAATGCAACAAGGTAACGATTTTTGAGAGAGTTTTAGGAAAAACCCAGCCCGTCGCTTCAAAATAAACCAGCAGAGACATTCATGTACCGCATGATACGGATCAATAGTAACGTTGCAGATCAAGAAATGAAGAAATACAAAGGAGTAAACTATGCTTTCAGCTATAGTGAGTACAAACAGCCTTTTCATTTGACGCACAAGCTACAATATGGATCAATCTCATTTTATCTTACAGTAAGCTGAGCACATCCATGATTTTTTTTTTAAGGTGGGTTGGGGTGAGGAATCAAAGTGGTTGCTGCGAGTTGCCAAACATGGAGTAAAATTGGGAGTCGTTTCGTGGCATGTTGCACGACGATGTGCAACAATGATGTCTGAGCCAAACGAGGTTCAGAAAGATCCGAGAGTATTTCATCTTCTTTTCTTATCACCATGACACATCTATGCAATTTACTACTTTTTTTGTTCTCGATAATACAAGCCACTAATGCAAATACGTGGGGAGATCCAAGAATACATCCTGCGATCCAAATTAATGTAACTGATGCCGAAGTACCAAAATATAATCGTTTTTCAAAACGCGTTGGTTGTTCGGATGGCTATTTTCTTTGTCAAAGCGAACATGAAACTGGCTGCTGTCCGAATGGATCATTATGCGACCTGTATTCAGCACAATGTACAGTAGGTACTTGCGGCTCAACAGGACATCTTTGCCCGTTATCTGGCTGCTGCTATGCGGGACAATATTGTGGAATAGACGGATGGTGTTATCCCATGAATTCAACTGCTACTGGTCTACCATCCACTGCCCATATAAATCCTACGTATCAGGTTTCAGTAGCGGTTAGTGCACCTACTAGTAACAGTGTGGGTTCTGACGAAACAGTGAAGATTGGTCGTATCGCATTAATTTTATTTTTGTTGATGATGATCCTATTAGTGTAGACAAAAAGTTGCTCGCACTGAATCTATACTAAAATGCTGGTAATGCGCTGGTAATAAAGAGGTATGGAAATTAGAGCATAGGAACCATTTGTATTCCTAAGCAAATCTTGAGAGCTGAACGAAGCTATTTTCTGTTGTAGTAACATGTTCATGGTGCACCCATTTTTAGCTCTTGCTAAGTTTGATCATGAAATCTTGCTGCTATTTTTCAGAAATCGAGATATTAAAGTGCTTCATATTATATTTAACTTGCAGGTGACAAAAATCAATTACAGTGTAGAATAAAGCGATCAATTCGTAAAGTTCTATCAGTTTACTTAGACTTCAATCCTCCTTGTGGTTATGTGGGTTCATTATGAAATTTCGGTATCAGTGTACCATAGCGGGATCAGGTTAGTTAATATCGCGCTGTATTAGTTTTACTAGCGCAGTCAATGCTGTGCCTGCCGTTAACGATAACACCAACCATTGCTGATCCAGGAACTAGATCTATTGACCACACCATAACGTCCCACTGCAGACTATCGGAAAGCGACAGCTTGCGCCATTGGTAATATGAGTTGCTACGACAGTATCGATAGAAGCTGACTATATGGTAGTGTTTATGGTCTGTCCACTCACCCCTTCTGTGACTTGTGCAGACGGCGGTTGCTGCTCTATGAATCAATTCTGACGGAAAGTGGGATTGATATGCACATACTTAAGATCAATCAAAGAAATCCTGCTTACTCGTAGATAATTAACATTGCTTTTGAATTATTAATTAACTAAATCCTATAAGTTGCTTCACATAAAAGGTGCAAGCAAATTGTGGTCGATATGTCAAGCAATCGCATAAAGAGCATCGGAACTATTGAATTGACACAGAATGATACGCTTCGTGTTCTTTAATCATAGGAAGAATATAGAAGTCAAACTTGGACACATCCTTGAATCTTGGCGCTGCTCAAAGTTTTGAGCTCTATGGCTGGGCATTCGTAACCCAACCACTTGGCGGATTTTTAACCCACCACGTGCACTAGGCATCTAACGCTGCACATTTAAACATATCAATGTTGTGATCCACTGATAGCAGTATAAAGTCATTCATGATCTTCTTACATGAATCGATTGTGGGAATCAATCGCTCAATAGATCCCGGCAACGCACGAAAATGCTTAAGGACTTTAGAAAATGCAGAGAATAAGCTTGCCTTTATTATGTTTTCTTTTTTTAGCGCAATATCATCACTGTCGTGCTTTAGCGCTCAATGGTGTCCGATACCGAGGGCTCTTTGTTGCTGTGACTTCAAAAATCAAAGCCTTTTTCAATGGAATCTGCCATTGAGGCAATGTATCAAAGGTAAGCTTGCGTGCGTCGAAAAATTCTGGCACTCGTATCCCTATGCTACAAGAGAGGGGAGATATGCATCAATGTCTGTATCTTACATGAAATAATTCCAGAAAGCCACCTTTTTTGCTTTTAACAGAAGAACTACTGAATCAGAGCCTGCCAAGATTAATATTTGTCGTCAGCAATAGTGTGGTTATCTTAAAAAGAATAAAATTGCATTGTGTCAGCCACTCAGTACCACTTAACGCGTCACCTCTCGGTCGACATTGCGCACCCGCCCAATCAATATAAACCCAGTCCAAGGCTCTTTCGCCAAGCGTTGTTTATTGAACAGATCTTGAATGTCTTCGTTATTAGGCAATTTGCAATCAATTGCAGAGCAACAACTGCAAGTTCTATGGCAGAAGGCCGGGCCTCTCCTCCAACCATTGCTAGAGAATGAACAATGGAAGCCATATGCCATTACTCTTGGTGTGCTCGGGCCACTTTCTTATATTTTCTACAAAAACTACATCGACAACCTATATCTCAATCCATTGAACCGTCTTCCCGGACCACCAATTGGTTGGGATGCTCTTTTCATGCTTGGTAACTTCAGGTCCATCACTGTAGCGGAGGTAAGGAAAGCGTTTGATGGAAATCTACCTATTTTTTCTTTTTACAATACGCCACCAACTGATCACTGGTTCAATGTAGACAGCAAGACCTCAATTAGATTGGACAGAACAATACGGAGGCATCATTCGATACTATGGGCTCTTTAATATCCCAAGAGTGATGGTCTCCGATCCCGAGCTTTTGAAACAAATCCTCGTCACACATCAATACGATTTCGTCAAGCCAAAGGAGCTTGCTGAATTCATTGGTCGAATCCTTGGCGTTGGTCTTTTGGTTGCAGAGGTCAGTCGGTTGTTCTATTATGGTCTTTGTCCTTACTCACTGAGATACGTGCATTTTTTTAACATTGTAATTGTTGTTAGGGAGCGGAACATCGTCATCAGCGCAAGATGTTAAATCCAGTGTTCTCTGTCAATGCCATTCGTGGCATGGTGCCGGATATGTTTGTGCCAGGAAAGCGTCTTGTGGATTCTTGGACAGAGGAGTTGAGCGACGGAGCGAAAGAAATCAACATTTTGAATGGTCTCAGCAGAGCAACTTTGGACGTTATCTCCATCAATGGATTTGGTTACGACTATGCGTCTTCCGTCCCAGGAGCTCCACCAAACGATCTCAATGAAGCTTATAACCGAGTCTTTGCTGGATCGGATACTTTCATTCGAATTCTATTTGCCATTTTCCCTTTCATGAGAAAGTTGCCCCTGAAGAGAAACATTGAGTTCCGAAAGGCTATCAAGACCATTGACACCGAAAGTATGAAATTAGTCACAGAGGCTCGCAAGCGATCCAGTGGTGAGAAGCATGGATCAGGGCGCAAGGCTACCAGAGACTTGCTATCCATTATGACTAAAGAGAGAGATGAAGCTAGCGGCGAAGGCATGGACGATAACGCTCTTCAGGCACAAATCATGACTTTCTTAGCTGCTGGGTAAGTGGATTTAGCCATCATGAATACTGACTGGGCGTCCTACTCATCATCAACCTGTATTCCATCAAATAGACACGAGACAACAAGTGTTACTGTTACATGGGCACTTCATGAGCTTTCTCAACATCCTGAAATTCAGGATCAGCTTCGAGAGGAAATCAAGTCTGTTTTCTCCAACATCAATTATGAACATCCCTTGTTCGCAGACCCAATTGGAGTGGATGAAAACGAATTAGCTGGAGCCAATGTTCCAAGCTTTGATGAAATCAATAACCTTCCGTTCCTGAATAATGTAGTCAAGGAAATCCTACGATTAATTCCTCCCGTACCTATGACCAATCGAACTGTGGAGAAAGACATTGTGGTTGGTGGCTACCTTTTCCCTAAAGGTGCCAGAGTCTTTATTCCACCTGCCGTGACTCAACGTATGACGTCCGCATGGGGTGAAGATGGCTTGGTTTTCCGTCCTTCACGATGGGACGAACCTCTTGCACAGGCTGCTGGACCGTATACCTATATGCCATTTTTGGCTGGTGGTCGTCAATGCATCGGTTATCGCTTTGCGCTAATCGAAATCAAAATTTTACTTGGAGTTTTGATCAACGCCTTTAAATTTACTGCTAAGCCTGGAGTTGAGATCAAAAAGCGTCAAGCTATCACATGGAGACCTAGCCCTGACCTCATCCTGTATGTTGAACGAGTATAGTATTTAGACAATGTATCATTTTATAACATATTGCAAATCAAACTGGAAAAGAATATCCTAAGCATTAGGAAAGAAAAAATACTGCTTGTCTTGTTGTTTCCTGTGGTCGCACAGTGGTTGTTGTTGTTTACCTCGTTTTGTCCAATGATCACTGGTCAGCTTTTCCTTGTGCCGTTCCTTCGCTTTTTCGCTTCCCCCTTTTTCTCTTTCTTTCTTTATCAGCTGAAATAATGACTGAAGCGCCTCGGCGTTCTAGGTCACGCTCGGCCAATACGACACCTCGCATGGCCCCTCAACAAGCTCCGATACCAGGAACTCCACCTCAGATGCAAGGATACCCGGCGGGTGGGCAGCCCCAAGCCCAACCACCACTACCCAATCAACAACAACAAGCAGCTATGAATCACCAAAACATGGCTGAAGGACCAGGATACCCGAACACACCTTATATGCAACAACAGCAAATGGGTCAACAAGGGGAACGAGGAATATTTAGCGGTTTTAGAAGAAAAATGCGCGAAGCGGCTGGGTTCATTAACACCGACCCATATAGTGAGCGAGCTTATGGACCTCAGATGATGCCACCTCATCAGCAACCAATGCAGCATGGATACGGAAATGGTGCAGCATCACCCGGTGCTTATGCCGCAGCGCAACAATACCCTCAACAAGGACATATGCCACAGCAAAATCCTCAGATGATGCAGCAGCAGTATATGCAACAGCAGTACGCACAACAGCATAGTCCACAATATATGGGTGCGGCAGGGAATCCTTACGGACACTCTATGGGCTATGCCCAAACACCTGTCATGATGCAACAACAATCTTATGGCGGAATGGCATATCCGTACGGCCAATCAGGCGGCTATTATAATCGAGGCTCTTACGGAGGAGCTTATTCACCCTATGGTCAATCGTATGGTGGAGGATATGGAGGAGGATACGGAGGAGGCTATGGATCTGGCGCATATGGAAGTAGCTATGGTTATGGCGGCGCCGGCGCCTACGGTTCATATGGCATGGGAGGATATCCAAACACCTATGGCTATGGTGGTGGTGGTGGTGGAGGCTATATGGGCTATCCTCGACAAGTGCCCATATACGACGAGCATGGCAAGCGCATCCACCCTGAGCATAATTACGTCAGCTCGGTTAAAGACTTGTAAGTATTGGTCATCACAATATCCCCAAAGAAAAAAAAAAAGAATAGGCCTGTTTAATATTAACGTTTTGATTTTCGGACGTCTTTGCGTAGATGGTCTAGCGATCTTCTCTAACAGTACTGTAAGGAGCGCAATAATAACAACAACAACAACAACCCCCAAAAATTTTTTCTTAATGTTGAAAGGGAAAAATGTAGCTTTGTAAACTGTCAGGGAATATCATCTCTCGCTCGCTGTCTGTAATATACCATCTTATTTTGCTCTTCATACCGACTCTTCATATCGAATTTCCATAGTTCATTATTTTTTATCCGTTTTAACATTCTAGATTTGTGAAATTGTACACTGTTGTCTGTGAACGGTGGCACTGAGAAATTGCCATCATTTTTGGTTTCTTCACTGGTGTTCTTTCTTCGTTTATCTCTTATATTTCTCAACACAATATTTCTTTATCATCCATGATTATAGGAAGATCATCAACTGTAATTCTCATATAATTATTTTGCCATGGATGGTAGATTAAACGATCTTCTCAGTCCAACTTCCTATCGTTTGTGAAAACTTTAATAATATTATTGTTATCCACAAGCAACAAACAAAAATCGGTCATGGCCTGACTCTCTGTCTCAGCAATTAGCCAGCTGACAATGATGTGGCTAGTTTGTATTGCCATAAATGCAATGATAATTCAAGCAATGATTATGATGTACGATCAACATTCAACGGCGAAAGCACAAAACCTGAATTGGGTTGGGCTGCGGCCATCTGAAAGCACTTGATATCGGTTTCTATATCCGAGGAAAACCTTTTTTTTTTGGGTTCCAATTTATGTTTTTTTATACATGTAGTATTCAATCCGAGGATGCTATGGGTACTGTACATCATAGTTTTTTCAGTAATTCTTCAACGAGTTCATCGAATTCCTCATTCTCGACGAAATGGCCAAGACCGGGTAATTCATAGTATTCTGACTGCAGCTGTTGCGCTACAAATCTTTGTTCGGCAATGGGCACTAGCTGATCATCGGGGGAAGCGTATTGTAGGATGAATGTACAATTATCCCGAATGGCTTGGAAATTCCACGGACGAGAAAAGTACTCAGCTTCGATTTCGCTTGGAACTCCCAAATCGGTGTGATAGCCGCTGGCAAGCACGATTCCCTTCACTTTGTGTGTCTCTGCGTAACTTTTCAAAGTAGTTTCAAGCCATTATAATTGTGGATTTTTAGTTTCATGCATGTATGCTGATACAATAGTGTCATGTCAGATCTAACATACCGCATAGCCGCAATGGCTCCAGTACTAGTAGTGCAACAAATGAGAAGACTGAGTTAGATCGTAAGCTTTTTTGATTGTTAATGTAGTTGAAAAACTAACCTGTGCCCAATAATAACATCATTCGCGCCGATTTTCAGTTCTTTTTCAAGAAAAGGGATCCATACCTAAACGTGAACGCAGTTAATTTGTATAAACTTGACACATCGTGCTGCTCGTGCCATGTCAAATTTGATCCATACCGATTCTTTGCCCACCGTCCAATCTGGAAACTGTTGTAAGATCACTTTGGAGAAAACCGGTTGTCCTTCCTTTGTAGCTTCTCTTAGCTTCTCAGCAACCGAGGGATACCTGGGTAGTCCAAGCAAAGCGAAGTCTATGTCAATACGAAGCCGGCTGCGTATGTCACGGCTTCTTTGGTAAGGGCGTTAAACGAAATAGACTTTACCATAAGCTTTCTTCTGGATACTCGCAGTAGTTTCCTGGCGCAATGACACATTGGCTTTTGGTCATTGTCATGTTGAACGTTTCTAAACCACGTTACGCCTCTGAGCTGGCTGAGAATAATTTTCTATGCTTGAGGGGCGCTTTGAAAATTTCAGCAAGGCACGAATCACCAGCAGACATCTTTCCACATTATACCAGTCATGCAGACGACATCGACTGCTAGGCAGCCTCTCAGTCGAAAGAATGCAAACGTTCGACCGATTGATTTGGACGGTATCTCTGCAAAGCACCAGCACTTGTCTTTGTCAAAGTCTAATCCTTCCCAAAAGCCTTTATCTACGCGTACATTTCAAGTGCAGCCTGGATATTTGGTTAAGAATGATAGCTGGCCCCATTCAATGTTACAGCAACAGCAACAAAAACAGCAGAAAGGAAGTGGTATGGCATCAAACTCGGAAAAGGGAAGCTGGAGACAAGAAAATGGTAGTAACGAAGTGATACCTTCATCATCTCCACTGAAGGACCTGGTGGAAGACTGGTTATCGTCCGATGAGGAGCTGCAACAACATAAGAGAGTATCTAAATCTGCAAAACGGGTTGTAAAAGGAATCAAGCCTCCTTCATCCAATATATATACAATTTCAGCAAAGGAAGAAGCCTTTGTGAAAGACGCTAACGATTCCCCACGAGGTGGCAACGAGAATTCCCCATTATACCAAACGAGTTCTATACTGACTTCTAGTCCTGTATCACCGCTTTTCTATGAAAAGATCAAGCCAATAGTACGGCGTCATGATATTGCAGGATCAGCGCCAAATACAAGGGCAGCTTTAGAAAGTAATAGCCCGCTGGCAGCCAAACACAGAGGAAGTCAAGAACATACACAGAAAAGCAATTTGTCGTCAAGAGCCGATAAAAGCTGGAAGGGAAAGCATACCCCGGTCAGCCGGTCTCTTTTGCCAGAATTCACCAGCACAGTCGCCACTACGTCGTCCGTTCAACGTCAGACTATTCCTCATGTAAGCCAAAGGAGGTCAACTGATAAGGCAAGCAACTCGAAAAGAGATGAGAGAAATACAATTAATACATCTGCTTGGTCGCATATACCACCCAACACCCATAGCAGCACACATAGCAGGATGAGTGCAAACCTTGCAGACCCATATTTCCAGACCTGTCCAATCTGTGATGCCGAATTTCCTACGTCGGTCATTGAAGAACATGCCGATGAGTGTATTGGAAAACTTGTACTAGAACCAGTCCATCGCCCTATAAGCAGTCAGAAGCCACTGACACAAAGCTTATTGGCACCGCTAAAGAGCGCCAAGTCATTCACCGTATATAAAGACGATACAGGATCACAGACCAGACCAAAGGTTATAAGTCGACCAGTAGATCGCCAAGAGGAAAAAGAATGTCCTATATGTCGGGCCAAGATTCGTGCTGATTTGTTGCAAAAACATGTTGAAGAAGAATTGGATGAGCTTTCCTCCGGATCAGTGCCTTCCAATATCCCATTTCGCTTACCGGCCATGTCCACCGACGACAATTCGCAGTCATCTGCCGTGGGAAAATATCCAGAGCCGACGTGCAGCATACCCGTGGATGATGATAGCGATTCTGAATGCAGTGTTATTGATCTAGCATCAGAATCTAATTCTGTAAATGTAGATATACAGACTCCTGTGTCCAGCCATAGACCACGACAACGATCACTTTCGCCAGTGGAAGGGTTTCAAGATATTCGGCAATTACAAAATGACGACCCAGGTTATCAGATGTACTTTCGGCAGTTTGGCGATGCCCGACTGGATAGCGCAAAATCGCGCAAGAGACGTAACCAAACAGCAGCTGATCAGGATGATGGAGAACCTGGAATAGCACCAACAGTCAGCAAACGAAAGCCAAATCGCAATTATCGAAAGTTCCGCGGAAACTCCAATTCACGTCGTCCAAGGCAACGACCAGGTCGGGGAGGAAGAAAGTAGAACTGTAGTACGGAGGTACATCCATTGGCGCTGTTTGCATAGCGGCAATCGTCGAGTTTCGTTTATGCCAACGGCAAACACTTTTTCAAAATTGGCCTATTGCCTTGACATTGTACATACCAGTATAGAATTTTTTTTAATGAAGATGATCATTGTTATTCCCTAACGGCTTATGGTATGGATTGACGGCTCAAGAGTCAGCAAGAAGTCCATCTTGAGTTACCTTTATTTTGGTGTAGTGATTGAGTTCCGTTAACCCGGAGAGGCATTGCGACTGTTTCATATGTGTGTGTGTGTATTTTTGGCGTCTTTAAATTTTAGATGTGCATTCAGGGCTATGTCTTGATTTTCATTGTGCTACCTTTCCAATTAGATATCCGGTCAAAAGAAATTGCACAGTGTGCATTTAGTGCAATGAGCCGTTATCTACTGTTGTTGTAACTAGTAGTCGGTCCATCATTGGCTGGGAAATAGAGACAAATCGGGATTCAAAGGTTTAGTCACCGCCTGGCAAAGGTTGATCCGAAATCTTTGGGAACAGCAAGAAGTATTGCATAGTCCCATAGATCAGCTCAAGAAATCATCAAGTCATACAGGAAAGATGTTTGAACCCAGTTAGTGTAGAATATGCTATGCTATGCATTACCCTAAGCTCCATATCTCAATACGTGACATTGAGTGAGTCAATTTTTAACTTTCAAAGCAACAACTACGATTATTAATTTGACTCAGCGTTAAACTGTATAAATTATACACATATAATTTTATTTTTTATTTTTGGCTGGTCGTCTGAGCGGATCATGGCTTTTTCTCTTTTACGATTTCCTGACTCGCCTTTTTTATCTTGCGTTGCTGGATGCATTATTCTATGGGTTTTCTTTGGAATTCGTCAATCCTTTGGTCTCCTATTGCTACCCATTACGACTGAATATGGCTGGGGTCAGTACTATCGCATCATAACACATCATCCCGTGCAATTTTTTTTTGACTCATGAAACGTGTGAAAATAGACAGATCAACCTTCTCCATAGCGGCAGCTCTTTTACAATTATTCTGGGGTGTCTCCCAGCCGTTCATTGTCTTTTTGGCAGAACGCAAAATTGGCTTTGGAAAAGTTATATTTGTTAGCTCTGTGATTTACGCAGTGGGAGTTTTAATCTTGCACTTTTGTACGAGTTCACTGCCTGGTTTGTTTATCTTTGCTATGGGAATCATCGTCGGCGGTGCTGCAGGAGGCAACAGCTTCCCTGTCGTTTTATCTTCTGTTGGCAGACGATTCCCACAAGGCAGCAAGAGGCAATCAATGGCTTTCGGTATAGTGTCAAGTACGGGAAGTCTCGGTCAAGGATGCTTCTTACCTATCGCTAACACCATGATCACGAATATGGGCTGGAAATGGTCGTTGATTGTTTATGGTGAGTACCCTTTCCAAAAAAAAAAATAACCAGTTATGCTTGCCCGTTAGCAATGGGTCCATTTTTATTAACACTTTTTATTACACGATAGCTATATTGGCCTTTGCTGTTTCGCCTTTGGCAATCTTCTTGCGCACTGTGGATCAAACGCCTGCAGAGACTATCAAAGCAGATGAAGAACAGCCAGAAAAAAAGACAGCAGATGAGATCGACGACGTCTCGGCTGATTCCGCAGACAATTCAGAAGAAGCAAATAAGAAAGATCAATTGATCTCCAATCAGCCGCAAACCATCAAAGCTACTTTGAAAGAAGCTTTCACCTCTGTAACATTCTTACTGATCACTCTAGGATTCACCGTTTGTGGTTTCCATGTCAGCTTCATTGCTACCCATTTGCCGGCCTACCTTGAAGGGCATGGCATCGATTCAAGTTTAGCAGGTATAGTATTGCACAATGACCGACCCTGTTATGTTATAGAGTCCTAACCGAACTTTTATTGTACGTTAGCCTGGTCTGTTTCTGTTCTAGGCTTTGGGTCCTGTGTGGGAACAGTTACAATGGGATGGTTGTGTACCAAATTCCGTCCAAAATACCTTTTGACCTGCCTGTACTTCGGAAGAGTCGTCATAATGGCCATCTTCATATGGGTGCCAGTCTCATTGACTACCATCTTCGTCTTTTCTGCAATATTTGGCGTAAGTTTGCACCATCACTTTCATTACTGCGTCAACTGTCGTCTCCTAACACTTTGCGATTTGCTTTTCTCGACATAGCTTCTGTGGCTTTCAACAGTTCCAGTAACGACCAAATTTGTCGGCGATGTGTTTGGATTCCGTTATCTCGGTACACTTACCTCCATCACCTTTGTTGGTCAGTATTACCCACTTTATCTCAGTATATGAAATACTGATCATTGATTAACAATGCTGCCCCTTACAGGTCATCAGATCGGCGCTTTTTGTGGAGCATATATAGGCGGATTGGAGTATGATGCAACTGGATCTTACATTAGAATGTGGTATGCCAGCTTAGCGCTAGGCATTTTTGCTGGTTTTGCCAATTTGCTTGCAAGTGACAAATCCCTTCGAGGACACCATCCTCAACCTCTTAAAGAAGTAGACGAATCGGCATAACTTACCTGTAACATTTGTATGTAAATAATAGTACATAGCAAAATACCTATAAATGCGTGTATGAAACACAACTTGTGATTAGGATTCGCACAGGAGAAGCAAACTGGCGCGTCCTTGTTCTGACTGGTACCAACGAATTTTAGTCGGAGTTGCAAACAGAGGGTCGAATTTTAGGTGTTTGTGCACGCATGTATTATTCCTTCCCTTTTCCAACCAGCAAAAACCAGAGATGACGGTGAGTAGAGAGACTGATTATGACATGGATGCAACTATTGCTAGATCGATGAAACCGATGGATGAATGCTACCGGATTGGAATGATATCGACCATCGAAATGGTGTCCATGATCGAAATTCAACATTGACATTACCACATTCCAACATTGTAAAGCAACGAATCAATTTAAGTACGGCCGACAGCAGAATAGCAGCGATTACTAGCCTCCAGCAACTTTACTCGGCTGGCAAGGATATGGCCTGAACGATTCATAGCTGTTTCAATCTCGAGCCCTGATAATTCGATCTACAGCACAGAGCCGCCACAACCTTGAATCCACATTGCACAATTAGGCTCGATTAACTGATCCAAATTCTTTTTATCTAGTTGGCTGTTGATCTTCTTAATCCCTCCCTTGATTCGGAAAAAAGACAGCACAAGTTGAAGAGACTTGTGCAGTCTCCTAACTCCTACTTCATGGACGTTAAGTGCCCTGGTAAGCTTTGTTTCCACTCAACCGGATGGTTACGCGATAACACATTGTAGACATCTTGAAAAAAAACCCTATACTCACACGCCGCTTCACTCTCACAATTTTAGGCTGCTTCAACATTACCACTGTCTTCAGCCACGCTCAGACTGTCGTTCTTTGCTCTTCTTGCGCAACCGTCCTTTGCCAACCCACTGGTGGTCGCGCTCGTTTGACTGAGGGTAAGTTGATTATATTGGTGGCAGGCTTGTAAATTGGTCAGCATGGTTAATGTTGTTTTGTTGTGTTAGGCTGCTCTTTCCGCAGAAAGCTCAACTAAAATCGGTCGCTTTGTTTTGTCCGCTTTGTTTCACATACCGGTGCGGCTCGATAGATTCAATATTTTGCCTCGGCAAATATGACACGCACGCACGCAAGGTTTTTTTTCGCAACATAGGCAATACTACAACAAAAGTATCCACAAATAAAAACCAAAAATTGAATTTTGCTTTTCTGACGAAGCTTGTAATTTCATGAGTGGGCAGGCAGCGGGAGCAATGTTAACAACGAAGGCATCTCAGCGAAGTTCTAAATAGAAAATGACGATCATTTGGTACCTTCCCGTGATGTAGCTTCAGGTAAAAGTGGGCTGTTTGAAACAGCAATTTGTGTTAAAAGTTGCCGCTCAAACATCAAAGGTCCCAAGTAAAAAGTCCCCCCAATTTTTTTTCTTCAGTTTCTTTCCTTTGCTTTTCTCTCTTTTATTAAGCATAATGACAACAATGGATTATTCGGCAAATAACAATAACTCTTCATCGAGCCCCTTTCCTCTTCGACGACGAGGGTCCGTGCTCGGATGGTCTGAGGGTTTGAGGTAAGCTGGGTTACCGACTTTCCCATTTGTGCGTAGACTTTTGACACTGACCCTAATCTTCAATCAGCAAGCGTAATATCACCCACGATATGTCAGGTCACGGCCTGGTAACGACTGTCCCACATGAAGTATCCATCGTAAGAGGAGATCCTGGTATTTTAGGTAACGAACGGTTTGACACTCATCCAAAAGAGCGAACTTAGGCTTTAACCAATTTTTTATTTTGATGATGATTAGGATTGGCAGGGTTTGCCCTTATCACCTTCTGTTTCTCGGTTTTCAACGTCGCCTTTCCAAAAGAATCACCCAATATCTTGTTACCTGCAGCTCTTTTGTTTGGTGGAATCCTGCAGATTATTTGTGGGCTGTTAAACTTTGGAATTCCTGGTGGTACATTTACGGCCACTGTTTTATCGTCCTTTGGAGCATTTTGGGCAGGCCAAGGTCTATTGATGATACCTAGTCTTTCTACCATTACTGGACTATATACTACGGAGATGCTTGCTAAAGCGAATGGCGTATACAACTTAGCATGGTCCCTCACTGCATATTGGTTTATGTTTATCTGTTTGCGACTCCAAAAAGGCAACTGGGTTCTTGTTTCTGCATTGTTCTTCGTTGGAACCACATTGCTCTTGCTCTGTATAGCAAGCTTTTCCGAAGTGGTAGGGTGTCAACGAGCTGCAGGAGTTACTGGATTGATAGCGGCTGTACTTGCTTGGTGGAAGGCGACGGCCGATCTTTTGATCGAAGAAGGAGAAGTGATTCCGACTGGCCGATGGGATCGTACTATGGAGAAGAAATCGGCACTTGATACTGCTGTTTAGCAGCAGATCGATCAAAAAAATAGTTGGTTATATCATAATTATTTTATAATAAAGTCTTTTGTATACAGAAATGCTTGAAATCTATCCAATGCGCTGTAAACGTAGGTCCACCGGCCGCCAAATCCGTTTGCACGAGCTTGGTGCCAAATGCTGGGGGCGCCTTCCGAAAATGGAAAGTCTGAAAATTTGAAGGGAAGCTCGAAAACCCTGTGATTGGGCCGGCTATCGGGTTAAAAGCCTTTGCCTTCCAATCTTTCTTCAGCATTTGAGAGTGTTTTTTTTGAGTGGTCATTAAACGATATTTTTCTGAAACCCTTCCCTTTCTTCTTTCTTTTACGTCTTTGTTTCTAAACCCCTTCCCATTCACTACCTCATCATGGAACAGCTGATATCCATAAAAAACAACACTAAAGGTGGTTGCGACGACGGTGCTATCGACATTGAAGACTTTGTGCAGAATAAGCTTCGACCTTTCTTGCACAAGTTTAAGCACCAGCTATCAACCTTTGATGACCCAAGCATTGCACTGCAAGAATTCACATTAAGCAAAGTACGAAATGCATATGAGGCTCTAGAGAAGTTCGACAGCGACATTCGTCCTATGGTGGACGAAGCCATCGCAGCTTCCATTCAATCTGCGCAACAGCATCGCCATGCTATGGTTGATACTTTTGTTCAAGCCTTAGAGCAAGCTATGCACGATTTAAACGAAAAATTCAGAGAAATAGAAGCCTTATCCGATGGCTACCTCGAGAAAAAAATGGAAGACACCATCGATGCTACTATGCAACAAATTGAAGAAGTGGACGGTCGCATTTCGACTGCGTTTGAACGAGCCTTTCAAGTTCGTCAAAGAGTAGGTGATAAAATTACCGAAGTGGCCGGATTAGCCAGCGACCGTATGGACTCTGTCAAAAAAATCGTTGCTGACGAGGCGCGGCGATTGCTCTTGTACGATGAACTGCCTATCGAATGGAGAAACAATGCGGTAGGGGCTTCTTTACGATTCATCCCCTCCTAAACAATACAATGAAACTAATTCTAATACCAATTTTTGTTTTGATTCACTCTTACAGCATATTCTAACCGGCTATCGATTTCTACCTACCCCTTCTGCCTGCTGGCACTCTCTCACCTATGTTCACAACGAAACCGGCAACATCTATACCCATCTTTTAGGATTCTTCTTCTTTCTCGGTCTTGGCATCTACGAGTTGTTCTATTCAACTTCACTTGCCTCGGTTCCCAATTTTGATCGAATTGTTTTCGCTATCTTCTTTATCGCCGCATGCAAATGTCTCATGTGCTCCACCGTATGGCATACCCTTTCGGGAATCAACGACTACGACATCTTTAAGCGCATGGCTTGTTTAGATTACGTTGGCATCAGCGTATTGATATCCGCTAGTGTCGTCCTTTTGGAGTACTATGGATTTTATTGTAACGATATCTGGAGAAACACTTATATCGCTGGTACCACCATCTTGAGTGTTATTGGTGTTTGCATGCCTTTTAGCGAATGGTTCAACCAAAACGGTAAGTATCCAATCATACTGCTTTTTTCCTGCCTCGTTGTTTGGCCTCGTCCGAAGTGTTGTTTAATCCTGACTTTTTCTTCTCTATTGTCCAGAATTCAAATGGCTTAGAATTGCCTTCTTCATCGCGCTAGCTGCCTCCGGAGTTTTGCCTATTTTCCATTTGGTTGCTATCCATGGAGCATCACACACCTTGAACTGGTTGTCACCGCTTCTGTATTCATTGGGATCCTATCTACTTGGTGTGTTTGTTTACGGAAATCAACTTCCTGAAGCTGTTTGGCCTGGTAAATTTGACCATATCGGCCACTCGCACCAGTTCTGGCATCTCTTTGTTTGTGGAGGCATTTGGTTCCATTATGTTGCTGCCTTGGGCTTCGTAAGAGAACGCGAAGTGTTCGGCCTCTGCTCCCTATAGAATTTTTCCTACACATTATAGATCATCCATCCTAAGCCATATCCAGACAGCCTATCTAATACCTTCCCTTGTTTCACTTGTATATTTTTTCTCCAACGATTACCATCAAGATACGTTTTAGTTATACCATTCGGTAACTCATCTGCCTGCGATACCTGCAGATGGTACCCCTATAAAGCAATAACATTTATATGTATGTTTTTAGTTGTGTTTTTGAATTGAAAGAAGGGGAGAGAGGAAAATTTTATACAATTAAGTTGAAAGGGTTGGTAAACAAGCTATGAACAAAATACCACGTTCCTAGATCAGAGAGATTTTAGTTCTCACAAGACCTCTTCTGAACGTGTTCAAAGGCTGTGGAACAAGTTGTAGTCTTCTAAAGGCTTCTTGTATGTGCAGAGGTTCCAGTGGTGTTTGATCGTTTTTGGATAAGCTGAAGAGGCCCATGGTGGTCTCATCGCCTTCTTCATCGCCGGATTCTCTCTTCCTCTTCTTTCCAGCCGCCGCTGATTCGTCTTTGTGCAATGTGGCGAGATCGGTCTTGATCTGGATAGCCCCTTCAGTCAGAGACGACACCATCTCAAATGTCAAGAAACCTAAACTGTCAATTATATCGTCATTTGGTTTGACATCGATGAACGAGCTCATGTAAGCCCAATCTCGAAACCGTTTTGATTTTCGGTATGTGAATGAAGCTTGTCGGCATTCAGAGTAGTGTACATACTCTTCTCTTGTCATGGCGCGAGTGATTTCATCGGCGTCCTTTAAGCGTTGTATACTATCGTTGTACGCTTCAATCTCATCTTCATCTTCAGAGTCCTCATCCTTAGACGACTTAACAAATACATCAGAAAACTGGTTGACTAGTTCCCATGAAAGTTTGATGATACTGCGATGCATTTTTCCTGGCTTTTCAGCTACCAATGTCAAGAGATATGTATGTGTTAATTCATGATTCGATATTCCGTTTTAACGTTTTAGAGTAGCCGTACCTGCCGCCGAGTCTTCCATCATATCCTCGACTTGATCTCCTCCCGTTTCTTTTGCGTTCTTACGAACATCCTTCCAGCTCAGGAACGATCGCAGCCGATTGACTTTTGCTCGGTCGTGTCGCATCAAAAATATCAAATCTTCGGCGTTCATTGACCTTGAGTTTCGTTTAGCTGCCATTGCCGCTGCTTGAATAATCTATCCATGAAAGTCAGTATTTGATCCTAAACCCCATTGAATCATATCTTGCTAGCTTTTGAATGCTTGAAGGCATATACTTACAATTTCAATAACCTGGGAGCGCACAATGTCTTCCACGAGCATGGTGGTCTCCGGAAGAGGATCGGATACCTCACCAAAAACGAACATCATTTGCTGAATTTCTGACTGGAACTTATATCGGGTCTACAACAATGTAACGTGAAAAGAGGTATATGTCAAGTCAATAAGCATAAGAACGAATGAAGATGCACGGATTACAACTATGCATACCTTTTTATCCGTGTTGGCCATGGTTCAAATTACCGGAATTCAAACCCACAAAAGGGTTCTGTGGAGAGGGTCGGTGTGCAATTCTTCAACGAACAAGCCACTTTCACACCCAAATCTAAAAAATGTACAGGACCACATTGTATTCAAGGATAACCCTGTGAGAAGAGCCAAAATTAAAGGCAAAAGGAGAAGAAGGAAAGTGCTATATAACAAAGAACATATAGTAAAAATGTATCTATTTAACAAGGTATTGATTATTTGGATTCTAAGCTGTACTTGTTGTGGCGGCAGTAGTAGCGTTGGTCGTTATGGGCGAGTTATTAGACTGTTCAGCCATTTTTGCTTCAGTCAATGGAAGGGCTTTGCTAATCTCGATGAGCTTGGCATGCAACAGGTTTCGTTTGGTATCATCTTCAGCGTTGTCTTGCTCCAGCAACTCTGCAATGAGTTTAGCGCTTTGTTCCAAACTTTCCGATATGTTACTTCCAAGTGCCAACGCGTCAGCTTTTGCCTTTGGTTCCAAGTTCTCCAGTTCGGTGATATCCACCTTTCCAGAAATCAATTTGAACAGTTCTTCTGGTTCCTTTTGTCTTTGCACGGCTAATCGAGATTGTTTGATAGCTTGTGGTACATCGATGACGCCAAATTCAGTTTGGACAGTGGTGTTGATTCCATCCAAGGGAGGGTCGGGCTTCATTGTCAGTTGAACAGCGTCCCAGGCTCCTCTCGTCAGTTTTTGTAATTTCTCATTGACATAGCCACATAGCGTATCGACAGCACTATCACGAGCAGACGAGTCGTCCGGCTCCTCGCCAAACATTCCACCTACAAAGTCCCACATACTTTTCATGTAAGCTTCGCCACGGTCATCACCGTAAACGGGAAAGACGTGAGCGAGATCTTGGGGAGTGTAAAATTGGCTTGGGAGGTTGACCCCAAGTGATGGGTACGCACCGTAGTCCCAAATAAATGCAGGCCGAATATGATACTTGTCTTGAACCATATCATCAGTCAATGCCATACTGCGGTTGGTGTAAAATGTCGAGGGAAGAACGGCTCGGTTGATGGTTGAAAATGGCGGTAGAGTGGCGAATGGCTTATCGTGGGGTACCAAAATGGAGAGATCTTGAACTATGTAAGAGCATACATATGTCAAAAAACACAAGTCTATAACGTAATTGTTTTAAACCGTAGTCTGCCTTGTACTTACCACCATGAACGGCGGATAACGAGCCATCTGGGCCAAAGATAACTCCAGCTTCAGAGATCTTCTTCTTCTTCTTCTTTTGCGTCATAGCGTAGGTTCTATTGGGTGTTATTGCGCGTGAACTACCAACATCCATACTACTTTCTCTATATCCAGCAGACCCTTGCCGACCACCACCTTTGCGCAATTGTAAAGTTGGCTGTTGCTGATATGACGTGGTGCTATCTAATCCCAAAATGTCTACATCTTCTTCTACCTTGACAAACGATTCTCGCTTGACGAATGATATGTTTGATGTAGGTGCTTGAGGTTGTTTTATGGTGATCATGCTTTTTCGTCTTTCAGGCGGAGAAGGTTGCTGAGGCTGCTGGATGGCCGCTGGGGGCTCATACGTTATGCGGCTACCTTCACGTTCAATTGCACGCAGTCCATAGGCTTCTAGCTTGTCTGCATTCCGCCAATATGGTGTATCAGGGGCGTTGTATATTTTGGCATTAGTACATATCAGCTGGAAGTCTTGCTTGAAAGCATCCATATCAGGATATTGATTGCTTTCAAGTTTTTGGCGCATTGTCATAAAATCCATAGGGTTCTTGATGACATTTAAGTAATCGGTGACGATGTTGGTATCTACAGGCTCGAGGAAAAACCCATAAGCGTCTCGTCTATGACAAAGAAATTTGGGATAAATCAATTAGTAAATGTCATATTTCAATGATCATACAATCTTGTGGTTCATATCTTACTTTACGAAGGTATCTAGTAGTCTTGAGCAAATGGTCTTGAGATCGCGTTTGGCAGGAGTCCACACTCGCGGCTGTTTTGTTTTTTTCTTGGATTTGGTTATTGATTTAGGGGTGGATTCCGTGCCAGTAGCAGTGCTGACACTTTGGAAGCTTGCAACTGAACCACGCCTTGACTCATCGTACACGGAAGGATGATCAATTGTTTGATTGGCGCTTGATGGCTCCTCACTATTGCGTATAACAACGTCTTTGTGGGCTTTAGTCCGTGCGAAAAGAGTATCGTTGCCATCATCTACGAGATCTTCTTCAGAGTAGACGGGTCTCTTCGCTTCTCTTTCATCAAAGTCGTATGGATGCACCGCTGATATGGAGCGTTTTCTACTATGAGATGTTGGGTCGGTTTCAATATCCAGTTGCTCACTTTCTCTCCGGTGGCTGCTGTAAGAGTCTTCCTCGTTATGTTTTCGCTTATGCTTTTTGTGATGCTTGTGAAGCTTGTGATCTTTGTGCTTATGCTTCTTCTTCTTTTTGTGATCTGCTGAATCTGTCTGCTCAGTAGTGAGCTTTGGAGGATTCAGCTGAAGCTTGAGTTTAATGCGAGGTGTGATCGTGGGCTGTACAGGCTCTTGAGAGGGCATCGGCGGCTTAACGGTATACCGCCCATTGTGATTATCAGGATCTGAAATATCTGAAACGTTGTCCTCGACAGAAGAATATTTCTTTTGCGACGACATTTTCTTTTGAACTTTGCCGTCCCCTGCTGCCAGTGTTAGTCGAAAGGCGGGGAAAAATTTGGCTGGGCCCAAGTTCAGAGCCAAAGTGAATTTCTACGTCATCAAGTTTTTGTTTTCCAGCCTCCAACTCACCTCAAAACGCTGTCCTGTCAAAAGGCTTACTTTGCTCCATATATTTCCAGTAAATTCAACATCATGACTCTGGTTGGAAGTGTCGCTGGTTTTGCCACTCTAGGATTCACTGTTCGTGCATATGCACTTGGCATCCAAAAGCGACCCATCCTTGAAGGTGAGAATCGCCAGCATGTACCATCGAATCGCCTCGACATGCCGTAACTTAATCGTCTAATTCCTTTAATTGTTAGGTATCTCTGGTCACTTTTTGACTGCTGGTGCATTCGGTGCAGTTGGATACTGGGTCTACAACCTTCAGAATAAGCAGGTTGAACAGATTGAACGCAAGAAAGAGCTCCTTTTGTCCAACAGAGCGCGGGCAGAACAGTCCGAGGACAACTAGACGACGACTGTAATAGATGTACATCCACCGCACCCCCATTTCCTCAATCGCTTGTCTGCATTATTTTTATATAAAAAAAATTTAAAGATTGATTTTATTGATATTTCACAATTCTTCGTCGTTAGTTACAGCCTCACGCGCATGATTTTGTTCCACCATGTTACGAAGGATAGTAGTTGCCTTGACGATGTTCTTTTTGTATTTTGCAGATACCGGAACGACAGCAACCGTCTCACCATTCTTCTCAAACTCTTCTATTATGATCTTCTCAAACTTGCCGAAATTGCTCTTGGCAACCGCTGTAACATCTGCCTTGTTGGCAATTACCACTGACGGACGCTTGGTTAATCCTTCTGAATATGCTTCCAGTTCCTTGGACAAAGTACGGAAGTCATTCCATGGTTCTTCGACACTGAGATCGATCACATATACTAGAACTTTAGAACGCTCAATGTGTCGTAAAAATGAGTGTCCGAGGCCGATATTTTTATGTGCTCCTTCAATCAGTCCAGGTATATCTGCCACTGTCAATTGAAAAGCATCCACAAAATCTACGGTTCCAATGTATGGATTAAGAGTGGTGAATGGGTATGAGGCAATCTTTGGATGTGCATTGGAAACAGCCGATAGGAAGGTTGATTTTCCTGCATTAGGCAAGCCAACCAATCCAGCATCGGCAATGGTCTTGAGTTCCAGTTCAAGATAGCGTGCTCGTCCTTGATGGCCGCGAGTTGCAAACTTGGGTGATCGATTCTCCGTTGTCACGAAATGTGGATTGCCATATCCACCTGTACCGCCTTTAGCGGCAATGATATTTTGATCTTCCGTTTCCATATCGACGAAAAGCCGTTGCTGTGATTCCTGGCGGTCTTTCCATCGCAAATATCGTTCTTCTTCTTCCATAAGTTTTTGTGCTTCGCGAAAGAAATCGCCTTTAGCAAGAGTAGTTTCTTCCGATCGTGGGTAATGTACCCATTTCTTTTTAAGCTTCTCCTCCTTTGTTTCTTCTTGTTCCATTTCTTCCATACGTGATTGTGCGCTAGCTGGTGGATCTACTTCTCGAATGATGGTCCCCAAAGGAACTTTAATAATCAAGTCCTGTCCAGACAAACCGTGCCGTGCAGCGCCTTGGCCAGGTCCACCACGTTTTGCTGCACATAAATACGGTATATGATTGAGGGTTGTTTCATCTGGTGATGCTTTAAAAATGACGCTTCCACCGCGGCCACCATTTCCACCATTGGGTGGGCCTTTGGCTACATACTTTTCTCTATGGAAAGATACGCAGCCATCTCCTCCAGCCCCACCTCGAGCAACAACGCGAACGAAATCGACAAAATTGCGTCCCTTGTATAAATTGTTAGGCTAGACTCTTTGAAACGCAACAGCAGAGGAACCCATATATATACCTTTCCTCTTAACTTATAGTCGAGGGAGCGATCTCTGGAAGTATGTCGAGTTTCAGACTCACAATTATAGAGAGTCTGATGAAATTGTCGTAGGTAGCAATACCCAGCTCTGATCGGTGGCACGAGCTTTGTCGAATTCTTTGAATGAAGCAGCAGCATATATAGTTTTCATGCTTGAGGTTGCGTGGTTTCCCAAGCTGGTGTGCAAGTAGCCGTCACAAACTGACCTTTGTCACGTAAACGCAAAGAATCAATCACAAGCAGCAGAGAAACCAGTTTTTGTGTACTTTTTATTATTAATATCTTCTGAAAAATACTTTCAGCCTACAGAATCTACTTCCGCTTATGAATTGTAGCGAGAACTGTGGTTAGAAGCTCTTAGTCGGCGTAGTAACTTAGGCAGCAAGCGGAAAAAACGGGCTCTGATTGCTGGGTCGAAATTTCAAAAACCAGTCCCGGGGCGGAGGCAGAAAATTTTTTTCTGGACATAGAGTATAAATTAACGTGGTGTTTTGCCAACTACTAAATTTCTTCTTTACGCCTCAGGATTCAGTCACCTCGGATTTGAATAGATGCTTGCATCTGCTCGGTTCGAGAGCTGGGTCAATCACCAATGAGCACCAGCCAACGTAAACCATTGACCGCAAGGTCGATGTAAGCAATGGTAACCACATTTCGGTGTGGTCTGCGTGTATAGTCAGTTTTGGTGACTGAAGCAAGAACATACTCTGGTCACCTCTTCGGGGGTGCTGGGGGTCATCCATATTTCATACCTTTGGACAATAACTGTTTTTACAGTTTTGATCTTCGAGGCAAACCATGGAAGGCACATTTCAGCATATCTTAACATCAAATGAATATAAATACAAAGATCTATGTTTCATGGCATCTTTAAACATCAGATCATAGATCTTGACGTTGGAATTAGCTGCATCGCAAAGAAATGGGTCATTAGACAACATAACAAATGCGAGATTTTGTTGCTGGTTAAAAATTTTTTTTTTCTTTGTCTGTCAGTAGCGGAGATGATGTTTCTTTGTCTATTTAATTCGAGGGAAAATGACAGGACTATGAGATATGCCAAGTTGTCTATGTTGTTCCATTGTTGGCCATCCAGCGCCAAAGTGCGCCTGCGCCAAAGTTCGCTCTTTCGTATCGACTCCCAGTCTCTTGAGAATGCCATCAGATTTTTCCGGCATCACACATTGTAACAGAATACCAGCAATTCTGCAGGACTCCACCGAGTAGAATAATACTTGGTTTAAGCGAGTTTGCTGCTCGGGGTCCTTGATTAGATTCCATGGCTGGTTATCGGTAAAGTGACGGTTGGCCTAAGGAATGCGGGAAGATATAACTTAATGATAGCTCGAGAAATGTTTTTAAATGTGTTGAAAGCACTCACCTCGGACAGAACATCAAAGATAGCTTGTAGCGCTTTCCCATACTCGTGATCTTCAAATCGGTGACAGAAAAGGTCTACGAGGAGGACAAATAAGAATTTGAAGGTAGAACGAGCAAATAAAGAAAATATTGTATTACCAGGCAATGCTTTCAATTGTTCCTGAAGGACAAGGTCATCCTTGGTCACTGCATCCTCATCATAGACAGGTACAATACCACTTGGTATTAATGCTGGAGCAGTGCATCTAGCAAGCAGATTACCCAGCTGTCCAGCAAGATCTTTCTTGTATCTTACCATGACAGCCTCATGTGAATAATCTAAGTTGAACATATTAACATATTGATCAGACCATTAATTAGCAAGCATATTGTTTACCTCCATCGTCAGCAAGGCCACCATCTCTAAGAAGGTAGTATCTCACTGGATCTACACCAAAAAAATCCATAGCAGCCATCGGTTCAACAACGTTTCCTCGGCTTTTTGACATCTTTTGCTTGTTCATAGTCCAGTGCGCATGGGCTACGATTTGTTTTGGCAAGGGTAAATTTGCAGCCATTAAGAAGGCAGGCCAATAAATAGCATGGAATCTATATGGGTTGTCAGAAGTCGACCGACACCTAAACACATCGCGCTGACATATACTGACCTAACGATGTCTTTACCGACAATATGTACATCTGCTGGCCAACCATTTTTGATGCCTTCTTGATTGTCTGTCCATGGGTATCCAGTTGCAGTAATATAATTCACCAGAGCATCTAGCCATACATATATGGTGTGATCAGGGTCGTTTGGTACTGGAATACCCCAAGTCAATCGTGATCTTGGCCGGGAGATAGATAAGTCAGCTAACCCCATATCTATCCAGGATTGAACCTCCCTCATACGATTTTGCGGAACCACAGCAGCTGTTTTAAATTATGTGAGCTTAGGAAAAAGCTTTGGTACAATGACGAGTTGCTTACTTGGATTGGATGACAGCCATGCTCTGAGGTCGTCTTGACATGCCGATAATTTAAATTTATAGTTCTCCTCAACTGTCCATTCCACAGGTTGCCCAGTTTCTACAGAAATCATGACCTTTTTTCCAGTTTTTTCATCCACTGCCTCCTGCACTTGACCACTAGTGTAGAACGCTTCGTCTGAAATGGAGTACCAGCCTTCATGCTTTCCTTTGTAAATATATCCATTCTCCTCCAAAATGTTCTGTAGTATTGTGAAGATTAGATGATGTAGCTGAGCTCCCAGTAGGCCATATAGTAACGTACCCATATTTTGGCTACAGCTTTATGGTGTCGTGTTTCAGTTGTTCTCATAAACGTTGTATACTGAATGTTCGCCTTGTCCGCCAAATCCTGATTTGCGTCATTGGGTTTGTTAGACACTAATGATGTGGGCTGAATTCGTACAGTGAGTCTCACCTTGAATCGCTGAGATATCTGGTCACAAAATGCCATAGGCTCCATATCATTTGCTGCAGCAGCTTGTTGTATCTACCAAATTGGTTACATGCCTTGAGCAAAATTAAGGGCCGTGTTTTTTTAATCAGGTGGTTACCTTCAATCCATGTTCGTCTGTCCCGGTCAACAGCAGGGCTGTCTCACCCTTTAATTGATGGTAGCGCTTTATACTATCAGCAATAACCGCCGAATATAAATGTCCAATGTGAGGAGCTTGCGCAAAATGTGAGCATTACAGTAAGGTAAGTCGAAGTAAAGGCCGCGAAAGAAGTGAATTTACCTGCATTCGGGTAGAAAATGGGTGTTGTTATATAAAATGGTTTTGTATGTTGCCACCGGCGCTGCAATGCTTTGTTACATCCAACCAGTGAATGGGCACGAGCGAACACAACAAGCGCACGCATCGAACAAAGCTATTTGCGGTATCCCTGTCAAAAAAAAAATCGAGTGCCTTGAATTTTGTCTCGTCGTTGAGCGAGCGGTGAAAGTCACAGTGAGCGGGTGAAAATTTATGCTGTCCTTAATGCTGTTCGAGCAACTGAAATCGATCAACATACTAGAAATATTTTGCGCTTCTCATAAACATTCAAACTCCGTATCAAACGTTGGTCTGAGGGCCATTAACACCCATTGCTGATATGAAAAGAAGAAGATGTGATTGATCAATGAAGAACGAGCAAATCAGCCGATAAATTTATCCTTTATTCTGCAGGCTATCCTCATTAGTATTCCGCAAACTTGGGAAAAAGGCGGCCAGGTGGTCACAGCCAGGAACAGTCTCTATATTACAGAGAGATTGTCTGTAGCAGAATTGCCGGAGATGTGTATTTTGGGATTTATATCTGATTGTTACTAGTATCAATGGTGGAGATACGAACAGAGTAGTAGCCAAGGTCACGAAATAGATGGGGATAAATATCGGGGTAAACTCACCTTGGCGAGAGTGCCTCACTCTCGGTCCATGTATCTCGGTGAAGAGCAGGTAACGGGTGGATATGATACCGTATTTATCTCAACGTCAAATGGTGCTCCAATAAGTGAGCCAATTGATATTATATTTGGTACATTATTTGCTCTCATTTTCTTTTATTTCTCTACCGACCGTTATGAACTGGATGGATGAAGAAGACTGCCATGAAAACCCAATTTCGGAAATCGCTAGTGGCAATTCTCTTTGTCAATGGAAATTGTGTCACAATGCATGTGTTGTCATAGAGATGCTTTTCAACCTCACGTCGGAAGGAACCATCTTGCTCATCTTGCTACAGCATTTACCCTGATTTCAGTCCTGTTCAGCTCACTGATTTGATGGGAAGCCAAGAGCTTTCGTTTCTATGCATCAAACAATCATTCAAGAGCAACACATACTCTGGTGCG